TATATTTAGGGTATTGTAAAAATTAATTAAAAGTTCATTACTCTTGATTTCATGAATTACCTAATTTGATTTCTTTTCTTCTAAAATCAAATTAAAAGATCTATTCTTTTATCAAAGAGTGCAAAATCTAATAGGATAAAGTAAATGAAGAGTATTAATATATCCTATCAGATTTATCTCTTATTTATTCTTTTTAATGTAATAGTTATTATTTTATATAAAATAATTCATTTTTACTATTTAATAATTTATTTTACTTATAAAAAAAATATGAATAATTTAAATTATGTTTATCAAAAAAAACTAATCCAGTATTTTAACCATTTTATTTAATTTTTTATATGTATTTAATCCTGAAAATTTAGAGACTTTGTTATTTTTTTAGCTTAGATTGGTTAACAATCAAGTAAATAAATATATGAATAATAGAAAATAACTTAATATATATTTTTTTTAAATTAGATTTTCTCTTATAGAATGATAATCAATCATCGATCGATCGATTTATATTTATAATTCAAATATTTTAAGTTTTCAAAAATAACATTATGATTTTTCAATTTATAAATAAAATATTTATCAATTATTTTAAAGTAGATTCTTATTTAAAAGTTGCTTATTTAGATAGCTTGAAAAAATAAAAAGATAGAATTTCGAATTAAAATATTTTGTATTATTCATTTTTTAGATTATTTTTCTAATTTTTAAAGACTTCTTTCTCTTTATCTTTTAAAAAACTTTCTTATCAATATTTTTAATAGTAGCAGTAAGTAGTTAAGCAAGTATAACATTTTATAGATGTAAAAAATGATAAAACCTATCAGATAATTAGAATTCAATTTTTATTTTATAATTCTTAAAAATGTAATTTAATACATTGCAAATAATAAAAAAATATACATTTTTTTATTTTTAACGCTTTCATACTTTAAAACATTGTTTGTAATCAAAAGAGAATCGAAAAAATCAAATAAATACTTGTATAAATATTTCTTTTACTGCGTATGTTGAGAAATTAATATCCTCTTCAATTATTATAATCAAATAAAAATAAATAAAATAATAACCTCATTTATAATTTGAAAGATAAAAATTTAGAAATGTATGATAAAGAGATGTTAGGGTAGTGAATGAATGAATGTAAGAATTTCTTGTTTAATGAATTTTTATATTTTATATTATAACTACATGATGAAAAGATTTATAAATAAAAAAAATTCTCTTGTTACTCCTATAAAATATTTACTAATTAAAAAAGGACAATTAAAGTATTCAGAACATATTTTCTCACCATATATTTTTAATTTTCTATGTAAAATTTGTAGACTATTTTTTTGATTTTCCTTTCATATTCAAATTTGCGTAAATTAAATAAAATAGATATCTGCTTTTTTCATCAATTATCAATTGAGTATTGAAATTCATTACTTTTTCTAATCTGATTAAATATAGATTACGCTCTATTTCTTATCTTTTCTAATTGTCATTCGACTAATTACAATTAATAAATATTTCACTAATACAAATATAATCTATCAGAAATAAAATCAATCAAGCAATGAAAGTAATCATCTAAAGTGAATACACTAATTTTGTATACTTCACTATATATTTTATTCATATATATGAATAAATAATAAATAAAATTATTTTATTTTGGTTCATTCAATAAATAAAAATGTATAAGAATGATAGATGGATATATAAAGAATTTATTCGTATAAATGTTTTAAGCACTTTGAAAGAAAAAGATTCCATTTTAGAGTATTTAAATTAGCATTATTTATATTTCAATAAAAATAAATGTGCTTTTTTTATCTTTGTTAAAATAATACTTAGACATAAAAATAAAATGAAATGTTTAATCTAAAGCAATAAATAAAATAAAAAAGCATACCAAAATAATTATTTAAATACCAACATTAATATAAATATAATTTTATTATTTATTAGCTTATGCTAATTGATAAATAAATACTTACAAAAAGATTGAACCATTAATTTTTTCAAAGTATATGTAAAGAAAGACAGTAAATTAATTCATATTATCACTCTATTTAAAATATTTTACAGAAATAATTATATAATTTAGTAAGCCTTTAATAAGTTAATCTTAGTATAAAATATAAATGTCCATATTCTTAATTCATATCTATTTGCCATTTCGCATTTGGCGAATTAAAAATTTTGGAGACTTTAAATGTTTTTCCTAATAAGATATATTGAATATATCTACAAAAATTTGATTTTCTTAATTGTTTTTTAGTTCAATTTTTTGATTTTCCTCGTTTAAATTAATTTGAAAGAATTTTATCTAATAAAAGTTGATTATCTGATATAATTTTTTTTTATCTCTTAAATGTTTGAAAAAGCATAAGAACATACTTTTTTATCTCATCAATGTTTGCATATAAAATATATTTTAAAATAGATTTAGCATAAGATTTATATATCTCTTTTAATATAGTTATCTCGTTAAGCAAATTTAACTAAAACTTGTTGAAATTTAATCATTATACATAAAAGAAATTTAATGTTTTGAGAATCAATAATTTTCATATAAACTTTATTAAAAGCTAAAAATATATAATTGTTAAGTAAATCGAACTAAAGTCTAAATGATAGATAATCAAGCATACTAGAAATTGGTGTTTTGAAAATCAATAGTTTTCATATAAACATTATTAAAAACTAAGATTTTTTAAATTTAATTAAATTATTAAATCATTTATAATATAGATTAAAACTCAAATAATATATTATATTTTAATATTTATTTTTTAACAAATCAAAAAAATTTTGTGAATTATTTAAAATTATTTTATCTCTAATTCTATAAAATTTTAGTTGAACAAAGCAAATATAAGGTAAATTTTCATATTTTAAGTTTCTTAGATTTCACTAGAGAAATCGCTAATAAACCATAGGTCTTGATTAATATTTAAAACTGGCTCTAATTAAAAATAATAATTTTTTTTTAATTGATTTATACAATAAAATTTTTCAAATTTGATTATTTATTACAGCACAATAAAATTATTATTAATTAAAATTAATTTGATAATGAAGCTTATAATGAATATTAAATTAAATAAATTATAAAAGAATAGAATTTCTATTATGTCTTTTATAAATTAATTTATTTTTAAAAATAAAATGATTTTGATAAATTAAAGTAGTCAAGCAAGAAAACACTTTTATAAAGAAAAAATCATCCTTGATTAAATCAAATTTCAAATATTCTAAAAAGGAGCCTTAATTAATCTTTCAAGCTAAAACAAAAAATTCCTAAATTTTAGTTTGCTGTCATTTTACTTTGTTCAAAATAATGTTTTACTGAATAATTTATTGCTAAAAATCTAATCTAGTATTATCATTTATTATATTTATAATCAAAAATATCATGGAATTTAAAAAAAAATATTTATTACAATTTCGCTAGATAGATGAATAGCTTTGAATTTAAATCTTGATCTCTCAAATAATAATTTAAAAATGATATTGATCTATATCTAAATAAATAATATACATAGTAAATAAAATATAATCTTATTTTTTATTCATGATATATTTTTATTTTAAAAATTTGAATTCCTTGAAAAAAATAATTATTGTCACTCTATTTTTAGGAATCAATATATTTTATTATTTTTATAAGTTAAAGGAAAAATAAAAGAAACAATATGAATAATGCAATTAAAATTGTGACTGTGAGTAAAATACTTACTGATTCTCAGATTTACCATAAATGCCATAGCAGTTTTATTAATTAAGGAGAAAAATATTAAAAAATACACTATAATAATTTGGAAAATCATCAAATTTCTATGAAAATTTATTACAAACACATTTATTGATAATGACTTAAATAGTAATTATCATATATTTTCTAATGTTAGTTTATAGTTTCTATGAGACCTAAATAGTATTCAGTATTAATAATTCATAATCTTTTTAATTTTTTTCTGCTGTTTTATTTAATCTTCAATGACACTTAATTTATGTAGTTAATTTTATTGTTGGATAGTCAGTGATAAAAAATATTTTTTAGTTTTCTACATTTTAACACAGTTTATTTTCTTTGCAATATTTTTTATTTAATCTTAATAAAAGAGAGAGAGTTTTTGTTTTAAAAAATACCAAATATTTATGGAGATATTGAATTTAAGATGAGAGCAAGCAAATAATACTTTATAGTTTCGTTAACTAAGAAGTACATCCTTGTGATATTATTTTTTTGTTTGTTATATTACCCAATCATATGTTCAATTTTCACTTGTATCAGTTTTGCAATAAATGGTTTTTACCTTTTGTATTTTAGATTTTTTAAAGATAAAATAATTACTATCATAAAGATGTTTTAAGTTTTTTTTTTTAACTATTCTCAACTATATCTTTTACCATAAAATTCACAAAGACTCTTAATAAATAAGGAAATATCATTGTTGAATTCGTTGAAAGGGTACTTTGTTTATAAAAATTTGGAGCGAATTTGAAAAATTTTAATTTTGTCAGATTTAAACTTCTAATCATCAGAAAATAAAATGTCACCTTCAACAATTAGAAAATATTTATTGATTTAATTTATACTGAATGAGATAAAACTCTTTTTAGTACTTTGTTTATAATATAATTTGGAACGAATTTGAAAATTTTGAATTTTGTCAGATTAAAACATCTTATCATCAGAAAAATTAAATGTCACCTTCAACAATTAGAAAATATTTATTGATTTAATTTATACTGACTGAGATAAAACTCTTTTAATACAATAAAAACTTTTATTTTGTATTATTTATATTCAAGTAGTTGCTAAATGTATTGTTTTAATTAAATTAAGCAAATTAAATTGTACCTTTAAATTTAGAATAGATTTGATGCATTTTTTAATAATTAATTTTAAGCTGATTAAATAATAATTATAAAGAGAGAGTAAAAGAATAACAAAATACTTAACTTAATCAGATAGAATAAAATAGTAATATCTCAAATTCTTTGAAATGGAAATAGAAAAATAATCAAATCTAAATTCTAATAAGAAGGCTGAGTTCAGATTGACAGATGAACAACTAAAATTCATTTTGGCTCCTAAAAACAGGGATATCAAGGTTACTGCTTGTGCTGGATCAGGAAAGACAGAATGTGCGCTTTAATTCATCAAGAGTGCTATTGACGAAGGATAAGACCCTAGAAGTATAAGTATAACAACTTTCAACATTTAAGCTAGTGTTGATATGAAAAAAAGAGCAATACAATTAATGGGAAAAGAAAATGCTAACAAAATTGAAATAATTAATTTTGATAAAATAATTTTCAAGCTTTATAAACAAATTAAAAAAATAAAAAGCGCCATTAATAATGAATTGATTAATAATAACAAAAATAATAAATAAGTAATAGACATTACTTTAGTTGAAAAGTAGTATGAAGTTTATCTCAATTTACAAGACTTGTCTTTTACTAAATACTTTTAAAGTAAGAAACTCGTTGTTTTTGATGAATTTTAAGATATTAATTAATTGCATTATGACATCTTAATGCTATTTAAAAAAGTTGGAAACTCAGTTCTAGTAGTCCTTGGTAAAAAATTTATTACTATTCAAATAATAAAATGTTTATATTTATTTTATAAAAATAGGAGATGAAGCTTAGAATATTTACGAATTTAGAGGATCAAATTTTAAATACTTGAATTAAATTGTTGAAGATGTAAACAGAGAAAATAAAAAAATTTATGGTAACGAGGATTACAACATGCTGGAATTCAAACTTACTACTAATTTTAGATGCTCTTCTAAAATTACTGACTTTGCTAATGATATTATAAGATATTTTAATTTTAAGGATTTTAACTAAAATACTATGATCAGTTTTGAAGGTAAAGTTTATAAGTTTTATTATTTTTAATATAAAATCAAATTTATTAAATAAATAACTAAGATTTGAATTATGGAAAAGAAATTAAAAAATGTGATGTTAAACCTAGTTTGATAGCCTATCCAAATTACAATAACTTAGTATAAGATATTATAATCTAAATCAATGTATTAATAAAAAACTATGGTTTTTCTTACAAAGATTTTGCTATAATTTCTCCAACTACTTTTACTCTATATTAAGTAGAACTATTTTTGCAAAAGTATAATTATTTTGAACCTGAAACAGAAATTCCGTTTTGGAGTTTTATTGGAAAAAGTAAAGAATTTGGTTACAAATATGAGTATTAAGCAGATAAAATCATGATTTTGACAGGTCATAAATCTAAAGGATTGCAATGGAAAGTAGTATTTGAAGTTGGGATGGAAGATAATTTGTTTCCGCTTTCATTTTTAAGAAAGACCGAGCATGATCTTGATGAGTTCAATAAAGTAGAAGAATTAAAGCGCTTGTTTTATGTTATGTCTACAAGAACTTCTTAATTTCTTTACATAAGCTATATATCTCATAATAATAATGATTAATTAAATGTATTTTAAATTTACAATAAAATTATTATTAAATCTATCTATCTATTTTTTTTAAGTATCAAGCATGTAGATTTTTGAATGCAATAGACAAAAATAAAATAAATATAATTGGTTAAGCTAGAATTTATCCTGACACAAAAGATAGCATTTACATAAATGAATAATAACTTTAATCACTCTATTTGCTATTTGAAGTAATGGTTAACATTTAACATATCAATGAGCTGCACTATTCATAGAGATACATCTAACCAGAATACATTTCAATAGAAAAATAAACACAATTACACAAAAGATTATTCTCAAAATAATACATCGAATAAATCTATTTCAATTAATCAGAAGAGATATTGTTTACTTATTTTGAAGTGTAATTTTAATTATTTTATTTTTATCACAAAAATTTACCCCCCTCTCATTATTGAAATAAATAGCAGTTAAATACTTCAAAATTCTTTGCTATGATAATTTTAATTTTAAAATTAAACATCCTCTTATTATAAAATAAATAAACTTTCATCTTTTTTTTAATTTTGTCTTTTAAATGAAATCCTTTCCATCCTAAGTTTAAAAGGGCAGGGTTTGATAATACCTAAATAATTTTCTCCTTTTAATCTAATATAAATGGGTCTCTTTTGTGAATCCCCTCCCCTGAAAGTTGAGATTGTGATTTTTTGAAGTTGAAAAAAATAATAATAAAAAAACTTACAAAATAATTTTGGCAATTATAAATGTTTTAAGGTTTACCCTTCAACTTATTTGGTAAATGCAAAAATCAAATTTTTTTATTATAAATTTAGTACGAGAGTTATTATTAATAATTTTAAAATACTTTAAATTGAATAAATAAGTAAAATATGAAGATGATATTGAAATTTATTTTTAAATTAAATTAGGATTATTTTTAGAATTTTGATAGAGAAAACTTAAATGAATTTTAATAAAAACATACTTCAATATTCATTACTGAATTTAAAAAAAAAATAAAATAAATATCAACTTACCAATTAATTTATAAAAACATTTGAATTAGCTTTAGATTAATTCCTTGATAAAGATTTAAAAATAAATAGTAACAAATTCTAAATTTAATCACTTTATAAGGTATCCTGTTTGTATCAATCATTTAAATCTAGAAATATGATTTACAGATGTTTTTTATGTAAGAATCCATTTTATTCCATGACAAAGGTGATAATTAAAAATTTAGAATTATTTGTAGACTATATATTGAGATAAAATAATGGTTAATTGTTAGTACTTGATAGTATTGAGTATAATAAACAGTAAGCAAAAATTTTTGATATGTTTTTAATTTCAACAGAAGACACTATTTTTGAGATCAATCAGTCATTTAAAAAAAACTAGACAATAGAAAAACAAAACTTTCTAAAAGTAAATATTTCAATCTTCATTTTATTTAATAATTTTTTATTTTATTTAGGTTTTAAGTAAAGTTGCTATTCTTAAATTAAAATATGGCAGAGATATCAAAAAAATTGAGTTCTATAACCCTATCAAAGGAACTATTTTACAAATCTATCTTTAAAATTGGACATTTCATAAGGATATTATCAATTTTATATTTTAATTTTAATCTAAACTAAAAGACTCCGATTAAAATATATCTTAAGATATTTAAACTTAAAATTGCACATAATAGACATTATAAACAGTTCTTGTTGATTAAGGAGATATTTCTTAAACCTTAGGAAATTCTTTAAAAATTTAAGAAAAAACTTTGAAAAGCTAAAAAGATAATTTAAATATTAAAGAAGAGAACTCATCAGAAATCTTAAGAATATCCCAATAATATCAAAATTAATTAATTAACTAACTAAAATAATAATCTTCATAATCTAGTTTTGAAGATAAAATGAATTTTGATGCTCATATGACAAAATAAAATTAAAACTTACACATTGAAAATGCCAAAACCAGCAACAAATAACAAATTCTTATAAACTCTAAAAAAAATTAAAAGAGTTATGATTCTTAATAAATAGATGAGAAAAATAATAAATTTCTAAATAAATTAATATGAAAAATGAAAAAAATATCTAGATGCTTTTATAATGCTTCTTTTTTTATTTTTAATTAGTAAAAAATAAATAATATATTACAATTTTGTTGCTCTTTATGTCTTTATGTATTAATGTAGTATTATTTTTTTTAATTGTTTTTACTAATTTTATTTATTAACTTCATTTTTGATTGATTTTTATAAATTATTTTTTTCTTATTCTTATTTGAAAGAGGAAGTCTTAAAAAATCTAAATTCTAATTGAGCTTTTTATGAAATAGTTTATAAATAAAAAAAGAGGAGTTATTCTGAAATTATTAGGAATTCAATTTAAATACCGTATTACCTTTTCACTTGGTTCTCTTTTTGATATTTTTAAGATATTTTTGATGATATTTAAAAAATAAATTCAATAATATTTCCAGCTTATGGGAAAATAGAAGTTTAAAGTAGACTATATTATATAATAAAAATTTTTTTTTTTTTTTTAATATTATATCATAAATGCGAAAGCAGTTTTATTAATTAAGGAGAAAAATATTAAAAAAACACTATAATAATTTGGAATATCATCAAATTTCTATTAAAATTTATTACTAGTACATTTATTGATAACGATTTCGATAGTAATTATCATATATTTTCTAATGTTTAGAGTTTCTATAAGAGGAAAAAAGTATTCAGTATTGATAATTCATACTCTTTTTAATTTTTTTATACTGTTTTATTTAATCTTCAAAAACTGTTAGTTTATTTTGTAAATTTTATTGTTGGATTTTAACACAGGTTATTTTCTTTGCAATTTTGTTTTATTTAATCTTAATAAAAGAGAGAGAGTTTTTGTTTTAAAAAATACTAAATATTTATAGAGATATTGAATTTAAGATGAGAGGAAGCAAATGATACTTTATTGTTTTGTTAACTAAAAAGTACACCCTTTGTGATATTGTTTCATTTTTTGTTCTATTACCCTATTGTATGTGTAATTTTCACTTGTATCAGTTTTGCAATAAATGGTTTTTAACTTTTGTATTTTAGATTTTTTTATAATAAAATAATTACTATCATAAAGATATATATTTTAAGAATTTATAATTTCAACACTATTCTCAATCATATCTTATACCATATAATTCACAAAGATTCTTAATAAATAAGGAAATATAGTTGTTGATTGAATTCGTTGAAATGGTACTTTGTTTTTAATAATTTGGAGCGAATTTAAAAAATTTAAATTTTGTCAGATAAAAACATCTAATCATGAGAAAATGAAATGCCACCTTCAACAATTAGAAAATATTTATTGATTTAATTTATACTGATTGAGGAGATAAAGATCTTTTTATTATTTTTTTTATAATTTGGAGCGAATTTGAAAATTTTGAATTTTGTCAGATTAAAACATCTTAATCATCAGTAAAATAAATGTCACCTTCAACAATTAGAAAATATGTACTGATTTATTTTGCACTTAATGAGATAAAACACTTTTAAAATAATAAAAACTTTTATTTTTGTATTATTTATATTCAAGTAGTTGCTAAAAGTACTACTTTAATTAGATTAAGCAAATTAAATCATACCTTTAAATTACGATTAGATTGTTCTAATAATTGATTTTAAGATGATTAAATAGTAAAATATAAAGAGATAGTAAAAGAATAACAAAATACTTAATTTAATCAGATAGAATAAAATAGTAATATCTCAAATTCTTTGAAATGCAAATAGAAAAATAAGCAATTCTAAATTCTAATAAAAAGGCTGAGTTCAGTTTGACAGATGAACAACTAAAATTCATTTTGGCTCCTAAAAACAGGGATATCAAGGTTACTGCTTGTGCTGGATCAGGAAAGACAGAATGTGCGCTTTAATTCATAAAGAGTGCTATTGACGAAGGATAAGACCCTAGAAATATATGCATAACAACTTTCAACATTTAAGCCAGTGTTGATATGAAAAAAAGAGCAATTCAGCTATTGGGAAAAAAAAATGCTAACAAAATTGAAATAATTAATTTTGATAAAATAATTTTCAAGCTTTATAAACAAATTAAAAAAATAAAAAGCAACATTAATAATGAATTTATTAATAATAACAAAAATAATTATTAGAAATAAGTAATAGACATTACTTTAGTTGAAAAGTAGTTTGAAGTTTATATCAATTTACAAGACTTGTCTTTTACTAAATATTTTTAAAGTAAAAAGCTTGTTGTTTTTGATGAATTTTAAGATATTAATTAATTGCATTATGACATCTTAATGCTATTTAAAAAAGTTGGAAACTCAGTTCTAGTAGTCCTTGGTAAAAAATTTATTACTATTCAAATAATAAAATGGTTATATTTATTTAATAAAAATAGGAGATGAAGCTTAGAATATTTACGAATTTAGAGGATCAAATTTTAAATACTTGAATTAAATTGTTGAAGATGTAAACAGAGAAAATAAAAAAATTTACAGTAACGAGGATTACAACATGCTGGAATTCAAACTTACTACTAATTTTAGATGCTCTTCTAAAATTACTGACTTTGCTAATGATATTATAAGATATTTTAAGACTATTAAGTCAAATAATATGATCAGTTTTGAAGGTAAATTTTACTAGTCTTATTATTTTTAATATAAAATCAAATTTTTTAAATAAATAACTAAGATTTGAATTCTGGTAAAGAAATTAAAAAATGCGATATTAAACCTAGTTTGATAGCCTATCCAAAACCTTTTAACTTAGTATAAGATATTATAATCTAAATCAGAGAATTAATAAAAAATAATAGCTTTTCTTACAAAGATTTTGCTATAATTTCCCCAACTACCTTTACTCTTTTTTAAGTAGAACTTTTCTTACAAAGGCATAATTATTTTGAACCTGAAACAGAAATTCCATTTTGGAGTTTTATAGGAAAAAGTAGAGATTTTGGTTACAAATATGAATATCAAGCAGATAAAATTATGATTTTGACAGGTCATAAATCAAAAGGATTGCAATGGAAGGTAGTATTTGAAGTTGGGATGGAAGATAATTTGTTTCCGCTTTCATTTACAAGAAAGGTTGAAGATGGTCAAGATTATTTGAATAAAGTAGAAGAATCAAAGCGCTTATTTTATGTTATGTCTACAAGGGCTTCTTAATTTCTTTACATAAGCTATATATCTCATAATAATAAAGATTAATTATAGGTATTTTAAATTTACAATGATATTATTATTAAATCTATCTATTTATTTTTTTAAGTATTATGCATGTAGATTTTTGAATGCGATAGACAAAAATAAAATAAATTTTATTGGTTACGCTGGAATTTAACCTGACATGGAAAATAGCACAAGCATTAATACATAAGAACTTTAATCCCTCTATTAGATATTCGAAGTATTGGTTAATATTAAACATATTGATGAGCTTTTCTAATCATAGAAATACATTTTACCAGAATATATTTCTATATAAAAATAAACCCAACTACACAAAAGATTATTCTCAAAAAAATACATTGAATAAATCTATTTCTATTAATCAGAAGAGATACTCTTTACTTATTTTGAAGTGTAATTTTAATTAATTATTTTATTTATATCACAAAAATTTACCTTCTATTTTTAGAATTATTTATCATAAAATACTTCAAAAAAGTTACTTTGCCATGATAATTCTAACTTTAAAATTAACAATCCTCCTTATTATTAAATAAATCATCTTTCATCTTATTTTTTTTAATTTTGTCTACAAAGTTAAACCCTTTCCTTCCAAAAATTTGATAGGGTATGGAATGTGATTTTTTGAATTTGAAAAAAATATTAATAGTAAAAAGCTTACAAGATCATAGCTTTTGTATTTTAAACCATTCAATTTCTTTGGTAAATACAAATAGAAAAAGTATTAATAGTAAAAAGCTTACAAGATCATAACTTTTGTATTTTAAACCATTCAATTTGTTTGGTAAATACAAAAAGTAAAAATTTTTTAATTTAAATTTAGTAATATGACTAATTTTAATAGATTTAAAACTAATTTTAAAATATTTTAAATTTAATGAGTAAGTAAAACATGAAGATATAATTTAAATTTCTTTTTAACTTTAAATTAGGATTATATTAAGAATTTTAATAGAGAAAACTTAAATAAATTTTAAATCAGACATACTTCGAGATTCATTATAGAAATTAAAATAAAAATAAAATGAGTATCTACTTGCGAATTCATTTATCAAAACATTTGAATAATCTATAAATAAATTCCTTGATAAAGATTTATAAATAAAAAGTAACTAATTCTAGATTTAATGGCTTTATAAGGTATCCTGTTTGTATCAATTATTTAAATCTAGAAATATGATTTACAGATATTTTTTATCTAAGAATCCATTCTATTCCATGACATAGGTGATAATTAAAAACTTAGAATTGTTTGTAGATTATATAATGAAATAAAATCCTAGTTAATTGTTAGTACATGATATGATTAATTATAAAAAATAATTCAATATCTTTGATGAGTTTTTAATATCAACAGAAGACACTATTTACGAGATCAATCAGTCATTTAAAAAAAATAATACAATAGAAAAACAAAACTTTCTTAGAGTAAATATTTAAATCCTAATTTAATAATAATTTTTTATTTTATTTAGGTTTTAAGTAAAATTGCTATTCTTAAATTAAAATATGGCAGAGATATCAAAAAAATTGAGTTCTATAACCCTGTCTAAGGAACTATTTTATAAATTTATCTTTAAAATTGGACATTTCATTAGGATATTATCAATTTTATTTTTTAATTTATACTTAAGCTCAATTGTTCTAGTTAAAATTTATCTCAAGATATTTAAAATTAAAATTGCTCTTAATAGGCACTATAAAAAGCTTTTGTTGATTAAGGAATTATTTCTTAGACCTTAGGAAATGCTTTAAAAACAGAAGAAAAAGTTGTGAAAAACTAAAAAATTAATTCAAATGTAAAAGAAGATAATTCATCAACTATCTTAGGAGTATCACAACAATATCAAAATAAATTAATTTATTAATTTAAATAATAATTTTCATAACCTAGTGTTGAAGCTAAAATGAATTTAGATGCTCACATAACATAATAAAATTAAAATTTACAAAAAGAAAATGCCAAAACTAGCAAAAAAGAACAATTTGTTAATAACTCCAATGAATATTAAAAGAATTATGATTCTTAATAAGTAGATGAGAAAAATAATAAATTTCTAAATAATTTAATATGAAAAATGAAAATATCTATATTTTTTTATATTTTTAATGAGTAAAAAATAAATAATATAATACAATATTGCTACTCTTTATGTCTTTATGTATTAATGTCATGTCATTTAATTTAAATTTTTTACTAATTTTATTTATTTACTTCATTTTTTTGATTTCTATAAATTTTTTTTTTTTCATTCTTTTTTTATAATATTTGTAAAAAAATTTAAAAATCATAGATTGATATAAATTAAAAATAAATATTATTAATTAATTATACGTTAAAGTAAAAGTAAGTAGGTATTTGGTTTATATATTGATTTAAATATCTTTTCTATTCAAAGAATTAAAAAATCTTAATCAGCCTTTTAACTTTTAATATAATTTTCTCTCTGCTTGTTTGTGTATTTTTTTATTTAATTAACACAAATTTAACCTGATTCAAAAATAAGTATCAAATGAGAAAAAATAAATTCATAATTTATCATCTAATTAATCTACTTTTAAAATAAATACTTAATATTAATATGGAACTAATTATAAAATTTCAAAAATTTTATTTGTTTATGTAAAATGGAGCTTAAAATTATAAAGTTACTTTACAATTCTTAATAATAATAAAGTCTACTTTAACAAATTTACTATTTTACTGTGAATTTTGTTAGCACCACAAATAATTAACTAGCTGTGTCCACTAATTAATTTGAAATTTTGTATTCATGTGTTAGAAAAAATTAACTAATTTAGATTAAATTTTTAGTAATCTTGGAATTTAAAAAACTGAGGAAATTAATAAGCAATATTACACATATCTGTGTTGTAATTAACTAATATAGAGATTTTTAATATTGTAAATTAATAGTTATCATCCATTGTTTTTTCCTTTACATAAATAATTAATTTCTTATTTCTAAAGCAATTTTAGAATACTTAATAAAAAAGTATCTTTCTATTAGATAATATACCATATTGAGTATTATTTTTAAGCCAAATATTGATAATAACTTTTTTATTGTCGAATTGATTTAAACAGATAAATCAGTAAAAACTTTAGACGCTTATTGGCCTTAAGTAATTTAGTATCTAAAGTACCTTATATTTGCTCTTTTATTATGAGTTTAGATTTCAGTAACTTAAATACCTATTATAAAATTGTATTTATAAAATATATGACTGCAGTGTATTAAATTTCTAGAATAAATATAATAAGATTTTATAAAATACTTCAAATATCTTGTGAAAGAAAGAGTTATTAAATGTTAAGCATTTTATTCATTAATATTTATACTTTTAGAAAAAACAATTAGTTATTTAACCTGATTATTAATTTCAGGTTTTCATAAATGTGCTTCTTGAAGTCGATGAATTGCGAATACTTAGTAAAATCTATAGCTTTATAGGAATTCAGGAATTTAATTAAAAATATCAAATATTAACTATTTATTAATAGTAAACCAGCCAAGAAAGATACTAAATATTAATATGATATGACATGATATACTTTTATAAAAAAGTGATGCTAAAGTTAATTTTCAAGTATTTTTTATTATTGGTAAAAAAATATGTTTAAATGTCAATTTCTTTTGGCGGAAAAAATTCTTTCAGTCTTTCATTTCTATATTATTTTCTAACTTAATAAATTAGGATAAAAATTTGTATTATATTGATTATTGTAAAAGTAGTTTTTATCGTATTTTTTTATTTTATATTAGTGCAAAAATATAAATAATAAAGGTAATTATTATCCTTTATCTGTTTGTTTGTTTGCTTACTTATTTTCAATTCTTTTGTTTTTGATTCTGTTTTAATTAATTTTCGTTTACCTTAGTAATTAAAAAAATTTTATATTAATTAAATTTTGTAAAAATAGAAACAGATGATATTTCTTTTAATAGTTTTGAATCTTATTGCTTATACTTTGCAAGACAAAAATGTTTCATTGAGATCAAACGCAATTGTCCAAGTGACTAGCTCTAAACAGTAAAAATTATTCATTTTAAAATTAAATATTTAATAAACATCTAAATTTTTTAAATGATTCAAGAAATTAAAAAAATAATTATTTGATTGAAAATAACGAATATATTTTTTATAAAATAATTTTAATATTTTAATTTAAAATACATTAATGAAAAATTTTTAAGTAAAAATTAATAAATCCATGTTTGGATCCTCCCCTACACTCGCAAATCCATAATATTTTTATGTTATTTTTAAATAAAAGGTAAACTAAAAGTAGAAAACTTGCTTCTCTTTGCAATTAAAATTGTACTTGTGGTCCTGGATTTGCATATCCATAATGTGGTTATTGCCAAAATGGCTTAATTTATTATCCTACTAACAATACCTGTTAAAATTCTAATATCTGTAGAAGTACTCCTGGTATGTTAATAGACAATAATAACGGGTATATGTGTTGTATTAATAATTGCTAATAGTGTAATTATTATAATACTAGTGGTACCTAAACATGTACATAATGTATTACAGGATATTAGTTAATAGGAAGTCTATGTTATCAGAATTGTCCATCAGGAACTTATAGGTACCCTGACTTAAGTTGCAAATCATGTAATACTTCAAATAAATAATATATAGATGGTTAAAATTATTGTTAGTAATGTGACTCTTCTTGCTAGACTTGTAATGGATCTAGTTAAAATAATTGCTAAAGCTGTCCTTTTGGCACTAGTTTGTATCCAGATGGTTCATGTAAAATATGTAATTTAGATAATAAATAATACCTTGATTCATCTTAAATCTGCTAAAACTGTAATTCGTCTTGTTAAACTTGTGATGGATCTAGCCAAAACCAATGCTTATCATGCCCTTCTGGTACTAATTTGTATCCAGATAGAAGTTGTAAATTTTGCGATTTAACAAATAAGTAGTTTTTGGATACTCATCATATCTGTTAATCTTGTGATAGCTCTTGTTAGTAATGTAGTGGTCCCAGCTCTATTTAATGTATAAGTTGTCCTTCAGGAACTAATTTATTTCCAGATAATAGTTGCAGATTTTGCGATAAAGCAAATAAAAAATATTTAGATAGTTCAAATGTTTGTAGGGATTGTGATTAAACTTGTTAAACATGCAGTGGACCTACTACTACTTAATGCTTAACCTGCACTTCAGGGACTAATTTTTATCCAGACAAAACTTGTAGATTTTGTGATATAGCAAATAAATAATACTTAGATAGCTCAAATATATGTTAATAATGTGATGTTACTTGTTAAACATGCAATGGATCTGCTCCGACTTCATGTTTAACATGTCCAAATGGAACATCACTTTATCCAGATCGCTCTTGTAAAGTATGTAATACAAGCAATAAATAATATATTGACTCATAATAATCTTGTTAGTACTGTGATAGCAGTTGTTAAACTTGTGATGGATCATCTCCTGATAATTGTTTATCTTGCCCTTCAGGATATTTTAAATAAGGAAACAAATGCATATAATGTAATGCTGCTTGTAAAGAATGCATTGGTACAAGTGATTAAGATTGTATAGAATGCAATTAATTATATTTTTAATTTGATAAAAACACTAAGATTTGTTAGAAATGTCCAAACGATTAATATCTCAAATATTCTAACTAATCCTGTTCTAATTGTGATTATCAGTGTATTCCTTGCAATTCTATACCTTTAACTTTTAGCATGTTTTAAATAGATTCAAATTTATCTTCAAGCTAAGATTATTGCTTAGTTTGTAGTTGTAAATAATGCTTAAGTGGGTATGTAAAATTTAATGACCAGTAGTGTATAGCTAGTTGTGATGAAATAGGCAGCAATTATCAATACGATTCTTCCACAAATAGTTGCTAATGTTAGCCTGGATATAATTATTAAGTTAAAAACCCTATCAAAAATAATTTTGACTGTGCTCAAGGGTATGGTTAAGGATATTATTGCAACGATTCAAATAAATGCTTTTAGTGTAGTTAGAATTGTAGCCAATGTTCTGACATCTAAACTTGTTAGAAATGTGGCAAAGGGTTTTATCTATGGAAAAATAATTGCTATTCAAGCTGTTTTCCAGATTTAAATATTGTACCTAATGAAAATTCTGGAGAATGCGAGTGCACTTAAGGGTATTTTTTGCAAAAACTTTCAACTCCAATCTAAAATTAATTTGATTCTTGTTAACTTGTTTTAGCTTTGTAAGAAATACAAATTCACAATAAATTAATGGAGAGCTAAGATTAAACTCTTTCATCAAACTTTTATGATAACTTGATTGTGTTTTAATATAATCGTGAGCTAACCAAGGAAGAGTATCAATCATTTTAATTTTAGATAGATGATGAAATTTTAAATTAAGGCTCAGATTTTTAAATTATAAGCACTAGTTAATAAATGTAAAATATTTTGTGCACTGTTAGATCTGCACAAAATAGAAAAATAAAATAATTGAGAATATAATTATTAAATTCTATTTAAAACTACTAAATTTAAAACACAATTCTTGTTTCTAATGAATATTCAAAGTAATCTTCTGATGCTTTATCATCTAAATAAATATCATAATCCTTTGAATCTATGAGTTAAACTTTCTCAGGAGACTAAAACAGCGCTACAGGAAAAACTATTTCTTTTCTCAAACAATTCTAAGTTCTATGCTATATTTCAAATTTTGTTTAGATTTTACCTTTGATATATCTAATTAGAGATAAATTACCTGATAAAATAAAATTTTCCTCTTTATTTGGAGTTTCAATAATATTTAATAAGACACCTCCACCTTCATAAATAACAATATCTTCTTTAGAAATATCTACAAATGATTACACTGAATAACTAAAAAATACACTATAATAATTTGGGATATCATCTAATTTCTATGAAAATTTCTTACAAGCACATTTACTGATAACAATTTCAATAGTAATTATCGTATATTTTCTAATATTTAGAGTTTGTATGAGAGGAAAATAGTATTCGATATTGGTAATTCATACTCTTTTTAATTTTTTATGCGGCTTTGTCTAATCTTCAATAACAGCTAGTTTATTTTGTTAATTTTATTGTTGGATAGTCAGTGATAAGAAATATTTTTTAGTATTCTACATTTTAACACAGATTGTTTTCTTTGCATTATTGTTTTATTTAATCTTAACAAAAGAGGGAGAGTTTTTGTTTTAAAAAATACCAAATATTTATGGAGATATTGAATTTACTATGAGAGGAAGTAAATCATACTTGATAATTTCATTAATTAAGAAGTACACTCTTGTAATGTTGTTTCTTAGTTTGTTTAAAAACCCAATGGTATGTGCAATTTTCGCTTGTATTAGTTTTGCAATAAATGGCTTTTACCTTTTGTATTTTAGATTTTTTAAAAATAAAATAATTACTATTATAAAGATATTTTAAGAATTTATAATTTCAACACTATTCGCAACCATATCTTATACCATAAAATTTACAGAGGATGAGCTTAGCTAGGATACAATTTCAAATGAAATTATTTAATAATCAGAATATTTAGGAAGTGCTATTATGATAATATCAATTGTCTGCTTATTTATTAGCTCCTTAATTTATTTTATTAGATTAGGATATTTTTTTATATCTTCAATTAAACTATATAAATAAAATAAAAAAATCAAATAATAAAAATAAATTGAATTAGAAAATCTTTTAAGCCCTATCAATCAAACATCATTTTAATTAAGTTTAGATCCTGAAATAATAAAAAGATAATCAAAATGTGCTCTTATTAATGAATGAATATTTTTAATAAAATTGATTGCATTTAAATTTATTTTATCAAAATATCTTTATCAAATTAAAGAAAATAATAAAAATTATTTTCAATATTATGAATAATTATTTCAAAAATTTTAAGCAAATATTTAATTAAAATAAGTATATAAAAAGATCAAAACAAACATTACCTTTTTTGTTGTTTAAAATTAAAATAAAAAAAATATTTAGTACTTAAGTTTAACAAAAAAAACTATAACTTAAAATATTTTTGATATTTTCAGATGACTAAAATATTTTTAAATATTTAAATTAATATGTTTAGAGAACCATAATTTTTATTTTTTTCCAAAATCAAATTAAAAAGATTGATTATTATTCTTAATTAGTAGATGAGAAAAATAATAAATTCTTAAAGAATTTAATATGAAAAATAAAAAAATACTTATATAATATTTCTTTTTTATTTTTAATAAGTAAATCATAAATAATATATATTTATGCCTTTACAGTTTTATGTGTTAATATTTTTAAAAAGTTGTTTTCTTATTTTACAATTCAGTTTATTTATTTATTTGCTTCATCTGTTTGATTTCTATAAACTTTCATTCTTATTTGATAATATTTATAAAAAAGAGGGAGGTCTTTCAAAACAAAAAGTCTAATTGAATTTTTTATCAAATTATTTAAAAACAAAAAAGGGGGAGGAGTCAATCTGATATGAAAGAATTATTGGGATTTTAAATTAAAATATTACCTCCATTCATATTATATTGAATTATTTATAATTATAATAAATTACATTATATTTTGTTTCGGAAATAGAGGAAGAAAATAATATAAATATGGAACTTGGTAATTAATAATAAAAGCATGGGTAGTAATAAAATAACATTTTAAAGTATACAAATGAGTAGCTAGAATTCATTCATGCTCCTAAAAACAGAGATATTAAGATAACTGCTTGTGCTGGTTCTGGAAAAACATAATGTGTGCTAGAGTTTACAAAGTAAGCATTAAAGGAGGGATTTAATCCTAAAGAAATTTGCATAACAACTTTCAATATTTAAGCAAGCAATGATATGAAAAAAAGAGCTATTGAGTTGATGGGAAAATTTTAGGCTGATTAAATTGAAATCCTTAACTTTGATAAAATAATAACAAAATTTTTTAAAATGATTTAAAAATCTAAAAGCTAAAAAGAATTGAACAAATAAAATTAGAAAGAAAATAAAAATTAACAATCGATTGAACTGACTTTGGCTGAAAAATAATTTCAGCTATATCAAGACTTATAAGACGAATCTCTTAGCAAGCATATCTTCGAAAGCTATAAACTGATCATATTTGACGAATTTTAAGATATCAACTAATTGCAGTATGAAATCTTAATGTTATTTAAGAGAATTGGAAAATCAATCATAGTCGTTGTTGGTATAAATAAAAATATTATTAAATTAATTAATTAATTAATTTTTTTGTGATTTTATAGGAGATGATCTTTAGAATATATATGAGTTTAGAGGATCAGATTATAAATTTTTAAAGTCCTAAATTATTGAAGATATTAATAAAGAAAACAAAAAATTTTATGGAAATGAGAACTTCAACATGTTGGAATATAATCTTACAACTAACTTTAGATGCTCCTCGAAAATCACTGCTTTCGCAAATGATATAATTAGGTCATTCTAATATATTAATTAAAACCCAATGCAGAGTTTTGAAGGTAAAATTTAAAATAATTTTATATTTTAGAAATTGAATTAAATAATAAATATAAAGATTTGAAATGTTACTAGAATAAAAAATGTGATATAAAGCCAACTCTTGAACCATATAAAAGTTATAACGATATGTTCAAAGACATTTACAATTTTATAACATCCAAAGTGTAAAACGAAGGCTTTTCTTACTCAGATATAGCAATAATAAGTGCAACAAGTTTTCCTTTAAGGTAAATAGAATTGAAATTAGAATAGCACAATTTTAACCAGCCTGAAAAAGAAATACCATTTTGGAGCTTCGTTGGCAAAAACAAAGATTTTGATTACAGTTTTGAATATAAAGGTAATAAAGTCACTTTATTAACAGCTCATAAGTCGAAAGGGTTGGAATGGAAAGCTTTATTTTTCATTGGAATAAATGATGATTAATTTCCAGAGGTATTTATAAGATAAGTAGGAAACTACAATCAAAAAATTGAAGAGATGAGGCGTTTATTTTATGTTGGATCAACAAGAGCAGCTTAAATTTTGAAATTGAGTTATTTTTCAAACAATAACAGAAAAGTAATAAAATAAATAAATACTATTTAATTTATCTATCTATTTATTTATTTATTTATCTATCTATTTATTTATTAATTTTAAAATAATTTTAAGGCTTGTAGGTTTTTAGGTGCAATTGATAAAAATAATATTTAATTTAAAGGTTAAACTTAAATTGCTTAAGAAAAAAATACCACAAATGCTAATCAAAAATAACTGTTAGATAAATAAGTGAGAGAAATATTTGAAGAGATGTGTAATCCTTAGTATATTGTTTAACTTTAAAAAACTGAAAAGTTTCTTTAAGAAGAATAATTTTATTTAGAAGAAATTTAATACATTCACAAGCCTATGTTTTCAAGAAATTAAATCTAAAAAATATTTTTCAATTAATCTGAAGAAATCCTTTTTTCTTACATTGAAACGTAATTTTCTTATCCTATAATGAATTTTCTAATTTTTAAATAATTAATACTCAATTTAACATTTTATCAATAAATCTAATAAAATATTATTTATAAATGAATTAAATAAATAATTGATATACTTAAATTTTATTTTAATACAAAATTTTTATATTTATTGCAAACAAAATATTTTCAATACGAATGAGTTTTTTTATTTTCTTTATATTAAAGTTTTTTAAAGTTAAGAATTAATTTTTGAATTTTATTAATAAATAGTATCATTTTAAGAATTCTGTTAGAGAAGACCTAATTAGTTTACAAGCCTGTAATTGTTGAAGAATAATTATAATTACTAACTAAAAATAAATATTTATTATAAGTAAATGATAATTTCATCAATTCTTATTAATAATCTAAAGATTAGTTTCTAAAAAAAGATTTTTCGATAAGTAAAAACAAAGAACTTATTTTATCAATTTACAAAACTTCCATTTTATTTGAAATTTCTAAAAGTAAAGTTTACAAATATCTTTTCCAAAAGAATCCATTTTATTCGATGACAAATAATATAGTTTAATGCTTGAATAGCTTTGTAGAATAAATATCGAATGAAGAAAAAAATGAATTATTTGTGGCTGATAGAATTTTGTATTCTAATGACCCCATTAACGTTTATGAAAACTTTATCATATCAAGCAAAGAAACTCTTTACGAAATAACTTATTCATTCAAAAAAACGAAGATAGTAGAAAAATAAGCTATGCTCAGTGTAATTATTGTTTTTAATAACTTTTTTATTATATTTACTTTTATTTAGGTTTTAGGGAAAATCTCTATACTTAAAATGTAATATGGAAGAGATATCAAAAAAATTAAATTCTATAACCCAGTAAAAGGAACAGTTTTTTCAGTCATCCTAAAAAATTGGATATTTCACAAATAATTTGTCAATTTTATGGAAGATTTTTTCTATAAGCCAACAATTTCTTAAGACAGCAGTTAAAATTTCTCTTAGAACAGCTAAAATTAAACACAATCTCAATCTCAAGAAAATACAGTCTATTGTCAACAATAAAATGAGAATAACAAAGAAGAAAAAGAAATTTATCAAGAAAATAAAATGGTCTAAAATTCATCATAAACTCAGCAATAGGATTAAATGTTTTCTAAAATATCTTTCTCAAAAGTGTAACTAAATGATCTAGCAAATTAACTTCCTTTTACTAAAAAACAATAACTATTACATCCGCCTATGCAACTTTAGTAACAAAAAGAGGTCTAAAAAAAATTTAAAAAGTGAGAATAATATTTTAACTTAAAAAATGTTAAATTTTTTATTTGTTTTATTTTTGTTTCTTTGTTTTATTATTTTAGATTTAATTTTTTAATTCAAAATTGTAGGAAATAGAATATTAATAATACTTTTATAATTAACTTAGATTAATTTATTTATTTAATGAAACCTTTATTTTAAAATAATTGATTAATATTTTCAAGAATTTAATTATCTTAATGTAATATTCTCAAAGAAAAATAATGCTTACATAATTTATTAGTTAATTTCAAATAATAAATATTTTAAATTTTAATTAAATGAAGGGTTTTATTTTAGAATGCTATTAAAGATTAAAATATATACAAATGAATAAGATGTATTAAATGAGAAATATATTTTATAGTTATATTTAATTAATTTTATTTTATTGAATTTTTTGAATGCTTAATGTTTGTTAATTTTTAATTAAGTAATTTAAAATCTAATTTAAATTATAATAATTATACAAAATTGTTATTTAAAATCACTATTGAAATATCTTTATTTATTTCTATTTGATAACTTTCTCAACTTTAACTATTGTCATAGTGATCTGATGCTAATCTAAAAAGCTTACCAAATTCCTTGTTTTCTTTTGCTTACTGCTTTAATTTCTTTGCAACTTAACTTTAAATATATAAATTTAGAATGAATGATAAATATTTTTTAATAAAATAATACCCTTGAATAAATTTGGAATGATCTTATGTAAGTCTATATGCACCTCCAGTGTAATGAGTCTATGCGGGTTTTTTCTAGTTTGAGAATTAATTAGTCTAATGCTACTGTTAAAAGGCATTAGAATCTGCATCTGAAAATGTTCTGTTGTTGTAGTTTGTAGAATAGTTAATTCTTGCAAAATCTGATAAATGATAAGGAACAAATTGTTGATTAGTAGAATCGAATATGTTTTCAGATGCAAGTCTTAAATTATAGCTTTCATTATTATTATTTGGAAATATACTACCATTAACTGGTTAGTATTATTATTGATCCTCAACTGAATAGCTAAAAGAGTTATTTTATTGAATCTTGTTTATTTTATCTTTTTATTGTTTAGAAATATTCTACTATTCTCCTAAATAATTTTATTTTAATTGCCTTTGTTGTTACTGTAATTATTATTATAAAGCATCTAGTTATTGATTATTTTATAATCTAGCTTACTTCTAATCAGTCTAATTAAACTAATTCTAATTATTCATCTAATTGTCTTTTGCTTAATTTGCCTCTGACTAATAAATATTTTATCCCTAAAAATAAATTATAAAATTATTAATAATTACTCAAAATGATATTAAATTTATTAAAGAAAATTTTGTTGAAAATCCAAATTAATAAAAATCCAAAAATTTTATTAATCTTTTATCATTTTGATAAAATAAAAATAAATTTATATTTCTTAAAATTAATTTAAAATCAAAGAACTTTCAATTATTTAAATAATTTTTGTTTAATAATTTGGATTTTATTCAATAATTTTATAAAATTTCCATGAAAATTTATTGAAATAATTTAAAATTACTTTTTAAGCTTAATTTATCACTTTGTTTTATGGTTCTAATTTTGTTTTATCTTTTATTAAATCTTATTATAAATTTGGTAGTTGATTTGGTTTTAATGGAGGTTATTGTTGCAATTAATTTTGCTAATTTTATTAAAATTATTATGGTATTTATGTTTAATTTAATTTTTAATCAATAAAATTATTTTTTTAAATGTCTTCTGTGGGGACATTCAACAAATTTTATTGTTAAAAGTTAGCTGATTAGTTAATTTACTAGCTATTAACTTATTATTATTTAAATTATGTTTATTGTTAATCAGTTATTCCAAGTTGATTCTAAACTCCAAAAGAGTTTCTTAATTCATCTATTTATTGCTTTTGTTGCATTTAAACCTAATTAATTGCAGCTAATGACTTTCTTTATTCATTAGTTAAAGGTTTCTACATCATTTATTACATCTACTATTGCTGCTAGGCTTTCATTTATTCAATTAATTGCATGGATTCTTAAAGTTGTTTTATTTACTCAAGCTTCTAATTAACCAAATTTTCCATTTCTTTAATATCTTTTTTATATTAATTAATTTCTGCTTTTAATTTGTTTTCTGTTGTTTCACTTAACTTAACTAACAATTCTCTGTCTTATTTGTACTATTTTTCATTTCTATTTTATTTAAAATAAATTATTAAAACAAACTTTTAACATAAAAATTACTAAGCCAGCTTGGTTTTAGTTTCTCTTAGCTATTTATCAAGTTAGTCAGCTTTTCTATCAGAGTTAATGTAATTAGTTAACAATTATAGAGAGAATTTCTTTACTCTAGATAAAATTTATCTGGTTTATTCCAATGTTTTTGTTTTTAGATCGAATTTTTCACATAAATCTTTAAACTCTTCTTGTATTTACAACAAATCTTTCTCCAATTAAATATTATATTGTTCTATCCTGATTTTTTCTTGTTCCATCATAGAAAATCTGCTTAAAACATCTTCATATGTCATCTGATGTATTTTATATTCAATATTAACATACCTGTCCATTTCTTTTTTGTGTCTATTAATAATAATTAAAACAATAAATTATTTAAAAATTTTTTAATTTCATTTAAAAATAGCATTCATTGATTATTTTTATTAATGATTTTGAAATACTTACAAAATCTTTAATTATTCAATATCTGTTGCATGATTGTCTTGAAGCTCTCTGATAACTACTTTTTGACTTTTTGTCTCTCTTTATAGATTCTCATTTGTCGAAGTTAATGAAGTCACCTACCTGATTAAATCAGTATTTCTAGACTTTTCAGATTCAATTACACTTGTCATTTGATTAATCTAATTTGACTGATTGTTAAGCGCAAATTTATCATCTCTTTGCTAAGCCGTAATTTCAAGAATATTTTTTCTTAATTACTCTAATTATTCATTGCTTTGTTCTATTTTCTAATTACTAAATTCGTTTTGTTTCTTTTCAACTTCCAATTCATGCACTTTTTACTTGAGTTCTCTTTCTAACTTACTAATCTTTTACTTTAAATTATCTTGTTCCTTTGTTGCCATATTTTGGTATGTTTAAAATTCAACAGTTAATTTCAAGTGATTTTATTCATATGTTTCCATTTTAATCTATTAAATATTTTTTTAAAGTGTTTAAATATTGTAGTTACTCATTAATTACAAGAATTTATTTGAAAAATATCAACATCAAATAAATTTAACTATAAATAAAATAATTTATTACCTCTAAATCTTTACATAGCTCATTTTTAGCTTTTATGGTATCTAATGAATTATTCAATCTTAATTTACATTTAATATATTCCTCTTCTAACTCAATTCTTCCTACCTTCATGTCTTTTATTAGTTTCTATAAAGCTTCTAGATCTGTGGTTAAGAGCTCATTTCTATTAATACAATATTCATATTCTTATTCAACTTTCTTCTTTTCACCTCTTTATATAAATATATTATGTAAAACATATTATTCATTTATAATTGTTACTGAATTTCTAAGATTTGGTTTTCATATTGCTCACACTATGCTTTTATCTAAGCATAGCTTTCTTACTGCAACTAAACAGTGGATTTTTAATCAATAATTTGTTTTTCTAAGTCATATACTTTTTATTGTAACTTTTCAAACTGCTCACTTCGATCATCAATCTACTTATTAAAATATTTCTGCTCTCCTTTCAGCTCTTCTATTCTTCTTTTGTAAATGTCTTCATTTTTTTGCTATAAATCTATTTTTTCTTGCATATTTTTAATCTAGAATCTCAAGTCTTCATTGATTCTTTATTCTTCCTATTTTATTTAAAAAATTACTATGATAAAAAATCAATACCCTTTTAACAAATAAATAATTTACATTCAAAAGACCTTCATATTTATCAGCTCCTCTATTTTTATGCTAAAGCTCACTCTCAGCTTGAACTGCTCTTTCTTTGAGCTTCTCAAATTGCACTGTAATTTCATTGACTTTTCTCTAAAAATCCCTACATTCATCACTTTTTTTTTGTTCTAATACTTTAAGAGTGTTAATCAGTTTATTATTGTTTTCATTATCATTCTTTAGAATTTCATGATCAATTTTAAGAGAATCGTAATCGTCTATCAACCTGTTGTGTTTCATCAACAATTCTCTATGAATACTATGTAATTCATTTATTTTATGTTCGAATTATAATCTTAAGCCAACTTCTTCATTAAAAGCCTGATCAGCCTATTTAAAGTCTTCTTCTAATTAAAATTTTTCTGTCAGTATGTTTTGCTTTAATTCAATTAAAAAAATATATTAAATTTCTAAAATTTTTTTAAACTTCTTTTTTTTGCTCTGAATCAAATAAAAATGTTTTTTGATTTATACTTAAAAGCTGTTATGCCAAATTTAAATTTAATTTTTCGAATAATTTTATTTAAAGAATTGAATACTTTTTCTTGCTTAAGAGATAGAATTTACTGTTCCAAGATTTCCCTTTTTTCTTTTTCAATAACTTCTAGTTCATCAAATTACTTTTGTTTTGACTCAATTTATTCTTCGAGATTATCTACAATTGCTGTCTTCTCTTTTTCTAATTAGGTAACAGTGTTTACAAAATCCGTTCTTGAGCAATATTCAAGTAAAATTCCATATATTTTCCAAACACTTGCTATTGTTTAGGCAGAATCTTAAATGTGAGCAAAAATATCCTATATCATTTCATAGAAACCAAAACTATAAACAAATAGAGATCTGTATATTCTGTCTATATTTTCTTTTGAAACTCCTTTATTTTGCAAAGATTTTCTATCAAGTCCAAAATTTTTTAAAATTTCTTTTTAGTCATTTTGCTTTTTTTATGGTGAATTTAACTTAGTTTGGTTAGGTTGAACTTCGCTCTCGGCTTCACAAATAGTATCGTTGATCCACATTTCAACTACTTTTATATTAACTCCTTGAGGCCCTCTAATTCTTTGTCTTTTGAGAATGAAATCTTTGTGATTCTTTAAACTATTTGGTTATGGCTATTATTGTTACTCTTGAATTATAACAGATTTTTAAAGATTGTTGGATTTTTATTGCTTTTAGTTAGATGTAAAACTTCTTTGTTATTCCTTTATCTTTTTATTTTAACTCTGCTCTTTCTTATTTGCTCCAAGAATATCATTTTTGATTGAGCCCTTAAGCTTTTCAATATTTGTTGGGACAAATAGACCTATCTCATCTGAATTTAGATCAATATTTTAGTAATTTTGCATATTTTGGTTGTTTTACTAATTTATATTCAGTCTTCCAACTCCAGAACTTTCTGACAAATTTCTTGGCTTATGTTAGGCATTAGGGATTACCTTTTTAAAGTGCTTTTCTATGTTTCTTGCTGCCCTTTATTCTTATTAAGCTTATATCTACATTAGATCATTAATTTCTTCTTAAAATTATTAATCTTTTATATTGCCTAATGATAACTTTTGACCATTCTTCATGGAGGAAGATTGAAATTCGTCTATTTTAAGTTGTTTAGATTGCGATGGATAATTAAAATTCTTCTAAGCTTACCTTTAAGGTTAATAACTACTTTAAGGTTTAATATCATTTATTATTTTATTTTGAAATCCAATTAAACTTTGATTCTTTATTTCAGGTAAAATATTCTACATTATAATCTAGTAAATGCTCCTACAAAGAAGTAAAACAGTGAATTCAGTTATAATCAATCTTATATTTTAAAATATTTGTTAAAATAACTCTAGCTGATACAAATAGCACACAAATACTTACTTTATATTTGGTAAAATCTGTAAATAATTATTTTGTATGTATGTATCTGTTATTAATCTATTGATTATTTTTTAATAAAATAATTGAATTTGATTATTTAAGATACTAAAACACTATATTAACAGATCTCTTAAAATATATAGTAACTATAAATCATTAATTAACATATAAATGTTCTTTGTCAAATTATCAGTTTAATAAAAAAATTTATAAATAATTCAATGACCATAAATATATTTTTGTCAAAACTTTAGTTATTCTAAATGAATGATACATATGTTCACTCTTAATAAAATATTGGTTGGATTTTAATCATCAAGCAAATTGAATTAATTTTTGATTTAAAGCTAAATTATTCATATCTATCTATTTCATACTTATTTAGAAATTTATGATATCAAATTCAACAAAAACAAACATCAAATAATTGCATAATTTTACACTATTTTAAATTCATTTTAATTGATTACTAAAAAAATAATTTTTTTATGAAAATAGGTAAAAACTTAATAAAATATAAAAAATTGTTTTCACCCTCTTTTTAAACAATATATTGTAAAAATAAATTAAATCAATATAATTTCCAGACTTGTAGCTATACTAATTTTTTTTGGGTTTTTTAATACAAATAAACAATTTACATAAAATAATATGTTCTGGTTTATTGATTATTAAAAAGAGTATTGAAATATAGATAAAAAAATCATACCTTAATTAGGTTTAATAAAATGTACTAAATATACTTATTATAAAAGAAATTATTTGAATTAATTAATAAAGATTTGACTAAAAAATAATTAAATTTATTTTTAAGTAGAAAAAAATGATAAAATAAACTTAATATTTTAATAGCCTAGAATAAGTAATTCTTAATTTCTTTCTTTGTGAATAAAAAAATAAGTTTATAAAATAAAAAAAGTTTTTAAGTTCGTTATTATCATCTCACACCAACCTTGATATAATACTATAGTAAAAATTTTTCTTAATATGCTGCCTAATTTATCAATCTTAATAAAAGAAATTAATAGCTATCTGAAAAAAAAATATCAGATTTAAGCTCAGCATTCGCAAAGTGTAGTCAACTCTCAAATTTGATAATTGATGTCTAGTAAAATTACTCTAACTGTTCGATTTAATAAATTACTTAAAGATAACTATGATAAAAGATTTTATGATTGTTATTATACATTAACATACTTTATTGCTTTAATAATTTTCAACTTAAACTTTTTAAAATAAATTTTACTAATTGATAATTTTTAAAATGAGTTAAAATTAATTTATAAAGATTTAATGAAATTGATGGATTTCTTGCATCTTGTTTAGGTTCTGCATTAACAAGTATTAAGAGCCTGTAATATTTAAGTCTGGACATTTGGTATAGAATTTATTTTTTTTATTTTATATTTTAATAAATTGTTAAAGTAAAGATACAAAAGAAGTAAGTAAGTAAGTAGGTAATTAAGCTTGCTCTTTGAATAATTTTAATTAATATGATATTGAATTTCTTATATCTTAATCCTCAAATAAACTTTTTTATATTTAATTGAAAAAATGTTATATTGTTTATTAAAAGTGCCAATAACCTTGGTGAAGAGGGTGCTTTAGCTCTAGGTTCTTCTTTAGCAAGATGTTAATCTCTCTAAAAATTAATAATTAACCTTTCGTAAAAATATTTTTTTTATTTTCATTTACTCTAAATTTTTGGATTAGGAAAATTAAAAAATAAATAGTCCTAATCTTTCTTTTGTTGCTATTTATTTTATTTTTGATTAAATTTAACAATATATTTAAAAGTAATAATAAATTGTGTGAAAAAGGTGCACAAGCCTTTGTTTTTGCATTAGCAAAATGCAAAAGTCTTCTTCATTTAGAAATTTTCTTTAGGTAAAAGATTTTGATAAAGTTTAAGAAAAATATAATGAAAATAGATAGATTAATTTTTTTTGATTTTAATTAATAGAATTATATTAATATAATAATAGATATAATTAAATGGGAGCAAAGGGAGCATCTAATTTTAAGAATGCTATAGAATAGCTCACTAATATCTAAACTTTAAACCTAAACCTCTTGTAATAACAAAATAATTATTTATTAATGCTTTATGCAAATAATTAAGCAAGAGTATATATAAACATATTTATTTATTTATTTTTTTCCTTCTTCAATTTTTCTTCTTTTTCATTCATTGATAAATAAGTTTGGGTTCTATATACTGTAAATGCTCATTAATTAAGGCATTCCCTAAGTATCTTTTGCCCAAAAAAAAGTGCCATATAAAAAATTTAAGAAAAAAATGCCATAATTAAAATATGCCTTAATTAACGAGCATTTACTGTATATATTTTTTCCATATTTTTCTTTTTATTTTAAATCTATAAATAAAATTACATTAATTTATTAATTTTAAAAGTGGGAATCAAATTGGAGAATAGGGTGTTATAGATATGTGCTCTGGATTGCAAAATTTAGCTAATCTCTCAAAATTAGAAATATACCTGTATTTTATATATATTTATTTTATTAATTTTTTATTTTCAATTAAAAAACAAAAAGATAACAAGAGTTGATTGGTGATAAAGGTGCTTAAGGTATGGGTTTAGCATTATCAAAATGCGCTAATCTCTAAAGTTTGAAACTCTATCTATAGTAATAACTATGTTATTTAAGTTATATTTAACATTTTAAATTTACTCTTAATATGAGAAATAAAGAAGATTAAAATAATTTAAACACACACACATATAAAAATTAATTTACTTTCTTTCAAACAATAATTTTATGATTTAAATTAAATTAATTTTTTTAACTCTTTATTGTATTTTATTTATTTTAAATACATTTAAAAGTGGCAATTAAATTACTGATTTTGGAGCATAAAATTTAATTTCTTGTTTAGCAAAAAGCAGCAGTATCTATAGTTTATCACTTGACTTATCGTAAAATATTATTATATTTATTGGTTTTAAAAATTCAAATAATAAATAAATATTACTAAATCATTCAAAAAATTATGTATACTTTTTTATTTTTTAAAATGCTTATTAATACCTTTAGTTTATGAATTTATTGTAAATTGTTGATTCTTCTTTAATATTATTTTTCTTTATTTTCACATTTTTATTTATATATTTCAAGAAAAAACGAAATTAGTAATGATGAAATAACAAATTTTATAGCAGCTTTGAAAAATTTAATTAATCTCTAATGTTTTGAACTCAATTTATGGTAAATATTTACTTAATATTTTGTATTAATTATTTTAAATAGAAAGTAAAATGATTTTTATTTTAAACATCTTTTTTTAATTTGCTTGTATAAATTTTTTAATTTATGAAAATATTAAAAGGAAAAATTATATTAATTAAAAGTCAGAATCAAAATTAAGAAGTAATATGCTCAAAATTAACAGATTAGTTTTTTAAAATATCTCTTTTTGATAGATTAAAATTATCTAAAAATATTAAAAATAGAAAAATATAGTAGCCAAATACTTTTCTAAGAATTATTGATATTAAAAAAACACAAAATTGATAAGCTTAAATAAAATTATTTAGTAATTAAAAATTAACATAATTATTTAAAAAATAATTTTATTTATTTAGAAATTATATGGTTTAATAAGATTAAATTTTTCACTATTAATTCTTTAATTTTTAATTTTAATTTTTTTACTAATATTGAGAAAAAGTAAGTTAGTATCATAATAAAAAATCTAATTCAGTTTTTTATTAAGTTTCTAAAAATCTGTCTGATTCAACTTTTTTATTTTTTGAGTTTCAATAAAAACATAAAGCATAAATAATCATATATATGTTCCAGGATATCCAATAAAATAATTAAAAAATAAATAATTTAGTTGTATATAATGTAATGTCTGATTATTTTTTAGTGTGTGCTAATATAATAGAATTTATGGCATATAAAACATTAATAATTTCATAAAAGAGTTCTTTTTTCAAAAAGTGTTTTTTGCAATTCAAAAAAATCTTTTGTTTGATAGATGATTTTTAAATGAATCAGGCTTTTTAGGAATATTATTGGAAATTAATTTTTTGTTTATTAGTTTGATTTTTTCAAAGGATAACATTCTTATTTTTTACTTATTTGTTTTTTAATTGATATTATTAATCTATTTTTAAGTAGAAAAATAAAAAAAAAGAATATATTTTTGATTTGAAAAGTTAATTAGTTATTTAGTAGTTTAGTTTTAAGCAAAGTTGTATAAAATAGATTTATTCATTTATAATTTAGCTTAAGTAGTTAAAATAGGCAAGGAGACATTTTAGGTGTTTAATTTAGTAAGCTTGAGAAAGTATGAATCCTAATTATCAAATGAATTAACAGAGAAACTAGTAATAATAACAATAACAATAGTAGTAGATAGAGAATTATTCTCAGGATGGAGGAAGTTTGTATAGTGAATAGTAGGAAAATGGGGATTAATCAGAGGAGTAAGGGTAATAAGATTAAGGAAATTTTGTCTAATAAAATGTAGCTCCACCTCCTTTGACAGAACAATAATTAAAAGAAGAAATAAGCTTATTTTTTAATATATTCGTAAATCCGCCACTTATTTTTGGTTGTCTGACAGCAATAGCATTTGAAAATAACCAGATAATTTACTAAAATTAGAACATTTAACAAGCATTTACTTATTCTTCGCTATTATTTTACTCTGTTATGTCTTTATGCTATTGTTTTCAGTTCTTCAAAGCTCTAAGATACTCAAAATTTAATTGGAAATAGCTAAGATTCATAAACTACTTTGGGTTTTTTTCAATTTCATTACTGATGATTATTTTTATTATTAATGGCATCTTATAAAAGAGATATTTTGATCTAAGATGGTCTAGAATGGCAGTAACTCTTCTCATGCTTAGCTAATATGTCCATTTTACTATAAAAAGGTTTTATGGGGAGTTTGATATCACACTTCCTGCTGTTTTTAATAGAATTTACTTTTTAGTAATTCCCCTAAACGATCATGAAAAGGAAAATGCATTTGTTTCTCTTACTGAAATATATGTAAAACTTAAATAATGCTGTTAACCTCTTACACTCATTTATTTCTTAATTTAAATTGTCTACCACATGAAAATGTACAAGTGGGCACCACCTTTTTAGTAATTATCACCACCATCCCTTGATGTAGAATACGGACATGAATAGTACTTATGGATAGCAATTGACTAATAAAGAACACTTTAGATGTTTAGCTTATTTATAATTCTCGCTTTGCTCACTCTTGGCTGCTCTCCTTATTTTGGGATATCCCATGAACATCAGAGCAGACTTCCATATATTTTTATATTCTTACACTACACAACTTATATTATGACATACAAATTCTATCTAACTGGCCAGCTTTTGACTGGTGATTCTACTAACATAGAAAAAATATTGACTCCAATAATTATAATCACAATTATTCCACTATTTTGCACTCTTTTTATAAAAAGAGCACTCACGAAACTTTATCGATTACCATCTACAGATTAATAGTAAATGTAACAACATTAAATAGAGTTATTTTCTTAATATAAACTAGATTTCCCAAGAAACTATCCAGATCCACCAGAATATGTGTCTTCGATTTAACAAAAATAATAGCAAACGTATCAGCTAGTAACAGCTGAGCAAATTGGAATATGTTTTGTATTATTTATCTACCAATTTGTAAATCTAAATTAGTTATACTCTACTCATTAGCAAGAAACAATAGGACCATAAATACAAGGATTTTACGATTTGATGGTAGATATCAATGTTTACATATTTATAATTCACACATTTATCTATCAAGTATTAACCCAAACAGCCGAAAATATATTGAATTAAACAGAATATGGAATTTTTAGTTTCTTATTTTTAGCAAATTATGTCTTAACGCTATAGTGGACATTAATTTGTTTCTTAACACTAATCATTCTTACCTCATACATCATGAATTTTACTGAATAAGATACAGTATTTCATATAGGGCCAGCCATTTCCATATTATGGATGCTCTTAATTTATTCTATCAAGCAAGGTGCAGTCCCAAAAATGATTTATGAGTACGCTAAATTTGTTAAGATACAGTTTTTCTAAGGTTAGTTACTCCAAAGACTAGACATTCATAATAATATAATGGAAAATTTAAACAACATGAATGCTAATAACTAATAAAACTAATAACAAAATATCAACAGCAATAGCAATTTAATTATCAATCTAATTAACAATAATAACAACAACAACAATAATAATAATGTAAACATAGTTTTTTTATGAAAGATTAAAAAAAAGTTTTGCTTTTTATATTTAATTAAATAAAAATAAAGATAAATTTAAAAAAATATTGATTTTATTTTTTAGTTAGTGTAAATCAATTAATCAATCAATTCATCCATCAATTTATGCATACATCTGATTTGAATATAATTGTTTGAAATTTATTTAAGATGTCATTTATTTTATGATAACTTTAAACTTAAAATTACTTTTTAAGATTATTTTAATGTCTAAAACATGAATTTGTCAGTTTTATCAAGATTTAGATAAAATATTTATCTTTTTATAAATTAAAAAATTAAATTAAAATTTTTTTAAATAAAACAAATAAATTTTTGTTTACATTTTTATTAAAATGGAAAATATAATTTAACAGTATTTCATTTTTTCAGAATAATTTTTTTGAAAATTTTAAAATTTAATTTATTTATTTATTTTCTATTTTTGAAATCAAAATAATAAACATATTTATTTAAGTATTTTTTGAAATTAATTTAAAAAAATTAGTTTAATTGAAGACTCATTATTTTTGGTAAAATATGATGGTAAACAAAATTTAACTTTAATTTACTATAAAAAGAATTAAAAAAGATTGGTCCAAATTAATTATCCTAAATTAGTTAGTGATTACAAGCGTAATTGTAATTTTGATAAATTAAACTATTGATAGATATATAGATAAATGCTTTTAAAAGTCCATTCATATTTTTATATATTTTTATGGATAAAGTTACAGAAAAATTAAATTAGTCGTAGAACTAAACTTATTCACAGTGTTTGATAGCTCTTTTTTATCAAGAAACTGGTATTCATTTAATTACATAAGGATTTCTAAAAAATAAGCTTATTTTTATGAGGAGATTTAACAGTTTTGTAAGGTATTTTCAAAATTGGAATTAGGTTTTTTTAAAGATTTTCATATTAAAAGATAAATAAATAATTTAGATTGATTGAATGGTTTTTTCTAACAAAGATAATATTTATCTGTATTTGTTTTAGTAAACTACTATGCAATGAATAGGTATATTTATTGACAAATAAATACTGTCTTTTTTGTTTTTTTTGGAATAGAACTAGCAAACAAACTATTAATTGTTAATTAATATTCACTATTATTAAATTGCTTTTAAAAAAATTAAAAATCTTAGCTTATTTACTTTTTGTTTGGTAATTAATTAAAAAAGATTTAAGGAATAACTTCAAATTACAGTGGCATGCAAAATCATGCTTTTTAGCATGGAGTATCTGGAAACGGAGACTCTAACAATATCCCAGCATCTCTTTAGAAAAATACTTAATAGGATAAAAGGATTTCGCAATAGGATATTTATATGCTCCAAAGAAAAGAATCTAAACCTAGTAATTACTCAGTAGCTAATGGAAATACAATTAATAGCAATTAAAACAGTTCCAAATCACTGTCACTAAATAAGACAGAAATTAAATTTAGACTTTAAAAGAGCGTTGATGCTTACCATGGTCATTCAAACTTATAAGAGAACAATTCTCCCAATTAAAAATTTAATTAGACAAATGAGAGATTGTACACAAAGTAAACAAGTAGAGAGGGTAGCAACAATAACCAAAACATGAAGGATCTAAGTTAAAGGCCAATGACTTAATAAGGAGGAATAACTCATAAGTATATTGGAAATAACTCTCCAAACTCTAATGTATGATTTAATTTAAATACAAAAACATTATATTTAGCAATGCTTCATAAAATATTTACAATATATATTCTTTTTTGAAATAATAGCAGCTACCTATGATAAGCAAAGATAAAAAAGATAACAAAATTGGCAATTAAGTTGACTAAAATAACGAAATCATATAGAAAATTCTTTAGCAGAGTAAGTAATAGGGTTGTAGCACACCATAAAAGAATGCTTCTTCAAACTAGAGTTTTCTCCCTAGCTAAAAAACATTACAAATACTCACGAAAGAAGAGCTCAATTAAGTGAAACATTATGATGATTTGCAGAATAAGTTCAATAATAAGTCGTATTCGTAAAGTAAGAGTTAATTGCCACACTTTCAATCTTAGATGAAACTTAGTGCTAGAGAATCAATTGATAATATAGCATAAACTGTAGGAATAACTTAAACAACTTCAAATTTGGGAAGTAATTCAAAGCAGTAACTCAGTTTATAATTATAGACGAATCACATATAATAGCACGTAGCTTTCACGTAGAGTAACCTCTTAAAGCACTTGAACAATCACCACAACTCATTACAATAAAATTCTATTTCATGTAATTCTCCTTAAATTCTGAACAAGTAAAATCAAACCTAGCTAGCAAGCGAATATTCTTACTAGACTAGCGCTCTTAAAAACTAATCAGTTTAAGAGATTACAGAGAGTCCTAGAAAAATGGCTTTTATCAGTCAAAAGGATTTAAAAAGTCCTCAAGATCAAAATAACAAAATAGCTAACTTTTTCTTCCCTAATGGTAGCCATAATATTGATGAAGTAAAATCTGAATAGCACTAGAACGATTACTAATTTGATTAGAATTAATTAGAAAATCAAGCTACTAATTTGGAAACATCAAATAATAATGAGTATTACTCCAAGATTAAAGATAAACAGATGTCTCTCAGACAGCTAAATACCAACTTTGTTCATAGAAAAGGTAGTTAGGTCTAAAGTGATGCTACCTAATCCCCAATAGTAACTCCAACAGAAACGACTATGAAACTCATTCAGCAAAATTAACTTAAAGTGAAAGTATTGTTGGATAGTTCTAAAGCTAGAAAGTCATATGGAGAGCTTCAAGAAATACTCTAGCCTGATAAAATTAAGCCTTTCAATACTTACATATCTAAAAGTAAACTTTTCTAAGAACTCAAAGACAGTTCCGAGTCTTCTTCTTCTAAGTCTGTGGCAGCTGCTAACAATTAAAGTTTTCATAGAGCTTATACAGCTACATAAACAAATTAATAAAACTCCACAATTTAAACTTAAAATTTACTTACGAGAGGCTCATAAAAACCTAATTCTCCATTAAAAACTTCTACTATTTCTTCTCCAGTATCTCAGTAAATTCAAAATTAAAAGACACACAGCAATTAAACATGGATTGAAAACATAAGAAAAATGCAAAATCCACTATACATTTAGGGAATTGAAGAAATAGAGGAGTCACTCAAAAAGGAGCTGCCAAACATAAATTCTGATGTACCATCAAACAGAAACGAAGTTGTCACACTTTAAAAGTGGTTCGAATCAGGATTAAAAAGCTTTTAATAAAGCGACAGCAAAAAATAATTTAAATATCTGTATATTACTTTCAATGAGTTAATAAGATAAATTACACTCGATTGTGCTGAAAGAGGGTATTTTTTAAAAGTAATTAAAATAACAAACACATTCTTTATTTTTCTATATTTATTAATTTACTTTAATTTTTAATGAAAGTAACTTAATTTGAACTTAAAAAGTTAAATTGTAAGTTATATTTTGATAAAAATAAAAAAATACTTTGTTATTAAGACAGTTTAAAATATTTTAAAATAATTCTAAAATTATTAATTTATAAAACAATCTAGGAAATTGTTTTCAAGATCGTAGAACATTACTAAAAGTAAATTTCAGAAGTTAATGAAGAAATATTAGTTGAAAAATCTAAGAGTAAAGATGAGGTTATAAACACCAGAAGAGTATACGAAGGAATTTTCTTAAAAAAGGAAGCAGAATTTGCAGAAATTAAGAAGCTCAACGAAGAATACCTAGCTAGTTAGGCTGATGTAAATAAAACAATAACCTCACTTCAAAATAGAGAAAAGGATCTTAATGAACAATTAAATAACCTCAAATCAATTTCATAGTTCCTAAAAGTTCAACTTAAAAAGTTAAGTGAAGACAATCTCAAATTAAGAATGAAGCTCAAAAAAAGAAAATACAATTTAGATGGAAAGATAGTCAAATAAATTGAGAGCGATCCTCAATTTGCCTAAGAAATTATGTAATTTTTTTAAAATTTAAATAAAAAAGCCAAATAAAAATGAAATTTATCTTTTAAAAATGTAAAAAAGAAATTTTATTAATAAAAAATAATTTTTTTCCCTAAATTTTAAAATTATAATTTTGTTAATACTTTATTTTAAAAAATAGACAATAAAATTAGGGCATATAAAATTTGATTAAGAAAGGTGAATAGCAGTAATCAGACAAGAAATTAAATTCAAAAAAATAAATAAAAAAGTAATTAAATAAAATATGGAAATTTAATTAAATTTTATGGTTTTTTTATATAAAAATAATAGTTAAAGAAATTCAACTGCAAGTTATATAGAAGCTCCTTCATTCACTAGTTTAGTTAGATTAAATAAAAACAACAAAGAAGTTTCTAATTTTAGTAGTGATTCAGATACTTCTTTTGATGAATTTAAAAAAGGTAAGAATGCAAAAGACGAATTTTCTTTATTATAGCCATATATTCGTAAACATACCATTGAGTAATCAACTCCTTAACTTAACCACCTCTATTTACAGAGCTCAGCTAGTAAATAAAAATCTCGTAGAAATAGCTCAGCAAGTAATAGAAGCTCTAATTAATTTACTGTGAAAGATTTTAAAAGAAATAGTGTTACCTCATAATCAGGAATTCAAGGAGTAACATAGAATGTGGATATTAATAAAAAAATATTGTAAATTGCTATTTAGGAGCAGATAGAAGAAAATGAAATTAGTAGTTTCTCTTCAGAAGATAGCAAATTAATAATTGATGAAGCTTAAAACGATATGGTCGATATAAATCATTTAAATGCAATCGGATTCTAAGATATAGATTCTGTTGTTAAAAAGGAATGTGCAGAGACTTAGGTGAATGCTTCTCTAATCTAATTTGGTTGTGAAAGTGTTGAAATTTAGACAGATTTAATGAATTTGACGGAATAAAAATATGATGAGTTTTTGATAAATTCTGAAGAAATCGATTCACTGATTGATTTCAGAATTTCTGGAATAAAACAATTTTAGATAATGTTAGAATAAGAAGGCAAGGCAATCAATATAGTGGATTTGCAAAAAGATATTGTTCCTACTGGATTCAAGCCACTTAAAATGCCTGCTAATATTTACAAGGGAAAATTCAATAAATTCGAAAGACTTTATGAAGAAAGTTTGCAAGAAGTAGCCTTAGTCAATTAGCAGTTAGAAAAAATGAATATTGAAAAAAATCAACTTTTTATTAGAGAAAAAGAACTTTTAGAAGAAATTAGTCAAATAAAAATTTAGTTAAAAAAAGAAAAGGAGGAAGAGCAAAAAAGGTTGCAAGAACTTGAGAGAAAAAGGAAGGAAGAAGAGGAAGAAGAAAAAAAGAGAAAAAAGAAAGCCCAAGAAATACCTGACAAGTGGAAAAATTACCAGCATCTTGTTTATAAAAAGAAATTTAATCAAGGTAATTTATTCAAAAAATAAATATTTATTTGTTATTAAAATTATAAAATGTAATTTTTTATTAAAGTTACTGAATGATATCATTAATCATTTAATTATTCATATAAAAAATAGATGGAAGTCCTAATAATTACATTCAATCAAATGCTCCAAAGCTTGGATAAAGAGCAATTATTGATTTCGATAAATAATATTAGACAGATCTTGGATAAATTATTATTGATAAACTTTAGAATAAAAAATACAACAAATTTAAGAATTTCATGCCTGTTTCTACAATTCTCAAGCAGATCAATTTGATCTATTAGGATCGTATTAAATAAGTATAAGAAAACCCTAGATTTAAGGAAATTTCTTGTTCTAACTTTTCTTATATCTTCCTCACTAAGATTTTCGGTCTCAAGAAAATAGTTGATCAGAAATTTATTATATTTATTCTTAGTTTAAAAAGATACATGCAAATATTTAGGATAAACATGTTTGCTCGTTTCCTAGGAATTCTAGAGTAAAAAAACTTAAATTTCACTTTAGACGAATTCAATAAATACATAGAAACTTTAGATTACATCTAGAACTAGTGTAATATAGGAAAGGATCTAGAAATTTCTGAATCTGAAACTAAATACTACGTTCCCTACATCAAAGTTGCTGCTTTTGTTGGTAATTTTTTTTACTACTTTAAATTTATATTTCATATTCTTATTTTTTTTTTTTGGATGATGAAAATAAATTCATTCATTTAAAGCTCATTAGTCATTTCTTTAAGTTCTATTCATTTAAAATAATTTATTTCTAATTTCTAATTTCTAAATTAAATTTATTGCTTTTTTAACAAAAGATTTTTTAAAATTAACATTTAAAAAACTTATTTAAAATTTAAAGTTTTTTTATTGATTTTTAAAAATGGTAATTTTGATTCATCTTTGAAATATTTTAGTTGTCATTAATTTATTTTAATCTATATATATAATTACATTTTTTTAAATAATTAAAATAAAATTCTTTTTATTTTAGGAAACTTTGCTGATGCCAGATTCACAACAGAGGAAACTACTGAATTTAAGAAAGAGGTAGATCAGTTGAAAGAAAATGATCCTAGATATCCAAATGTTCAAGTTACAGATTTTGATGTTTTTGTTCACAAAATGCTAAGTAAGTATAGAATGCTAGTAAACAGAGCCAAGACTTATGTCATTAATGCTTTCAGTATAAAAATTTATTTTATTAATTAATTTTTAAATAACATGTTACTTTTAATAACCAGATGCTAGTGATTTGGATGGTAATGGAATTTGTAATTTAGAGGAATTCTTGATTCTTAACAGAAACATTGAAGCCGATAATTACAATGAGGAGATTTTGACAGAAATATTTAATGAAAATGCTGACATCTTTGAGGAAGGAGAGCCCAATTTAACTTTCAATAAATTTGCTGTGGTTTGTGTAGACTTTAACCTTTTCTCTGATGAAGCTCAAGACAAATTTTTGAATATTAGACTTAAGAGGGAAATAGACCTTAAGTTTGAAGACTTGAAGAAAGCATGGCCTTAGAAAAAGGAAAATTATGAGAGAAAAATTAATTCATTTAAATTCACTGATGAAAAAATAAAGGAAAAATGGATGGAAATTACTTAAGTCTTAAATGAAAGATTAACAAGCAATGAAACTCAAGAGCTTAAGCCATTGTTGATTGCTGAGAAAATCTTGGAAAAAGAATTAGAATTCCTAGAAATATTTGAGTAGGAAGGATTTGAAGACGAAGAAGCATTAAATAAGTATATGACAACGGATGAAGTAAAAACAAAAATAACTCACTTACCTGAAAATGCACAATAGTAAGCTATAGAAAAAATTAAAAATTCTCTAACTAGAAAGTCAACATTCAGTCTTTCTTAAACATAAATAACAGAAGAATAAACGTAGATAAAAGCCTTCTTATAAAGTATAACTTAGAATACTGAAAAAGACCTTAAAAAAGCCAAAGCCTAAATCAAAACAGCTTTGCAAGAAAAATTAGAATAATGTGATGAAGATTAATTACTAAAATAAATTGATCTTTTACTTGCCCAAAATCAGAATCAAAATCAAACTCCTAGAGATATCGTAAAAAGGTAGGATAGCTTTAGACTAATAAAAAATAACAGTGAAATTTCAATTCCTGAATAGCTTAACAAATAATAAATAGAATTGCTAATATTTGCAAAATAAGAAGTTGAAAATTCTGCAAAAAAATGAAAAATAAATTATGATTGTAGATTAAAAAAAATTTAAAAAAATAATTAATTCATTAATTAAATAATTCACTTCAAAATTAAAATAAAAAAATTAATTTAGTTAAATTATAAAAGCTATCTATTAAAATAAATAAATAAATAATTCTATTCATATTAATTAATTTAAGATATACAAAATCTAATCAAAATCTAACATCCTATTTAGTTTGCTTTCAAATATTATAAAAGAATTCATACTAAATTTCAAATAAATTTATTTTGAATTTTCTAAAAAGTAAAAAAAATATTTACATTCAAATGTATTCAATAAAATTACATCAATAAATAATTATTCGAATTTTAAAAAATTATCATAAAAAGTAAACAACTACTCAATTTTCATTATTAATAATTAATATCTAGTGAAAATAATTATTTATATATTAAATGCAAATGTTTCCTATACAGTTATGCTTAATAATATACCATATTATTTATTTTAATTTAAAAGTTTAAGATATTTAAAAATAAAATTTGTTATTTTATTGATTGACTAATTAGCTTAATTTATTATATAAATTAAAAATAAATATTAAAACTAATATTTTTGTAATATTAAAATAAATTTAAATTATGATAAAAATTAATTTCAAAATGTATGATTTTTTCTTTAGATTTGATGATAGAAGGAAGAAAGATAATGAATTACATATATTCAATAAATTTTAATGGTTTTTTTTACATAAATTGTGTAATTTAGAATCTTTAATTAATTTCATAATCTCTTTAGCTAATTTTACTGTAAATCTAGTTATCTGTCTTTATATCTATTTATTAATTAATAGATTAATCAAACAATTTATTTATTTATTTGTCAGTCTTTCTTTTTTTGAAAAATTTGATGATTGATATTAATACTAAATGAAAGTCATAAATTTAATTATATTTAATAAATTTAACATAGTAAATCTTAAATATATTTTAGGAAGTAGAAAAGAGGAATGGTTAAAATAGATCCTACAAATAAGTGGTCTACCACAAAATTATTAAAGGAGACTGATACACATGTATTTTATAGAGACAATTTGGGCAAAGTGAGAAGCTTTAGGAAAGACACGCCCTCCTCTAAGGATTTTGTTAGATTAAGATTTATGGAAAATTTTTGGAGATGGTGGAGATTTAAAACTCCTGATCTCAGAATGGCTCTTACACCTGTAGCTTTAAGTTTAGTTTCTGGTCTAATTATTTATAATTTATCAATATGGGTATCAGAGCATGATGTTATGATATAAGAGAGAGCAAAATTGCCAAAAGAATTTACAAAAGAAAATGTAGAAGCTTTCAAAAAGGAGAGATAATAAAAGTAAAGCGAAGTTTAAGGCAACACTTAGAGCTGATAAAAATATCTATCTAAATATTCACTCAAAAACTGACAACAAACAAAGCCAATTTTAATTTAAAAGAAAGTTAATTAAAGTATTTATTATATATCCATCTTCACTTGTCTGTAATCATTTTAGCTTCGCATTTTGCCATCATTCAACCTATTTTCATTTATATTTTCTGGCATTTTTCAACAGAAACTTTTGTATCTGATGCTTGCTTATAAATGAACTTTAACCAGTCTAATAGAATATTCTTTTTGTCCTCAAAACATAATTTTATTAAATTAAAAAAAGTTAAAAGTATTTAATAAATTTAAATTGTTTTAATGAAAATGTTTAAAATCTTAAAATAAATTTATTAAAAATCTAAAAAATGATAAAATGATAAAATTAACTCTTTAAATCACAATTTATTAGAAAGTTAACCATAATTTATAACATAACTCAAGACTTATTTTGTTTAATTTATATTTTAAGGAAATTAAAACAACAAGCAAAAAAGCTATTAAATAAATAGTTCGGGTATTACTTGCTTACTTTTTTTAATAAACACACTAAAATAAATTAGCATAAAATTTAACAGTCTAAAAAAAAGCGAAATGTAAAAAAAGTGTATTAAAATAACTGAAAAAAGGAATAAAAACTTAAATTAAATAATACATTTGAATTAATAATTGTTGATAGCTTTGATAAATTAGCTAGAGAAATTATTCAAAAAAACTAAACTGAATATTTGTTATAAAACTTCTCTATCTATTACATGAATTTACACCAATCAGTTGTAACTGAAATTGCCTTGAAAGGAGTACAGAATACTTAAAAATAGTATCTGTTTTACATTGCTCTAGTAAAAAAAATACTTGAATTTAATTTGACTCAGCTTCTTTTATAGGTTATTTACAAAAAATAAATAGTTAAAGGTAAATTCAAAAATATTATATAAAAATTTAAGCAATAAACTAGCTATTCAACTTCATGTATCTATGAATGAGTGAAAAAAAAATGAATTAAGTTAAAATCAAAGAGTGAATTGATGTAAATTTTACATGTTTTTTTTTGCTTTATATCTTTAGTTTCTGTTGATTTTTCTTTAGAGAATTGAGTAATTTAACTTTATTTACATAGGAATTTAATGGTTTAATTGATTTTTAAAAGAAAATTGTTCTTGTCAATCTTGTTAATAAATAAATAAAATCAAATTAATTAATTAATATTAACAAAAAAGCTTATTCATTCATTTATTTTAAACAAACAATTAAACAAAAAGATTGAAAGCTTAATAAATTACATAATAAATAGATAGATCAATCAATCATTTTATCTACAAATTACTGTTAGCAAAACATTAAAATAGCGAAGAATAATGCAAGGCTTAAAATTACCGTATTAAAAGCATGCAGATGAGGATGAAGAAACAAGTCCTCAAAGTAAATTTTTCTATTGCTTTCAACCATTCTTATAAATAATCTCATTTCCTCCTACTCATTGTACTCTTATAAATGAAGTTCAAAATTTTATAATTTTTCTCAACAATTTGATCTAATTTAAAAATTATTACTTAACTCACAAAAATTCTTATCAAGAACCTAAGGAAAGCTATAAATTTAGATCATTTTTGCAAAATTAACTGCAGTTAGCTTGAATTTTTAGCTATTTATAAAAATATTACCAAAATATTTAATATAGAATTTGTTAATAAATTGATAGTTAGATTAATCAATTTTTTATAATTAGATGCATAGATTGTTAACAATGAGAATCATGAAACAAATAGGTCTTGTATTATTGAGGATAATTCTAAAAAAATGGAAACATAATTTAATTAAAGCTATATGGTTACCTACACACAAGGCAATATGACTACTAATTCAAACAATATAAGCATTTCGAAAGTAGATCTTAATTCTATTTAGGGAAGGTATAAATCAGCCAATAAATAGCAGAGTTAAGACATGTAGGAATTCGTTATGGATAATAATAGCTTGCAAAATAATGAAGATAATAGAAATGACAACAATTAAATTATTCCTTTGGAAATTTAAAACGAAATGATTGATTACCATATGAAGAATTAGAATGGCAAATAGCAACAAAACTCAAAGAAAACTGCAAAGTAGCTTTAATATAAAAAGAGATAGGCAGATTTGCATATTGAAATACCCAATTCGGATGAAGAGAGAAAAGCTAAGCAAGATGCTTATAACAAAATGGTTGCCTAATAATAAATGATAATGTAGAATGGAAATGGTAATAGTAGTAATAGACGTTAATTAAACCAAGACAGAGAAAAGAAAGGAGAAGGTATGGAAAATTAAGAAAGTGCTAGAGTTAATGATATCATAAAAAATAACTAAATTGATGTAGAAAATTTAGAAACTATTTAAATTGATTATGATTTCGAAACAATTGAAGGTCTCACTGATGACTAGTGCTTAGAACTTTACTGCGAAGGAAGTGTCAAACTGAAAAATTAGTCACGTTTGTTTTGCAAATTAGCTTATGAGCACTTGCTTGTAGAGAAAATACGCTCAACAACAAGATTAGTTTACACAAATTTAGGAATTGTGAACAACGGCAATTTGAATTCTAGCGATTTTATTTCTGAATACATAGTAGGACCATTAAAAAGAGAAAACACTAAATTTAGAACATAAGATATTAGTGAAGCATTTACAGTTTAATGCTCTGATTACATACATTTCAACATTAAAAAATAAATAAGCAGAGCAGTTAGATTGTTTATTGTTTTATCTGTTATAATGCTTGTCTCTTTCATCCTTAAAATTTAAGATTCTGCATATGAAAAAGACGTCACACTTTAAATATGTTTTATCCTATTGGGACTAAGTTAATTTGCTTCAACTTACTTTTATGTATCAGGGATATATGCGTGTAGCAATGAATATATAAGGAAAGGTATCTTCTTAAATTAACTCTACTTCTTTGCCAGCATTGGCCAATTTATATTTGAAAGCATAGCTCTCAATTATTTTAGCCAAATAGCAAATAACACTATTCAAACAAGAACCAACTTTAAGCAAGTCATATTTTATTATTTCAGCTTCATCATTACTTTTATCGTCTGCCCTTATTTGTATAAAATTAATAAAAATACTACCTCTGCCGTCCGCAGAATAATTAAAATTGTCTCCGACGAATACATTGATTGAAATTATTTTATAATTTAACCAATAAAATTTATTCTAACTCTTTGCTTAAAAATCAACTTATCCTTCCAATAAACCACCTATAATATTATTTATCCATCTAGCCTTTATCTATATTTAAGCTATTAATATTCCTTGTATTAATTACTATTATTATTCATTCATTAATTAGTTCTTATAAATTATATAAATCTATATTTATTTTCTTTTAACTCTTTTTTCATTTTTCTTTCCAATATTTATCAAAAAATAAACTTCTAAGTCTCATTTTTTTAAGAAACCAATATATAAAATAGTAAATAATTTATCATATATTTAAAAAAATTGCTTTGTTAAAATGAAACTATATTTTAAAGTCTTATTAATAATAATTATTTTAATTTTTTAAATTAAAAGAATCAATAAATTAATGGAGAAAAAAAATGTTTATAAATCTATATCTAAGTTTTAACTTAAATTGGTAATTTATTTTAAATAAGTAATAAAATAAATTTTCAAATATTTAAATAAAAATGTTAAACATTAAACATAAACTTGATTTTACAAATTATTATTTTTTTAAATGAATTTTGTAAAATATAATTTTTGAGAATATTTTTTAATAACAACTCTGAAATATTGAAAATGTGTTTTTACTATTTCAGAATCTTCCTGTTTTTCAAATCTATTATTCATCTTTAATTTTTAATAAACTAAAATAAAATTTTTTTATTTAATTAATTTACTCATAAATTCGTAATTATTTTGATCTATATTCTAGCTTTTTTTGTAATCAAAATGATTAAAAATTTTCACTTTCATAAAAATATTCTACTGAGACTGTATGCTGTTAAGGAATATTACCAAATCCAAATGCTAATTTATAACTACAATTTTATATTAAGCTTAAATTACATTAATTAACATTCTCATAAGAAGGATAATCTGAAATACTTAAGTAATTTTTTTCAATATTAACTCTCATCTCTAAATATTAAGGAATATTTCTTTCTTAAATAAAATTTCCTCGAATTTTATTGCTTTAGTTATTGGATGTACTTATTGATCTATTATTATTATTATTATTATTATTATTATTATTATTACTTTAATTAAAAAGGCTGTTTTATTATTAAAGAGATTTATTTTATTAATTATAATCAAGTAGTCCAAAAACAAGAGATTAAGAATTTTTAAATGTATGAATTTTAAATACTATAAAATAAGTTTTTTTTTTATTAATTTAGAGGTCAAAATAAACTTATCCTTCGTTACAAGAGGAAACTAGAAGACCTTAAACAATAGGTAATGTAGCATATTTAGATGGTTATAATTTTAGATAAAAATTTTAATTACTATTAAATTATTCTATAAAATTTGTAAATACAGCTTCAAAAGGCCTCATTGTATTTGAATTTTAAAGTTATTTACTTTAAAATAGCTTTACTATTTTAGAATCTTAAAAATAAATATTCTAAACTTATCTTAGCAATTAAAAATATTTTATTTATGAAAAACAATCTTCTTGATCTTCTTATTAAAGCTCATAATCTTCATCAAGACTTTTTAATTAATTTTCAAGTTTCTAAATAATGTCGATTTTTGCAGAAGTAATTTCTTCAGTAAAATTATCTTCCTATACTTCGTTAATAATATCTTGGATATCAGAGAAAAGATATAAATTTAATATATTTTAAAATTTGTATTCCGCTTATTCTTTTCTATAATCAAGAATTTCATCATATTAAGAGATTATATGCTGAGTCTTGCAACTCTGATTTATTAGATTCAACACTTATTCTGCTAATAAAGAATTAAAATCTGTTATATTATTTTCTTTTAAAATCAATTCGTCATAATTAGGTATAATTGATCTAATTTCTTCATTTTCAAAAAAATCTATATTTTAGATAAGTAAATTTACTGTATTTAAGATTTCCTGAGGTTGCTAAAATACTTATTTCTCAAAAATATCAGCTATTTATCTTCTTTTTTCTAAATATTCTAAGTTTTACATTTTATTTTCTTCAATTTGACTAAGCAGCTCATTAAATTCATCATTTGAATATGATTCTTTTTGAATTATACTAAACAGTTTCTCTCTTTAAAAGAACTAATTGTAATATACATGCTGTTGATCTAACTCATCATATAAAGCATTTAAAACTTTCAACATTTTCTATTGCTATTAATCAATAGATTCATAAATATAGGTTTGAAGCGACTTGAAATAGTTTGATATCTTTTCAATCATCTAATTTCTGCACTAAGATCTATCTAATAGTAGATGATTCATTAGATTAGAAGAAATATCTTTAGGCCAATTCTGAACGGGCTACTTTTCATTATTTTCTAGAACTTCTTTAACTGAAATGAAGTATTTAACATTTTAATAACTCTTTAAAACGCAAGCTAAACACATAAATTTTTATTACTATTTTAAGTCAATACATATGCATTCTACTTATTTTCCTTTATGCTATTAACATTCATTTTGCTAAACAGCTATGACTGGTTACTACTCCATATCTTATTTCAATTATTTCTTTTATTATTTTTTCAACTTAATTAATAAAAAAATATTAAATATTTCCCCTCTCAAAATTTTAATTCAATTTATATTAGCACTAAATTTGAATAACATTTTAGAGTAGGGTCTTTTTTTAGAAAGAAGTAAAAATATTTGTATTTATTTTTGATAAATCACATACTCAATATTTTAGATAAGAATAAAATTGTTTAATTATAATATTTATAAGAAAGTAAATAAAATTTTAAAAAATAAGTAAGTAAGCAAGCAAACAAACAAACCAATTTTTAGAGTGATGTGTAGTATGTATAAATAATTTACAAATAAATAGTTTCAATAAAATTCTTTCTCTTTAAAGCATTATGTATGATAGAATTTATTATTATATTGAATAGTAGGAGGAATAAATCCTTCTTTAGGGGATTTAAGTTTCATGTAATTTTTGCAGTAGTCACAAAGAGTTGAAGATTAAAATACTTTTGAGAAGTAATCAATTTTATTAGTTTTCATTTATGGGAAGAACATGTCGAATAATACATTTGTATCTAATTTTTTCTAAGCTATTCTAACAAACACAGATATTTCTTTGAATACTTCAGGGATTTTATCTGGGATTTCAATTTTTTCTGGTTCATTACTAAGAATGCTTTAGTTAGACTATTAGCTTTGTAATCTCTTAGGGATTGGGCAAACAATAAGATCTTATACAATATATATAGTTTAGTAAGTGTTATTTTACATATGGAATTTTGCTTCGCGCACAAAAATGACTATTTAATAATTAGAAAGAGGCTGACCAGGTAAATTAGGTCTGCGTATTGAAATCATTCCTGGCTCAATAAGAATTCCTATACTTGACTCAATTCTTTTAAAATACTAAATATCCTTAGTGTTAAGTTTCTTTTCAAGCTAGAAATATTGATTTTGTATTATCACCTCTTCAAATCCATCCTTAATCTATTAGTTCTTTTCGAAATTTTTTTAGTCCTCCACTTCTTTATAATTTGCCAAAAACATTTCCAAGGACTTCTCTAAATTAGTCTTTTTCTTATCAACATTCCTTGAATTTTATTTAATTAAATTGAAAGTTAATTTAAATTTTTTAATCATTTCTATCAATCAATCATTTAGTTATTTTTTATTATAAATGTATATATTTATCATGATTCTATTTTTTACTGAGGAGTTTATCTTTAATTGGGTGGAAGCTAAGGATTATTTATGGTTGATTGTAAATTCTTTATCGCTTCTAAGTAATTGATCAAATTCTTTTTTACTGCTGATAATAGATTTATATTATGGTCTATCTTCACTAAATATTTTTGCTTATTCTTATTCATTTCTAACCTAACTAAAATTAAAGATATTTATTTGATTTAATACTATCAATTATATTAGCTAGACATAAAATCCTAAACAAATTATCAATAGAATCTTGTACGCTAATTTATTTTATAACAAAAAATATATGTAGATAGTTAGTTAAATATATATAAATAAAGGATCATTACATTTTAATTTTTTGCCTACTTAGCTTCAAGCTAATACCATTTATTTTATAATAAACCAATGAAGGATAAAAAGAAAGAGATTCATATTATTTTCAAAAAATTTGTTAATCAAATTTAAAAAATAAATTATGAAATATAATAAAAACTAATATTTTAAATATATTCATTCAAAAACAAAATTAATTGTTAATTGGAACTTGAATTTAATTAAATTGTATTTATTCATTTATTGATTTTTATTAAATTTACCAAGATAAATATCTGATTTGATTAATTGAGTTCAATTCACAAAAAAATAATTAATTTAAAAATCTGCTAATAAAAATTATATAATAGAAGAGCTATAAAAAAAATTTGATTTAGTTAGAAAATTTATTTTAATGCTAAATATTAATCTAAATAAATAACTATAAATTATTATATCATATTTTAGTTTATAATTTATAAAATTATATTTAGAAAAAAGCAAACTGAGTTTATTTTTTGAATTGATTTGTTATCAGAATATTTGATTGTAACTAAATTAATTAATAAAAATATGATCGATCTTTAAGCAAATATTTTTAATTAGATTAGATACCTACAGAATATAAATTTTGTAAATATTATAAATAGTAAATCAATTTAGTTAAAATGTTAATTAATTATGTCAAAAACATTTATATCTTTTAGTTTTCTTTTGAAATGTTTGTAAGATAAAAATAAATTTTAAGATTTTAATTGGACTCAAATATTTTATTGGCAGTACAAACAAAACTGTTTCTGCATATTTATGAAAATATTAATCTTTCAATCTAAGCAGAATCAATTAACCTGTTTTTTGCTATAATAAATATAAAAAATAAAAAGTTTTTTAGTTTTAAATCTCTCAAATTTAAATATATTCCATGTTAATATTTTTTGTTTGAATAAATTTTTAAAAATATGAAAGAGTAAAATTTAATATTGCAAAATACTTTATCATACAAATTTTGTATTACAAATTCTTTATCACAATAATCATAAAAAATGTATCCAAGTTAATAATTAGAAGGTAAGAAAAATTCTTATTATTTTCTGCCAAACCTATTTTTTTTATTTTATTGATTGAAAAAAATTTACTTAAAATCAATAAATATGTTTTTTTCTGCCAAAACAAAATTTATAAATATAAAAATAGGAAGGAAAAATATATATTTTTATCTAATAATTTTATATATTTAGCACATATCTTCATTTATACTTGATTTTTTAAATGAAAAAAATATCAGCTACCATTTTCAAAAATTTTTTGCAAGTTACATAGATTAGGCTTTCAGATACTTCTGATAAATGATATATCGTGGTGTATTAATAATAAACCAGATATAATTTTGTAACACTTCTTAATTAATAAAAATTAAAACTATTAGTAATCTTTAAAGAGTAAATTCCTAGATTTGCTGTTGTGAATTTTAGAAAAATTTAACAAGATCTAATTTTACAAGTAATTTGTAAATTGGATTTTTAATTCAAAATCAGATTTTGCATATTTTCAAAATATTAAATATGTTAAAGAATGGATATACAGAAAATCCTTTTTAATTATCTAATTAATTTACTTATGTAGATTTTCGAAATATCATTAAAAATATATTTGTCCTACCTAATTTAATTTATTAATTAATTAAGATAACAAATTGATTACTAATTACATATTATAGAGAAAATAATGTTAAAATTAAATATCATCTAAAAATTATTTACTTTCTTTCTATTTTTTACTTGGAATAAAAATTTGATAAAAAATTTGATTACTCATTTCGAGGAGAGTGTAATAGAAAAGATGATGACAGAAGTGGATGATTTAAAAAAAGGTATTTATTTGGCTAAGCTTATTTATGCATTTGAGTGAGCAGAAAAAATACATAAGAAATATTATTAAATATCTAGATTAATGTATTTTCCTGAACCACTTATTGTTAATCAATTTGGATGGTACTTAATTATACTGTTTATATAGCAAACAAACCAAAGTAATTTGAGTAAATAAAAAACAAGAAAATTAAAAAGTAGTAAATAAGCAGATTAAAAACTTAATGAAATACCTAACAATAATAACCATATTTATATCTTTCTTCAAGGCATTTGCTAATAATTACCTCAGTAAAAATATTACTCTTATTAAAAAAAACCATACTTTTAGTGATTAAGCAAGTGCATGCCCTTAAAAAATAAAAAAATTAGAGTTTCCTGCTTCTACTTAAAACATCTTCTAAATGAAAAATATATACCTTCAAGATGAATAGTTTGCAACAATAGTAGTCTATAGTTAAACATAACCAGTTTAGATCATTTTATGGGATCTTTAAAAAGTAAATTATTAAGTTGTAACATTATAAATCAATGGGTCACCTTTATTGAAAGCATCAGATATAATTGTTTATGACACTGATTTAAGACTACTGATTTTGATAATATAAGCAGATACGTTTGTGGTCTTTTAAAGACCTTTAAACACATTTTAATTCAACTTAGTCTAAGTAGTTAATATACCTAATTATTCATCATCGATGACTCCTTTAATTACTGATATGTTTATAATAAAGGGATTGAATCAGCTTGTTATATTAGACTTCAATAACTTTAATCTTTTATTTTATGATCTTATTAGTTTTACAGGAGTTCCAGTTAAAGTTATAACAATTGGTATTCCAAATGAGGTTACTCCTGTATAATCTGCATTTTATGCAAGAAATATTCCTAATACAAATTATATTGCTTTGGTTGACTTTAGTTATGCATTAATTAGAGTCATTAATTACAAAACTAAAGAAATAGTTTTTACATCGAATGATAATATATCAAACAGACCTTTGAATTATTCAATCCTAGGCGTTTATGCGAAAGATTCCCTCGTTATTTTTTACAATGATCACTATAATTCTTTGAACCTCAAATAAAGATAATCCAACTTCCAGGTCTTCTCAGTGGATTAAAATCTTTAATTAATTAGTTAATTTTATGTAAAAATATTTTAAATTATTTCTATTCAGCAAAATTATTTTAAAAATACTTTGTTTAAGATTTTCTTTTCTTTTACTTTAAAAGGTAGTTTGTTAGAAGAAAAAATTTAATTTTTCTCTAACTTGATTTACTGAAAAATTTAACAAAAATTTAAAGATTAAATTTTTCAACTAAAAATTAAAGACATACGCATTTACTGTATAATTCAACTAAAATTGATTTTTTTAAATTATTTTTTTAATAAGTTATTTTAAAATAAACATTTTCTAAAAATGAAAAAATATTTTTATAAACTTTTTTTAATTATTTATGTATTTTCATTATATAAAAATAGATAGACAATCCTCAACCTCTTCAAAATTAACTAAAATCGATGTATATTTTATAAAACACTCCTCATGTTGTAACAACCCATAATTTAGGTGATGTATATATTTTCAGCCTTTATTCTGGTGAGTAGATAAGACACTATAAATTCGATAACTATACAACTTATGATGCTTAGTACCTTTAAGATTATTTAATGTTTTCTTCTTTTGATAGAGATAAAAATTTAATCATCAGCTATTTTTTAGAATGGGACCAAGTTCTTTATCCTCAAGACAGAGATACCTCCACATAGGGAGTATGCGTAAGTTAATGTGGAGATAAACAAGGCTACAATTAAGATTTACTTGCTTGTAGTACATGTGACCCAACTCTAAATTGTAAAACTTGTAGATTTCCTTCTGGTTATTGCGACTAGTGCTATGAAGAGTTTTATCTTTCTTAGGGGTAGTGCTTGCCCTATTGCAAAGGAGAAACAGGATGTAATAAATAAATATAAAATTTCTAAAATTAGTTTCAATACTTAAAATTTTTGTAAAAGAAATATTCCTTTAACACAGGAAAAATCATCACCCATTAAAATCTTACCAGTGTTATATAAAAATTAACTATATTCTTTTATTATATATATCATGTTTAAACTCAAGAAAATATTATTATTATTTCAAAAAAAGCTGCGACATTAGATAGCGATGGTAAATGCTAGTGTACTCAAGGGTATTATATGATTCATAACGATATATGCATCCCAAATCCTTGCAAGTAATGGGAATAGCCATAATATAATTATGAGTATTAATAAACTAGCTGTATAGATATTTGCGAAGAAGACTTATACTATGATATTGAAAATAAAGAATGTAGCTGTATATCAGGATATATTAAAATAGGTAGCTCTTGTAAATTAGATGTAACAGGCATCTGTTTAATCATAGTTTTTATAATTATCCTCACTATAGCAATATACAAATACAGATTATCTTTAATATTTTAAAAATCAAAGGTTTTCTTTGAAGTTGATAATATCTAACAAGGTATCAAACTTAAGAAGTTTTTTGAGAGTAATAGTTAAAAAGTTTAATCAAAAAAGAATAAATAAAAGCAAAAACTAGAAGTTTGAAGTTAATTTTTAAACTTCTGTAAATTTCTTAAGATTGATTTAACGGAAATAAAGCTAATTTATATTTATTTTATATTAATAAATTCTTCTAAAAAAACCAAGTCTTCTTTTTAATGCAATATAAATTTATTCAAGCAATAAAAGATAAAAATATTCAAAATAAAAATTAAATACTTAATAGAAATATCAGTATTATACATATTTAAATTTGGTATTGCTAAATAAAAAAGTAAAAAAATAAATGCCATTTAATTATTAATATTTCCTTCTTTTTTAACTGTAATAAGACTTATTCATTTCTTTCAAAATGTGTCTATTTCTTAATTAAAATTTTGACGTACCTCACAAAATTATCTTCTAATCTCGTTCTCTATTTCTTCTTAATTACAATAAATATTTTCCCTCTCTTTTAAATTTAATAAAATAAATGTATTTTAACAGAATGCATGATACATTACTTAACAATTTACAATTTTATTAATCGCCTCAATTTTTTTTATATTAACAAGTTATTTTAAGAAGAATAAATAAGAAAGCTTATAAATATGAAAATTATAAAATAAAAATAAAAATATGATTTCCCAATCGAATTTTGAGTGACTGTAATAAAAAAAGATTCAATTTTTTAGCTAAATAGAAATACAAATCAGAAAAGTTAAAAATAAAAATATCTTTTTTTATTTATCAAAAATTAAATTAATTAATTAAAAAGTCAAATTGTCTTATTAGTAGTCTATCAAATGACAAATTTTCGCGCAATAAATAAATTAACTTTCTTTCTTACAAAAGTAATATATAAGTTTAAATATAATTAAAAATAATATTGTTTTATATCACTTTTGAATAAAATTGATCAATTTGATAAAACAATATAATGAAAAATAAAAATTTGATAGAATTGAGATGAATTTATAATTATATTTATTATTGTTGAGTGAAGTTAATCGAAATTAAATTATGTATCTGTAAAAAATATGATGAATTAAATTATAATCGAGTAATCTTGGTACCGTATTAGTACTTTATGTATTAGTTTTCACTTATCTTTTTTTCAAGTAGATTGTCTATATAAATAAAAAAACCTTTAAATGAGAGCCATAAAACTTAAGTTTCCATCAAAGACTGATATAATTTTGATTTTATTCTTTTTTAATCAATTAGTAAAAACAAATTCTGCATAAAATTTTTTGATTGATCTTTGCTTTTTTTAATTAACACAAGCAAAAAAAATATTGCAAAAAGATTCAATTAAAGTAAAAGAAAGTAAAAAAGTATATCAATACATAAAGGACTTACTCACTCTATAGAAAATAATTTTGAGTCATTTTAAAGAGATATTTTTAGTCATAAAAACAGCGAAAATAGTATAAAAATTATTAAAATCTTATAAAAATGATACTGCATTTAGTCTTGTTAAAAATCCTTTGGGTTTTTATGTAATACGCCCAACAAATTTAAGGACAAACATCATTAGCTATATAATCAAATTCTTTATCAACCACATCTTCTTCGTCAAATATTTTAACAAATGACACAGTTTTTTATAACAGCACTCAATTCTTAAGTACTTGTCCTAAGCTAAAAAATACATATTTGAATGGTAGACAAAATGTGGTAGCCTCTTAGCTATTTTAACTGGATGATTAAACTGTATTTGATGTTAGTCAGGAAACGAATCCTTATCAAATCACAATTACAATATGGAAAAGCAGCGGAAAAGTTATTTAACAATTAACAGAAGTTAATAACTGTATTAATTTTTAATATGATAACCAAAGAAAAGTTCTATTGCTTCTTTGTTCTTCTACTGATGTGTATCTGTATTAATACAGCTCAGGGACCTTTGTTTTATTTTAGATATTTCAGAATCTAAATACACTATTAGTAACAGACGTTTAATTATAACCACAAACATCTCAAACTTAGTTTGCTACCCTTTGTTTCTAGGAAAGTGAGCTAAGATTTTGGTCTGTTGGTTCAGTATTACCTATTAAAACTCTATATTTGCATATACCAAATGCAAATTTAATACTTCCAAGTGCATTTAATTTTATTTTCATACCATACACAAAATATGTTGCAGTTTTTGACATTAACAGGTCAATAATTAGACTCATCGATACAGATACAGGAGATATTTTTAAAACATCTAACAGATATCTAAAATATGTTGTGGCTCATCCATTTAAAAACTTTATCCAATATAACTATCTTTGGAAATTGATAGTAGTATTAACATAAGAAAAATTAACAAAGACTCCTGCTTAGCGTATAACTACATTTTTCGCTAATGATACCACACAGTATAATTCATTTAAAGTAATATCTTATTTTCATATAAATTTTACTTTTTAATTTTTTAGATTTAATATTATTTTGCAATACTTACTTCTTTTAAATTTTAAGCATTCTAATTTTAACATTAAAAAAAATATACTTTATTATTTAAATTCTCAAACAATTAAAAAAAAATTTGTAAATATCAGATATTTTTAATTTTTGATACTTTAAATCTTATTTTTTTACTAAAATAAAAAATTGTAGATTATAAATAAAATGCATTACATAAAACTATTAAAATTTTATTGATTACAAATAAATAATAAAATCAGTATTACTTGTCTGTCTTTCTGTTTTCTTTTGAATTTATATTTTTAATATTTACAAAAATAGATCGATTTCTAAAATGATTTCTAAAATAGAGTCACTTGCATGCACGTTCTTTAGGGTTCTGAAATGGTAGCCTTAGGTAACAAGGATGGTTCTATGTTTATTTATAACTTGATTACTGGGAAAAAGGTTCGTACGATTCAAGTAAGCAGCAATGAAGTACTTGATATCCTTCTTGAAGATAATGTTTTATATGTTTTAGCCAAAGATTAGAATGATGAAACCCTCTTGCAATAATATGACTGGTTTAACAATTATTATGTAGAAACACGAATTACAAATCAGCCAGTTTGTGTTAATTAATGCAACAGCATTTAATATTAATCTTCTGCATGGCTTGCCTGCAGATAATGCAATGCAGCTTTTAAATGTGCAAGTTGTAATGATTAAGGATGTGTGACTTGTATAAGTGGATTATATATTGATTAAATAGTATTATCAAATGGAAAAACTCAAAATGTTTGCACATCTATTTGCTCATCAAATCAGTTTGGTAATTATTTTAAATATTTTTAACAATAAATATTAAAAAATATTTATATTAGGACTTGGTTTTGATAACTCTTCTAATACTTAATGTGTTGAAATATGTCCTAGTAATGTTTATGATTTTGATAATAAAGTGTGCAGTCTCAGTACTTCTATTGAAAATTCTTCTTAAGTATAAATACAATTAAATACTAACCTTTGATTAATTATTATTTATTTTAAATAGGAATATGGCATAACAGCAAGTTTAAAAATATCACCAACTAATGATTAAATTATTATGATAGATTTCTCTAAAGCTATCTAATTCAACAAACAACACATACTTTCAGCTACAAATTAAGTAGTATCAAATATGCAACAATGTGTTTTAGTTGACCTTTAAAAAATAAAGCCAACTGATTATTCTTACTCTGTTACCTTAGACGCCACAGACAATACTTACATTTAGCTTTAACTTAAGTAATTCAAAATACAAATTCATATTTAATAATAAATTTAAATGGGAGCTAAAAATCTTTAAAATTCTTTAAATTTTCTAAAAATATTGCTATTAAATTCAAAAGTTTTTTTTAATTAATATTTTTGGAAAATATTTAGAAAACCCACTTTATTTATTTACTTACTTAATTACTTACTTACTTAATTATTAACTTAATTTGTGAGTTGGTTTTTGATAATTAAATTTTTACAAATGATAGGTATTTAGGTTCAGGAGGTGTTAAAAATCCTATATTAACAGTAACATTTGAAGGATAAACATGCTTTAAAGACTTAAATTATGTTCCTCTTGGACCTTCTATGATAAATCCAGGAATATAACTCACTTTACCATGGAATTTAGTAAACTATGATCCAGGAACGAAATAAACTTCTTAAACAATCTCGTAGACAACAAAAGGAGTTAGTACAGCTGTAGCTTCTGCCACTATACCTCTTGCTTTAATGAATATAATGTATATCTTTTGGCTATTAATAAATGTGTTTTAACTTGTCAGCTTTTTGCTTTACTTAAATGTGCTTTATCCCATAAACGTTACAGATTTCTTTAGGTCTTTCAAATCTTTTAATATGAATTTTTTACCAACTTTTGGTTTAAAATTTGATAGTGCAACATAAAAATACACATTTTTAGGAGAGACAATATCAGATTAAACTCCAGCTGCTCCATTTGTTAGAGAAGGAATGACTTCATCATTTTTCCTAAATGGATTGAAATTCATTTAAACATTTTTTATTTTATATGCAGTATTATTTATTGTTAGAATTGTGGCAAGACACATGAAGGTAAACTGCAGAAAAGTTCCTGAAGATGCTGGCTTTTTCCATAAACTAACTGCTTTAGCATAACAAAAACTTGAATTTACTATGATTATAACATCTCATCAATCTACTTTGCTTTCGTTTTCTGTTAGTATTTTTTTATAGTTTATGGGATTTTCATCTTAAAATGCTATGAATGTGATTTCATTTATTGTTGCAATATTTGCTTTTATTTACCTCATATTTTTCTTGAAAAATTGCTACTAAAAAGTGAATTTACATGAAATGGTTGTAGGCTCTAAGATTTCTGATAAGCTTGTTGATGAAAAACTGAAAGATAAGTACGAGAAATATAAAATGCAGTACGGTATTCTATATTGGAGTGTGAATTTTATATTCTATGGAAGAAGAAATTACCATGTTTTTATGATGTTTAGATAAGTTTTAGTGCCTTTTGTTGTAGTTTTTTTTAATAAATTTACCTTTGTATCTATATTTATCCTCATAGGAATATACGGATTGACAACTATTTTCTTGATACTCTATCGTCCTTTCGATAGAAAGTTAGTAGGCTATTTAAATGCTTTTAATGATATGGTGATGACTTTGATTTTGTGTTTGATTTTTTATATTCATTCAATAAATGAAAGCTCTGGCTAAACTCTGAGTAAATCAGATGTGGAAAAGCAAGTAAATGTAGGATGGGTGATCATTTCTCTTTTGCTTCTTCTTTTCTTAATAAATGTAATAAGTGGTATTGTTCTGGAGTGGGAAAGTATAGTAGAAGCCTTCAACAATCTGAAGTAAAAGCTTCGTGAATATACCAAAAGCCACTCAGTAGAGTTAAAAGATAACGAAGAAAAAATTGGATTGAATAAATCTTAGTCATTCCAATAAGACGAAGAAAAAATTAATAGTATTTTCAAAGACTCTCTTAAAAAGAAAAATAAAAATGTAAATTTAAACCAAGAAAAAGTAAAATAGGCATAAGAAATATCATTACAAGATGCAGAGCTCAGTGAAGTAAATATTTCATAAACTTCTAAACCTTTAAATAAATAATCTCCCTCTCCAAAGAAAGGAAATAAGAGATTTGCTAAAAACCCTGACTTGCAAGACTCATAAAATAAATAATTGAAAATATAAGAGTTTGATCTATGATAAAAAAATTTAAATTTAATATTTTTATTTATTAATAAAATTTCTCATTTTGATTTAATAAATTTGATAAATTATTTGTTATTTTATTTATTATTTTATCTATATTTAGCTCGTATATTATCTTATTTATTAAATATTAATTTAGTAACAAAATCAAAAATTAAAACAACTACTCGAATAAAAAAAATAATTATCTGTAAATAAGAAAATTTTATAAATCAGTAAAGTTGTAAACAAAAATGATTAATAAACTTTTAAGTATTTTTTTAAGTATTTAAAAGTATAATAAATAGGTATTTTATAATCTAAATAAATTCAAATTAAAAAATACTAAGATTTTGATGAGCTAAACAGAAATCACAAAAATCAGTTAAAAAAATTAGATTAGCATTTTAAATTCAATAATCTATTTATTTATTATCTAAAAATATTTTTATTTTTCTAGCATTTTTAATATTTTAGAATTGTTTGTTGTCTAACCTTTTTTTCTTTTTCATTTGAATGCTGAAGTATTTAGTTTTGAATTTAATAATTTATTTTTATCAAATTAAAATTTATTATTGGAAACGATGGTAAATTATTAATTATTTGTCAAAAATTAATTTAGAAATAGAAAAATTAACAATTAATGAAATAATACTTAGTTAATTACCTCATTTCTTAATTATTAAGCATAATACTATTTTGAATTTTCATAAATTGATTAAATTTACTTTCATCTTTTAAAATATTCCTACTAATTTTATTTTGGAAGAAAGAAAATTTGAATTAGCAAATAAAACGATTAAAGAAGTGTTTATAGTAAAATTTTAATTAGTAAAGATGCTTTAAAATTTAGCTTTGAAAAATATGATTTTGGATTATAAACATGATCAGAAAAAAATCAAAAAGGTATAAATTATTTCCTAATTTATTTTATTATTTCAAAGTTACGGAAACACTAATGAACAAAAAATTATCACTGACTGTAATCTAATAAATGCATAAAAGAACATAATTAAACTTTAATATTTTTGCTTTATTTTTATTTTTCATTTTGCAATATTTATGCATGAATGAATGAATCAATTAATTAATTATCAAATAAATAAATATATTATTAGTCTTTGCTTGGTTGTTTATATACTAAATGTATTTATTTATTATCCAATATCACTTGAAATTTAATTTTTATCATCAAAAAACTTTGATTTTGTTTATTCAAGCAAAGACTATAATTTAACAAAAACTAGGAAACGATATTCTAACACCAATAGGTTATAAAAATTATACCGATTAGCATTTAGAGAGATTGAAAAGAGGCAGTTGATTTGGATGGAAACTAGATCTAAGTCAGAATTTTCCAACTACAATGGAGTTTAAGGCAATCAAGAATATGAAAATAATGATATCATAAATGATCGAATTAACAAAAAGATAACGCAAGAAATTTAATAGAATTTTGGATCATTTTAGTATAAAGAGCTAAAGGATGAAAGTTAGTTAGGAACGGAAAGACCCAATTTACCTACGAACATAGATCCTATTTTTCACAGCTATTCATGCAACTATCTAACTGATAAAGTAGAAGATGAAAAGTAGATTACTGATGAAGCGTTCTAGCATTCAATTGAATTCTATGCAAAAAATAATAAAGAACAAAACAAAATAAATAATAAATCTGATAATTCTTCTAATAATAGCCTAAAAAAAAGCAATAGCATTATCGATGAGCAGCATCCTTAAATGAATTTCTAAATAATACGCCAAATTTTATAAGATTTAGTCAAAGATGAGTAATAAAATAATGGAGTTTAGATCAAAGAAAATGAATATAGAAAGAAATTTAGTTATGGAAGAGAATCAGCTCTCTAATGGAAAAACTAGTCTTTACCTCATCCATCTCAAACTAAATACCTAAGAATTGCAACATTAACATGTAACAACTTCATATAAATTTTAAATTCAATTTTCCAATAAAACTCATAAAATGAAATTTTAATAAAGAGTTAAGAAAGTACTCAGAAATATCTCAGCAATTATTTATTTAATTAAAAATTTATAAAACAAAGAGAATTTCAACACCTAAAAAATTAATGCATCTGCACTAATACAAATCAAATCAAATACCAATAAAAAAAATTAACTTTACAATCACCAAAAGCTTGATTGACATGAATTGATTAATCTATTTCTTTATTGGCCAAATAAACATATATTTTTTCTTTTAAATCTGGTTTCAATTTGATTCAACTTACATGTAAAAAATATAAAGTAATTGTAGCCAAATTACTGATATAGAATTCATTCTGAAACGAAAAAGATAATTTTGTGCTAATAATAATAGCTACTTTAATAATTCATGATATAGCCAGTAAAAAATTTAATAGAAAAGCTGGATGATATTTAAAAATTTTAATAAATCTAAAATATGACTAAGTTATTTTATCTCCTTTAAACTATTTAATCATCTATAAAATTTGTTTAGATATATTATGAAATATATTTTTAATATAATCATGGCAAGTTATAAAAATTAAAAACATTAGACTATTATAAAAGATCAAATAAAAGCATAAAAGAGTAAATCAAGTATAAATAAATACCAAAAAAACTCAAAAATACAAAAATAGAATAGATATATTTAATCAAAATTAAAGCAAACTAAATAAAAAATGATAAAAAATAAATCAATTAATTTTAACAAAATAATTTAAATATGATTTTTGCTATTATAAAGCTACTTAAGCAAATTTTTTAATCAACAAATTTTATAGTTTGATAGAACAATTATATTCTTATCAATTTTATTTTTGAGATAGGGAATTTGCATGGGAGCTGTCCAACAGACAATTTAGCTGAAATTTTAGCTTTTTTGAATTAGGCAAGTCACCATTTAGTTGTAATAGGTACTTAAGAATGTGAGAGATCGATTGCTGCTTCATTTTTTAATTCTTCTAAAAGCAAATGGGAACAAGCAATTTTAGATAATATGTCAAATAGTTATGTTAAAGTACACTCTTTAAAAATGAATGCTTTGCATTTGATCGTCTTAAGTCACAAAATACTTAGACCATACATAAAGAATATTTAAAGCGATAAAAGAGCTACAGGAATAGCGAATTACTTAGGAAATAAAGGGGGACTAGGAATAAGTTTTGATATTGGAAAAAGAAGTTATTTATTTGTTAATTTGCATCTTTCTTCTGGAAAAGAAAATAAAGAACGAAGAAACAAAGATTTCTTATCTGTAGAAAATTATTTAAATTTAGGCAAGCAAATTTCGAATATGGAAAGAAGTAGCCAAGATCGAGTGTCAAATAGATTTGATTATGTTTTTTTTATTGGAGATATGAATTATAGAATTAATATAGATATTGGAAATAAAGATATTCATGAACATAATTATATATAACTGCTTTTACACGATTAGCTCATTCAAGAAATCGAACTAATAGCTTCTGATTTCAAAGAAGGGATGATCACCTTCCCTCCTACTTACAAATTGGATCTCACTTATAACAGATTTTACACAGGCAAAAAAAAAAGATAACCAGCCTGGACTGACAGAATTCTTTACAAATCGTATAAATAAAATACTATGTTTTAAATAAGCTACGACAGTAATACTAACATCATGGGGTCTGATCATAGACCTGTTTATGCATAATTTTTAGTACAGCATATCTTTTAAAGTAAGGACGATTAAACCATAAAATACTTTTGAATAAAAAACTAATAAAACACTCACCTATTCCACTTATTAAAAAATAAAATCATCAAAAAATCAACCAATCTATCAATCAATCAATAATCAATTAAAGTATTTAATTAATTATAACATTATTTATTTATTAACTCATTTTCCTATTAAATAAAGTATACAAAAATATATTTATTTTAAATTAAATTTTTAAATTAAAAATTAATTAAATTTACATAATTATTTATTTGTTTATCCTGTGTGCATTCATTCATTTAAACAAATATTTAATTAATAGTTTTGAGTTTGATAATTATTTTTTATCCACCTTGATTTCTTACAATATTAAATTAAGAATTCAATTTTACAAAATGTTTTTGGTTTAATTTAATTTTTTTATTTTTTGAACATTAAAATTAAGGTTATTTAGTTAGATCTTTAGTAAAAACTGTATTATTTTCAAAAAATATTTTAGATTTTAATTTATTTTGAGATCAATAATTATATATCGGGATTAATTAAATTTAAAAAATTGTATTTTTACCAAAATTATAATTTAACAGAATTATCATTTTTACTATTTGTTCATTCATTTTAGATAAAAATAAACAATTTCTACTTAGAATTTAAGAAATTAAGTAAAATTTTCAAGTTAAGTTAATAAGTCTAATTGTTCGTTGATAGATGCTTAGCCAATTTTATAATAATTCTTCTTTAAGATGAATTAACACATTTAAAGCAAGCAAGCAACATTTTAATTTTTAACAAAGATAAATTCTTTTTAAGACAAAATAGAGAGACATATAGACAAAGAATGTTTGTGTTATTAAATTTATTAGACTTTATAATATTTAATTAATTAATTTGATTTTTAGAGAGAAGGTTTAGCTCTTTTTATAGCTTAAGTAGAAAAAGCAAAAGATATTTATAAACAAAGGAAAGTTTAAATTTTGAAAAATGAAGACTTGCTATTATGAGCTTCTAGGTGTTGACAGGAAGGCAACAGATGAAGAAATTAAAAAGGTAAATAAAAAAATTTAAGCAGCTCATTTATTTTAAAGGCTGAGTTAGCTAGAAAATTTGTTTATTAATGCAATGAGAAAACAAAATCTAAAAGGATTATTTTTAATTAGGCATATAAAAAAATGGCTTTAAAGTATCACCCAGATAAGAATAGAGAAACAGATACAAAGGAAATCTTTTAAAGTAAATATTAAATGGTTATTTGCTTTTAGAAAATGATTATAATTGTAAATAAATAGATCTTATAGAAGCTTATGAAGTGTTGAGTGATCCAAATGAAAGAGCCTGGTATGATTCACACAGAGAATAAATTTTGAAAGGTACAGGGGGAGATGACATGAGTAAAGAGGAAATGGAATAAGCAACATATGGTTTTAACATTTGGCCATATTTTAGTCATTCATGTTACAAAGGTTTTGATGAATCACAAGAAAATAATTTTTACTAAGTTTATACTGAAGTTTTTGATAAAATAAAAAATGAAGAATATACTGCTTATCGTTTCTAGTAGGATTTCAATGATGAAGAGGAAAAAGTAGAAGAATATGTTGCTCCTCCAGGTAATTAATTATCTTTTAAAATGTTTTATATAAAATTAAGGTTAAAAATTCAAGATATTACTTTAAAAGAGGAATCTTTTATGATTCAAAAAAAGCAAATAGGGATATTTTCCAAAAGCTTAAAATGGCTTTAAAAAATATTATTTTTTCAAGGAAAGAATAAAGCTTGAAACTAAAATTTAGAAACAATTCAATATAAAATTATGTAGAAAGAAAATGTTTGATTAATTAATAGTTTGATTATGAAATAAATCATTTAAATATTGCTTAGAATGAGTGATAAAAAGAATTAATTTATTTATTGATATGTGTGATAAAAAAAATTGATTTTAGAATTTATTTATGATTTTTTGAAAAAATAGATTTTGGCAATACTAAATCACCTTTAGAGTAAGTTTCTGCATTTTATAAGCATTGGGCAGCTTTCACTACTTATAAATCTTTCAGTTGGTGCGATACTTATAACATAAATGAGGCTCCCAATAGATGGGTAAAGAGACAAATGGAAAAAGAAAATAAAAAAGAGAGATAGAATTAAAAAAAGCAATATGCAAAAACAATCAAGGAGTTAGTTGAGTTTTGCAAGAGAAGAGATCCTAGATGGAAAGATATTTTGGATTAACAAAGAAAAGATGATGAAAAGAAGAAAGAAGAACTTAAGTTAAAGAAAGAAGAAGAAAAGAAGAGAAAGGAGGAATAAAAAATTAGAGCTAGAGAAGAGGAAGAAAGAAGATGGGCTGAGTTGGATGCTGAAAGATAAAAGTAAGAGGGAGAAGATGACAATGTTTTACCTGAGGAAGAACAATACATTGAAGAGTTTTATTGTGAAATATGTAATAAGGGGTTCAAGAGTGAAGCTTAGCTTTTAAATCATAATAATTCTAATGGCCATAAAAAGAAAATGAAAGAATTGCTTGATGAAGTTGGTACTTAGCATGAAAGAGACTAGTTCTAATAATAAATTGACTAAGCAAAGCAATCTTTAAATAAGAATGTTGAAGTTCCTTCAATATCAAAGAAGAAAAAGAACAAAAAGAAATAAAAATCATAGCAAAATGTCAGCAATAAAAATTTAGATAACAATTCATCTGATGAAGAACAAGCAGAAGCAGCTGAAGAAGTATTGTCTGATGAGTTAGAAGCTAAGAAAGAAGATAAAAAAAAGAAAGATAAAGGTAAAGCTAATGAAGCTGATACCAATATTAAAGGTAAATAGAAGAAAGTAGAAGAATAAGTTGAAGATGAAATTGATTTGAAGAATAAAAGTAAAAAGGCCGTTAAAGGCAAACAAAAAGCTGAATCAGATGATGAAGAAGAAATTGAGTTGAAACCAAAGGGTAAAAAAGCAGGCAAAGGCAAACAAAAAGCTGAATCTGAAGAAGATGAATAAGAAGTTCAACAAAAGAAGCAAGAAGAAGTTGAGGACAAAAAAAATAATAAAAAGAAAACTAAAGGAAATTAAAAGGAGGAAGAGCCTGCTAAAAAGTAAGCAGTTGCAACTTATGATGATGAAAGTGAAGAGGAAGAAATTTATTAATCTAATAAATAACATGCAAAGAAGAAAGAAAAGTAAGCCAAAGAAGAAAAAGCTGCTAAATAAGAAGAAATTACTAAGGCTTCATCAAAAGCTAAGAAAGGTAAACATGCTGAAGAAAAAGAGGAAGATAAAAAATTACTTAAAGAAGCTGCTGCAAAATAAAAAACTTAAAATTAACCTGAATAAACAAAGGCTAAAAAAGGTAAAAAGCAAGAACAAAAAGGAAAGCAAGAAAGTGAAGATGATGATAAAAAAGAATAAGCTGAATTTGAAATGTCTCTATTTGTTTCAAAGAAGTAGTCAGATATTAAAAAAAATTAAGATGAAAATGAATTAGATTACTCATACGATTCAGATGGAAATAAGTGCAAGAAAGTTAGCTCTAAGAGTTAAAATAAATAAAACACTGAAACTAATTCCAATAGTGATGAAGATTAAGAAGAGAGTAGTGATGATGAAACTGATTTCAAAGGCAAAAATAGTTAGAAATTAAACTAAAAAAAACAAAATGATGAAAAAGAAGAAGAAGATGATGGATGGTAAAGTGCTAAATTTACGACTAAAAAGTAAGAAAGTAAGCACAACCATGAGGCTATGATGAAGAAAAAGCAAGAAGAGAAGGAGTTAAAGATAAAATAGTAATAAGAAGAACTCAAAAAGAAGTCTCAGTAATAAACTAAATCAAAAAAACAATAAGAAAGCTCAAGTGAAGAGGAGGAGTCTGAAGAGGAATCAGATGACAGTGATGATGAATTAGCTAGATTTGCAATGAACATAAAGAAAAAAAATGATGATGATAGTGATGATGAAGGAAATAAAAGAAAGGGTAAAGGAAAAAGAAGTAAGAGATTGCAAGAAGAAAAGGACAACTTTGATAAAGTTTAAAAGCAAAAACAAATGGAAAAACTAGATGATAAAACTTACAACAAAGTAATTAAATCCTAGAAAAAAACTGAAAAGGAAGAGGAAGCAGAAGCTGCATAGCAAGCAGAACTCAACAAGGCCAAGTAAAAAAGAGAAAAGAAAAAAGAAAAAGAAGAAAAAGAAAAAGAGCTTGGTTAATTTAAATGCAATACTTGTACATAGCGTTTCTAATCTAAAACAAAGTTATTTGCTCATATCAAAGAAACTGGACATGCTTCAGTAAAAGCATGAAAAATAATTTTTTTATATTATTTATTCTCTACTTGTAAATAATTCTTTTCAAAAAATATTCAATTATTTATTCATTCATTTCTCTTTAAAATTTACTCAAATACTTTACTTGATTTTATCTTATTTGATTCACACAACACGTAGAGTTAGCTTTATTTATTTATTTTATTACATTTCATAGTATCAAATTATATTTTAAACAAAATAAAATTGGAAAAATATTTATTGAAATAGAATAAGTAAAAATAAAATAATTTTTAAAAGAATTTTTAGAAATATATTTTTTATCATATGAAATGCGAATTATTTTATCACATTTGATAATTTGATTTATTATTTCAAATGTTTTTTAAAATAAATATTGTTTGGTAATAATATTTTTGGAATAAAAAATCTTAATTTGTTTATTTTATAAATTTTATCTTAATTTTTGTTTTTAATAAACATTTATTTCTAAAGTTTGGATTGATCCATCAAAAAATGATGAAAAAAATATCATAAAAATTAAAAAAGTAGGAAAAAGAAAAAATGATAAATATTTTAATTACTTACTTTAAATGTGCTTAATTAAAGTTTTGCAATCTAATATTTAAAATGAAATTTAAAAGCTTAAGTAAACGAAATGCAATTATTAATTAATTAATAGAGGTAAATTTAAATAATTATTAGTCTAACAATTTTATCAAAGATAAATTCTAAATAAGCATTGGTCAGAGCTTACAATATTTTCAATGCTTTTGATTAAAATTTGAAATATATCATAAATTACTTACTTTCTTTTTATATATTTATTATAATGTTTTATTTCAATACTTTAGAATCTAGTTAGCAAATAATCATACAAATGAATAAAGATTACAAATACTGATAAATATGAATGAAATATATTCATTCATTATTAGTTTGAATTCAAAATTATTATTACTTTAATAAAATATTTTTTTATATTTAAAATTAACAACCAAAGAATGAAATATATTTAAATAATATTTTTATCTTTCAGAATAATTTAAATGAATATTATTAGTTCTCTAAAAAAAATGTAAAATAATAAAGCATGATACTCATCTTGCACTTGTTTTATATTATAACCTACTTTCAAGTACGAATTTGTATATATTTAATTATATAAAAGCAAATTTTACTTAATATTTAAGAGAAGTTTACAAGCAAAAATCACGTAAATCAATAAAGGTTACAAATATATAAAAAATAAGATAAATATTTTGATTGGTTTAAATATAATACATATATATTTGTAAACAATTAGAAAAAACTTTAAACATAATTACTAACTCACTATAAATAAACTAAGTGGAGGATAATTACTTTACTATAAATTTATTTATTTCATTTTTAGTCTGTAAATTTGTTTAAAAGAGAATAATGCAAATAAGTAATATTAATTCATATTACCAACTAAGTCTACAAAATTTAGAAGATTTTGATAATTTGTTCTTTTTAATTAAAAGCTACCTTTAAGATTATCAAAGTATTAAATGATCAATTTATTTATTTCTCAAAAATAATTACTATCACCTAATTTTTTATAGCTGAATGGATATAAATAAACTCTTAAATTTTCCTTCAATCTTATTTTTGAGTCATAAAAAAATTCTAGATATTTAAACTTTACTTTTTATAAATATTTACTTCATCATCAAATATCATACTTATATTTAATTAGCAAATTTATTAGCATCTAAATTAAAATAAATAAAATTTATTAATATTTTCAAAGAAGTTTTTATTTCATAAAATGATTAATTTGAGCAATTTAATAAAGATATTTATTTATTAGCTTGTTATTTTTATTATAGCATTCATTAATCTCTTTTTGTTGTTGATTTACATTTTTTACAAAAATCTACAGATTTTAAATTATTAATTTCGTTGATTTGTTTGTTTGTTTCTATCTTTCTTTTTTTAATTGAAAGAAAAAGTAAGGTTAAATGAACAAAAGTAATATTTTTGATATTAAAAATATACTCGTATAACCAAACAAAGGAGCTTTTTTATAATTTAATTATAACAATTTAGGAAGAATTCTATCTGCGCTAAATAATCCAGCTATATTTATTTGATTAGAAGTTATAGTGTTTTAAAATAAATAAATGTAATATAATGAATTTAGGAAATTAATAATAGTAATTTAATTAAATTTATGATCATGCAAGTTTACATTACGTATTTACATAAATTTAAGAGTTATAAATTAACTTTTAATTACACTTTTTTATATAGAAATAATATTATATTTATATTTGTCTTAGTTTAATAATTTATTCCTCTTTAATGGATAAAATAATAGGTTTAATCAATTTTGATTGACGACATAATATTTACATTTATTGATTCATTCTATTATATATAAATAAACAGCTTTTGTTTTATATTTAGTGATTCATTCAAGATATAAAAAGAATTATTATCAACACAACAGATTTAATATTAACTATTATATTATCAGCTCAATAGCGCAATTTGAAAAAATATTTCTAAAATTAATTTATCCTTACACTTATTTGTATGTAATGACTCTTCTTTTTATTTTTTTATTTTTTAGCTAAATTCCTTAAAATATATTAAAATAAATAAAAGAATATATAATAGTGTTAACTCTTTTAGTTTTAAAAAAAATGAAATATGGAATTTAATAAAGAGTTGATGGATAAAATTGAAATTATATTCTATAATTTTTCATTTAAAGCGCTAAGTAAAGCTAAAATATTTTAGGGATTGGAATGAGTAAATAAATAAATAAAAAAGAGAGAAGGTTTAATTTAGCAAAGGTGTAGACAGAGAATTGCTACAAAGAATAGAAATTTAGCAAATTGAAAGTTGAAAAAGTGCAATTTAAATGGTTTTGAATAGTTATTTGTTTATTTTTTAGTTTTAAGGCTTAATTTAAAAATACGAGCTAATTACTTTGTTTGGATGATTGCAAAATAAGATTTAGATTTTTTTGTCGGAAAGGTTAATATTTATTATTTTTAATTAAGAAACAACCACATTTAAGAAACTAATTTTGACGAATGTCATGGGAATAAATTTTGCATTCAAAATTACAACTTTTTAATTTTTGATCTTTTTTAATGCTTGCACAAAAAAAAAGAAAAAGTTAGAAGATTAAATAAATTGCTTTCTAGTTTAATAAGGAATAGAGAAAATATGTATAAAAATGCATGCATTTAATTATGCTTTTTTATATATCTATCCTTCATCAAAGAATAAGTTAAAAAATCAAATTAGTTAATTAAATTGATATCTAAGTAAGATTAATAATATATATCTATCTATCTATATATGTTTTGATAGGATTTATTGTAAGATCTAATTTAGAAGTATTAATAACCATAATAAATTTGTCATGTATTTAATAAGGTAACTAGATAAAAAATACATGCAGAAATATTGATAACTATTTAGATAGTTTGATAGTTAGATAGATTGCAGCTAGCTTTATATTTTTTCATTGTTGCTATTGTTTTAATTAATTATTAATCGTCAAAAGAAATGACCTGCATATAAGTTTGATATAAATCATACATCAAGTAAAATAACAAAGAAATATATATATATATACAAATAAATACTTGCTTAATTCTTAATCAAGCAAACTTATAAATAAACAACAAACAAACAAATAGAGAAACATACATTAAAAAAAGGCTTTTATAGCTAGTTTTTTAGAGCATTTTAATAAGCTTTTCGCTCAGTTTAAGCAAGAGATTTTTTTAAAGTTGAAAATCAGGATTTAGTTGCTAGGAGATTTTTATTTTACATATTTGGATAGAATTTAAAGTTAAATAATTGGGAAATTTCGTACCTTGGATCGATTTATTGATAAATTATGTATTCGATTGTGTTGGATAAAGGGACGTCTGAGCGAAAGCAGTTAGTAGATATAAGTGAAAGAAGTTTTGACTTTAATTCAGTAACAGAAGAACATCATTTTTCCATTTAGAATTCAAATTAGGATAAATCTGCTTTGATAAAGTTTTTATGTCCTACTCATTTTTAATATCTTTTGAGAATTAATTGTCTTGAGTAAGAAAATTAGGACTCAAGTCGTAGGAATTCTTGCGAATAAATAGAGGAAGCTGAATAAAATAATTAGAATGAAGGAAGCTACGAATACTTTCCTACTTCTAATTCAATTGAAATATTTGCCGGAAGAAGTGTCGATTTTATGCTCTGTTGGAATAATGAGGGGATAAAAGATTTAGAAATCAATTCAAATTTACAATAATTTTAGTCAAATATAAATAGAATATCTTAATAGGACTAAAGTTAACAATTTTTAGACTAAGCTGAAGGAAGCTTCAATTAGCTAGAAAATTTTGATGGAAATGGAATTATTAAGTTGTAACACAATAATAAAGATAAAATAGTTATTATTGTTGCACCACTTGATTAAAATATTGTTGATGATTGTGGAAATCAAATTCAAACACAGGAAAGTTTTGGAATATCTTAAAAGATAAACTAGAACGATAAAAAAGATTTTTAAGAGACCAATTAGAAAATGACTTCAGGCTCTACAACATCCTTGGAAAGCATGTATGATAAATACAAGTAGCGGTGTTTTAAGGTCATATCTGGAAGTAAACAAATGAGAATATGGGCTAAAATAGATAAAAAACAAATCCACAAGTAAGAGCTGGTCATCAACAATTTCTTTTTGTCACACAATAATCCTACTTATTCTTGCTTGTATGTGTAAAAGATTATGGAATGCTCAATTAATACAAAAGGACATTAAGCATAGCATGGAATACAAGAAAACAAAGGAAGTAGTGAGTTAAATCAAAAAGGAAGTGACGAAATGATAGGTAAGGAAGATGATAATAACAGATTAGATGCAGAATTTCGATTAGAACATAAAATTAACATTAGATTGGACAGAAATAGAGCAACTGCTAGAACAAATATAACCCCTTTAGGTTCTTGTGAAGGAATATAAAATTTAAGAGACTTCTTTTCTAAAGAAATAATAACATATAGAGATAGTAACTGTTAGTGCTGTGATGAGCCGATTTAAATTTGCTGCTAAAATAACTTGAAAATAACAAAAGAAGAAAAGGATATAATTTCTATGCATGTAAAAAATCAAATAGATTAACATTCGTCTATGGTATTCGAAAACAACACAGTCTTGTATTAATTTAGTAAAATCTCAAAATCACTCAAAGAATTTTTCTCTGATGTCTGGGTTTTGCAGGAAGATTAAACTCAAGATTTGGGAGTCTTTAAAATTATCTATTTTATTGTTGGAAAGCAGTCTAGTAAGAATTATATAGCAATTCAAGAAAGACAGCAGAAATTAAAGTCGAACAAAACTATCAGAAACTGTTTGTAGTCCTAAAACCCATTTGCACAGCAACTGCACAGATATAGTACAGCTATAAGCTAAACTAGTCAGTGCTCTCCTTCGATCAAGGGAGTTTCAACATCATATTCTTCAATTCAATCAAACACACTGAACTATATAAAAACAGGTAACTTTTATTTTCATGAAAAATTAACAATAAAATACATACAATAGATAAATGGAGTAAAAGAATAAATGCAATTAATTAATTTCTAAATTTGATTAAAAATCAATCCAAATCAAATCGGACTTTATAAAAATTTTGCTTGAAAAAAGCTTTAAACAAAGTTAAGACTCAATGCAGATTAAAAAATAAGATTATGATTTGCAAAATACTTTGGTTTTTAATAGAAATTAATTGTATTTGGAGGGGGGATTTTTAATATATTTTTATTACTAGCTTGTTTATTTAATTGAAATATTGGTCACAATAATATTTGATTAAGTAGAGATTGAATTTTCTCGTAAAACCAAAGCACTTGAATTACTTTTTATTTTTGTTTTTTGTTTAACCAATGAATTGATTGATTGATTGTTCAATTTTATCTATTGATCAACTCTAACAAAAATCTTTTCATGAAGCTCATTTTCAATTCTAAGTGGCATATTTAAGTGAAATGCAACAAACAAACAAATAAACAAATAAATAATCAACCTTACTTCTTGCATAAAAAATAATAATTTCTTTTATCATCAGTATTCAACGTTGAATTAAAATTTCCTTCAATATTTATATTAATTTTTCTTTGATATTTATTTTTAAATTCCCTTCATTTATTTTTATTGAATTTCTTTTATTTTGTCTTATTTAAAAATTTTTTTGATGAATTTTCTGAGCGGAAAAAAGAAAGTAAATAACCATTCTAATCCTTATTTTAAAATTATATTAAACTTTTATTATTTTAAATGAAAGCTATTTTATTTACTTTGAGCTGATTGCATTCTATTTATTTTATTTTCTCTTCAATTTTTGATTGAAGAATCCTTTAAATATTCTTTTTTGAGAATCTTCAAATATTAACTTTTGAAAAATTTTCAATTGTTGAGCAAAGTATGGAAAAATATTTTAATTTACCAACAGAAAAACAGCGAAAAAGCGAGATATTTGAATAATAAAACTGAATTTTAGGAAATTGGTAAATTTAAATAAACATATATTGCTTTTTGATGATAGTTTAATAAAAGATATTTTTGTAAAGCCTATACTAGCTAGCATTTTGATTTCTCTTTGACTGTAAGCGGAGAAATCAATTTTAATAAAAAAATTTTTAAAAATTAACAAATCTCTCTAAAAATAGCAAAAACTAATAAATTAATTTGTTTTTCTCTTTGTTACCCCTGTAAATTTAATTTCTGATCATTCAATATAAGCATTTCCACAAACAAATTTGTCCCCAAAACTCATCTCAATTTACGAAAACCACAAATTGATGACAAAGCCAATTGCATTTCAACGAAACCAATTTATTCACTTCCTCCTCTTTTTAAAGTCTTTTTCAAAAATACAACTTTTGAAATTTTAAAACGCTTAAATTCAACTTTTTTATTTCACAAAAAATAAATTTTGAATTCAAATAATAAGAATACTAGTCTTAAAAATGTATTTAATTTGTCTATTTAACGCTTACTTTGAGAATTCGCTTAGACTAATTATTTTATTAATTAGCTTTATTTATCTATTTATTTATTAATTAATTTACTTACGTATTATGTTTATAATCAATCGTAGGAAAAAGCTCAGATGATCAGAATCTCTTATCAAGCGACACTGAAAGTGTTGAGAGCTCTTAATCTCCAATTAGAAATTAAGCAAGTAATCGACAGTCTCTTTACTAAGACGAAAACTGCAATGCAAATAATCGCTTTTCTGGTGAAACTTACTTTGGTACATCTTCTTCATCCCAAGTTAATTTCTCTGAGCTAAACACTCCCACTAATCAGAAAAAAAATTCTAATATAATCACACCTCGCTAAGTCTAAGACAAATAAAAAAATTTAAATCCTAATGATCCTTATCAGACTTGTACTATCAGAAATTCACCTATCATAAATGCAGAAGCAAACAAAATCAAAGAAACAAACCAAATACAAACTATTTATGAAATAGGCGGTGAAGAAGAAAATTCCTACAGGGACTAAAACCAATTCATGAGGAAGTAAAACTACCTATTTGACTTCCCTTCTACCATAGGTGTTAACAACGATGGAGATGAAAAATATCGATAAACTGCCCCTGTCTATGATATGAATCAAAATGCTTCTATACATATTGCTATGCATAAAAGTTGCATACCTGGCAAAGACAGCTCTGACTTAAACTATTTTGAAAATGAAGACTTTAGAAAGAGCAAACTGAAGTAACCGAGAAGCAAAAAAGAAGGCAGTATAACCACAGAATAAAAAAACGTTAAGCACATCATGCTATCTGACGATTCTCTTTATTTCATTACTACAACTGAGTGTGGTCTTGTTACTGTTTGGAATATCTCTACTCAAGAAAAAACCATCTTTGATGACCATAAAAAAAGCTGTGATCCCTCAATAAATTTTTTAAAATCAATGAATGATGGAGATCGATTCATGACAGGAGGTAGTGATAAAACTATAAAAGTATATTCCCTCAAATCTATGAAACTTATCCATACTATTATAGTTGAAAGAAAAATTGTTTATTCTGCTGCTATACTTCCAGATCTCAATATGATTGTCGTTGGAGGACTAAACATCAGCAAACTAGGTAATTAATTATTCATTTTGATTTATTAGTTTTATTTAGTTTAATGAAGAACTAATAAAAAAATCATTTTAAAGAATTTTGAATTAAAAACAAATAAATAATTCATAACAATTACATTTAAAATTATAATAAAAAAATATTTTTTTAATAATAAAATAGCTAGCATTGGAAAGTCAACAACTAAAAGAAGAAATATCAAATTTTATAACTTATAGAATTATAAATATATTAAAAAGTTTAAAATACCCAGCTCAGAAAATGTGATAACTCACTTGGAATACTGCCAAACTAAGTAAAGTTCATGCTATTATCAAGAAGATGACAGGAAAGCCAAGAGTAATGTCACCATAAAATCTAACTACTAATATAGACAGTCAACGAGCGGAACAAAAACAGAAAGTTCTGATAATGAAGAATCAGATGAAAGGCAATCAGTTTAATCCATGTATTACAAAACAACCTCTTAACACAAATTAAATAAGTTCAATAATAATGTCTTAGCTTGTGTTGTATAGGGATCATATGGAAGCAGATTAATATTTATTCATTTTGGCAGAAAAGGTAAAATGGAAATAATCCTGAACTGTGAAATGCTAACAATCGGCATTTATAAAGTTCACAGGTTTTTTTATTCTCCGTCTATGTAAAAACTTATTTGTATGCCAAAGCCAAACGAAAAGAAAGGTTAAACTATTAACTACTTCTATGAAATAGATATCTCATCAAGAACCAAAATAGAAAGCTTAAAACACACTCCTTCTTTTGAGAAGCCAATTATAGATTTAAATTTGTGCTCAGATCAAAACATTGTAATTGTTATCCCTACTGAAAACTATTTCTATCTTTACGATGTCAAAGATCAAGCCATTATCGACAGATCAAATACACTTGATTTTCCCCCAAAACAAGCATATGTAAGTCCCCTAAACTTTGCTGCAATCCAGCTGGAGTCTGGAAACGGAAAAATAAATTTATTTAAACTACCAAGCCAAGTAAATAGTTGAGAAATGACCATTTTAAATATAAAAAAATACTAAAAAATTTCATAAAATGATAAAAGCAATTGTAATATATTAATTACTCAAACATTTTCAATTATAATCCTTTCTTAAAATTTAACAAAAATAAACAAATAATTAAATAAATAAATAAATAAGTTCGTACGTATTAAAATAATAACCAAATATTTTAAGAATTCTCTAAAAATAAATAAAAACGAAATATATAAAATTAATAACCATATTTAACTTCTTTTAATAAAAAAATTATGATCAAATAAACCATAATAAGTATTTTATATGACTTTAAATAAATAAAAACCAACATAAATCACCAATCATAAATAAGTAAATAAATTATATTAACTACATTTCTTAAAAAATATAAAAAAAAATAAATAAATATATAAAAAGCGCTTTTAAATTAATAAATAAATAAATACTTTATATCAATTATAATTTAAAAGAATAAAGCATTTTCATAATATAATCTATTTAAAAAATAAAAATATAACATATAAATAAATTTTTATAACTAAATTAATTATTATCAAACTAAAATTTATAAAAATGTTTTTATTACTCTTACTATTTAAATTGTATAATGATATTTACCAATAATTTTATTATTTCATTCAATAAATTCTACTTAAAGATCAAAAACATATATAACTTCTTTTTTTAGAAATATCAAAAATATTAAATCTTTTATATTCTTATATATTAATTTAGTTCTTCAAAAAACATAATTAATTAATTAAAAAAAAAAACTTTGTTTACTCAGGATTGTTAAGGAAACAATAAATTAAAAAATTTTTTGCCCACGAACTAATTATAGTAAAGATTAGATACTCATATTTATATTCTAATCATTATTTTAAAGAATTTTAAGAGGGGCTAGAGAGGGTTTGAGAGTAGCATGGAAGGGTGTCCAATTTTTTTTATTTAAAATTTTAGAATGGATAAATAAATTTTTTAAAAAATCTAAATATTATTTTACCCCACTGAAAATATAAAAAAATAGATACATTTATTTACATTTAAAAAATTGTAATTCAGCTTTAGTAAAATAAATTAAATTTTAAATAAAATTTCTAGAAATAAATTTAGGATAAAAACTATTATCAATTTTTATGATAAAAAAATTTGTAAAAAATTAGAAAATATTTTGTTATATGAGAATAAAATTAAAGATAAAAAAGTCAAAGCAAGAAAAAAATTAGTTATATTTATTATTAGAGTTTATGAATACGTAAAAGATACTTTAAGATTTATAGTATTTAATTAGTAAGAGGATTAATGAAAATTTTAGTAAGTAATTAAAAGTTCTATTTACATAATAGAAAGAAAACAAAAAGTATACAAATAAATGATTTATTTAATTTGAAATATAATATTTGATTCATAAATCACCTTAAAGCACTTGTATCTAATTAGTTATTATTGTTAAATTATAAATTTGATTTATCTTGCATAACAGTTGTGTCTTTATTTTTACTGCTAGCAGTTTCTAAAACATGATATTTTTATTTGATATCTAAAAGCTCTGATTCTGTTTTAGAGAATCTTTGCTTATATTTATTAAATAAATAAGCGAATACCATAATAAGTATGATAAAGATTAAGATAACTATTACTGCTATTAAACCTGCAACTGATACATTTTATCCATCAATCCAAATGTCATGGACAACAAGCTTGAAGTTAAAATCAGTTTGGCACATCTACCAAACATTGTAGAGAATTGGTGAATGGTAAGTTGCTAAATTGCAATCAGTTGAGTTAAAAACTAATCTCATGTTGCTTTCTCCAATTTGACTCTTCTAATCTGCTCTACAGACAAGCTTGGGAGGAATTTCTTATAATTCAATTCCGTAAATGCTCTTTTTAATAAAAATTGAAAAAATTGAGAAATATGCTTTAATAATTAGATGGTCTATAAAAAAATTATCAAATTAATTCCAGCCACTAATTAAACTTTCATTTGAAATAAAAAACTAATATCGCAATTAAATATTAAAGTGGGTTGAATATTTTAATCTAATTAAATTACATTGTCAGTGATAGCAATAAATGAAGTAGCTCCTTTATAAACTGATTATACTTATTTAACATCGTATTAATCAATTTCTTACAAGGCAATACCGTTTAAAAAGTCGCTGTGCTTATCTGCTTAAGGCACCAATTCTTTATTAATACCTTGATATAAAATTTTGTGATATCCTCTTCCTTGGATGAATGTGAAAAGTTCACCCATTTGAACATCAGTCCAAGTATATTCTGTGCTTGTAAAATATCTATTTTATTTTAAAATTTTTTCATGTAAACTAATATTAAAAGTTAAATATTTTTCTAGTCTACCTATTAATGAAATAGTCATTTGTCTCTATGTCATAGAAAATTTCAGTAACATAAGATCTTTCTACACTGTTTATTAATTAAAAATGAAATGATTTATTGACAGAATAACAGATTTATTTATTATTTTACTCATCACCGATAACAACTAAAGTGTGGTCTCCTCTAACGGCAATTTTAGTTGAGTTTTTAAGATTGGAAATTGTATGAACAATACCACTTTTCTCAAAAGCATTTTCATAAACAAAATAGATAATCACACCATTATTAGGACAAACGATATAAAGTCTATGAGAATGATCTGTGGCTAAATCAACAGCATTCAAAAAGTAAGGTAAACTAAGAGAATTTTAATTCAAGTTTTTAATAAAGTAGTAGTTTACTGATATTTCATTTTGAACTTAATATACATCAATACCATCTTCATCAACTGAAACAAAAAGATATCCATTAGAAAATTAGGCTGCACTAATTTCTTTTCTGACTCTGTAATCGCTGTTTTTGAATAATTTTATCTTAAATGATTAGATGTCTTCAATTCTAACCATTTCGAAGGTCAACATTGTAGAAGGGAGCAAAATGTGGACAAGTTTACCATTGTGAGAATTTGAAATGATCAGATTCTAGCTACCAGGAATGTATGGTGATAAGGTTTAAGGATCTATCTTGATCTAGTCCAAAAGGTAAATATCGAGACCCTTATAAAATACATATTCAGATTTAATGTAGAAGACCTATAAGTTAAACTCTGCATTCAAAGTAACTAAAATATTATTAAATGAGTGCATGGCTAAATATTCAATGTTTTTAGGGTTTATTGAAGCATCAAGTCTATCAAATTCAATATCAACTGAACGAGGAGTTATTTCACAAGGGTTAGGTCCTTTTCCTATTTATTTGTATTAAAAGTGTATAAATTAAATTTGATAATTTTTTTCTAGTTTAATGCAAAATCAAAAAAATGGAATATCTCTTTTAAAATCATTTAATAAATCATGTAAAAATAAGAAACGTGAAGATTTTAATAGGTTTGTTAATAAAATTTATTAGAGTTAAAATATTTACCTTCATAGTCTTGTATTTCCATGCTAAAAGTAGTACGGTAACCTCCATAGTCGAATTCATATTCTTGAGTCTCATTGTAGTGGATATCTTTAGTAACATTTTTTAGTATTTGATGATATCTCTTCATCTAACCCCACTTATATGGAATCTTAGTATGATTAAAGGTCATATCTATGTCAAAGTTCTAAGAACTTGCTTGCAATATGAGCAAGGAACAAATAAAAATGAAAATTAAGGGCTTTTACATCAATTAAATGAAATTTATTCCTACTTATTTTTTTATAAAAGCTTTTGAAAAGATTTTTTTAATTATTAATTTTCAGAAAATCTTTGGTGAAAATCTTTTCTTTTTAATTGGAAGGTAATAGTGTTAATTTTATTAAACCTTCTTCCTATCATCAGTTTACAGTTATTATCTTTTTTTTTACCAAATTACTGCAACAAATAAAAAGCGAACAAACCCTTTTCATAAACAGACATCTCAAAATTTGTGGTAAAAGTATAACTTTTATAATACTTAATATTGATTATAAATATAGTTATATAAAAAAATGCTAAATATTAGTGAATAAAAATAGTTAAAATATGTATTAATGAAGAAAAATTGTAAATTTTACTTTTATTTTAAAGTAAAAACCATTAGAAGCATATTCGTTCTCAATGAGATAAAATAAGCCATCAGATGTTTAATATCTTTCTAATCATTAAGATATTATGCATATAAACAATTATTATAAATTTATATATCAACTAAGGTAATTTACTAAATTTCCATAATTAATTAATAAATAATATTCAATATTATTTTTTAAAGCTTTTTAAAACAATTTTTAAAAAAGTATTAGAAAGTATAACTACATCCACACATACATTTTATGGAATATATTTAGTAAAAATTCGAATTTCGAGGCAATTATGAAAAGTACAAAATAAAATAGTTAGTTGCGCACTTAATTTACTTTTATTTTAATTTTTTATCGAAATTAATATGAATCAAATCAAAAGATTTAAACCATCCGAATTTTATTTTGAAGATAAAGTATTTTCGAATAAGTATTTTTATTAATTATTTAAAACATAAGTATCTATGATTAATCTATACAATAAAAATACAAAACTGCGGATGTTTGTCTATATCAAAGTATGAATAAAACAAAATAATAATTTAATTTTATTAATCACACAAAATTAAATTTTGATTATCAATTTTATAATTTTTTAAACTTTACAATTTATTTTATTGTTATTTTTACTAAAAGATTATTTGTTAATATTTTCTTAGGATATGCTTTTTAATAATTAAATATTTCTATTAAATAAGAATAAATACAGCATAAATGTAAACTTAATAATTATTCAAGTAATTAAATTTATAAAAATACATGTATGTACTTGAAAAAGATAAAAAACCGCTTTCGCAAATATGCACTAATCTCTAAATTTTGACACTTGATTTCAGGTAAAAACAGTTTATACAAGAAAACAAACCACATTTGTAAAAAAGATGGAATATTATTTGCTTTGAATTTACAAATATATTGATAATATTTTGATTTTATTTATAATTAATTTACTAATAATGAAAAAATGAATTAATTTACAACTAAAATGACTATAAAGTTAGATTTAGTAATGAAATTAATTTAGTTTTTAAATTTATATAAAGAAAGATAGATATAGCTGTTAAGAATAGTAATTATTTTTAATTTTCTTCATGATAATTTTGTAATGAAGGTAAAGCATTTAATAAAAATTTTAGTTATTTTTTGATTGATTGATTAATTTGTTAACAACTGCATTGAATCTATTACTTTCTAACAAATATTCAATTATTATAAAATTGCGATTAATTAATTCTTATTTAATGTTCTAAAATTTTTAAGATACTAGTAAGTAGTAAATTGAGGACTTGGCCATTTTAATACAAAAGCTTAAAAACGATTAGCTTAGCATCTCATAAAAGATTTAGGCTAGTGTTTAAAAGTTAGAGTAATAAAATTAAGAATTTTAGCCTCCTCATTTTTTACTTAAAAATTATAATCATAGTACAAATAATTAAGAAACCCAATCTTAGAATAAGGAGAATTAATTTTTTTTGTAAGAAAATGAGCACTGGAGTTTTAGCGAGAACTCTCAAAGCAAGTCTCCTACTAAGATAATTACTCTTAATAGCTCAATTACAAATTAAAATGTTAATGCAGATAATAAAAGTTAATAAATTAATTTTATTTACTTATGATTAATTAGTTATTATTTAACAATAAAGGTTAAAGCAATAACATAGCACAAGGATTTACTTTATACGGGTAAGATTCAAGCTATCAGCATCACTTTACTACTTAAGGATCTAATTTCTCTTTAAATCATGATGAAGACTATGAAAAAACATAAAATGGATTCATAAATACTACAAATGCGACCACAACAGTCTCAAACTAAGATTCACCTAAGAATAATTATCAGCATATTTTTGGAGAAAACCACAATTCTTTATTGAAAAATAGTAAATAGGAGAATAAGGATAACATTTTTATTATTTAGGACATTGAATGTTAAGTAGACAGTCAATAAGAGCTAATTTAATAGTAAAATAAAATGGATAGTGAGTCAAATAATTAAATGAATAAAGAAATTAATAATAAAGACTCCAAGAAATTGATAGAGGAAATTAAAAATCTTCAAAAGGAAAATCAAGAAATAAAAATATTTCTCAAATAATAATCATAGCAAATAGCCACCTATCAAGAAATCATAAAGTATAAGGATGAATAGCTAAAAAAGCAATAAGAGCTTGAAGATTCGATGAAAAAAATTATGCAAGGATTGCTTGAGTAACTTCGATAATCAAAATAATAGGTACAACTTTTGAGTCACCAAAAGCAAGAAAGCCAAAGCCTATTGTTTGGTCTTGAAGAGGAATACTAAAAAGTTGTTTCTGAGTTAAATTAAAAAAAAAACTAAATAAAATATATTCTAAATGAAAATATTTAGTTAGAAAAAGATATTGCAGAGCTAAAGAGAGATTATGAGCTGAAACTAGAAGAAAAATACAATTCCTAATACAACTAAAATTATTAAGCACAAATTGAATAATTGCTAAATATAGTTTAATAAACAAAGCCTTAATAGAAAGATAACTCTCAAAATATAATCTTAAACAGCATATAAAAGCAACTTACATAGTAATTAAGGTAAATAAATGAATCGGAATTGAAAATACAGCTACTAAGAAAATAAAATAAAAAATAAAAATAAAAACTTTTGCAACAAGCGATGAATAAAATGCAGTTAATTTTAATGTCTAAAAAGCTATTTTATTTTAAATAATTATGCAAACATTCATTCTAAAATAATATTTAAAAACTGTTACAGTGAGTGAATATTTTAAAAAACAATCTGTAAATATCAATAAAATTTCAAGTAATTTTTTGATAGCTTTATAGTTTAACAGAAAAACCACATTTCTAAAAAAATGAAAAGCTACTTAAAATTAAAAGCTTCCTTATAAATAAATTAAATATATATAACCTGTAAATAATAGTTTATATGAATCCTGTTTATTAATAATTAAATATTTTCTAAAAAATTATTTAAAAAATATAAAATTTTCTTATAAAAATTTAAAGAGGAAATTATAAAAAGAATACATTGATTGTTTCATATTTAATATATATTTATAATTGTTTATTTACAAATGAAATTATAATAGTTAATTTAAAGTAATAAATAAAGTTTTTTTTGAAACAGTAGGCATCTGTTTCAAACAAACAAAGTAAGTATTTATTTTATTCATTGAAAAAAGTAAATGTTTTGGCTTTTTTAAAGCTTATCAAATATTGTAAATGCATTTTGTTTGAATTTATTGCTTTAATGTTGATAAAAGAATATATTCAGGATCAACATAAAGGGTGTTATTCAAAGGATTTTTTATTTTCTTTGGGTCTTCAATGACTGCAATTTACTTTTACTTATCTGAAGAAAAACTATGGTTAAGGTTATTTATGATTTTACCACCTCCACTTATAATAATGGCTTAGAGTTCATCAATTAAGATATTTTTATATTAACCTTGAAGGAAGAAAGAGCAGTTTTCAAATAATTTGAATCCTTTACCCTTTTGTATGTTATATTATACATTGTCCAGGTTAAGGTTATTGTATTTCTTTTGGTCTTCTAAGGGTACTTCAATTAGATACTCACAGAAATCTGTAATTAATTCATCATCATCAATGCAATCTAAAATCCATCCCTTGCTGACAATCCAAGCCTTTTTGTTCAAACCAATTAAGAGTTTAGCTCTTCTTCTGAATTCTTCCATAACAACTACATCAAAGTCTTCTTCCTAGTTCTCTACAAAAACAGCTCCCAACTTAATCATTTTATTTTTTTCAGCGTTGGTCAGATTGCAATTGGAGAGAATGACTCTCACTTGTTTTTTCTGTTTATTGTTATTGTTTTATTTTGTATTTGTTTTTTATTCTTCTACTTCAATCTTTTTTTCAGCTTACATGATAGTAGTTGTTTCACATGAATTGGGACTTTTTATTTTCTTAGAAACTGAGTTTTTAGATGAATTAGAAGGAGCTTTTCTGCGCTTTATTTCATCCTTAACTATTTCTTCTTATTCTTCCTAGTTATCATAATCCTCATCAGCCAAATCATCAATTTCATCAGATTTTGATTGAGTTGATTCACTCAAAACTTAGCTATCGATATCCATAGCTTCTTTTTTCAGCTTCTTTTTATTTTTATCTTCATTGTTCTGTGCATTATTCTTTAAATTCCAAATTGACTATTTGCCCTGTTAGCTAGGTTAGATTGGGCTTTTTTTGGTGACAGCTTCCTCAAGATAGCAAGCATAAGTTCTTTCGATGTAAAAGGATTATTTTATTTCCAAATCATAACATTGATTGACATCCAATTCTTTCAATTTTTTATTCTTTTGCATTATCTGCATACCAGAAGTTAAAGGTATTATAGTTATTCTACCAGATTTATTGATCAATAGCTCGAAATGCATGGGTTTTATGAGCTTTTATTCTATTTAAGTAGTACATTTAATATTTGTTCCTATGACATTCTTTCCAGACAACATTTAAAAGATTTATTTATCGCTGGCCTTGTTTCCTGTTACCAAAACTAAATCGAAACTTTTCATCTTTGCTTAAAAGTTTTTTATTTTTTTACTAAGTCTTTGTTTTTCTTTTTGTTATTCTATTTAATTGAGGATGTTAATTAATGTAATTTTTATCAAAATATAATAACCAAAGAGTTTTTCAATATTTTTATTATGCCTCATAATTCAATTTTCAATTAAGTGAGCGCAAAATAGTGCTTTTTTCATACAAAATTTATAAGGCTCTCTTCAATCAATTATTTTTTTAGATATTTCTTAACTAAAAATTTGGCGCACTGCCAAAATTGATAGGTTCTCATCAGAAATAAATGCAAAATCAATTAAATTTTGAAATATTTAATCTATCTATTGCTTTTTTCTTAAAATCTATCTCATTTCTGATAAATATAATTGATTACCAAGCAAATAGCTATTCTTATTCTGAAAACTATTTTAATAGCAAATTAAATTATGTATACTTATCTAGTTTCACCTCATTTTTCAATCTATAAAATCAATAACTTAGAGAGCTTAAATACAAATAAAAAATTATTAATAAAATGGATATTATTTATTTTATAATAACTTATGCTAATTTTTAGAAATCAAATATTCAATATTATTTTCTAGCAATCTAAATAAAAAGAAACGAAAAATTGATTGATAATATGATTATTAAAATTAAATAAATATTGTGATTTGTGTTAAAACGTGTTAGTACGATATAAATAAATAAATAAATAAATAAATATTATTTTTTTATTTTTTATTTTTATTAATTTCATTTATTTTTAATCAATAAGATAGATCACATTATAAAAATTTATAATTTTTAAATTAGCTTTATTAAATCTTTTAGAAATTATTTAATTTGTAGCATTTTTGTTTGATTAAGTAATAAGTTTAATATTAGAAAAGTAAATATGAAATTATTAAATACACTTACCGTAGATTACCATATAAGTCGCAAAAAAAAATGTTTGTGGAATTTTGATTTTTTATTTGTGATTAAAATTTTTTGATTAAACTTCATGATAAATTTAGATACTTGTTTGCTTAAAATAAATATTAGTATATTTTAGTTAATTTAAAAAATATTTTTAAAATTATTTTTTTGTAAAATTACTAAAGAAATATTAGATATTTAAAAAAAATTGTATTGGACATAGTATAAAATCTTAAATTAATTAGAATTACATAAAAAAAAATAAAAAATGATTATTAATGAATGAATAATCTCAACTAGAAATAAATGATAGAATATTTTGTTTAACTTAATTTAAGTCTTGGCCTTGATTTAATTAAGACTTAACATAGCTTAGAGATTTTTTAGAAATTAGAACCCATTTAGATTTTTACTAAGCATAATTTTTTTCAAGGATTGTTAAGATTAAAAGAGTCATAAATGCATCATTACAGGTAAATTAAGAACAAAGTTATTAAGTAACACTCTGATCTAATTTAGATAATTTCATCACTAAATTCTCATCAAATTTCCAAATACCTTAAGAATTTACTTAATTCAATAAATCTTCTAGTTTTGGCAAAGACACTTAACCATTTTCTGAAAGCTTTTGAATTGAAGCATGCTATTATTTTATTTCATTAATTTATTTTCTGCATAATTAGTCAACTTAAACTAATTCTTTTTATTTTTAATCTTTAATAACATTTGAAGGACTTAAGGCTCTTTAACGAGAGGACATAGAAAAATTATTATTTAAATTTTTATTATCTTAATGAGATTCTGGTTATATTTGCTCTTTTTCTTAAAAACTTAAACAGTCTCCATCAATAACACATTCTGGTTATATTTGCTCTTCTTAAAAACTTGAATTCTCTTCCTCAAATTCACATTCATCATCATCACTATCTTGACAATCAGCTTCAAATAATTATTATTTTTATATTTATTATTAATCATAATCGTTTTTATGGTGCTAATGAGATTAAATTTTAGATTCATTTTATTGCTATTATTGCTGTTATACTGAGTTTTAATTATAATATGGAACTGAAGATTTCTAAATCATATTTGATTTACCAAATGAAGGAGGAGGAATACTTGAAGAAATAGCACTATAATTAGGTTTATTAGGAGGATTACTAAAAGTATTAGCATTACAGCTAGCTAGAGCAGGAGGAGGAGGAGGAGGAATATTAAAAGTATTAGCACTACAGCTAGCTAGAGCAGGAGGAGGAGGAGGAATACTACAGCCAAATGGAGGAAGATAAGAAGAGCTAGGTGCAGGAGGAGCGTTAAAATTCATTATAGGATCACAATAATTTTATTATTGGTATCCCATTTAATTATAATTAGGTATTTATTATGGGAGAGCTTATTATTACTAAATGGCAAAGCTAATTGGATTAGAACAGTATTAAAAGTTAGGTTATTATAAACTCATGCCAAATAAAGATCCTATAGGAGGAGGAGGTATACTACTTTCTTAATTATAAATCTATTATGTATTTTCATATTTTTTACTGTGGTTAAGATTTTGATACATTATTTTTTATTCGTCATTTAACGTTTCGATTACACATATCAAAGCAGTTTTTTTAGTTAGAAGCTAAAAGTCAATTGCCTGCTAAATTAACTAGCTATTTGAGTTTTCATCGATTTTTTCATTCAAATGGAATTATTTACCTATCTTAAAAACAGTCTATTGAAGTTGTGGATTGCAAGTAAAGCTGTCTTACATTTCCAATTTTATTTCCTTCTACACCTTTTGTTTTTTATGCGAGTCATAGTATTCTATCTATATCTTTTTTTATTATTCTGTCAAATTTTGTAACTCAACAAGAGGTTTGAAAAAGAAATGGATGTTTATTATTTCATCCTTAAAGACACATGGAAAATCTGTACAAGAAGGGTAAGTTGAATCAAAAATGCTATTATCATACGTTATCTTGAACTCATCCAAAGTTGGAGTTATACACAATGAAAGCATATTAATAATAACTTCAGATAAGTCACATTTTTGATCAACTAACTTTGAAATACCTTTTCCAGCGATAGCACTCTCTTTTATCAAATATTAATCTGCTCCAGAACCAAAACCAATTGAGTGAACTCTGTTGTATTTGTTATTTTTCTTAATTAGCCTTACTACTTACTAAGGAGAGTCTACTTCACCATCAGTCAACAAAAATATTTGTTTATTGTAGCCTTAAATCTTATTTTAGACAAATACATTATTTAGTGGATTGTATATTTCAGTACCTCCTAAATCAGCTTAGTATTTACTGATAAGTAAAATAGCTTTTTCTAAACTTTCACTAGTGTATTTAGTTGAAGAAGGAAATAACTTGTCAAAAGAGGAACCAAAACTAATGACATTGAAGTAGCTATCGTTAGGAAGACTCTTTAAAAAGAGAGTTAAAGCTTCACATGCTCTACGAATAGGTTACCCACTCATAGATCCACTTCTATCTAATAGAAATATGAATTCACTTCTTGAAGAGTTTAAGTGATCAATAAGCTCTTGATTTAATTTTTATTAGAATTCGTCACTAAAAATATCATCACCGTTATTTATTGCAGCTCTAATAGAATCATCAATTTCTTAAGTAATATCTTCATTAAAGTTAGGAATGAATGAGACCATTGCTGAATGACTTGCAGGAAGGATAGCACTCTTAACAGAATCTTCGTTAAAAATCTTGCTTGAACCAAAGATAACTTGAGGATCGAACATGCCTTCGTATGAAAATATAAGCTGAAAGTCTGTATTCTATTGCAAAAGAGCCTAACTCAAGTTAAATCTTGCTGTATTATCATCAAGAATTATTTTTTCGACTGGATAGCCTCTAGATTCAGCATATAGGATTTTACCTGTGCAGAATAAATCTAGAGTCAACACATTTTTACCTAATTTGGCTGAGATTTCATCTTCGCAGTATATTAAAGGAATTTGAGCAACAAGATACTTGTTTAGCAAAGAATTCAATTATTAAGAAAAAGTAATCTTTATTTCTACTTATTGACTAGGAGGTAAATTGCCTAGCTCAATTTAACAGTATTCCTAATCTTTTACAGAAGTGGTTTAGGCATATGAAACAAAGTTACCTTGGCTCTTATTTTCTGAATATTCCTTCTTTGCTTGATCTTTATCCTTTACAATACCTTTAATGGTTTTTTCGTTGTATTTAGCTTCAAATGATTCTAAACAAATTCCATCAAAAATTGGAAAATAGTAAATAGTTTCTGAGTACTCGCTGCTTGAATTGCTAACAAAATTCTAAGATAAATGAATGTTAAGAATATTATTTATGATTTGGCACTTATATTCAACACTTTTAAGAGTAGCAGGAACTTTAGAAGATTAAGATATATTAGATATCAACTAAAAATCTTAAGATTTGAGCTTAAGGAGTTTAAACATAGTATTTTTTGATGATGTTTATTAATTAATAATAAAATACCTGATTTGATGGAAATTAAATATTTAATAAATATTATATAAAATTGGTATATAAACAATTTATAGAGAAGCAAAATCTTCTCTAAATCCAAATTAATAACAATACAATAATTTACAATATAACTATGCGTCTCTATCAATTCTAATCCTTATCCCATAAGATATAAAGTAGACAAATTAATTTTTGAAGGTGACATCAATTTTGATTATAAAAATTGAAACTTGAATAATAAATTAAATGAATTGAAAATTTAGCTACTGGATGTAACATATCAAAAAATAGTCTTCATTTTTATCTAAAAAATCCTAGTTTTTATTATTAAATTTTGGGATAGAATTATTAAAAATATAATTTTCTAAATTAATATTGAGAATAATTATATCATTAAATAAATATTTTATTGATTTCATATATTTTAATACCTCTTTAATTAGTTTTAAATATTAAACTTAAATCCCACACATTTTTTAGTAGCCCAATAATTTAAGAATTTTAAAATAAAAATATTTTTTAATCAATTAAATATTTTTATATTTTAATTTATTATTCATTAACTGTGAATTTAAAAATAATTTTATATTTCAAAAAATTCTTAAAATTAATTGATTTTAATGTTGAAATAATGAAAAAAATTATTAATTTGAGAAATTTATTAGCTAGGAATTCATTAATTTTCAATCATATTAAATTTAAAAAAAAACAAGAATGATATAATAGAAAAAATATTTTAATAATATGAAAGATGTAATTAGTTTTTTTAAAAATATACAGTTAAATTTATTTTTTATTAATTAAAAGCTTTTGATTTCTGAGCTTCCATCTCTTACTGACATCAGTATTGATCTAAGGTATTTTAAAATATTTATTTGTATTAATAAAATTAATGTTAGTTTTATTTATTTAATTCAATTGGTTTGAATTTTTATTATTATTTGAAAATTTATTTCATTAAACATGCATTTTCATATATTATTTGTAAGCAAATTTTTAATTAAAAGGAAAAACAAAATTTATTTCTCTTAACGTTTGCATTCACCTCTTTCAAAATGTACTAATCTCACAAGTTTATCTCTCAATTTAGAGTAAAATTGACTTTATTAAATTTATATTTTGGTTCATTTGTTTACTAAATCATTTCAAAATACATAAAATAAAAAGTGATAATGATATTGTTGATAAAGAAGCCAAGAATTTAGGAATTATCTTAAATAATTGCAGTAATCTTACGAATTTAATTCTTAGCCTCAAGTAAAAAATTATTAATTTAAATATAAACTTTTAATTTGCTTCTTTATTTTATAAATAACTTATAGATATATGAATAAAATAAATGTTATATATATTATAATTGCAATTTTAATTTTAAATATTAAAAGGAGTAATCAAATAACAAAAAAAGGTTTATCGTGCTTAATTTAATCATTAGCAAAATGTAGTAATCTGACTAGCTTAAAACTTTACCTCTAGTAAAAAGAGATATTTTTAAGTTTTTTTAAAAGATATTTAATGTTCTTACAAAATTAAGTATGGAAAGATAGTATTAATTGTTTGCTTTATTTTCATTTAAAATTAACTTTTAAAATCAAAAATAACATTTAAAACCATACATTAAAAAATCTTTAAATAAAGCACTAAAAATTAAATATTAATTGTAACATTAATTCTAATACTTGTAAAGAAAGAATTAAATTAGCGGATTCTCTATAGAAGGTCTAAATTCTGATTTAGATTTTATGAATCTTTCAACGCTAACAATTAGCCTCTTGTAAATTTACTTAATTATTTTAATTACTAATTTATTTTTTATTTATAATTTCCATTCATTTTCAATTTATTTTTACCTGATATAAAGTATTAATTAATTGATAAACAATAAATTATTTCGTCAAAATTTTTATAATTCAAAATAAATGTATATAAAATTATTCTAAGACAAATTTATATTATTTACTTATTCATTCATTCATTCATTAATATCCCCTCCCTTCTATTAATATTAGGATCAACTCTTAAATTAATTAAAATTTTGGATAAAAATGAAAGAATAAAAAGAATATATTTTTTTTCTTCTTAATTTTTAATTATTTTAAACAAACTAACTAAAAAACAAATAAATATCTTTTCATAATAAAATCAAAAGTTAAAATCAAATTGGTGATAGCGAAATATCAAGTTTAGGTTCTTTTTTAGTAAAATGTGCCAAATTATAAAATTTAACACTAGATATTCATACAGATTAAAAGTATATTTGTTTATATTTTTATTTATAATTCTAATACCTTGCTAATAAAAAGCAAACCAAATTAGTTATTTTATTTAATTTTATACACATTTCAACTGTTTGTTAAAAATTATATATAAATATATAAAAGTATTCCTTCTATTCAGTAAACTGGTGCTTAATTGTTAGGCTCTTGCATAGAAAATTGCACTAACCTCTAAAGTCTTTCAATCAATTTCAAGTATTATTTGAAATTTTAAATAGTGTTAAGAATTAAAATATAAAATTGAAATTAATTCATTAAAAGAAATAACTTAATAGGTCAAGAAGGTGGCTTATATTTTGGAAATAGTTTAGCAAAATGTACTAAACTCTAAAATTTATCACTAGATTTTACGTAAAAATGCATTTTATAAATTTCATATTTTTTTTTTTAATCTTTAAAAAAACAAATAAGTCTATTCAATTATTTTTTTTTACTTATTTATTTATTTCTTTGTTTATTTGGTTTTTACTTTATTATAATATTTTATTATTTCAAACTATATAATTAAAACTAATTTTTATGAAAGATTTAATAAAATTGGTGCCAAGGGTGCATCAGGTCTCAGTTGTGCTTTATAGAAACTGTCAAATCTTGAATATTTAACTCTAATCCTCAAGTATAAGAATAAATTTAAATTTAATAAATAGAATAAATATAAAACTCAACAAGATTTAGAATTATTTATTTTATTATTCTATTTTTGATTTAAGTACTTCAATAAATCATTTTATCCAATATTTTAAAGGAGTAATAGTATAAATAAATACAGTATCTAATCTTTATGCTCTGGTTTTTCAAACTGCTCAAAACTCTTGAGTTTGTCACTCAGTCTTGAGTAATAAACATTTTTTAATAATTTTAGATGAAATTTTTAAAGAAAAAAAGGAAATTTTATTTGATTTTCTGATGCTTGAAATTTTTGTTAGAATAAATGATATGAATCTATCTATCTATATATTTTTTTATAACTCTAGATTATTAATTTAATTAACAAAATTATATCAATTTTATATATAAGTTCAAATGACATATGTGATAAAGGTGTATTTACTTTAGGTCTTGCTTTAGAAAATTTAACTAAACTGTAATATCTAAGCTTAAACCTTAGGTAATATAAAAATACTTATTAAATTTATAATTTCGAGTCTGTCTTATATTATTTTAAACAATTTTATTAAAAAGAACAAACTTAGTGATTATTTGATTTAGCTACTTAAATTATTTTTTCAATTAAATTTTAATATAGATTTTATATTTTATCTCCAACTTATAATTAATTTATTTTTTTATAAACAACGAATATTTCCTCAAATATGAACAGTTCTTGTGAGATTGAAGGTATAGGTTTTGTATACTTAGGTAATAGTATAAAAAAATGTGGTTCTAACCTACTTTAGTTGTCACTTAATTTTTCGTAATAAATAAATATCTATTTTCAATAATTATCATTTTCCAATAAACCCAATTTTATTTTAATTTATATTAATTTAATGAGTGCCTATTTTTTATGACTGTAAATTTAAAAATATTTTTTAATTTATTTAAAGCAAATGTAAAATTGATGAATAAGCTTAACTAAGTTTAAATTCTGCCATAGCCAACTGTAATAAACTCTTCTCTTTGACACTCATCATTTAGTAAATATATTTTTGAGATCTTTTTTCTTTAAATTAACTTCAATAATTTAAAAAATATATTAAGAATTTATTTCTAATCATAATTAAACTTAAATTAATTTTTATTTGATTTATAATAATTATTTTAAATTTTTAGCAATTTTAAAAGTTAAAATGTTCAGATATTAGATTTGGTCTCTGTAATGGAAAGCTGCATTTTTCTTAAAAACTTAACCTTGCAAATTAGTGTACCATTTCAGATTTTCAGGCTTGTGAAAAAAAAGGTATTAAAGCTAAAGAGATTAATAAATAGAAATCTGTATAATAAAGATTGATAATTATCTTAAAATGACAAATTAAATTGAAATAAAAATATTTATAAAACTTAATTTTGTTATTAAATATTTAATTTTTAAACATTTTTATTATTAGTTAAATTTATATATTGTATTATATATAAGTAGGAAAATTCAATTTCATAACTAAGCTTTTCATTAAGAATAAAGGGGAATTTATAAAATTAATTATAATTCTATTTATTTTAGGTTAATTAAGTATTCTATTTACAATATATTTAAAAAAAACATATTATATTGTATAATTCAAATATTAATACACAATTATATACTTATTTATTCCAACTAATACTAGGGATTTTGTATATAATTTTGATATTTATTAATATTTTTAATTAATTAGTATATTAATATTTATTCAAATAGCTTATGCTAAAATAATAATGATATTAGAATCAGTTTTCTTCTTATCTCTCTTTGTGAATAATTTATAAATTTCTTTTAAGCAATAGTAAAGGTAAAGCTATTATAAAAAATAGTATTATTGAAAAATTTTTCACTATTTGTTTATTATCATTAACTATTTTAAAAGACAACTAATATTTTTGATTTAAGACACTTGCTCTTTATTTTTAATTCTTCTGATTCATTGATTTCGTTGAAACTTTTAATATAAATTCGTGTAAATTATAAGTCAAAATTAACAGAATAAAATGTATTTAAATAGTATTTTAAATAAGTAAATAAATAAAAAAAAGCAAAGAAAAATAAATCAAATAAAAAATTAATTAATTCAAATATTTGTATTGTTTTAAATCCATTATTATTGTAAAAAATATTGAAATTCTAAATAAATAATCTGCTTTTACCTAAGATCAAGCATCAAATTTAAGAGATTAGTGCACTTTGCTAAAGAAGAACCTAAATTTGATGCACCTTCAACATCAATTTCATTTTTACTTTTAAATATTGAAGAAAAAAAATTATTAATTAGTTAGTTAGAAGGAAAAAATGAAGAATAAATGAAATCAATGAGTTAATATTAAAAGTAAAAGCTGAAAATGAAATGAGGAACGAGTTAAATAAAAAAATAGGGAGAAATAAAAATACAATCAGAATAAAGTAGAAAAAATGATCAAATAAAAAGCTAATAATTAATAAATTTAAAGAGTTTGAATATAGAAATAAATATCTCTCCTGGTAATACATTAATATTAAATCCAAACTTTATGAATTTCAATTTTAATATTGTCTTAAATCTATTAAAAATATCAAAATCCAAAACAAATAAATTGTTATTACGAGAGATCAAGGTTTAAATTTTAGAGATTAGCACATTTTACTAAAGAGGAACCTAACCCCAAAACACCTTCATTACCAATATAATTTGCCCTATTTAAATATTGAAGAAATATTATATAATAAACAGAGTCTAAAATAGAGGGGTATTTTAGAAAATATTGGCTCAATAACTAAAAAACAAACTATCGGTTTGTGCATAAAGAAAACAAAAATCAATTTTACACATTGATAATAAATTATTTAATAAGAATGAAAAATGAAGAAAATGTTTGTGATAAAAAATAAACTAATTAGTAATCAAGCAATAGTTAAGAATATAAAAAACGAATAAGTTAAATAAAAAAATAAAAAAAAGAAAAATAAAAAAAATAAAAAACTAAGAAATAAATTAAAAAAGTTGTATTTTTTAAATTCAATTTTATTTTTAAAAATTTAAAAATCCAAAAATCCAAAACAAATAAACTACATAAGAACAAGTGTCAAATTTGAGAGTTTAGTGCAGTTTACTAAAGAAGAACCTAAGCTTGATAAACCTTCGTCACCAATTTAATTAAAGCTTTTTAAATAAGAAATTAATTTATAAATTATCAAAGAAAAAGTTGAAAATAATAAAATAATGAGCTAATTAAGAACAAAAATAAGAAAAGCACCGATAAATAAATTAAAATAAAAGATGGTTTAGTAAATAAACGAATAAAATGCAAAAATAATTGTATAGACAAACTGCTTTATTGTTTTATAATCATTTTTATATTAAAAAGTATGAAAATCCAAAACCAATAAATTATTTTTACCCAAGGCAAAGATTCAAATTTGAAAGGTTATTGAAATTTGCTAAAGCAGAACCTAAGCCTTATGCACCATCTTAACCAATTTGATTATATCTTTTTAATTATTGAATCAATAAAAAGGAAAAAATTAATTGATTCATAATCAAAGCAAAAGTTGAAAAAAAAATAATTGAGTAAAGTAAATAAAAAAACACTCTAAATCATAAAAAAAATAATTAAAATTAATAAAAAGCTAATTAGTAAATTATTAGAGTTATTTTTGTTTTAAATTCATTTTTATATTAAACAAAATAAATATCAAAAACAAATAAACTATTTTTACAAAAGATTAAGCTCAAAATTTGAGAGATTTAAGCATTTTGATAAAGCAGAACCTAAGCTTAATGCACCCTGATAACCAATAGAATTTCTACTTTTTAAATATTGAAGAAAATAAATATAATTAATTTGATAGAATGAAAAAAATGATATACCAAAAAATTAATTAATAATTAATACAAAAGTTGAAAGCGAAAAAATAAATGAGTTAAATTAAAAATAAAAAAAAAATACAATCATAATAAAAATTAAAAATTAGCCAAATGAAAAGCTAATTAATAAATAATTAAAGAGTTTAATTGCTTATGTTCATTATAATAATAATAAATATTAAAATCTAAAATATATAAACTGCTTTTACTTAAGAGATAGATTCAAGTTTGAGAGATTAGTGCACTATCCTAAACCAGAACCTAAGCCTAATGCTCCAATTTCACTAATATAATTTGCACTATTTAGATATTGAATAAAATAAATAATTAATTGGTAATTTAGAAGGATTAAATGAAGAAGAAATATGAAATAATAAGAAATTAATTAATATTCAAAACAAATGTTTAAAATGAAAAAAATGAAGCTAAATTTCGAAGAAAAAAAAGGCAAGCAATAAAAAATACAAAATTAAAATAAATAAATTCAAAGATTTTTATTGTTTTAAATTCACATTATTTTAAAAATATCAAAATTCAAAAAAACTAAACTGTTTTTACTAGAGATCAAGCTTCAAATTTAAGAGATTAGTGCACTTTGCAATAGTAGAACCTAAACATGTTGCAACTTCATCATCAATTTATTTTGCACTTTTTAAATATTTAAAAAAAATATTAAATTAAAACTTTCGCTCGTGGGGATTTTTTTATAATTAACAATAAAATAAGTATTTATTTTTTATTAAAGCTGAAGTATAATGACACTCAAAAATTGGAAAAATAATGAAAACCCAGTGTTAATTAAGATCTATTTAGGGTAGGTATAAAATTTATAATTTAGCTAGAAGGAAAAAATAAAAATATGAAAAAATAAGAAACAAATTAATTAATTTATAATCAAAAAAATTGTTTAAAGTAAAAATATGTCAAGTATTTAAGAAAATGTTTGTATAAATAGAAAAGAATAAAATATAGATAAAAGTATCTATTAGTAATAAAATCACAAATAACTTGAAAATTAAATATTAAAAAAAGATAAAAATAATAATGTTAATAAATTAGATATACAATAGATCAATTTCGAGAACTAAATGAGATTATAGCTCAGATTTTATAAACTTTTTTTATTAAAAAATAAAGTTTAGTAATATGAGTAAAAAAATAAATAATTACTTCTTCAAGATTATTAAAATATTATTTCTATTATATCATTTATTTATTTCTTTTTCAAAAACTTGATTAGAAATTTATGGATTTTTAATTAATTATGAATATATTAATAAATTAATTTACTTTTAAAAAGAGTTCATTTCGTTAAAAAGAACAAATAATTATTAGATAGATCAAATAATTTATAAAATTTGATTTTAGGAAAAAAAATAACAAAATAGATAATAAATCAATTATTATTAAATCTTAATCATACTAATTAATGTATATAATACAATATATAGTATTAGTTAGGTAGAAATGAGTATGTGAATATTTTTTAAAAATTAAAAATATTTAGTACATTATCAACATAAAAAAACAGAAATTTTTGTTAAAATAAAATTCATAAATAGTGAACATATTTATTCTATATATTTTTAATTAATATTATTGTGACTTTTTTAAAGTATTATTAAATTTCATTTAGAAATTAATTATTAGATATTTTGCTTCATTGAATTATAGTTTTGATTTTTATTTAGTTAAGACTTAACATAACTAATAGATTTTTTAGAGATGAGCACCCATTTTGATTTCTATGAGCTATAATTTATCTCAAGGATGATAAGGATAAAGAGAGTCATAAAGGCATCCTTTGAGGCAAATTGAGAACAAAGCTACATGATATTATTCTCATCTATTTAAGATAGATGCATTAATAAATGATGATCAAAATTCCATATTCCTTAAGAATTTACTAAATTCAATAAAACTTCTAACTTTGGCAAATAAGATTTGTTTTACATTAATCTTTTTTACTCAATTTAAACATTCTATTAATTTAGTATCTATGTTTTAATTGATGTATCTGATAGTTCAACTTTGGTTTATCCTTCTACATTTGAAATACCAGAAGATGGATACATGGTATTAAACCCTTTTGAGAGATATTAATTTAATTAGCAAGATTTCTAATCTTCTACAAAAGATTATTCTAATTCCTTATTAATGTTTTGAAGTCTATTATAGTTTTTATTTATACAACATTTATTATTATTAAGATATCTATTGATATCAATTTAATGTTGTTCTTCTACTTCTATTTCTTCTTCTTATTCTTCATCTTCATCTAATTCTAATTCGGATTCGGACTTTGATTCTTATTCTAGTTTTACAAATTCGCTATCAAAATAACAGTCAAACATTAAGTGAGGTTTAGGTGATGATAATTTTGAGTAATATTTCTCATCTTTCATATTTTAATGTATATGTTTGTGATTTATATTTTTGTATAAAATTCTCTATTCATCATTTATCTCTTCAATAAAGCATATCAAAGCTGTTTTTGAAGTTAGAAGTTAAAAATCAATTGCTTGCTAAATTAGTTAGCTACTCAATCTTTAATTTTAGATATTTTCATTTAAATATAATTACTTTCCTATCTTAAAAACTGATTCTTGAAGTTAGTGGTTGCTAGTAAAATTGTCTTGCATCTACAGTTCTATTTCTTTCAAAACATTTTGTTATTTATGAGAATCGTAATATTATATTTATATTTTTTTTTATTATTCTGTCAAGCTTTAAAATTCTAAAAGAGGCTTGAAAAAGAAATGAATGTTTATTATTTCATCTTTAAAAACGCAAGGGAAATCTGTAGAAGAGGGGTACGTCGAGTCAAAAACAGTGTTATCATATGTTATTTTGAATTCATCAAAAGTAGGAGTTATACACAAAGACAGCATATTGATAATTACTTCAGACAAATCACAATTTTAATCTACTATTTTGGAAATACCTTTTCCAGCAATTGCACTCTCTTTTATTAAATACTGATCAGCTTTAAAGCCGAACCCAATTGAATGAACTCTGTTATATTTGTTATTTTTCTTAATTAATTCTATTACTTGCTCAGAAGAATCTACTTCACCATCAGTTAATAAGAAGATTTGTCTGTTATATCCTGAAATCCTTTTCATGATAAAAACATTATGAAGAGGATTGTAAATTTCGGTTCCTCCCAAATCAGAATCATAATTATTTATTATTTAAACAGCTTTTTCTAAGCTCTCACTTGTGTATTTAGTTGAAAATGGGAACAATTTTTCAAATGAAGAACCAAAACTTATAACATTGAAGTAACTATCATTAGGGAGACTCTTTAGAAAGAGAATAATAGCTTCGCATGCCCTGCGAATAGGCTAACCCCTCATAGATCCACTTCTATCCAAAATAAATATGAACTCGCTTCTAGAAGAATTTAAATGATCTATTAGTTCTTGATTTAATTTTTGTTAATATTCATCACTAAAAATATCATCTCCATTGCTTATTGCAGCTCTAATAGTATCATCTATTTCCTAGGTAATCTCTTCATTAAAATTTGGAATGAATGAAATCATAGCTGAGTGACATACGGGAAGAATAGCACTCTTTACAGAGTCTTCATTAAAAATCTTACTTTAGCCGAAAATGACTTGAGGATTGAACATTCCATCGAATGAATAAATGAGTTAATAGTAGTCTTTACCCTTTTGTAAAAGAGCTTGGCTGATATTAAATTTCGCTGATTAATCATCAAGCATTATTTTTTCTGCCTAATAGCCTTTAGATTCAGCATAAAGGATTTTTCCTGTACAAGATAAATCAAGTGTCAATAAATTCTTACCTAATTTAGCTGAAACTTCATCGTTGCAGTATATTATAGGGATATGAGCAATAAAATATTTGTTTATGAAAGAATTCAATTATTAAGAAAAGATAATGTTTACTTCTACTTATTGACTAGGAGGTAAATTGCCTAGCTGAATTTTACAATAGTCCTAATCTTTAAAAGAGTTTATTTCAGCATATGTAACAAAGTTGCCTTGACTCTTGTTTTCTTAGTATTCTTACTCTGCTTAATCTTTATCCTTTATAATACCTTTAATAGTTTTTTTATTGTAATTAGCTTCGAATGACTGCAAGCTGATTCCATCCTAAATGGGGAAATAGTATATGGTTTCTCAGTATTCGCTGTCTGACTAGCTAACAAAGGTCTAAGATAAACTAATTCTGAGGATATTATTTATTATGTTACCTTAATATTGAATGCTCTAAAGAGTTGCTGGAGTTTAAAAAGATTTTTTAGTTGTTGAAGAGACAAACTAAAAATCTAAAGATCTAAGCTGATAAGGTTTAAACATATATTGATTTTTATAGAAGAATATCTGATGTATCTAATATTAATTTATTTTTTAAAAAGATTTATCAATAATTTTAATAGTTGATATTAATTTTAAGTATCTAAATTCATAAAAATAAAAAAATAAGATTTATTAGAATGTGTATTTATATTTAAACAAAATGGTTATTTACTTAAAGTAAAATAATAGACAAAAAATTTGATTGAGGGTGACATAAATTAAATAGAATTTATCAAAAAGTGAAACAATTAGTTTTAGAAACTTAAAAAAATGCTTTTTATAATTTTTTTTAATGTCATACCATCCTTTAACTTCGTTTTATTAATCTACTAAAATATGTTATATTCATAATATTATAATTCATCTCCAATATACTCTTCTAGATCTTCTTCCTCTATTTTATTCATTATTATTAAACAAGAATAATTAAATATGATCATCTACAGTAAAAGCTTCAATCTCAACATTATAATCATCACCAGGTTTACTAAAACAAACTCCAAAATGATAGTATTGTTCATTATTTATATTCCATTCATTCATTTAGTTAATATTTTCGTAATTAGGATAATCTGTAAATATGACAATCCCGTTCTCGATATTTATTCTTATTTCTATTTGATCTATCTCATCTCTTACATCCTTTAGATTTTTTCCTTTTAAAATTTTGTTTAAACCATATCCTCTGCTATCAGTATAAAAGCAACATTTTTCATTAGGAATAGTATTATAATCAATATTGGTTGTTTTCATAATACCAAATGCTATGCCATTACAGTCTAAAGATTAATTTACCTTGCATCTAAATATATAATTTTCACAAGGATCTAAACTGTCTGATGTTAAAATTTAACCCTTCAAGGAATATGGTTATTTAACTATATAAGTATTTTTTTCAGTCATTTCAAGTATCAAATCATCGCTAGATGCGATATTTTATTTTTCGAAATCTATTTATTATTTTATTAGATTGTCTTCTTCAAATTTAATGGTGTCTAAAATAGGGAAATCTAAAAATAATTTATTCAAAGTTTAGCTATTTAAAAGAAATTATTATAATATCAATCTAGAATTTAGTTATTGTGAAATTTAAAGGCACTCACTATTAGAATAACCTCTTCCAAATCTCTCTGACAATTAACATATTTTTTTTATTAACTTTTGAATATTATCAATTTGCTTTTAATTCAATCCATCAAAATCAAAAATTTCATCTCTATCTCCCTAAAAAATATGTTAATTTAAGAATAAATCATTTAGTATGTGTTCATAATCTTTAGCAACTTCTTTGGCATTTTAAATAAATTTATCACTACAAAAATTAGTTTTATTTTCAAACAAAGAAATTAGTGTATCAACACTTATTTAGTTAGATTATTATTATTCCTCTTACTTTTAATTTTACAGTTTATTTGAAGATTCTAACTTATTAATTAGATTTTAAACTTCTGATAATTGCTATTAAGTTAATTCTTCTCCATTCAAAGACTTTTTATCAGGAAGCAAATAATTTGAGAAATCAATTTGGTTTATGAATGGAAGAACAATTTCAAATTAATTAGACACGCTTTGTAAGAAATCTTAATCACAATTATTGAATTTATTGTTAATTAAATTCATCAGAGTTTTCTTGCTCTCGTTGCTTATATCATTTTTAACATTTTACTATTTTAATAAAGAATAAATAAATAAATAAAAATTATTTTGAAGTGAGACAAGAAAATTTAAGCTAAGAATAAAAACTATTTTAATTTAATTCAAAATAAAATTATTTAATTTTTATTTAAAATATTTAAAAAAATAATAATATACTTCTTTAATGAATTCTGATAATTTCTTAATTAAATCAACTTGATCATCTCCTAATTTATGAAGATCTACTTTGAATAAATCTTCATTAATATAATCCTTTATGCTCTAACTATCTATACCAATCATTACCCTTTTTAATATATCTTTTAATTTGCAGGCTAATTCTTTAGAGCAATAATTTAGCTTGTTACTAAGTAGTTTAACTATTAACTAGGTTGTTGTCATATCATCTATTTTAGCCTCGTGCATATTATCAAAGAAATAATCTAATTCTTCTTCATTTGTCTTTATTTTAAGTTCTTCCAAGTTTTTGACAGCAAAAATATCAATTGAATCTATAAGTTACTATAATTTCTAGCTGATTTAGTTTGCTGTATCAAAGTTTATCATATCTCTTTATGTTTGGAACTTATTGATCGTATCCTATAGAGTTTCTTTATAGTCTTATTGGTTATTATAGACTTTCACAATGATTTCTTTAAAAAGCTCATTTTATTTGTGAAAATCATCTTTTTAAGTAGTTATTATTTTTTTTAAATTTTCTTTTTCAGAAAATTGGTTATATTTTAATACTACCTACTCACTTATAGTCCAAAGATATTTAGCTTTGCTGCACATTTCATCTTCCTTTTGATTGATCTTTTGTTCTACTGATTTCCTTAATTTTTAGAAGTAATCTTTTATATTTTCTAAAACATTTTCTACAGTAGAATCACTTTTAAATATTTTCTATAGATTTTAATATAATTGATCATCATCTTATACGGGCCAATTCTAAAAAACAATCTTTTCATTATCTTCAATCAGTCTTATTAGATCAAGTGTATTTTATTTTGGATTATCTGAAAGACATGAAGCACATTACAAAAATTAAGTGGAGTTAGGGTTTATACTAAGTGAGCTAATCCAGTTAAAAGGATGGACAGGACAATTTTCATATGGCTAAGTTAATAAAAGTTGCTTTCCCTGACTTAATTTCAAGTTTTCAATGTTATTTAATTGATTCATTTTTACTTTATCTTAAGTTATTATGTTCCTTTTCTTTAATTTTATAATGTTGATTATTTTTGGAGATCAAATTAAATCAACTTTTTGTTTACTTTTATTTAATTATTATTATACATTTTGGATATATTTTTAGTATTTCATAATAGAAATTACTGTAAATAACAAAATAATTGAGAGGAAAATAAAATACTTTTTTATTTGAGAATGAAATAAGAAAAGCTTTTAATATGTTAAATAAAATTGATTGGTTTTGGTTTTTTAAGCTTTTTTTTTTTTTGTATTCTTAGCTTTATTTTCCTCATCTTTATTAACATACATATATGATATCTCATTTTTCTTTTCATTTTTGTTGACATACCTTAAAAAACTAAAAATTGAATAAAAAAAATATTGGTGATGTAAAATTTGTATTTTTATTTGCTGAAGAATTTACTAAAACTTTAATTGCTATCTAACACATTTATAATCATAAAAATTTACTTATTAAAATAAATAAATAAATAACTAATTGCATTATTATTTCTATTTATGATTTAATAATAGGATATCTAATGTACTTTACAATATTTTTATTACTTAATAATATATTTAATAATTAAAATTAAAATAAAAAAGGCTCTTTAGGAATTTTGCCTTTTGCTAATTTTTATATTTTTTTACAAAATATATTTTATTTGTTACAAAATTTCCTTTTTAAAGCTCACACTAATTTAGATTAATACATACAATAACACAATACATAAATAAAAGGTAACCTATTATTTAAAAATCCTATTTTATTAAAAATAAAAAATATATAAAAAAAGATATTAGATTTTTCAAAATTTTAACTATATTTTTTTTTACACAAATAATTGACTAAATTCGTTTTGATAAAATATTAATTAGATTCAAACATAAAATTAAAAAGGAATTTTAACGTAACTAATCATTTTGAATAATAATTGTTTTAAGCTAAATAAATAGTCATTTAATAAATAAAAATAAATATTCTAATGGTCTTTATTTGATTTAATTTAAAAAAATTTGATTTGTAATAAAATTATTTTATTATTTTAATAAAATTTGAAAAGAACTAAAAGATTAACTATCTATTAATATATTTCAACTTTTTATCCTTTTTATTAAAATTAAATAAAATTTAAATTGCAAATAAATGTCTAAATAAATATTTTAAATTAAATTATTCTAAACTATTTCTGTTTTAGCTTTAAATCTAAATATTTTGCATCTGAATATCATAAATGCCTTGCTTTATTTTAAGATATTTTGAAAGATTTTATTTGTTTTAAATAAGAAATTATAAATTTAATTTTCAATTAAATGTATAAAAATGGAAATTTACTCAATATAAAAATAATGTAGATATAAAAATGATAGATAGTTTCTAATAAATTATTAATAAATATATCATTTAATTTTCATTTTATTTATCAAAATTTGAAAAATTTTGAAGATACACAATTAATTTACTAATTAAATAAGTAAATGAAAGTGTCTTAGATAGATGAAACCAATCAATTAATAATTTTACTCATCGCTTTAATAGAAACAAAGGATTATAAATTTCTAGTTTTTTTTGCATGATTGCATATAATTTAGATGTTTAATTGATAATCTTAATTATTAGTAATAAATAATTTACAAACAAATTAAGTACTTTGTTAAAATTAGAATGAGTGACGATATAAATAATAAATTGGTTAACTATTTAATTCATAAACCAAAAGATTAAGTTATAGATAAGTTTGAAGAATATTTTAGCTTTCTCAATAATGACGAGCCTTCATGGATTTTATACGAAGGTATTTTATATCCTTCAGTAAGTGTAGCATTTTAAGGGGCAAGAGCTTAGGATTTTGAGATAAAGTAGAAAATAGCAGATGTAGATTCTCCTGATGATCTCATATTACTAGCTTCTGAAATCGAAGATCCTCCTGATTGGGAGAATAGAAGATTAAAAGTCATGGAAATTCTAATTAGAGATAAATTTCGTCGTTCTCTTGAATTGAGAGAGAGATTAAGACTAACTGAAGAAAAGTAATATTTTTTATTTACTATTTATCTGTCGATTAGTTAATAAATCATATAGACCATATATTTTAGTTTGTTTTGAGGATTTTAAAAAATAAAAATGTTAAAAAATAGGCTAATTTAAATAGACCACGAATTTGGAAAATAAAACAGAAAGATTTGTTTCATTTTATTGATAATTTGTTTGTTTTTTATTTATAAAGGTAGCTAGTTTGCAGATTTTTCGAAGAATCACCTAGTAATTTGTTTTGGGGTATAGTTGGAAGCAAAGGATAAAATTAGATAGGAAGAATTTTAGAAAAGGTTAGAGGAGATATTCATTAAAATGTTGATTTGAAAAAGTGGATGTAAACTAAATTTCCTTTGCAATAGGACAAGATTTTGTTACCAGTAATCACTTTGAATGTTTCAAAAGATGGAGAATAGATTGAAACTATAACATTAAAAGAAAGAAGTTATTATTATATGGGCTAATATAAAACAAATAGCGTTATCCTGGCTCATCCAAGTATTTCTCGTTTACACGCTTGTTTGATCTGTGAGGAAGGTAATAAAGTTAGACTTGTTGATATGGAATCTAAATCAGGTTCTTTTGTTAATGGGGAGATATTAGAGAAGCTTTTTGATAAAGAATTGCAGACAGGAGATATTTTGACTTTTGCTTTATCTACTCGCTCTTATGAGATTAATATTGATTATACTGCAGCTAAGTAAGAGTTGCAAAAAAGAAGCATTCAATTACAACAGTAAGTTAAGCAACTTTAGAAATTGAACTAACCTTCGATTACTCCTGAAGAACTTCGTAGAATTATGGGATTTGATATTGATAATACTTTATTTATCAGTGGATTACCTGATAATGCTACTGTTTTAGGTATTAGAGAAATGTTTGAGAGAATAAGTGAACCTAAAAACAAGGATGAAAATGAAAAGAAAAAATTTTAAGGAATTAAAATCAAAGTTTAAGAAGTAAAAATTCCTGTTGACAAGTGGTCAGGAAGACCAAAAGGCTTTGCTTATGTTACATTTTAGACCAGGGAAGATTTTAATAATGCACAATTGTACTCCTTTGGTTTGAAGTATGGGGAAGTAAAGCTTAAAGTTAAGGTGGCAGATAAGGATAAATCTGCTTAATTAATGAATATTTGCAAGATTAAAGATGGAAATAATAACGATGAAGACTCTAAAAAAAGATACGATGATAAAAGAGGCAGTGAAAGAAGTAGAAGAGAAAGAAGTTCTGATAGACATAGGGATAGAAGCTCTGAGAGATATAGAGATAGAGACTCAAAATATAAAAGAAGATACAGCAAATCTAGATCAAGATCAAACGATAGAAAACTTAGAGATAAGAATAGAGTTAGTAAGTTTGATAATAATAACCAAGACAAAGAACAAAAAAGAGAAAGAGAAGAGGTTAAAAATGAATAGAATTAGGATTTGGAAAAAAAGCAAAATAGTGAAGACGCTTAGAAAAAAGAAGAAAAAGAGCCATCAAGCAAAGTTAAGGAAAACAAAGATAAAAGAAAAAGAAGCGACAGTAGAGATAATAACAAAAAGTAAGACAAAAGAAGAGATAGATCTGAGTCAAAGAGCAAAAATTAAAAATCATCTTCTCGTCATGAAAAACACAAGAGAAGAAGTTAATCTCCTAAATAAAAGAGAGGTAGCTCTTAAACAAAAAATGAATCAAAAAAATCTACTAAACATTCTAGAAGCAGATCAAGAGAAAGAGAAAGAGATAGGGAAAGAGATAGAGATAGAAAAGATAACAGAAAGAGTAATAAAGATAGCAGAAAATCAACTTCAAGAGATAAAAAATAACATAGAAAGAGCTCATCTAAAGATAGAAAAAAACAAGATGAATAAAATAATAAGTCAAACAAAGCCTCAGAGTTACCAAAGAAAAGTGATAAATAAGCTGATAAAGATTCAAAGGCTAAAACTGATAAACAATTAGCAGAAAAACAAAGCGAAAACTAAGTCAGTAAAAGAGAAGAGAAAGAAACAAACCAAAAAGCTAAATAAACTAAAGAAAAAAAGAGAAAAGAAAGTGTATCTTCAAATTCATCTTCATCTTAATCTTCAAGATCTTCATCTTCTTCAAATTCATCTAATTCAAGATCATCTTCTTTTTCTTCTTCTTCATCTTCTCAAAGCAGTAGTTGAGCTTTATTCCCTATTAAAATTAAGTTTATTTTTAAAATTATCACATTTCAAATCTAATAAATATATAATAAAACAAGCAAGTACCTTTAATTTCTTGTCAAATTTAACTTTAATGTGCAAAAATAAAATAATAAAAATAATTTTTTTATTGAGAAGTATTTATTAATTATTAAATTGTGTTTAATTCTTCAATATTCAAATACTTTAGTTAATAAACTATTTTTTATTTATAAAATGCAATTTATATTATATAATTATTTAAAAATTAGAGTACCTAACAAATTATGATAGAAAAAATAAAAATTATCAAATATTTTTCCTCAAAATTAATTTATTTTATCATTTTTTTTAGTGATAAAATAAATAAATAAATAAATAAATAAATAAATAGTAATATCAAAAACTCGTAAAGCTTTACATTTTTGTAAATAATAAATTGATGTTATGAGTATTCTTGAAAACTTATTTTACATGAAAAATAGAAATATCTAATAATTTAAATAATAAGTTTCAAGAAAAAATTAGAACATAAAATTTTGGTTTTATTAACCTTGCTATTTTCTAAAAATTTTAAATTTAATAATTTTTGTATAATATAATTTTTAAAATAAAAATATCGAAAAAAATTTGTTAAAAACATAAAAAAATGCATTATTTATTAATTTTAAATATTAATAATTTTTAAAAATCCATAAAATAATTTGTCTAAATAATTCATATTGCAATTAATTTCTTAATTAATCTTTTTGCTTTTAAAATTTAGTTCATAATTTTCCATATTTTCCTTGCTGATTCGCTGGAAAGTGTATTATTCCTATTATTAATTTATATAATTTATTTCAAATGAATGAGATACACAATTTAAAATAAATAAAAACAATTTTTTAAAAATTAAAATAAAAGAACTAATTTAAAAGAATTAAAAACAGAAATTCACTAAATAATCAAATAATAGCATATATTTAATGTTATTTTTTTTTAGCTAACCTTATAAAAGAGAAAAATTTAAAAAAACAAAAATATTTATACCATAGATCAAGTTCCAAAAATCTCAGTTATTTACACTATCTTATTGCAGAACTCAAGCTTATTGCTCCTTCATCATCGATAAAATTAACTCTTTTAAAATTGTATTGATAAAAATATATTTAAAAGAAAAAAGTATAAATTAAATTATAAAAGTTAAAATTCTAAAAATAATTATTTAAAATTAGAAAAATATTAAAGTAAACAGTTATTTTATCTCGAAAATATTTTATTTATTTTTAAAAGCACACACTTTAAAATAAAAGTAAAATATTTTACGAAATATTGAGTGTTAAATCTATAAGTTTACTGAAGTTTGGTAAAGTAGAGCTTATACCCATTGCACCATTTGATCTAATAAATGTGTTCCTTTTAATATTTTTAAGATAAAATTAATAAAATCCCAAAGTTAAATAAAATATTAAAGTCTTATTAAAACAATTAAATTATTATATTTAACCCAAGAATAAGTTTCAAACTTGATATATTAGGGATGTTTAATAGACCTGAGCATAGTCCTAATAAGCCATTATCTTGAATTTAATTATTGCTTTTCATTTAGTTTTATTTAAATTTAAATATACATTTAATTTCTAAAAGATTCATGAATGTTTAATATTTTACTTGAGTTTAATTGTTAGATTCTTAAGATTAGTACATTTTGCTAAATTTTAACCTAGGCTAATGGCTCCATCTTCATAAATTTAAGTGGAACTTATTCCCATATTAAAATATTAATGATTTAGATTTATTAATAAAAGAGAGAAAATTGAATTAAAAGATAAAATAATTTTTAAATTAAAAAAATTATAAAAATTTTAATTAAAAAAAAGAAATATTATAAAATTAATTTTTTAGAAATTATTGATCAATAAATTTTTTACTAAAATTTGAGTGCCAAAGTTTCGAGATTAGCGAATTTATATAAATGAGAACTCAAGTCTTTTAAACCATCATCATAAATAGGATTTGAGCTTTAAAAAAAATTTTAGTAAATTTCTAAATTTCACAGTTTAAATGAAATGATACTTTAAAAATAGACTAAAATTTGCTTTTAAATAGCTTTGCCAATTTTATAAATAAAAAATTCAATTAAAGCAAAAAGCAATGTACCTAAAATCTAGTGCCATTTTCTAGATTTTAGCACAGTTTGTTAAATCAGAGACTAATTTTGAAGCACTTTCTGATTTCATTTAAACCAAACTTTTAATATTTTAAAAATAAATTAACAAAAAAATATGTAAAAAGAAGTATAAATATTCTAAATAACTTGTCATTAAAATATTCGTTTAACATGAAATATATTTAACATAATAAAACTAAAAAAAGGAATATTAATAACAAAGTTACTTTAGAAAAGCAAATAATTTATTATTATTTATTTATTAACTATAAGTTAAAGTTAAACAAAAAAATTATTTTACTAGTGTTCAAGTGTCAAATTTTAGAGATTAGAGCACTATGCTAAAGCAGAACCTAAGCTTGATAGACCCTCTTCATCTATTTAATTGCGGCTATTTAGTATAATTATTGGTTAAAATTAGCAAAAGCATTATAGTGAATTTATACCTAATAGAAATATTAATACTAATATGAGAGGATAAATTAGAGTTGAGAAACTTTTTATTATATAAATAATAACTCTGTACTCCTTACTTGACAAAATAATTAATTACATTTTCTAAAGATTTGAATTATTCTGTTAATTAAATCATTTTTTTCAGAAAAACTCAATTTTTATTTTTAAATAAACTCAAGTTGAAAGAAAATTAAGCTAAAATCATAATTAATAATCATTTGATTGGTTAACTATTTTAAAAAATTAATATGCTGAAATAACTTTTAGATTAAGCCACATAAAAATAGAAAGAAATTCAAAATAAAAAATTAAATTTATTAAATATAAAATAATGATATAATAGAAAAGCAAAAGTATAGCCAAACGCCTAATTAAAATTTAGTGGCTTGGGTATAAATGAGTTTAATTTGATGACATACTATTTTTCATTTAATGCATCAAAATATATCAGAAAATTAAATTATATATATATACATAATCTTTAATTAAATTATGTATATTTCTAAATGTTAATAAAATAATCGCTAATAAATGGCTATGACTATTTTTTAAAATTGCAAATTGTTATATTTAAAATATTATATTAAACTTAAAATCTCATTGCGTGTAATGAAATGGAGTATTAAATTTTGTTAAAATACTAAATTAACTTTTTAAAGAAATAAGCTAAATAATTTATTTTTATTCGAAAAAAAATGGCCTATTTTAAAGCCAGTGAATTTATCTAGTATTGAACTTAATAAGTTTAACTGCAAAATTTAAAAACTAAATATTAAATATTTTTATTTATTGAATATGAAACTAATTTATTATTTAAATTAATTTTATTATTGATTTAAGTAATATTTTAAAAAATAGAAAGAAAATGCATACAAATAAGAATAAAATAAGATACATTCATTGTTAACTTAAAAAATAAGGTAATATTTTTATTATTATTTTTTTAAATTAATAAAATTTTATGCATTAAAATATCTTATGATAAATATTTCAAAATATCATAGACATTAAAGAAAATGCAAATACAAAAGCAAATTATAAGAATGTTGAGGAGTTAAGGCAATTTATAACTACTTAAAGATTGTTTTAAATTGCTGCGTTTTTAGAACTGCATTTTGGTAAACAATTTTTGATCTATTGGGGAGAAAATTCTTGAGAATCTGTACATTTTTAAACGCAGGTTTACACTCTTTATGCTTCATTTAGACAATCTAAATTATCCTATTTGCATGGTACTTATAAATCATATTAATTTCTTTCCAAACAATTAAGAAAATTAACTGCTTCCGAGGCTGCACAAAAAGCAATTAGAGCAAGGAAAGTAAATGTGAGGAATTTCATTTTTTGTTTATATTTGTATTAATCTTGGTTTTTTATAAATATTTTGTTATATTTTTATTTATTTATTATACTCTTAGTTATTGTTTAAGCCTTTACTTTATAAAGTAGGTATTTCATAAAGTTATACTATATAAGAAAAAAGCGATAGATATATGATTAAAATTGATTGATTAATTAAAAATAGTTATTATTATTATCAAAGTCTATATAAACTAATAAACTAGAACTAATGATAGACTAAAAATAGAAAAATAGTTTGCTCTTAATTCATTTAATTATTAATATTACTAAATTTATTCATCAAAAATAATATAATAATGTTTAGCTCACCTATTTTTACATCTTTTTTTATAAATAATTCGTTTTTATAAAAAAGATAGTTTTGAAGCATATATTTATTATATTTTATCATTTTTAGATTAAATTATTAAAATTTTTAAAGATAAAGTTAATATTAATTTATGAGAATCAGTAAATTATAAATTTAACCTTTCTGTTAATAGAATAATGCCTCATATAATCTTATTTAATTATTTGTTACATTCATACATACATACATCTTTCAAAAAAATGACTTTTTCAAAGCAATAGAAAATTAATTTATTATATTAATTAAAAAATTTTTGGAAATTAAAATATATTGATAATCATATATAAAAAAATGTAATCTTCATTAAATATATCTATGATATTAGTCAGTCTATTTATATCTTTACAAACAGTATTTACTGACTACAATATTTGAATTTTATAAATTAATTAAAAAATCAAAGCGCTTTTAATTTCTGATAATTAATATTTAAAATTTTTTACCTCTCATAATTCTAGATTAAATCTTTTCAAAAAAAATTAAATAGCTTAAACTGTAATAAAAATAATATTTAAATTATTTTAAATTTTCCATTTCTTTCATTTACAAATAAAAACTCTACTTCAAAATTTTTTTAAAATATTTCAACTTATTTTAATTTTACAATATTTTATTTACATCTATCTATATTAATTCTAGAATAATTATTTTGTGAGAATTAAATGCATATTTAGAAGAATAATAAATATTTATTTTATAAATTAAAATAAAATTTAAAAGAAATTAAAAAAATTTAAATTATAAGTTAAGAAAATTAAATATGAAAATGTATGTGAGATTTTATAGTGTATTTTTAACGTGTGATAAATTCAATTAAAAAATTGATTAATTAAACTATTTAAAAAAACAATATATATTTTTTATTCTAAATTAATTGATTGATTAAAAACTAAATTAATTAATTAATTAAATATTTAAGTTGTAATATTTGTTTTGTTTTTTTATTTGATACACCTAATTATTTTTTTTTTTAAATCTATTCACGTTTAGATTTTATCATTATTATTTTATTTTTCATGTGCTTATAACTTTTAATTTTACAAAAATGATTTACTTTATTCTAAACATTTATTTTATTACCTTTGATTTTTTGTTTTTTTTTATTTTAAGCGATATTTGATTTTTTTGTTATTGTTTTGTGTTGCGATGTTTGTTATTTTTGAATAAATAATTTTTTTTATTTATTTTTTTTTGTATTGAAATGTTTGTTATTCTTGAATAAATAAATAAATAAATTATTTCTTAGAAATTGAATTGAAATATATTTTTCAAAAGATATTTATCAAAAGATATTTATCAAAAGATATTTACCAAAAGATATTTTTCAAAAGATATTTCTGTTTTTGTAATTCTTGTTGTTGTTGTTTTAGTTGAAATGTTTGTTATTTTGAAAAAGATATTCATTAAAAGATATTTTTGTAAAGATATTAATTAAAAGATATTTTTGTAAAGATATTAATTAAAAGATATTTTTGTTATGATATTTTTAAAAGGATATTTTTGTTATGATATTTTTAAAAGGATATTTTTGTTATGATATTTTTAAAAAGATATTTATTTTATGTTTTATTTATTAAAGATATTTATTTTATGTTTTATTTATTAAAGATAGCAAAATATTAAATGTCAAAAAAATAAGCAAATAAATAAAAATATCAAAAGAAAATAATTCACAATCCAAAACAAATAAACTGTTTTTACTGAAGATCAAGTGTCAAATTTGAGAGATTAATGCAAGTTGCTAAACCAGAACCTAAGCGTGATGCACCTATCACACCAATTTCATTGTTACTTTTTAAATATTGAAGAAAAAATATATCATTAAATAGTTAATTAGAAGGAAAAAATGAAGAAAAAATATGAAATAATAAGATTAATTAATTAATAATAAAAGCAAAATTTAAAAATAAAATGATAAGTTAAATTAGCAAAGAAAGAAAGAACAAAAAAAAAGCAAGCACAATAAAAAGAAAAAGAAAAAGATCTTTATTGTTTTTAATTAGTTTTTATAATTAAAAATATCACAATCCAAAACAAATAAACTGTTTTTACTCAAGCAAAAGTGTCAAATTTGAGAGATTAATGCAATTTGCTAAAGCAGATCCTAAGCCTTATGCACCAATCGCACCAATTTAATTGCGACTTTTTAAATATTTAAGAAAAAATATATCATTACATAGTTAATTAGAAGGAAAAAATAAAGAAAAAATATGAATTAATAAGATTAATCAATAATAAAAGCAAAAGTTGAAAATAAAATGATGAGCTAAATTAACAAAGCAAGAACAATTAAAAGAAAAAGAAAAAAGAGCTTATTGTTTAAAATTAGTAAAATAAATTTAATATAAATCACTTAAAAGTTTACTTGCAATACAAAAATCAAATAGAAGTACAAAATGGCTTGTAATATAATTTTATATGATGATAATCAATTAATTAATTAATTTAGTAACAACAATTATAAGAGCTTCGATCAAAAGAATTTTTAGGCTTTTTCAAACAAGATTTCTTACTCTTTAGAATATAATTTTTAAAATAAAAATATAGAAAAAAATAAGTTAAAAACATAAAAAAATGCATTATTTATTAATTTTAAATATTTATAATTTTAAAAAATCCATAAAATAATTTGTCTAAATAATTCATATTGCAATTAATTTCTTAATTAATCTTTTTGCTTTTAAAATTTAGTTCATAATTTTCCATATTTTCCTTGTTGATTCGCTGGAAAGTGTATTATTCCTATTATTAATTTATATAATTTATTTCAAATGAATGAGATACACAATTTAAAATAAATAAAAACAATTTTTTAAAAATTAAAATAAAAGAACTAATTTAAAAGAAATAAAAACAGAAATTCACTAAATAATCAAATAATAGCATATATTTAATGTTATTTTTTTTAGTTAACCTTTTAGAAGAGAAAAATTTAAAAACAAACAAATATATACCCTAGATCAAGTTCCAAAAATCTCAGTTATTTACACTATCTTATTGCAGAACTCAAGCTTATTGCTCCTTCATCATCAATATAATTAACTATTTTAAAATTGTATTGATAAAAATATATTTAAAAGAAAAAATTATAAAGTAAATTATAAATATTAAAATTCTAAAAATAATTATTTAAAATTAGAAAAATATTAAAGTAAACAGTTATTTTATCTCAAAAATATTTTATTTATCTTTAAAAGCAAACACTTTAAAATAAAAGTTAAATATTTTACGAAATATTGAGTGTTAAATCTATAAGTTTACTGAAGTTTGGTAAAGTAGAGCTTATACCCATTGCACCATTTGATCTAATAAAGGTGTTCCTTTTAATATTTTTAAGATAAAATTAATAAAATCCCAAAGTTAAATAAAATATTAAAGTCTTATTAAAACAATTAAATTATTATATTTAACCCAAGAATAAGTTTCGAACTTGATATATTAGGGATGTTTAATAGACCTGAGCATAGTCCTAATAAGCCATTATCTTGAATTTAATTATTGCTTTTCATTTAGTTTTATTTAAATTTCAATATACATTTAATTTCTAAAAGATTCATGAATGTTTAATATTTTACTTGAGTTTAATTGTTAGATTCTTAAGATTAGTACATTTTGCTAAATTTTAACCTAGGCTAATGGCTCCATATTCATAAATTTAAGTGGAACTTATTCCCATATTAAAATATTAATGATTTAGATTTATTAATAAAAGAGAGAAAATTGAATTAAAAGATAAAATAATTTTTAAATTAAAAAAATTAGAAAAATTTTAATTAAAAAAAAGAAATATTATAAAATTAATTTTTTAGAAATTATTGATCAATAAATTTTTTACTAAAATTTGAGTGCCAAAGTTTCGAGATTAGAGAATTTATATAAATGAGAACTCAAGTCTTTTAAACCATCATCATAAATAGGATTTGAGCTTTAAAAAAAATTTTAGTAAATTTCTAAATTTCACAGTTTAAATGAAATGAAACTTTAAAAATAGACTAAAATTTGCTTTTAAATAGCTTTGCCAATTTTATAAATAAAAAATTCAATTAAAGCAAAAAGCAATGTACCTAAAATCTAGTGCCATTTATTTTCTAGATTTTAGCACAGTTTGTTAAATCAGAGACTAATTTTGAAGCACTTTCTGAATTCATTTAAACCAAACTTTTAATATTTTTAAAATAAATTTACAAAAAAACATGTAAAAAGAAGAATAAATATTTTAAAATAAATAACTTGTCATTAAAATATTCGTTTAACATGAAATATATTTAACATAATAAAACTAAAAAAAGAAATATTAACAAAAAAATTACATTAGAAAAGCAAATAATTTATTATTATTTATTTATTAACTAAAAGTTAAATTTAAACAAAAAAATTATTTTACTAGTGTTCAAGTGTCAAATTTTAGAGATTAGAGCACTATGCTAAAGCAGAACCTAAGCTTGATAAACCCTTTTCATCTATTTAATTGCGGCTATTTAGTATAATTATTGGTTAAAATTAGCAAAAGCATAATAGTGAATAAAACTTTTTATTAAAAAATAAATAACTCTATACTCCTTACTTGATAAAATAATTAATTACATTTTCTAAAGTTTTGAATTATTTTGTTTATTAAATCATTTTTTTTAGAAAAACTCAAATTTTATTTGTAAATAAACACAAGTTGAAAGAAAATTATGCTAAATGTAATTATATAATCATTTGATTGGTTCGCTATTTTAAAAAATTAATATGCTGAAATAACTTTTAAATTAAGCCACATATAAATAGAAAGAAATTCAAAATAAAAAATTAAATTTATTAAATATAAAATAATGATTTAATAAAAGTAAAAGTATGACCAAATGCCCAATTAAAATATAGTGGTTTGGGTATTAATGAGTTTAAAATTAAATAAAAATATATCTGAAATTATTAGTTCTAAGCCTTTTTTTTTAATTCACTTTTATTTATGATATATTTTGGTTTAACATTTTTGAGTATTAGCAAAAATATTTAAAAAAATATGCTAAAGACAATAATAAAAAAATGCATTATTTACTATTCTCAAATATTTTTTATTTTTAAAAATCCATTAAATAATTTGTTTAAATAATTAATATAGAAATTAATCTCTTTGTTTTTAAAATTTAGTTCATAATTTTCCTTTCTGATTCGCTGGTGAGTGAATTATTCCTATTTTTAATTTATATGTTTTAATTTAAATGAATGAGATACTCAATTTAAAATAAATAAAAAATATTTTAAAAAATGAATATAAAAGAGCTAATTTAAAAAGAATTAAAAACAGAAATTTATTAAATAATGGCATGATAGGATATAATTTAATGTTATTTTTTTTAGTTAACCTTATAAAAGAGATTATTTCAATAAACAAAAAAATATATATCTATATACCATAGATAAAGCTCCAAAAATCTGAGTTAGTTACACTATCTTATAGCAGAACTGAAGCCTATTGCTCCTTCAGCACCAATAGAATTAACTCTTTTAAAATTTTTTGATAAAAAAACATTTAAAAGAGAAAGCATTTATTTTATCAAACAGTAAAAAAAAATTATTTATTTATTTAAAATTTAATTTTTTAAAGAAATTATTAATTATAAATAATATTTTTACGAAAATTCAAGTGCCAAAGTTTCAAGATTAGTGAATTTGTGTAAATGAGAACTCAAGTCTTTTAAATTATCATCATAAATTTGGTTTGAGCTTTAGATATAATTTTAGTAAATTTAATAGTTTAAATAAAATTAAACTTTAAAATAGATTAAAATTTATATTATATATATAATAGCTTTACCAATTTTGCAAATATTTTATTAAAACTAAAACATCTACCTGAAATATAGTATCATGTTCTAGATCTTAGCACTGTTTGTTAAATCAGAAACTAATTTTGAAGCACTTTCTGAACTCATTTAAACCAAACTTTTAATATTTTAAAAATAAATTAACATAAAATTATCATTAAAAGAAGAAAAATATTAAAAATATTAAAAATAAATTACTAATGATTAAAATATTTATTTAATATGAAATATATTTAACATAACAATACTAAAAGAAAATTTTTTAAAAAAACTACATCTGAAAAGCAAATAACTTATTATTCTTTATTAACTAAAATTCAAAGTTAAAAATTATTTTACTAGTGTTCAAGTGCCAAGTTTTAAAGATTAGAGCACTTTGCTATAGCAGAACCTAAGTTTGATAAACCCTCCTCATCTATTTAATTGTGATTATTTAGTATAGTTATTTGTTAAAATTAGTAAAAACATAATATTGAGTGCTTTATCTATTTATTTTTATCTAATAGAAATATCAAGACTAATATGAGAGCATAAAGAAGAGTTGAGAAACTTTTTAATATAAAAATAATAACTCTATACTTTTTACATGATAAAATAATTAATTACATTTTCTAGAGATTTAAATTATTCTGTTTATAAAATAAATTTTTTCAACAAAACTCAATTATTATTTTTAAACAAAATGAAGTTGAAAGAAAATTAAGAGTAAATAGTAATAAAATAATCATTTAATTAGTTCGCAATTATAAAAATTAATATGCTGAAATAACTTTTAAATTAAGACACATAAAAATAGAAAGAAATTTAGAATAAGAAATTAAATTTTGTTTATATAAAATAATGAGAATAATTGAAGAGCAAAAATAATACTTTTTTATTATTTGATAACTGCTATAAAATAGAAATAGTTAATTCAATGCATTCTTTTGTATTAAGAATTGAAAGTTACTTGATACTTAAATTTTATGCAACTATATTCATATCCTGCTGTATTTTTTCAAGCTCATCTTGCTACTAAAGCTCACTTTTTTTTTAAATTATTTTATTTTGTAAATTTACAGATACACAGTGTTTAATATTCTATTCATATTAGTTAGGCTTTTTCGGAAATTAACCAATCGATTTTAATTATATTTTGATGAAATACTTACTTACTATTTTTGATTTAATACATCAAAATATATCAGAAAATAAATTATATATAATAATCTTTAATTAAATTATGTATATTTCTAAATGTTAATAAAATCATCGCTAATAAATTGTGATGACTATTTTTTAAAATTGCAAAGTGTTATATTTAAAATATTATATTAAACTTAAAATATCTTTGTGTTTAATGAAATGGAGTATTAAATTTTGTGAAAATACTAAATTAACTTTTAAAGAAAAAAGATAAATAATTTATTTTTATTCAAAAAAAAAAAAGCCTATTTTAAAGCTAGTGAATTTATCTAGTATTGAACTTAATAAGTTTAACTGCAAAATTTAAAAACTAAATATTAAATATTTTTATTTATTGATTATGAAATTAATTAATTATTTAAATTAGTTTTATTATTGATTGAGTAATATTTTAAAAAATAGAAAGAAAATGCATACAAATAGGAATAAAATGAGATACATTAATTGTTAACTAAAAAAATAAGGTAATTATTATTTTAAATAAATAACATTTTATGCATTAAAATATCTTATGATAAATATTTCAAAATATCATAGACATTAAAGAAAATGCAAATACAAAAGCAAATTATAAGAATGTTGAGCTAAGGCAATTTATAATTACTTAAAGATTGTTTTAAATTGCTGCGTTTTTAGAACTGCATTTTGGTAAACAATTTTTGATCTATTTGGCAGAAAATACTTGAGAATTTGAACATTCTTAAGCACATTTTTTCACTCTTTATTATTCATTTAGACAATCTTAATCTTGCTTTTAGCATGGTACTTATTATTCTTATTTTTTTCTATCCAAACAATTAAGAAAATCAACTTCTTCCTAGTTTTGAGCTTAGACTGCACAAAAAGCAATAAGAGCAAGGAAAGTAAAAGTGAGGAATTTCATTTTTTGTTTATATTTGTTTTAATCTTGGTATTTATAAATATTTTGTTATATTTTTATTTATTTATTATACTTTTAGTTATCATTTAAGCCTTTCCTTTATAAAGTATGTATTTCATAAGTTTATACTATATAAGAAAAAGCTATAGATATATAATTAAAATTGATTCATTAATTAAAATTAGTTATTATTATTATTAAGTGTTTTTAAACTAGAACTAATGATAGACTAAAAATAGAAAAATAGTTTGCTCTTAATTCATTTAATATTACTATTAATAAATTTATACATCAAAAATAATATATTAATGTTTAGCTAACCTATTTTTACTTATTTTTTTATAAATAATTCTTTTTTATCAAAATGATAGTTTTGAAGCATATATTTATTTTAATTTTATCATTTTTAGATTAAATTATTAAAATTTTTAAAGATAAAGTCAAATATAAATTTATGAAAATCATTAAATTATAAATTTAACCTTTCTGTAAATAGAATAATGCCTCATATAATCTTATTTCATTATTTGTTTCATTCATACATACATCTTTTCAAAAAAATGACTTTTTCAAAGCAATATTAGTTCAAATTAAAATTACTTTTAAACATATAAAAAAAAAATTTAATCTTCATTAAATATATCTATAGTAATAGTAAGTCTATTTATATCTTTACAGACAGTATTTACTGACTACTATAATTTGAATTTTTTAAATAATTTAAAAATCAAAGTACTTTTAATTTCTGATAATTACTATTTTAAATTTTTTAGCTCTCAAAATACTTCTTGATTAAAAATATAAAAAATCTAATTTTATATTTTTATTCATAATATCTTAAATATATATATTAAGTTATATTTTTATTAAAAAATTTAATATTGCTAAAAATTTTTGAGCGATTAATGTCATAATTTATTTATTTAAAATTCAATTTTTTAATTTTATGTTAATTTTTTATGGAAATTATTGATTATCTATAATATTTTTACGAAAATTCGAGTGCCAAAGTTTCGAGATTAGTGAATTTGTATAAATTAGAACTCAAGTCTTTTAAACCATCATCATAAATTGAATTGGATTTGAGCTTTAAATATAATTTTAGTAAATTTAATAGTTTAAATAAAATTAAACTTTAAAATAGATTAAAATTTATATTATTTATAATATCTTTACCAATTTTGTAAATATTTTATTAAAACAGACTAAAACATTTACCTGAAATCTAGTATCATGTTCTAGATCTTAGCACAGTTTGTTAAATCAGAAACTAATTTTGAAACACTTTCTGAACTCATTTAAACCTAACTTTTAATATTTTAAAAATAAATTAACATAAAAATATCATTAACAGAAGAAAAATATTAAAAAATAAATTACTAATGATTAAAATATTTATTTAATATGAAATATATTTAACATAATAAAACTAAAATAAAATATTTTTAAAAAAAACTACATCAGAAAAGCAAATAACTTATTATTCTTTATTAACTAAAATTCAAAGTTAAAAATTATTTTACTAGTGTCCAAGTGCAAAATTTTAAAGATAAGAGCACTTTGCTATAGCAGAACCTAAGTTTGATAAACCCTCCTCATCTATTTAATTGTGATTATTTAGTATAGTTATTGGTTAAAATTAGTAAAAACATAATATTGAGTGCGTTATCTATTTATTTTTATCTAATAGAAATATCAAGACTAATATAAGACGTAAAGATGAGCTGAGAAACTTTTTAATATAAAAATAATAACTCTATACTTTTTACATGATTAAATAATTAATTACATTTTCTAGAGATTTAAATTATTCTGTTTATAAAATAAATTTTTTCAACAAAACTCAATTATTATTTTTAAACAAAATTAAGTTGAAAGAAAATTAAGAGTAAATAGTAATAAAATAATCATTTGATTGGTTCGTTAATTTGCTGAAATAACTTTTAAATTAAGCTACATAAAAATAGAAAGAAATTTAGAATAAGAAATTTAATTTTATTTATGTAAAATAATGAGAATAATTGAAGAGCAAAAATAATACTTTTTTATTATTTAATAGCTATAAAATAGAAATAGTTAATTTAATGGGTTCTTTTGTATTAAGAATTGAAAGTTACTTGATACTTAAATTTTATACAATTATATTCATATCCTACTATATTTTTTCAAGCTCATCTTGCTACTACAGCTCACTATTTTTTTAAAAATTATTTTATTTTGTAATTTTTTTTAACTTATTTGATATTCGGTATAGTAAAAAATTTTAAATTATCATTTATTCGGTATCTATTTTAAAGATAGTGAATTTATCAAGTATTGAACTTAATTAGTTTAACTGCAAAATTTAAAAACTAAATATTAAATATTTTTATTTATTGAATATGAAATTAATTAATTATTTAAATTAGTTTTATTATTGATTGAGTAATATTTTAAAAAATAGAAAGAAAATGCATACAAATAGGAATAAAATGAGATACATTCATTGTTAACTTAAAAAATAAGGTAATATTTTTATTATTATATATTATTTTAAATTAATAACATTTTATGCATTAAAATATCTTATGATAAATATTTCAAAATATCATAGACATTAAAGAAAATGCAAATACAAAAGCAAATTATAAGAATGTTGAGCTAAGGCAATTTATAACTACTTAAAGATTGTTTTAAATTTCTGCGTTTGTAGAACTGCATTTTTGTAAACAATTTTTGGTCTATTGGGCAGAAAATACTTGAGAATTTGAACATCCTAAAGTGCAGGTTTTCATTCTTTATTATTCATTTAGACAATCTAAACTATTATCCTGTTTACATGGTACTTATAAATATTATTATTTTCTATCCAAACAATTAAGAAAATCAATTTCTTCCTAGTTTTGAGCTTAGACTGCACAAAAAGCAATAAGAGCAAGGAAAGTAAATGAGAGGAATTTCATTTTTTGTTTATATTTGTTTTTATCTTGGTTTTTATAAATATTTTGTTATATTTTTATTTATTTATTATACTCTTATTTATCCTTTAAGCCTTTACTTTATAAAGTAGGTATTTCATATGTTTATACTATATAAGAAAAAAGTTATAGATATATAATTAAAATAGATTCATTAATTAAAAATAGTTATTATTGTTATTAAGTCTATATAAACTAGAACTAATGATAGACTTAAAAATAGAAAAATTGTTTGCTCTAAATTCATTTAATTTTTACTATTACTAAATTTATTCATCAAAAATAATATATTAATGTTTAGCTAACCTATTTTTACATCTTTTTTATAAATAATTCGTTTTTATAAAAAAAATAGTTTTGAAGCATAAATTTATTTTTATTTTATCATTTTTAGATTAAATTATTAAAAATTTTTAAAGATAAAGTCAAATATAAATTTATGATAATCAATAAATTATAAATTTAACATTTCTGTTTATAGAATAATGGTTCACATAATCTTATTTAATTAATTTTTTATTTATTTCATTCACATATACATACATCTTTTCAAAAAAATGACTTTTTCAAAGCAATAGAAATTAATTTATTATATAAGTTCAAAAACTTTTGGAAAAATTAAAATATACTTATAATCATATAAAAAAAAATTTAATCTTCATTAAATATTAGTCAGTCTATTTGTATCTTTACAGATAGTATGACTAATATTATTTGAATTTTTTAAATTTTAAAAAATCAAAGTACTTTTAATTTCTGATAATTACTATTTTAACTCTTTTAGCTCTCAAAATACTTCTAGATTAAAAATATCAAAAATCTAATTTTATATTTTTAATTCATAAAATCTTAAATAGATATATTATTTTTAGTTATATATTTATTAAAATATTTAATAATTTTTTCAAAATTTAATATTGCTAAATTTTTTGAGCGATTAATGTCTTTTTTCAAGTTTAGTATGTAAAAAATTTTTTCTGAGAGTGAAAAAATAATTTTTAACAAACTCCGCTGATTACTTACATATATCCAATCAGCGGAGTTTTAAAACCAGGAACTACTATATAATGAAAAAAATAACATAAAATATAAAAATAATTTAACAATTTAAATATTTCATTCAAATATAAAAATTAATTTAAATTTATTATTAATTTAAGAAGATGTATTTAAAAATATGTTAAATCTTTATATTTAATCTAAGATTAAAAAATAATTAATTTTTAAGATGAAATAGATTGCTATTGTTGCTTGCATAAATATGATTTTTTAAAATAGAAGTCTTTATTAGGTGAAATAAAAAAATTTAAAGAAAAAAAGAGTTAAATATTTTGATTTAAAAAAAGCTTATTTATTTTTAATTCATACAAAATCATAAAATATACTTCCCATAGATTTAATTCAACTCAATAAAATATATTAAAAATCCTTTATGTATTTTCATTTTTATTTGTTCTCTTAATTAAAAAGTAATCTTTTTCAAAAATTTAATCAATAATAAACTAAAAAACTATTAATAATTAATTAATTCAATTTTAATAACTTTTATTAATAATAAAAATTAAAAAAAATGATTTATTAGAAAAAAAGCTTTCAAAAACTAAATGATGTAAATAAATTATTTTTTATTAATTAATAATTTATTAATAAGTTTTATTATAAAAAAAAGTTACTAATTTCTTCTAAATTGCTTATAAATAATATTTTTAATCTTTTTTTCAAAAAGAAGCAAAAGATATTTAAAAATATTAAGGATGTAATTTTATTGTTTTTATTTTTATTATTGCTCTTTATTTATTCATTATCAAAATTAAAAAAGTTTGAGAAATCTTCTCTATTAAGTCATACAAATCTTATTATTGATCTAGAGTAAAATCACATATTTTTATATCTTTCTAATAAATGAACTATTTATTTTGCTTATAACCTTACTTTTGCTACATTTATTTTTGATTAATATTAATATCATAAGAAATAAAAATATATTTAGTATTAAATTTAATTATAATTTTTTGAAAATTTTAATTTGTTTTTTTACTTACTTATTATTTTTTTATATAAAATTTTTTATTAATTTGTAAGATATTTTTATTTATTTGAAAAGTTATAAAAATAAGATTAAAATAGATTAAAAAAATTTATTATAGTTATGTACAGCTATGGAAAAATGCTTAAATGTGATTAATTTGTCACTCGATCTTGGGTAAAAATCATTATTTGATTAACTTTAACAATTAAATGGTTGAATAAAAATTATAAAACATATTTATTTTTATGATTTTTTATATCATTTATTCAAAGAGTTTTTTTAGTTATATTATTATTTAAATTTTTTTAATTCATTATCTATTTTTTATTTGTTCTTCTTTTTAGCTTAAATTTATTTACAGACTTAAAAAAATAGGTTCATAGGGAGTAAAATCTTTAAGTTATTCTTTGGAAAAACTGATAAATCTTTAAACTTTAAAACTTAATATTAGGTAAAAATGTCTGACTTAATCTTATATATTTTACATAATATTTAGTAAAATTAGAAAAAATATCAAAGATTTATTTCCTATTTAACTTCTATTACCTTTTAGTAATGTTAAAATAGTAAAACTTCCCTATAGTTAATTTTTTTATTAAATCTTCAAATTAGAGTTTTTAAACATTTCTTCATCTAATTTTCATATTTGCTTATTCATTAATTATTTAATTATTAAAGCTATAATTAAGTTGAATCAGAAGGAATATCCTATTTAGGCTCTGTTTTATAAACCTTTAAAAATCTTTAAAATTTAATGCTGAAACTCACGTAAAAATTATTTATCTTCTCTTAATATTAATTTAGATTTACCTAATTCATTAAATAATTATCTTCTTTAGCCAATTAAAAAAAAAATTCAATTTTTAAATAAACTCATAGAATAATTAAATATTTTTGGTATTCTTATTGATTTTAAATATTCTTATGCACAACTTTAACAAACATTCTTCTTTTTTTATAATAATGACATAAATTATTATGTTAAAAGAAATAACGAAATCGGCGATAAAGGGCTTTCTGATTTAAGTTCTTCTTTATCAAAATGCACAAATTTATTATCTTTGGAACTTTATCTTGAGTAAATATTCTTTATTTACATATATGATTATTTTGAAATTTATTAAGGAAGAAAATTTTATTTTCTAATTGCTTATTAGAATTTATTCTATAATCTTTATAATTAGTTTTTCAATTCCCCTTAAGTTTTTTATTTAATTTTTGCCTGTATTAATTATTTCAAAATTTTAAAAGCTTAAATTTAGAACTATCTGATGAAGGAGTATCAGATTTAGGTTTGTGTTTAGCGAAATGTATAAATCTTTAAGTTTTAGTTCTCAGCCTTAAGTAAAAATAAAAATTATATATTTTCTTTTAGTTATTTTAGTTAATTACAAATTTATTTTAATTTTATTTAGCTATTTAATTTATTAATCTTATAATTTAAATTAAAATTCTTTAAATTTTTATTTTTTCAATTTTCCATTTTCTTTTTCAAAAATTTTTAATTTATAAAAAAATATTTAAAGTTAATGCTCTATTCGTGCAAAGGCTTGTTCTGTTTTAGCTTCTGGTTTTGCATAGTGTACAAAACTACAAAACTTGGAACTTTTTCTAGGGTAAATTATGAATAAATTAACTATTAATAATATCAACATTAAGATTATTAAAAAACTCTAGTTACATCATTTAATACAATTTAATGCTAAAATCTTTAATTTAAGTTTCAATTTAATATGTTTTTTAAATATCTATCCAATTATTAAAATTAAATAATATTTTTTTGATTTTAAAAGAAGAGCTATCTGTTATTAAGATGTATCATATTTAACTTCTTCTTTAGCTAGATGTCATAAACTCTCAAAATTAACACTCAAGCTTTAGTAAAAATAATTTATTTTATTTTAATTATTTTTCTTACTTTTTTTCATTTATTTATTGTTATTTAGTTTAAGATTGAAAATAGTTTTAAATTTATTTTTAATGTTTATAGAGGCAATGCGCTTAGAGATTAGGATTCATTAAGCATAGGCTCTTGTTTGGCGAACCTTATCAATCTTAAATTCTTGAAACTTATTCTTTTGTATTTATTATTGTCTTTATTTTCATAAAAAACTTTTTTATTTCATATTATCTAAAAATTTAATTTTAAAAATGAAAATAGTGACAACAAAATTGGAAATTAAGGTGCATTAGGTTTATGTTTTGCTTTATCATAAACCTCTAACGTTTACACTTTGGAAATTAGTCTTTCGTAAAAACAGTTTTTTTTAATTAAATAAATTCAATTTATAATTTTTCAAGAATTCAAGTTAATTAAACTATTTATTAATTAGTTTTGTTTCTAATTATAATTTCTTTTTTTCTTTCTTAAATTAAAAATAATATAATAATTTATTCTTTTTTTATTTATATTTCTTGCTATATTTAAGACATTTTTGCAATTTTATCTTTGTATTAAAAGTTTTAATTAGGATTTCACTTAAAAATCTAAATTTAAAAATTAAATTCTTAAATTAAAGAGATTAGCTTCTGCTGTCATCACCTTAAATCCTTGACTTGATTAAGCTCGCAACCTTTCTTTTCTTATTTATTCATAACTACTGTTAAATAAATCTGATTTGAAAGCTAAATAATATTTATTCTATATCTTTTTAATTTGCTGCAATTATTTATTTGTTTTTTCTTAATAAATATAAAAAAAAACGGTTTTATTTACTTTTATATAATATTCAATATATTCTTAATTATATACCATAAATTTAAATTTTTGATTATAAATTTAGATTTATCCATAAAAAAACAAAGCAAATCTTTCTTTAATTAAATTATTTATATTACTAAATGTTAATAAAATCATCGCTAATAAATGGCGGTAACTATTTTTTAAAATTGTAAAGTGTTATACTTAAAATATTATATTAAACTTAAAATGACTTTGTGCGTAATGAAAAGGAGTATTAAATTTTGTTAAAATACTAAATTAACTATTTAAAGAAATAAGCTAAATAATTTATTTTTATACAAAAAAAATTGCCTATTTATTTTAAAGCTAATGAATTTATCAAGTATTGAACTTAATAAGTTTAACTGCAAAATTTAAAAACTAAATATTAAATATTTTTATTTATTGAATACGAAACTAATTAATTATTTAAATTAATTTTATTATTGATTGATTAATATTTTTTAAAATAGAAAGAAAATGCCAACAAATAGGAATAAAATGAGATACATTCATTGTTAACTTAAAAAATAAGGTAATATTTTATTATTATTATTTTAAATTAATAACATTTTATGCATTAAAATATCTTATGATAAATATTTCAAAATATCATAGACATTAAAGAAATAGTAAGTACAAAAGCAAATTATAAGAATGTTGAGCTCAGGCAATTTATAACTACTTAAAGATTGTTTTAAATTGCTGCGTTTGTAGAACTGCATTTTGGTAAACAATTTTTGATCTATTGGGCAGAATATACTTGAAAGTTTGAACATTCTTAAGCGCAGGTTTTCACTCTTTATGCTTCATTTAGACAATCTTAATTATCCTATTTGCATGTTTCTTATAAATCTGATTATTTTCTATCCAAACAATTAAGAAGATTAACTTAATCCTAGTTTTGAGCTTAGACTGCACAAAAAGCAATAAGAGCAAGGAAAGTAAATGTGATGAATTTCATTTTTTGTTTATATTTGTTTTTATCTTGGTTTTTATAAATATTTTGTTATATTTCTATTTATTTATTTATTTATTTATTTATTTATTTATTTATTATACTTTTAATTATCATTTAATCCTTTCCTTTATAAAGTAGGTATTTCATAAGTATATACAATATAAGAAAAAAACTATAGATATATGATTAATATAGGTTCATTAATTAAAAATAGTTATTATTATTATTAAATATATAAACTAGAACTAATGATTGACTAAAATAGAAAAATAGTTTGCTCTTAATTCATATGATTATTACTATTACTAAATTTATTATCAAAAATAATATATTAATGTTTAGCTAACCTATTTTTACATCTTTTTTATAATTCATTTTTATAAAAAAGATAGTTTTGAAGCATATATTTATTTTAATTTTATCACTTTTTGATTGAATTATTAAAAATTTTTAAAGATAAAGTCAAATATCAATTTATTATAATCAGTAAATTATAAATTTAACCTTTCTGTTTATAGAATAATGCCTCATATAATCCTATTTAATTATTGTTTCATACATACATCTTTTCAAAAAAATGACTTTTTCTAAGCAATAGAAAACTAATTTATTATATAAGTTCAAAAATATTTGGAAATTAAAATATACTTATAATCATATTGAAATAAAAATGTAATCTTTATTAAATATATCAATAACGTTAGTCAGTCTATTTATATCTTTACAGACAATATTTACTGACTAATATTATTTGAGTTTTTTAAATAAATTAAAAAAATCAAAGCGCTATTAATTTCTGATAATTACTATTTAAAATTTTTTAGCTCTCATACTTCTAGATTAATAATATCAAAAATATAATTTTATATTTTTATTCATAAAATCTGAAATAGATATATTTTTAGTAATATTTTGATTAAAATATTTCATATTTTTTTAAAAATTTAATATTGCTAATATATATAATATTATTATCCCAAGTCCTATTTGTATTGTAGGGTAGAACCCTAGGGTTCTACTCTATATATATAACATAAGATTTTAATACTATAATTAAAACTAAAATGAACAAATATTTTTAAAATAAATATAAACAACCAACTATCATAAAGTATATTTATATTTTTTTGTATGTTATTTTATTATGTGATAATATTTGACTGCAGTAATATTAATTTACTGCTTAAAATTATTTACAAATTTTATATTTTTTTATTTTTAATTAAATTTTGAAATAAGATGCAATATAAAAATGTTAAATTTTAAAAATATATATCATTCTATTTCTATATTAATTTGAATGCAATTTAGATCAGTTGTTAACTAAAGGAGTAGATTGTAATTAAGGAGATTATTAAAGTGTTTCTTATTAAGATAAGATATTATTTAACCTCAAAGTTTTTAAATCAGAATATTCTAATTTTTAAAAATTAAAGTTAAAATTATTTTTATTAAACTAATTTACATTGAAGAGTTTTGAAATTGTTAGTTTTAACTAGATTAAAATCTAATTCAATTTCTTTATCTATTATGAAGGAATTTTTTTCAGATTCTTAGTTATCTAAGTTATTTAAATTCGGCTCTATAAACTAGCTTTTAAAGTTTGTTTATTTATTTAATACATTTTGATATTTCATGTCTATTTTAATTTTTAAGATTTTTTATTTAAAATGCACATTTAATTAATTAATAAAATTTTACTTAGTTAGGTTTCCAAAACTTTTATAAAAAACTATTTTCTTTATTCAATATTCATGTCTAAGTATCTTTAAAATGCTCTTTTAATTTTAGCTTTTATTTCTGGATTAAGCTTCTTAGTATTATTCTCAGTTTATGTGAAACGTTTGAGCAAATGAATTTTTACTGAAAGTTTTACTATCAAATTTTTAATAACTTACTTAAATAACAAATAATAATTATAGATAATTTCTTTTAAAACCGAAATTATAAAAATAGAGTTAATTAGTAAAATAATTCCAAATGAGGGATAATAAAAATATGGGAAAGGATTTTGATAGATAAATATTCCAAGTAAAACTGTAATAGAACAGACTATAGTTGAATTTATATCAATTTAGTTTATTTCTTCTTCCTTATAAGGCTTGACCATGATAGTCAAAATTCCATAAAGTGTAATGCTAAGAAAAACTAAAATCCCTTTTATAATAATCATTTAAGAATAAAAATTAAGTGATAGGATTATTGTTATTTTTTCTACCATCTTTACAAACTCCCAATAAAAAGCTTAGTTTTTGTATTCAATATAAAGAAACCCATATTTCAGTTTAATTTTTGTACTTTCAAGCTGATCTTAATTTTTTTTCAATAAAACAAACAAAGTTATAGGCAAGATAAACAACCAAATAATCAATAAAGGTAGAACAATAGCTAATATGTACTTAATATGCTAACTTGTATAACACTCAAAAGAAACATTTGATAAAATGTAGCTTTTGTCTCCAATATTTCTGCAAGATAGTAATGCTATTATCTAAGCAACTATATCAGGTTAAGTGTAAATTATTAAAAACATTGAAGCAGTAGAAATACTTTAAATTGGAAAAGCTTCCTTTTTTTTATTTATCCAGTAATGATAAACCAAAAGCCCTAAAAAAAATATTATCAGATATAAAATAGGAATAATCTAAGAAAAAATCATTCTGAAAAATATTATTGGTATTTCTGTCTCTATCTTAACAAGTAAGCAATCTAATGAACTCATAGTTTATTTTATTGGATTCCCAACAGACTGAGGAAGCTCAAAAATACCTAAAAATTTAAATGTTTTAAATTAATAAATTTTTAACTTTGTAAATATATGAATAAACTATGCTTAATTTAAATAATTTTGGATATAATTAAATCAAATCGCACTTTTAATTATCTATTTTTCGCAAGTATAATTATTTAAAAACGAATAAATTTTATTTAATATTATGAATTTAATTTAGAAATAATTAAAACCTGATGGAATAGTAAGATTGAATGTAGCAATCGAACCTACAATTTAGAAGTAATTTGTAAACATTTTTATGCAAATACTTTATTTCATCGAGTCAGCTTATTTTTATTCAAAGTTAGCATTTTTATTTTTTTAAGAAATAGTAATCTATCTTTAAAACTATTGTGTAACATTTTTTTAAATTTAACTTGCATTGAGAGATTTGTTTATTTGGTTATCTGTTATTTAACTAATTCCTCTATTCCTAATATTCATAACTGTTCTTTTAATTGCAAGTTAAGCAGCTTCAATTTTCAAAGAAGAAATGTTTCCTCTAATTGCAATCAGCATAGAGCATAACGTCCAAAATGTCAAAGCAACAATAATCCATGAATTATATTACATTTTACTGCATAATGCACATGAATATTTAGCTGTTTTAGAGTATTTTTCTCCCCAAAACTGACCCTCAATCTTCAATAAAATTAAAAATTTTTGGTTTAATCGAATTGAGTTTATGAATTCAAAATAAAATTAAATTATTTACATCACATTCTTCACAAAGTGCACCAATATGTCCTTCATAGCAAATATTATTTCCGAAGCTACCTCCAACGCAGTTTGATTCCTAATTTTCACAAGAAAGTATTATTGCTACATCACCAGATCTTCTCCAATAACCATAATTTGTAACTATCTAATCGCCACCAAGACACTCAGCACCCTTTGGACATTCTTAACACTATTAAACATTAAATGAGTATTATCCCTTTTTGCATATATCACATTAAATTAATAAATTATATTGAGTCTTTTATTCTCCTGAAATGCAATCCCTAAAATAAACGTTTACATCGAATGTGTAATTTTATTCGTATAAATTTGTCTGTTTATTTAAAGTATAAATTTGGTCAGAATAAAACTATAGAATCACTGAAGAATTAGGTGTTCCTACAACAGTCAGTTATGAGAAAGAAAATGATTAGGATGTTTAATTGAAACTGACTTACTCATCTCCACTTAGTTAATAACTTTGGATATTCTGAGTATGAGGATTTACTTTAACTTAAATTTTGTAAGATTAAATTTCTTCATAAGTAATAGGAATAATACATTCATTTTATTCATTTGTTAATTAAAACTAGATATCTTTTAATGAACCACCACTTCTAAATTCCATAATTTCTATAGATTAATTCTACTTACCTTTGTTTAGTGTTAGAAATTATTCTAAATTCACCAAATTTAATTTGCTTGCATAAGAGATTAAGTTGCTACCATATATATATCCAACGTTTCCTTCAAATTAATTTTTTGTTAATTATGCAGAAATATTTTATTAATAAATTGCTCCAGCTATTTATGCAAAATTAGAAACAAAAATTGATTCAGAAATTAAAGCCGAACTATTTGGAGGATTAAGATTTTCAGAATAAATAAAAATAGCTCCACCTTTTCCATTTATTGAAGTATTATTCTAAAAGATTGATTTATCAATATTCAGTTGAAAAGCCTATATTATGATGAAATGAATTAAAACAATTTTAATGTAAACTAAAAAATAACATTTGTGTATTATGACTGAATGTACATAGCACCTCCATCATACTAAGACTAACATTTATAAAATATACTATTTGAAATGGAGTTTTTTCCTTGAAGTCCATTAATAAAAAAAAATCCACCAAATTGATTCTTTTTATAAAAAAAAATATCTAAACAATTTAAATTATTGAGTAAAGTTAATGTATTAATAAATAACATAATTAAAGACATTGCATTAAAAAATATAATTTAAATTTTGCTTACCCTTGTTTAGTTAAAGATAGAATTATCAATATTAAGGTTGCCATTTTGCAGTTAAATAACTCCGTTACAACTTTAGCAGTTTAATTCATAAAAAATGCAATTATTTTAAATATAGATTTAACTATTTTATAGCATTATTAAAGATGTTGAATCTTTAGAAGGTTAAGTTTCTTTCAATTCACTTAAAATTCTATTACTTGATTGTTAATTAATATTTAAAAATTTTGCACTATCTAACAAAATCGATCCTCCTTAAATATTTATGAAATTTTTAACATAGCTACAATCCGAAATTGAGGAATTAAATATTTAAACAGTTGAGTTTTATGATTGAATAAGAAGAGGTATATTTGAATCAAGGTTTTTTACAGATAAATCAGAGATAGTACAATTCTTTAATTAAACTTATGAATTCGTTAATTTTATTAATGTTGATTACTATTTATTTTAGTAACCTTAATAAAAAATATATGGTAAAGAATCTGACTAAAATGGTTAATTATTTTTTTGAATTATATTGAAAAATTATATTTCTGAAGATTAAAGAGAAATAAAATAATTATCTGAAACACCTTATATGTTGTAAATCAATCCACCATCAAATGTTATTTAATAAATAGCATAAACTGAACTTTACTAATATTATCTTTATAAATTTTTATAAATTAAAATAATTAAATAAATAAAGCATAACCTAAATATCTTACAATTGATAATTTTGCATATTAAAAATTGCTTAAAAAAATAAAATTTAAGATAAAATTTCAATTTAAAAGTATTAAAAAAATGTAGAAACATTCTGTATTTAATTTTAAAAAGTATTCATTTTAATGTGAAAATTGCCATTTGTTTCATCTTTTATTAATTAATTAATTTATTTAATAAAATAATAATAATCTTAATTAAATTTTATATTTTGAGAAACTAGTATTAACATCGTTTTTTTGGGTATTGTTTTAAATAAAATTTTTGATTTTAGATTATTTTTAATATTGTTTAATTAAATGATAATAATAATAATAATAATATAATAAGATACTGTAATTGTATAGCTGATGATAAAAGAGGTAATGTGAATAGATTACTGAAACTACAGTTCAAACAACTGAAATTTAATTTCTGTCCACTTGTATCTATAAAAATGGCACTTGCATCTACAGAAGCATATCCTTCAGTAAAATAGACGTTGTTAAATTAAAGATTTAATATCTCTGCAGATGATACTAAGTAAAGAAAACCTCCTTTTGAAGCTGTTGCTTTACTGAAATTGCAGTTTGTAATTGATATATTTTCTGCTTTTGCATATACCATGCAGCCAATTGAATTATATAAAGTTAATGATTAATTATTTATAAAGGTAGAATTGCTAAAATTGATTTAGTCCATAGATAATTAGCTTGTTTCTATATAAGCGAAGCCATATTAAGAATTGCTGTACGAATCTAAAAAATAAGATTTTTTAATTAAGACAGATCCTTAATAATTGACTATCCATAATGCTATAGATGAATAAGTTTATGTGTATTAAATACTCTAAAGAAGTATATTTTAAAAATTGCAATTATTTATCTATATTTCTATATTATAAGTTGTGGATATTTGGATTGGAATGGATTAAGTATTTTTTCCTTATTGATATAAAATCAAATCAGTGAAATTACTATCAAAAATTTGTAGTGTAGCTTATAAAACAGAATTATTTTCTAATGATATTAAATTAATGTCTTATACTCTCATTGAATATAATTTATTTTAAGTAATAATTGTTTAGTAAATTTCACTTAATGAAAAGCAACCACTTGTTGCAATGTTTAAAACTTAATCAAAGTATTTTTTATCACTTAAGCATGAGAATAAACTAATATTAACTGTATTGGCAATTTAAATTAAGCCAAATTAAATATTTAAATTGTTTTTCATAGTTATATTTTATGCATTAAGTGTAGCTATCTTGTAGGTTTCAAATAGCTAAGCTGAATCTAAATCAAATGAGCTATTTTTTATCAAGAAATTACTATCAAAATCTAAATTTTGAAGTATAAGTTAATGAGATGGTGAAGATCTCATTGAATACAAAGCATCAAAGAATACATAGGTTGTTCTAGCTTAAAATTTATTGTTAGCTATGCTAATATTAGTAAATTAAAAAGTTTAGTTTACTTAGTCAACAGTAGCAACTGTAGAAAATATCGATTTCATACAAATAGTGTTATTATTCATTTGCATATTACTGACTGCAAAGAGGCCAGCTTAAAATAGGATAGAAATTTAATTTTTGTCGTCTTCATCGCTTTTTTAAAAACAAGTATTTTAAGAAATCAGAAGATTATTAACATTAGCTTAGATATTAGATTACTACTACAGAATGCTAAACTAATTCCCAAGAGTACAGTTAATTAAAGACAAATTATAAATTTAAATCTATTATTTAAAAAAATTTAATGGCATTGAATTATATAAAGTAAATTTTACATAACTAGAGTTAAAAGCTGCGATTATTGATTAGTGATAACTAAAATCTTCATTTGATAAATTGTACTTTTAGATAATTAGCTAAGTAGAGTCAACTTAAATAGATTAACAATTAATTTAAGATAAACTAATATTTAGATTCTTAAGTTAGATATTATTAATAATAGCATTTTACCCAATATTCTAAAAAATAATTCCACATTAATTAATTTACTGATTCAATGTAAAATTAATGATCATATCTTAAATTGTTATTTAATTATAATTATTAAATTTCATAACTCCTTAGTAATTTAAACTTGCATAAGTGCCATACTTACTACTTAAAAAAAATAACGAAATAATACTATTAAAATCGAAATTCATTAGATTTGGGTTTAAGTTATACTCATTATCAGGATTTATGTAAATATTAACACTCATATCAGAAACACCTGAAACAATTTACTTATAGTATTAAGCCTATAAATAAATAATATAAAGTTAAATTAAAATAAAACAAAAGTTTATTTTAGATTAAATTTTTAGTTTCTTGAAATTTTCTTTATCCATAAACATCCAATTTTAAAACTCTCTAATTATTACTGTAAAAATTTTTGAATAGAGGGATTTAATTTTTATTTTTTTATGTTGTTAATTTGAAAGAGTTTTTTTTTAAATTATGAGAGTTTCAAGTATTTTAAAAATAGAAAATTTTTTAATTTATTAAAAAATAAAACAAAAAGAAGAACCTATAACAAAGATTTTGGAGCTTAAAAGCTTTTAAAAAATTAATAATTAAACAATTTAAATATTTTTAATACTTTGATCATTGCTGTTAAGAAATTGTCAGATGTTGTATAAGGATTGTCAACAGCTCCTGCACCATAAACTGCATTAACATCAAATTGATTTGTTGTATTAAAATAATATTACTAGGTACATTATGTGCAAAGAGTAGAGTTTGAGAGACAATCTTGAATGGAGTAGAATAGATTTCTATCTGTGTATTAAATCCATAGTGTGTAATCACTTAGCATTTCTATATAAATTAACTTGTCTTAAATTTTTTTTGATTAGAGTTGTAAAAAAAAATCGAATAGTTTTGAATTTTAATTCAGTTTAAAGATTAAAGCTTCTCCAGAATTAAAATCACCTAAAGCTATTAGCTGAGGTTTTGAAAAGGCTCTTAAAGCTAAAGGTTAGCTAGTTAATTTTGCTAAATACTAATAATTTCCAGACAAATAATCTAGAGCGTAAACTTTATTATCATCACACGACATTATTATTCTTTTAAATCCATTAATATTGAAAATATCACCTATTTAAGAGTTTTTGCAAATACCTAAATTTAAATTCAAACAAAATTTCAAAAACAATAAATTTAAAAATTATATAGAATTTAAATACACATAATATAAATTAATTTATAAAGTTTAAATTTACTAAAATTATAAGAAAACTTAAATTCATAATTAGGAGTGCTTAGATCCCAAATGTAAACAGTCCCATTATTATCTACTCCAATTAATTCTAAGTTTTGTGGATCATCTAAAGAAGCTATTGCAAAAGCTGTTTGGATTGATGTAACATCACTTTGATTTGAAGTTAAAAAATACCTCTCAGTTGTTGATTGGCAATTGATTAACTAAAATAAATAGTTTTCTGTATTAGCTTTATTAGGAAAAGCTAAAGCAACATATATTTTATTTTATATTGAAAATGGATCTAAATTTTAATTTATACTTGCCCATGTCAAACCAAAAGAATTTGTTATGTCAATGGCCTAATTTATAATTGTAATTTTTGTAAATAGACTTTAAATAAAAATAAGTAATTGCTCTTACTGTATTTTATTGGCTAAGAGGATATATTGGGAATGTAAATATAAAGCTATTACTTCCATCTTCACCACTTTTGATAAAATACCAATCAAATAAGTTTTTTACTGAGTAAAAGCTGCCATATTAATATCTGACGTTACCTGATAATTCAGGTTTTTAATTATTTCCATCATATTATCCAAAATAACCATCATCATAAAGTAGAAGGTAATTTTGGTATAAAAATATGTATTTATCTGTATTGATATCATCCTGTCTAATAAATCTTCTACTTAGCGTGTCGCCACCAAAATCTAATTTTTAAGTTGTTAAAAAACTTTATATGTATATTTAAATGAAATATAAAAATAAAATGTTTTTTTCATTTTATTTAAAAATTTTTATTTAAAAGATTAAGAAAACTTTTAATATTTAATAATTTATAGTTACTGCAAAATTTAATAATAGTCTATAAAAAACTTAAATTATTATTTAAAATATAATAAGTATTGTCAAAATTAAAAATTACATAAGTAATAATAAAACTAGTAGGTGGTATAATGAAAGACTGTGATATATGTACCAGAAGATATAATTAAAATAGGATTTTCTTATATTTTATACAATTTAAAATAGCAAGTGATTTAAATCCAGTAGTAACTTGAAATACTCATTTAAGAATAATCGTCATTAGCTGATAAATAGATTGGAAAAACATAGTATTAAGAGTTGATGATAAGAGTATGAGAATAGCTCCCGTTAGAAAATGATAAATCATAAACAATATTTTGAGTATTATCTGTTAAATAGTATGAATAAATACCTAAAATTTATAATTTTAAATCTTTAAAATAATTACAATTGTTATTAAATTTTACTCTATTTGAAAAGAGTTTAATAAACTCCTTTCTTGATATCTATTATTTTTACTGCTGCTACCACTAAATATTTTCCACCCATAAATATTATATCTTAAGTTGGATGTTTTGTAAAGCATTTGTTTCCATCTCCTTATTAATCTACTATAGCTATGAAAAGAATAATTATTTTTTATTAATTTAAATTAATAAATTTAGCATACAATCTTGGATATAGCCATTGTAAGAATAAGTTAGATTTTATAGATCTACACTCCAAGTTATTATTCCTCTATCATTTGTAGTCACTATTATATATTCGCCTGTAGAAAGCTGATAAAAGCTTGAATAATACTAATAAAGCTAAGAATTATCAGAGAATGTCTAAAGAATTTATGTATTATCTAAGAGAAGAACTACTTATTGCTGAATAAAGTCAAATATTTACAAAACATTATAATAGCTAGTTAAAATAACATAATTAGTTCCCTAAATTAACTATAGTGAAGAAATGTTGATAAAGGAAAAGGATTATTGTGATTTCAAAGTATATGGATCTGCAAATATCAAGTTATTTTAGTTTATTATCACTAACTGTTAAGTTTGATCATTGTAATACATTTCTCCTATCAGAAAGTCAGCTTATTATTATTAAAATAGACATTTTTAAAATATAAATTCAAATCATAAAAAACACAATGCTTAGTAGAATTATTAAAATTTTTTAGCTTACGAGCTATAACATTAATCACTTCTCCAGAAGAGGATGACATATCATAATAATATACAATACTAGAAATTGGGTAGTTCCATTAGCTCGTGTTTATAACTAAAATGTTAGTTTTAGGGATTCTCAAGAAATTTTTTACATAGAAGCTTTAATCCCTCTTTGGATCTTAAAAATTTTTAATAAAATATTATGAATTAAATATGGCTGATAATAATAAATTAGTTTTTTACTGTCATAAGTTCTCAATTAAGGACATTTTTAAACATTTTAAGCCTAAATAAATAAAATAAAACTTAAAAGCAAAGCACTTAGATACTAAATAATCATATTTTCTTATAAGTTGATTGAGATAAATATTAAATTTTTGGTTTATTAATTATTAAGTAATTAGAAAAAGATATAGGTTTATTATATTTAATAAAATCAAAGTTATATCTTTATTGTTGAATAGCTAATAATAGATAATTAAAAATTTTTACAGGTTCAGTAGTGTTTTTTGCTTCACAATATAATTTTAAAATAAAAAAAATACACATATGTATTATTATCTAATGTTTCTATAGTTAATTTTATTCTTTGTTATTTAAAAAGCTTATTTAAGAAATAGATTTTTTTACTTGATACCTATTTCAATATTAACAATATTAGCAAAAATAGAAGTTAAATTTTTCTCTCAAATAATTTTTTAGAATTCATTGTTTAGCTAAAAATCTTAAAGATAACATTTATACATAAAAATCAAATTGGTTCAAACAATTTGTACATAAGATTATTTAATATTATAAAAATTATGGATGCAAAGTTATTTATAAAATAGTAAATATATAAGAATTAAATAATTCATAAATCATTCAGTTCATTCATTTTTAGCTTTTATTTATAATTTTATATATTTTAAATTGAAAGTTTTAAATTAAGTTTGAGTTTATTTAGTTTTCATTTAAGATGATTTTTCAATTTATTTTACCTTTAGATTTCCTTCACTAAATCGCTCATTCATTAAGTAGCAAGCTCGTTTGATATAAAAGTAGTGTAATTAAAATAATCTATCCATCTCTATTAGTATTTGTAAAAATTTATTTACTATTAACTTAAACACTAATAATTAACTAATTCACTTATTTGTATGATATTTAGTCACTCTTTAGTTTAAGTCAAAAATAAATGTATCAAGCAAGAAAAATCTGTTTGCCATAACGCAGATTACATTTATTCATATTTAAATTTTATGACAAAATATTAATATATAGTTTGTAGGTAGCTTTTAATCATTTTAAATTTTTTGAAATAATGTTGAAAGAATTAGATTAATTGTTTCAATTTTCTTATTTCTTTTCTTCTATTTTTATCTAAACCTAGTTTAATACATACTTAAGCTTTTCTTCTAATTTTTACAATTATTTTAAATTTTAAGAATCTAAATCGCTCAAATCATCATATAGAAACTATTTATATTTTAGATAAATCATAAATGAGATTAAAAAAGAAGAAATAAATACCATTTTTTAGATTTGGTTGCACTCTGCTCTGAGTTGCTTTTTTATTTTAACTTATAAGTCTTATCTATAATATTAAAAAATGTTTATTTTATTAATCTTGTTTAATTTACTAATATTGTATTTACTTTATTTCTTGTATTGACATTTTGGCATTCGAAGATTATTTTTTAATATATGCATTATTCTCAAAGAAATATATATCTGAATAGTTAGTTTTTACTACTTATAGCTCGATTACATAATTTTTACAGTCTTTACTAAGCTACACAGGCTTTCCAATTACTTCAGTATAGTTGATTCTCACTTCTCCCACTACTAATCTTGGTTCTATTAAAGAAGTTATATAATCTATATACAAATTAAACCAATCCTTTTACTTAGCATTCAAGCTTATACCATCTACCCAACCTTCATCATGCACACCTATATACCTAATTTTTATTATTTTAAAACAATATTTAAGTTTAAATCAGATTTCATTTATATTTTTGATAAAAATATATTTTAAATATTTAAGAATTAATTTTTAAAATATTTTAGCTTTTTAAATTCTATTAATTATTTAATTATTTGTATTCAAAAAATCAGCATTTTATTATCATTCATTATTGGATTTTTAAAATTGTTAAAAGACTTTTATCAAATGCCAAAAATGAATAAAGAAAATTATTTTTGATGATTTACTATCACCAAAGTCTTAAAATTCAAAAAAAGTGCCATCTAAAATTAAAAATTTGAAGACATTGATAAAAAAATCCCCCCAATTATAATTGTGGAAAATTTTCTTTGCTTTTTTGTTAAAATTAAATAAATTTAATAATTTTGTTTACATTGTTCCTCCTTTGTGGTTTAAGAAACCGCAAATATATTAACCATATTCTTGCAATTTTAATATAGCGATCATGTCTTTTTAGATTTTACATGAGGATATCTTCTAGTAGTTTTTAAATTCGACTGTAGAACTTTCATGACCTAAGTCTTACTTATAATAATAAACCTTGTTACTGTATTTTTGGGTATTAACATCTGTAAAATCTTTAAGATACTCATCATTGGAGCTCAAATCAGTGTATTTTGAAGTTTGTTTTGTTATATCTAATTCGCTCTTTGATTTTGTGTCTGGATTATTAAGACTGTTAGAACTGTGTCTTATGTCTTAAAATTAGTATTCATTATTTTTTTTAGACTTTTTATTTTAATTTTATTCTTGCTTTATCTTTAATTCTGCAACTTGGATATCGATGTTTTTGTTTGATAAATCGCCTTAGTTTTTAAATTCTTAATTTACTGGAGTATTTTGATCATTTTTGTTTGGAGGATTTTAAGTTTTTTTCTTTGTCTCTTTTTACTCTAAGTTTACCATAGTCTTGCTTTTTGGGGAATAAGATATCTTTTTATTTGATTTATCTACTTTACTAGTTCTACCTTAGAGATTGGAGTCACTGCCTTTAGAATTCGTGTGTTTTTCTTCTAGCTCATTTATTGGATCTAACATCAAAATATCATTTCTATCTACAATACTATCATCGTCGTATAAATCTAAAAGAATGTTTGCTGTGTTCTATGTCATTTTATTATCTTAAATCTTATCTATATTAGCTAATTACATATTTAATTTTTCTTTTGGAGAAGGCTCATTCTTAGAAATTGGAGTTACTTAATCCACAGAGTTATTGTTATTGCTATTTGTGTTTTGGTTCTTAGGTACTACCTTTTACTGAGAGATTTGCTCGTATAATTTTTCTAACTGCTTGTTACTAGATTAAATATTGTTAAAGTCATCAAGTAAACTCTATGTGAATTTTTCTTTGGGTGCTGCCATGTATTTAGTGGCTTTTAAATCATTTACCCAGTCATTTTTTTCTGCTTAGTTGTGATAGTAAGGACAAAATATTCCATAAATGCATACACTTGGCTTATCTTTTGCTAATTAATTACTGTTTTCTGTTGTTCCATTCAAATTTTAATTAGCTGCTACAGAAGGACATTCTTTTGATCTGAAATTTTAAGGATGATAAAAATACTCAAAAAAATTCATGCAAAATCTTGTATCTTCTCTATCTGTTTCCTTGACAAAAAGCCTGCTGTAATTGAATTTATTTTTGTCTTTAACAACTATTTTACGTCTTTTATCAAATTGGTTGTGCCACTTTATGCAATTAAATAATAAGGGAAATACAAATTCTTTCTTTTTATCTAACAAAGCACATTCTTTATCGCAACACTCCTCAGTTTTATACCTTACCCAATCAAACTCTCTTTCATTTTTAATCACTACTTATTAACTCCTACTTTGTATTTGTAATTAATCATCTTATATGATATCTATTTCTTCATCCTCGACTAACTCTAATTGTTGTGCCTATGACATTTGTTTATTCACTAAAAAATATGTATCTGCCAAAACTAATTTTTTAAAGTGCTAAAGCAATCTGATTATTCAATCAATCAATAGTAATGGAGTATTGAAAGTTAAAAAGAATCGAACTATTCACCTTTACACCTACCTCTCTTGTTCTTTCAATTTTATGGCTTTAGCAAACAAATCAATATATCTATCTAAAAACTTATTTATTTACTTACTAACTAATTAACTAATAAACAAACTAATATTTTAATTATCAACTGAGAGTTAAATAAATATGCAGCATATATAGACAATATTTATTATTTTAATCTAAATTTCAAATCTTTTAATTATTGATTCTTCTTTATTGCATATTTTATTTTCAAATAGAAAAAAAAGTCTTATTCTAAATGCCTATGATTAATTGAGAAGCTTTTTCTGATAAATTTTACATGACACATTAGAAACCTAAAAAATAGCTAGACATTTTAAGTATTTTTCAATAAATAAATAAATCATAAATAAATTGTAAATATTTGATATTTTGAATAAAATAAAAGAAATTGATTTTTTTAAATAAAATATAGATAAAAAACAAATATATTTTTTACATAAAATAAGCTTTAATTATTTTACATATATATTTATGCTTTTATGTAGGATGTTATAATCATTTTTTAAATCATACATTTTATGTGAGATTAATTTATTTAAAATTAATTTTTTAAACATTTTTAAATTAAATTTTATTTTGTATTATTTATATTTTTTATTTTAAAATACATTTATTTATTTCTCATTTTTATTTGATGAGAAATTAAGCTTGTCTTCAATTTTTTTTCAGCAAAATTATTTATTCATATTTTATGAAAAAAGTATTTACAAGTTTCATTTTCTTAATAGGTCGTCAATATAATCTATAAATTCAATTTTTGAAGCATTTTAATGAAATACAGATTAAAATAATAATTTAATTGAAAAATAAATTAAATTAATATTATTTTTATATGAAAATGGTTTTCTTTACAAAAATTAATAAAAACATGAAAAATAAAAAATATGTCATATTATGTATGATAAACAAAATATTAAGAAATTTATTTTTTTATTTATTTGATTTATGATCAATAAAAATTTAAATTAATATGTTTATCTATTCTTCTTAACTCATTCATAAGATATTAATTCTATTGAAAACGATACTAATTTTTTTAATTTCATTGAAATAGTTTCCAAATATTCTTTTCTCACTTCTTCTATCTAGTTCTCACTTATTTATAAAATATTTCATTCAAATTAAAAATAATTGATATAATGAAAAATAAATTAAATAACATCAAATAAAGCATTAAAGTTGTAAGATTGGTAAATCTTTTCAGTTACTAACCAATATTTAAAATTCCTTAATCTCCTATTTTGTTATTACTTTTTTTTTATAAAATAATTATATTTTTTAAGTTGAAAATTTTTTTTTAGTAAAATATATTTTTAAATATTAAATTTAATACAAGACAATCAAAAAATATTTTATATTAAATTCAACTTATTTTAAACTAAATTAACTAAATACGTAAACTCAATTATCAAAGTTGAAATATTTTAGCATTAAGCCAACTGATTCATTAACAAATAAGCACCCTCATCATTAATTTTGTTAGAACTTTTTAAGTTATATTTTTAATTAAAAATTTAGTAAATTTTATGATATTTTTAAGGTGTTTATTCAAATTAATAAATTAATAATATATTTAGATATTAGTATATATAAATTTGTCAATTTTGTATGCTAATTTATAATAAAATGAATAAATTTACTAAAAGTAGAGCTCAACTGATTAGAGTTTTTAAAATTTAATCAAAACTCTACCTAAATCCTCCACTCCTTATTATCCGATATTATTTACTCTTTTATATTATTGTTAAATGTTAGTATAAAAGAAAAATTAATTTAGCATTTGTTAAATGAGAAAAAATAAATAAAATCAAGGCAAATAAAATATTAATTACCCTAATCTTAACTTTAGATGTGTGAGATAAACCATATTTGTAAAAGAATTTGCTATTGAAGACAAATATTAATTTGATAAATTACAACTGCTAAATAATTTTCAAAAAATTATATTATATTTTTATTTTTCAAAAATACTGTAAATATTCATTCATTAATAAATACCTCCCCTTTTACTATTATTATTATTTTATTTAATTTTTAAATTTTTTTAAAAATAGGGGAAACTATCATTTGGCATTAATAATATAAAAGAAATACAGTCTATTCATTGATTTATTGATCTTGTCATTATTTAATTCACTTTAAGTAAATAAATGGATACATTAAGTAATAAAATTGAAACTATATTTTACTATAGGCTAATCATGAGAGTTTTTACGTTAATGCACTTTTCTAATCCTTTACATAATTCTTATAAATCATCTCCTTAGATCTTCTTAAAACTATTACAAAAAAAGACATAGTTTTAATAATTTAAATATATAAATTTCTAATGATAAATAATTTAATGCAAATTGAATGAATAGCTTACTTGAGTATTAAGTCAATATTGAGATGTCCTTCTAAGTTAGATTTTAAAAACTTTTGTTATTGTATAATAATAATATATTCGAAGGCTAGTTCACATGAATAATTACACTATTTATTTCGTAATATTTATTTTTATCTTGAAGATACTTTTTTGTTTATTAGTTCCCCATATAATATGTATAGTTTGAAGAGAAATAATCATCTATCAAATAAATTTAAAATTAAACAATTTTTATTCTATTCATAATTTAAATATTAATTGATTGACATCTTGTTACTTTTACATATAAATATATAGAATTTTTTATCATTTAATTATATTTATATACTTAAAGGATGTTAATTATAAATTAGCGCCAATATCTAGCAGATAAATTAATAAAAATTTGGCTACAAGATTTAAACAGTTTTCAAAAGTAGTGAGCATAGAAAAAATAGGGAAACAAAAAGAAAAAATATTCACAAAAGTTATTTTATTTTTACTGTAAGATTCAAAATTTGATGTGGAAAATATAAATTATTTAATTTAGCTCCTGTCTATACCAAAAGGGTAAATAAAAGTTTGAAAAATATATTAAAGACCTGAGTTATTGAAAAATTAATCAAAATATTGATTATAAACATTAAAGTAATAGATTATCTACCAAATAAATAAATAAAGAAAGACTGATTAGTTTCTATATTAACAAAATGAAAGGAAATAAAAACAAAAAAATTTAAGTTAAAGAAGAATAAACTATCCCTATATTACAAATAAATTTGTCAAATGTTCAAGATATCTTTGAAGATGAGAAGAGAACTGAAAAATTTATTGATTAAAAGCTTGAAGAAGCTAACAAAAATTCTGAGCATTTAAAAGTCTTAAGGTTATTTTTAGAAAGTGAATAGGCAATAAATACTTAATATTTTCAGAAGCTATCAAATGTTTCTTTGCTTGAGGATTTGTAAATTAAGGGATTTTAAACAGCTGAAAAGTAATTCAAGCAATTCTTTTAATTTATTGAGAGATAAACTAACTTAAAGAGCCTTTATGTAGATGTTTTATGCCCTTACAATCAAAAATAATATTTTGAAGCTGAACTTAAATAGTTTTGTTAGAATGTTTGTAACTTAAAGAAATTGGAGTAATTATACTTATCTGTACTTTGTTTAGACTAAACAGATCATCTTAAAGAGCTCGGTAAATCATTGAAAAATCTAGCAAGTTTAAAATCTCTAAGTCTGTCCTTTGGATAAGTAGATTCTAAAATAGTAGAATTAGACTCTCTTGCCTAATATTTAGGAATAGCTAAAAATTTGAAAACGTTACAAATCAAATTTGAGGAGATAAGTTCTTTCCCATTAAAAGAGGCTTAGTAACTATTTTAAGCTGTAGGCTCAAATAAAAATATTGATGATTTAACCTTTTCATTTGCAGGATGCACTGATTTCTCAAAAAATTTATTTTAAGATCTTAGTAATATGATAAATAGTAAAACAAATTTAAAGAAATTTTCAATCAACTTGGACAGTTTAAGTCACATCAAGACAGATGAATACAATAAAATATTAATATCAATAGAAAATTTGAAAGCTCTTTCTTTCCTGGAAGTGAACCTAAGCCAAAATAAAATAAATATAGATTAATTAACGAGTTTACTTAAATAATAAAACTAGCTAACACATTTAGAATTGAATTTAAATAGTATCAAAATAAATGGCTAATTTTAAAAAATAAATGATGCTTTAAAAAGCTTCACTAAACTGAAAAGTCTAGTGCTCAATCTTTCAAATAATAAACTTTTTACTAAAACTTTTTAAGGATTATTTGATTTTCTTCCAAAGCTAGATCTTGATCATCTAAGTTTGGACCTAACAGATGAAGAAGGGAACTACAAAGAAAAGTTCATATTCCAAGTTGCTAAATATATTGGATAATGTTCAAGTTTAAAATCATTAATATTCACATTACAGTATTATGACGCTGAAGAAGATTTTTACTCCTAACTGATTAAAGAATTTAGCAAATTGTAGAAATTGAATACTTTGATAGTAAGCGATGCTGTAGGAGAACATTTGGACAACTCAATTTATAAATACTTAAAAAATTTAGTATATTTTTAAATGAGATATTGATAACTGAGTTAACTAATTATTCTACATACCAATAAAGGATCAATTTACATAAAGACTGTGTTTGCAAATTAACATTCAAAATTAAATATAGATTTCAATATAGGGCTTAAATTTATATTTTATTTTTGTGTATTAATCTATAAATTTAATATTTTAGTTCCAAAAAGTTTGTATACTTCACCAGTTATCGCTTATATAATAAAGATTATTAGAAAATATAACATTTCATTAAGTCCTAAAAAATTTCATTTGACAATGAATTTATAAAAATCATCAGAAGATATCAAAACAAAATAATTTACCATATAATCTATTTACTTAAGTTAATTATAATAGAAAGTATAAACTTTATAAAAAATAGAAAGGTAGATTTTAATTAATAATTTATTAATTGACTTAAATCAGTTTATTTTTAAAAATTACATTAAGTGTTTAAAAATGTGCTGCAACAATTTAATTCATTGACAAATAAAATGAACTAAATTAGTTTTTATTTAAAATTAATGAGGAAGGAATAAAAGCTACAAATATGACCTCAATTTAAATTATATATAAATTAAAACTTAAATGTAAAACAAAATAAAATATTTTGTATTTTTGAATGACCATAAACTCTATAATTAATTTGATATATTTTTGTAAATCAAATAAATAGTTCATCTAATCAAAATAAAAAACGATATCAAACGCTAACCAATTAATATATTAAATACTCAAGACTTTTCTAAACAATAGCTTTTTAGCTTTCAAATTATTGAATATGAAAAAAACTTATGTGGAAATTAAATTTTAAGATTTATCTTTTAAAAAATTTGGAAATTAAACAAAGAGTTAAAAGAAAATTAAGGAATTAAACATCATTCAAAATCAAATTCTAATTTTTGTGAAGACGAATATGAAGTTTTGTATGAATAACAATTATTTATTTTATTTATTTATTGATATAAATTGTAATTATATATATAAAGATAATAAGCATGGTTTTATAATATAGTTTGAACCAGCTTTTCATCTTTAAATGAATTTACTTTTGCAAGTAAAATTGATGCCAACCACCCACCCTTAAGATTTTAACTCATTTATAATTTCTTTCCTTCAGCCTTATTGAAACACTCAATATTAAATTGCTGAGGAAGTAAGTCTATCTTTAACAAGTCAATGAGTTAATAAATACTTGTTAATTTGATCACTGTTCAACAACAGCTGAATAAGCTTTACTACCAACGAAGTTATCCTTGATAAAGCTGAAGAACCTCTTTGAAGACATGATGTTCTTAACATTTTTTTCAACTAAGCGAGCTTGAAGCATTTAATCGCTAGTGACAAAGAGAATTGAAGATTGAACTTCTGGAATTTCAAGCGATGCAAAATGAACCAGAGCATCATCAGCATTCTAGAATTAAGGCTTAGAGCTAATAAGTTTAAAACTATCATCAGCAAATTGTTAAGCAAGGGATTAGTCCTTCATCATGGAGGAGTTGTCGAAAACAAGAACGATTTAGATTTAGTTTTCGTAGCTAGCTTAGAAAAGTTTCATTAAAGTTGCTATCTTTTCTTCGATTTACTTAAAATCACCCTTAACTGATTGCTTGATAAAGCTGTGCTCAATAAAAAAGCAGTTATTGCAGTCAACAAAAATTTTCTTTAGCTCACCTTTAGAAAAGGATTCACGAAGTTAAAGTTTTTGAAGAGATTGTTTTTTTTGCAAATGAGAAGCAGCTTTTTCAGGATTTCTTTCATTTTTTTTGAGTGCCTTGAAATTTTCTTTAGCATCTCCAAATCCTAATTTGCTTAATTAGTTGTTGAGATCTTCAAAATTAGGAATTTCTTCCACCATCTTATGAAGTTTTTCTTTTCTTTTTGATGGACTTCTTTCTTTTCTGTTTTTGCATTTCATGTTTTTTTCATCGTCACTTTTTTGTTTCTCTTGTGAATCTCTTTTGTGATGCTTTTCTCTTCTTTCTCTTTTAGGAGGAGCATTTTGGAGGAATTCCTCAGCCAACAAAACATCTCCTTTATTTTTTTTGAGAGCTTTTAGGATCATTCTTTCATCATATCCCTTATTTGAAAGCATTTCATATTGGACTTCGTAGCCATGCTTTCTTATTTTATCTAAAAACTTTTGCATACATTTATCGCACTTGCTGCACAATTTTTTTGATCCTAAAGCTCCCTCAGCAGTTTTATCCATTTTGTTGTTTTTCTTTTTATTTGTTCTTTTTATTTAAAGTTATTTATTCTTATTTATTTATTATTCTTAAAAAGAAATCTGATTTGTTTTAGTTTTTAAATCAATCTGAATAATACTAAAAAAATAATTGTCCTTCATAATTTATATAGAAAAAAGACATCTAAATGAATTTTTTATCAGATTTCATTAATTAGATTTATAATATTTCTTACTTTATAATATAAAAAATAGAAGAAAGGGTATTATTTTGATATTTTTCTATATAAAAATGTATTAAACAGTTTAAATCAAATATTGCAATAAAAATATATTTAAAAAAATAAAAACTATTATTTTTTCTATTATATTTGTTTTAGTATTTCTTTCTTTGCTTATTTAATTAATTTCATTATACTAACTTGGTTTATAAAATTCATGTTTTTTAAATAGATTCAAAGTTATTTAAATAAAGAAAAAAAAGTTTTTATATTTAAGGTCTTTTTTTATAATCTTTATCTTAGTTTTACAAAATAAATATCAAAAAGAAACTTATATATGAATGATAAATGAATTAATATCTAGCATAAATATTTTATGTTTTTTGCTTATTTTTTTTATTAATAAATAGTAGAAATTTAAATTTTATTTCTTATGTTTAAAAATCTTAAAATTAAAGTACATTATTTATTATGTTTATACATAATTACTGTTTATCTCCTATTTTGGCTTGTAAGATTTAAAAAGTTTACTTTTTAAAAATAATTTATGAATATTTTTTAATTACTGTATAATTTTATTAGAGAATAGAAAAACTAATTTATTATATATGAAATAATCAACTATGTGCTTATATTAAGATAGTTCAAGATTTAAAAAAAATTTTTTACAGTTAGTCCTATATTTCTGAAATTTACTTTTTAAGTTTAAAATTATATTCGATGTGTGACACTATATTTAATTTAATTGAATAATTATTCATAATATTTTTGCTATTTAACGATTTAATTAATTTTTTTATCAAGTTAATTTTCTTCTGCATTTGTAAATGCACAAACTTAAAATTGAGTTAGATATTTTATAAAAAAGATTATAAAAATGTAAAGTAAATAAAATAATTTGCTTCATAATAATATTTTTTATATAATTAATTTGCAAATCATAATCCTAAATTTATAATAATTTTAAAGAATAAGATTTTAGGAAACAAGAGCAAGTTTTTTATTTTAAAGCCTTTAAATTTCTCTAGCATGTATATTAAATATATCTAATATTTTTTTTATTCAAAAAAAATTTCAAAAATAAAAATATGTCGAATTAAACTATCTCATTTAAAACTATCAAAAGAGTAAACACTTTTATATTAATTTATGCTAAATGTCAAATAATTTTTTTATTGCAAAAGTATCTTTTTTCAAATTATGTTAAGCATGAAGATATCTAACTTGATTTTAGGTGCAATTTAATTTTTTTGTTTAAAACAACATTAATTATGAATTACTTTTCTCTTATTGTTCAAAAGAAAGAAAAGTCACAGCGTGAAAGGAGCCTCTAAAGTAGCTAAAAGAATAGGGAAGACTAAAAATCTTAAATCATTACATCTTGATTTTTCTGGAGGGTATTTAATATTTAATTAATGTTTAGGATGATAAAAATCTGTAATGCATAAAAGCAATAATCATATTAGTGACGGCGGGGCACTTAAAATAGGTTCTGGATTTTCTACCTGTCAAAATTTAATTAGCCTCTATCTTGATTTGTCAGGAAGGTAAACATAATTTTTTCAAACTTAATTACCTATTGTAATTACTTACAAATAAATCAATCAATTTATTTATAAATTTTTTTAAAAACAATTTTTCACTTCTATTTATTTCATGAAATTTAAAAAAATAAAAATTTGTAATAACTAAGTTATTACAGTAATATTTTTTGAAAGAGTATCAAAATAAATTGATATTAAAAAGTATATAATTCTATTCATTTTATTTTATTTATTGTTTAAAAAAGTTAAAACAAAATTGCGGATGAAGGAATTTCTGGCATAGGTTAAGGATTAGCTAATTGCTAGTTATTAAGTTTTTTAACCTTAAAATTATAGTAAAATTCAAAAAATTTACTTTAAAATTAATCTATGATTAATGCTTTTAAAATAACTTAATTATATACTTAGAGGAAATTATATAGGAAATGAAGGGATTGATAAGTTCGCTTATGGAATAAGCAACTGTAATAATCTTATATTTTTCAAATTTGATATATCCTAAAAGTAAATAAATTCTATTTAATATAATAAAATTTTATTTAAATATATTGAAAATTTAATTTTAATCTTTAAAAAGGATAAGATAAAATTTTATTAAAGGAATTTATATTTTAAATTAATTTTATTAATTTCTTCATATAAAACTTGCACTATTTCAGCTAAATATTTTATTAAAAGCAAAATATAGCTTCAGGAATAAGGTTTTTAAGGTTTTGCTTCCAATCTATCTAAATGTGTAAGTCTAGAAACACTAAAAATTAATTTAAGGTAAACAAATTTCTATTAAAAATAATTAATTTTTTATTATTCTTAAAGTTTTAGTATGAAATAAATTTAAAATTAAGAAAATAAATAATTCAAATTTAAAAGCTATTAAAGTAAAAAAAAATTAAAAAAAATCTTTAAAAAGTCAAGATAAAATCAGCGACTAAGCTATTATTTGTTTAGCATAAGGATTAGGGAAGTGCTATATCTTAAAAAATTTAACACTGAAGCTGAGGTAATATTGATTAGTTATCTTATTTTTTTATAAAAATTGAATTGATTATCTTAACTGAATATTTAAAATGATATGATATTGTTTCATATTCTTACAAATTATTTAATAGTGGAAATCAAATAACTTGTAAAGGATCTTCTGAATTATTTAATGAAATAGGGAACTGTTAAAATCTTAATTTTCTAAAGCTTGATTTGCCTGGAGTGTAAATTAAATAAATAAAATTGTTTTCATAAAATTTTAATTAATAATCTTTTTGTGGTTCAATAAAATATGTTGTTTCTATTTAATTTATAATTAAGAGGAAATCAAATCAGCGAACAAGGAGGAGCAGGTATTGGATTAGGTTTGGCCAAATGTTAAAATCTACAAATTTTATTATTAAATTTAAAGTAATATTTATTACTTGAATAGAATATTACCCAAATAAATACTTTATATAATTAAAGACTAAATTCAATTAATGATTAAGGAGTTTCAAGCATAGCAAACGGTATTGCAAACTGTATTAATTTAAAAAGACTAAAATTCGACTTATCTGGATAGTAAAAAAAATTATTTTCCATTCAAATACTTTGCTTTCTTATTATTAGTTAATAATCATTAAATTAATTATATGTGTGAGTAGAAATTTATAAAAGTATAATTTATTTTAAGATTAAACACTTTTAAATTTTTAGATCAAACAATATTGGCTAATAAGGTGTCTCGAATCTAGCTACCTAAATTGGTAAGTGCAATAATTTAGAAACTATAGCTTTGAACTTAAAGTAGCCAATTTTAATTTAAATATTAAGTGATCTATTTATTGAAAAAAAATTTATTATTAATTTATTTATTTATTTATAAAATATTTTGATTTTTTAATGAAAAAAAGGGATAATTATATTGGAGACAAAGGAATTTTAGGATTGAGGAATGGGTTAAAATAAGTGAAGAATTTATAATAATTATATCTTGATTTATCAGGCTAGTAATATGATATGCTTTTTTTTAAATTAAAAAAGAAACAATATATATTTAAAAAAAAAAAGAAATAACGATTTTTCGAGTGAAGGAGCTACTGCATTAGGGGATTTGTTTGTACAAACCACTAATATCCATACTTTAAAACTTTATATTAAGTGAGTTAATTTATTTTATTATAAGAGCAAAAATTAGACAAAAATTATAAATTTATATTAATCAAAATTAAATATTTTTAAAATAATATTATTTAAATAGTTCAAATAATTTATATGCTTAATCAATCTAAGGTCTTTTTTCTAAGCTAAAAAATTGTCTCAATCTCAAATCTTTAAAGACTAATTTAAGGTTAAACATAGTTCTTCAAATGAATTTTTTTTCCGCAATTTTTAATGGGATAACTCTAAATTTATTTTTTAAAATATAAAGTGGAAACAAAATAAGTAATTAAGGGGCTATTGAGTTAGGAAGCTGCTTATCTAATTGTCATAATCTTGAAAACTTAGTGATTATACTGAAGTAAAAATATAAATTATTTATTTTTAAATATTTGTATCTATTTTACAATTACTTATATTTAAAAATAATTAAAATAAAAGCGATTGCAGCATTTACAATGAAGGAGTAATTGGTATTGGTGTAGGATTAGGCATTTGCAAAAATCTTAGTGATTTAACTATCGATTTTAGGTAGAATTTATTCAATTAGTTTTAAACAACTACTTAAAATATTCTAAATTTTAACTAATATCATTAAATCTTAAATTCTTTAAAAATAAATAATTATAAAATATAAAATTTAGCAAAAATAGCATTGGAAGTATTGGAATATCTGGTTTTTCAGGTGGACTAATAAATAATTAAAGTTTAAAATCATTAAATATTGATTTAAAGTAAAATATATTATGTTAGATAACAAAGATATTAGTTTAATTTAAATAAAGTAAAAACAATATTGGAGAAGAAGGGGCTTCTAAACTTGGTACAAATTTAGGCTAGTTGCAAAATCTAGAATTTCTCACTTTGATGCTACAGTAAAATATTCAATAAAGAAATAAATTTTATTTTTTGTTTTTGTTTCCAATTTTTCTAAAAAAAATTTAATTTAAGCTAATTTGATTTATTAAAACAAACATTAAATAAGATAAAATTAAATTAAAAACGTTGGAATTATTGATCTCTCAGATGGTATATCAAAGTCTAAGAAACTCAAATCGCTGAATATTGAGCTAATGTAAATATTTATTATATTTTAAACTAAAGTTAGTTTATTTTATACTAAATTTAATCAAAAGGTAAAACGAAATTAGTTAATAAGGAGCTATTTAATTTAGCTATCAAATAAAAAATTTTCCTAAATTACAAACATTAAATATTAATTTAAGGTAAATTTATTGTTAACTACTTAAGAATTAATCCAGTTAATATAAAAAAAAATATTCTAAATCTAATTTTATTTTTTATTTATTTTTTTATTTTTAATTAGATTAAATTCAATAAATGCTTATGGAAGACTTATAATGAGGTAGTCTATAAGAAAAATTACTAATTTAGTTAAATTTAACCTAAGAATACTTTGATATAATTTTGTATATTTATTCATACATAATATGAATTCTATTTTTTTGTTGTAGGTAAATTACATATAATATGAAAGAAATAAAATTTTTGATTAAAAGATTTATAAAAAATTTATATTTATACATCTAAAAACTAAATGTTAAATTAAATTTTTTAAATTTTGTCTGTTTAAAACATTATTTTTTCTTTTAAATTTTATTTTATCTAATATAAAAAATTTTTGATTCATAAAGTAATAAATATATATTTAGTACTTATTAAATTATATTTTGAGAAAAGTAATAATAAACACTTTGAGATCAAATAAAAATAATAGTTGCGATTAATAAAAGAAAGTTTAATATTTTGTAAAAAACTCACAAAAATTTTTTTTATTTGAATTTGATTAATAAAAGATAAAAATAATTAATAAACAGTTAAATTTTTTAAATAAAATGTGTAACAGTAAACATATTGTTTAATTAATAAATTTCTGATTTCTCTAAAAAAATACAAAAATATAAAGAATGACATTATAATTAAGTCATTATAAAACACTTAAAGGAGTAATAAATTTATTTTTTAATATCAAAGCTTAATTATTATTTTTTTCTCACAAAAAGTTTTTATCATCTAAGTTAGAGAGTCATTAAGAAGTACATCTTTATTTAGCGTAAGTTGGCTTAAATTATTTAAAAACAACTTTTTATAATTATTATTAGTTATTTGTTCAATCCATCTAAATATCTTTTCACTAATACAACATAATTATAATTAATACTAGTATACAATTTTGATAGGCATTAATATTAATTATTAAATTATTTGTTTTCAAATTTACAAAATACTATTAAAAAGTGTTATTTTCATATAAATAAAATAAAATTAATTTTTTCTAAAATTCATGCTTCATATTTATAATTAAATAACATAATTTAATAAGTTAATATAAAATTATTTAATATATTTATTATCATTATTTAAATTATAGTAAATCAAATATCAGTGAAAAAGATCTGAATTCTTTAGGATCTGCTTTAAAAAAGAGTGTCCTTCTTAGAAATTTCTCAGTTTATTTAGGGTAATGCATTAATTAATATATAATAACTTTAATATTTCCTCTACTCTATTAAATTATTCACTTTCTATCAATTTTTAAATAAAAGTTTAAACTAAATAGACTCAAATGGTTTATCTTAATTATTTAGTGCTTTTACAGGTTCATCTAATATATAGAAAATATTTATTGATCTGAGGTAAAATAAATTATTAAATTTCAAAATTATATTAAAATTCTTTTGCAAATTTTATTTGATAAAAGTACACCATAATACCTCATTTTATAGTGTTACTCAATACATACCCTTTAAATATCAGCTAAAAATTTAAAAAACTCAAAATTAATTCTTTTATAAGATCCCATTTTTTATTTAAATACCCTTAAAATAAAGAATTCAAAATATTAATATTTTCTGAGTGCATTTTAGTATCATAAGATTAAAAATTTTCAAATATCAAATAAATTAATTTATTATTAAACATTTTAAAAATTAAATTATAATTTGAGTTAAATGTTATCAAATACACTTATTTCATTAAAAAATTTTTAATTCATTTTACAAAATGTTTATTTAATTTTATGAAATATCTAATATGCAAAATAAATTTTTCATAAATAATTTAAACATTTTGTATAAATTAGGTAAAATAATATTGGACATTAAGGGTCAAATGATTTAGGAGTTTATTTTACGAATATGAATAACATTAAATCATTAGAGCTTAACCTTGAGTAAATTTATTTTTTATTATCTTATTAAATAAATCTATCGGTTTGACCGCATCTTATATTTATTTTGATTAATTTTACTCATTAACTGTTATGAATAATTGATTTTAATTTATTTTTATGAATAGAAAAAACAACATTGGAGATTTAGGAATTTCTCAGTTTAGTTAAAGCTTACCAAAAATTAAGAATCTTTAAACTTTAAATTTAAATTTAAAGTAAATTTTATAGTTTAAATCAAACATTGTATCATTTAAAAATATTAATTATTATATTAAATTATTTTTCTATTTAATAAAATAATTTTTAAATCTAATTAAGCAATAATAAGATAACAGATCAAGGTATGAATGTATTAGGTTTTAACTTAGCTAACTGTTCTACTCTATTATCATTGTATCTTAGCTTGGTGTATCACAATTTAATTTATTAACTGATGATTTTATCTATTACTTAATTTTTTTTTAATTTACCTATTTCTTACTATTTATTAATTTATTTAATGTAAAGTAATAATAAGATATAAAATTTTTAAACTCTTGGCAGTGGAATTGCTAGTTGCAAGAATCTATAAATTTTAAACTTAATTATTTGGTAAAATTTAATTTTAAAATATTATTATCTTTCTTGTGATTAAAAAGTTTAATAGTTTATATTTTACTTATGACATATAAAAAGTGGAACTGGTGTTGAAGCAAAGGGTGTTTAAATTTTAGGATCTTAATTAGAGAAATGTGAAAATATTACTGTTCTGAAAATTAATTTTTTGTAATATTTATTTGTTTTAATAATTTATTAAAAATAATCTCATTATTTGCTTATTAATTTACAATACTTTTTGAATTTTAATTATTTTTGATTTAATAAAATTTAATAATAATTTAAAGAGGATGTGAAATTGGAGATGAAGGAATATCTAACCTTAGTATTAGTTTAGCTTAATGTCCAAAGCTTTTAGATATTTCTCTTGAACTTTCGTAAGTTACCCATATTATTACTTAAATATTTCAAAGAAAAATTTAACAAAAATTTAAATTAATCTAAAATAAGAAATTTTAAAAAGAGCAAAAACTTTTAATTAAAATAGTTATCAATTATTTATATTTAAATATTTAAATAAATTAAATATAAAAGAGATAATAAAATTAGTGATTAAGGTATAACTCATCTAGCATCTTCTTTAATTAATTGCAAGAAACTCTAAAGCTTAGCTTTAGAACTTATGTAACTTTATTTCGTTTCTATTTAAATTAATTTTATATGTGTAAAACAATTCAAAAATAAATTTCTTTTATTTATATTTCTCTTTTAAATAATTTTTTTAACATAATTAAAAATAAATTTTGTAAATAATTAAAGGTCTAATTAAATTACTGAAAAAAGTTTATAAATTCTAGGATCTTCATTGAGGAAATGCAAAAAAATAAACTACTTTCTTATAAATTTATAGTAATTTTTCTTTTCTAATCATTTATGAATTAAAATTTTATTTTAAATTAATAAAGAGGATATTAAATTTATGCAGACTAATAATATTTATTTAGAAATTAGTGTAAAAAAATAATGAAATTAATAAATTACAAAATATATTTTTGAATTATCAAAATATAAATAAACTATTATAAAATAGTAAATTCTATTTATACTTATATTTTGTATTAATTAAAGTATTTAAAATTTTATATTTAAAGCTGTTTTATATTAATCTTTAATTAAATATAATTTTTTATAAGAATTGTTAATAAATGTTTTCATTCATCAGAATCTATTAAAAAAAAATAGAGCATATCATGTCATGCCTTAATATTAAAGCATAAAATTATATCTTAATATTAAAATAAATATATTACATAATATAAAATATATCATAGAATTTAATTTTTAATTATTAATAGGTCCTTTAAATTTTTTGTATTTTTGTTGAAAATTATTCTAAATAAAAATTATTAGAAATTATTTTAGAATTATTCTCAAAACAAACTGATAAAAATAATTTTTAAAAATACTTTAAGTAAAAAGTAATAGAAATAAACTTAATTAATTATTATGTTTGAATATAAAAATGATAAAAAACAAATATTATTTAATAATTTAAATATATTATACTAAACAATCATAATCTTGAAGCGAATCCAAAATTTTTAATGCTGGCAAATTTTATTGAATTAATTGTGTTACTATAAATATGAATGAAAATAGTGTAAATCATTAAAGTTACTTTAATTTTTTATTTTTTGTAGTAACAAAAAAATTAGAGATATTAAATTCTTATGAATTTGTGTTTTTGATAGATTCTAATCTAATGCTTAACTAATTTGATTTTTTTTCTTTTTTTTTTCTACGAGAGAAGATTGATCTAAATTAGAAAGAAATTAATCTTATAAAATCTAATTAAAAAAGTTAGTATTGGCTGAAAAAATTACTTTAAAAATCAAAATCATTTAAATTAATCTAAAATTGTATAAATAAAATTCAATTTTGTAATTTTACCACAAAAGACTTAACAAAGCATAATAAAGAAAAAAAAAGATATATAAAAAGAAATAAAGAAATGGGCTGCAATCAAAGTTCTAGTGAAAACACTATTATCTCTTCAAATGCAAGAAAGTAGTTGCTTTTAGGATATTGGAATATTCCTTTGAGAGCATAACCTATTAGGTATATTTTAGAATTGGCTTAATACCCATACAGTGAAAAGAAATATTCCTAAAAAGAAGCCCAAGAATGGTTTGGTAATGATAAATAAAATCTTGGATTGGAATTCCCTAACCTTCCTTACATTTTTCATGGTGATTATCATTTAACTGAAGCTTCTAACATTGCTAATTATGTTTTAGAAATTACTTGCTAGTAATATCTTTTAGGTTGTGGAGATGACAAATTCAGAATTGGAAACATAAGATATGTCTGTGATGGGTTGATCATTGATGTTTTCAAGACTTTAAAAATGACTCCTGAAGAAAAATAAAAGCTCTTAGAAAATAATATAATTCCTGATCTATACTCATTAAAGGAAGCACTTGGTGAAAAGACTTACTTTTTTGGAAGACTGACTGTTGCAGATATTTATGCCTACTGCGCTTTTGTTAACTTCAAGCTTTTCTTCCCAAATGAGTACAAATAATTTGCTAGTTCATTTAATAACTTGATAATAAACTTCGAAGCTATCCCTGAAATCTAAGCTTATCAAAAATCAGATAGATTCCCTAAATTTTAATTATGAAACCATTTCATAAACCATTATATTAGATAAAATTAAATTGATAAATATTTATAAAAATTATAATAACTGACTAAAATGTATGTATTTTATATATTTTAAATTATAAACAACTCATACATTTTAATAAACATCATAAAAATTATTTTTTCCAATAAAATTTACATATAATTTATTAATAAATATATTAATTATATCTGATTTATTTTACTTTCAGAATATAGCAATACAGATATCATGATAAATATTATATTTATTTTGATTAATAAATAATCTGTTGATAGTATTAATAAAAATTGAGGTAATTAGAAGTTTTTAATTAAATATATTATGTAGGTATTTAATTCAATATTTTATTCAACAAAATTGAAAATATGGATAGTATAATTTTTGTCTAATATACAATTATAGATGATGAAAGCTAAAATTTAAATATCAGTTTCAGTAAACTAATCCATGAATAGTATAACTTTTGATACTTTAAATAATATTTTCTCATTATAAATCACTCTTTAAACAGCTTTTTGTGAATATTTACTCAATAAAAATTAATTGAGATATAAAATAAAGCAAAATAAATATTATTAGTTTTAAACATCTAAAATGGTAACTCAACTTTGCTATTTTAAAATTTCTATAAATATAAAAGTTTTATTTTTATTGCTTTCATTATGAATATTTTAAAATTTAAGCAGGTAAATTTATTAATTTTCTAAATCGATTGATGATTGATGTAAATTTTGAAATATTATCACATATTTTTGAAAAAAGGATGAATTTGAAAATTAATTATTTGATTACTGAAATTTTTTGGAAAAATATGTAAACAAAACAAAAAAAATTAAGAATTCAACAGTATATATTACCAAAATTCAAAAAATATTGAAATAATAAAAAAGTCTATTTTTAATTACTCAATTATATCAAATAAAATCTTGTAATGAGAAAGCCATTAAAAATAAAGCTGGATTTAAATTAATATAAAAATTTGGTTATTTATGTAAATTTTTATAATTATAAAAGCAACATTTGATCAAAATTGCAATACTTAATTATTAATCTTAGATATATCTTTCTTTGATAACAATAATATGAATAAGTATAGCTGATCTAAGGTATAGCATAGCAATAGGTCTTTTATTTTCTATTATTCTTACTATTATTTTATAAACAATTATACTATTTTAAATAGCTGTACTAATATTTTTTAAAGCTTTTATTTTAATTTATTTAGATTTTAATTGTAGAAGAAAGTTAACCAAAATTTGTTTTTTCAAACAAAGGATTTGATTATTAGTCAAATAGTTATAGATTTGTTAACTAGAAAAATAAATAATTAAAATTATAGATTAGTTATACATTCAGTCTTAAAATATCTTTATTTATAAACCTTAATTTAATAAAAAAATTAAATTGACTTTAAATCTAAAAACGAAAAATTGAAAAAAGATAGCACAAACTAATAAACAAATTATTGAATGGGTTGTGGTTCTAGTTCAATTTAAGTTGCTGAAGTACCTAACTGTAATAAGTAATTATTATTGGGATATTGGGATATTCCTCTAAGAGCTTAACCAATAAGATACCTTCTCGAATTAGGTCACTTTCCTTACACTGAAAAAAGGTATGCATAGAAAGATGCTCAAGAATGGTTTGGCAAAGATAAATAAAATCTTGGTTTAGAATTCCCTAACCTTCCTTATATCACTCATGGGGATTATCATTTAACCGAAGCAGCTAATATTGCTAATTATGTCATAGAAATTACTTGCTAATAAAACCTATTAGGATGTGGAGATGATAAATACAGAATTGGAAATATTAGATATGTCTGCGATGGCTTGATTATTGATGTTTTCAAGACTTTAAAAATGACTGCTGAAGAAAAATAAAAGCTCTTAGAAAATAATATTATTCCTGATCTCTACTCATTGAATGAAGCACTTGGTGAAAAAACTTACTTCTTCGGTAGATTAACTATTGCAGATGTTTATGCCTACTGCGCATTTGTCAACTTCAAGTTATTCTTCCCAAATGAATATAAATAGTTTGCTAGCTCATTTGATCACCTAATAATCAATTTTGAAGCTATTCCCGAAATTTAAGCTTATCAAAAATCAGATAGATTCCCTAAATTTTAATTATGAAATATTTAAATAATGATTAACAAATAATATTCTTACTTATTCCATTTTTATTTTTGTATTTTATACTGTATCTCTCTCTCACACTATATTTTTTTGATAAATTTAAGCAAATTTTATAACCCATAAAAACGATATAAATTATGATTTATTAATTAATTGAGGTCAAATATAAACAACTAACTAAAAATTTTTATTTTCATATGAAAAATAGAATAGTCTTAATAGTAGAATTTGATTAATTAATAAAATTAAGAATATAAATTCATGGAAGACGCTTTTGTAAAAAAAATATCTTTTTTAATATACACTTTATTTATAGATTTTTCTATTATTAATATTAAATAATATATTGGCGAGGTCAATTACTTATTATTTATTTTGTAAATAAATTTACTTTTTCAAAATAAAGATTATCTGTTCAAATGATGTTCAATTTTACTATGTTATTTATTGAAACTTATGATTTATTTTTTAATTAAAGTAAACGATTAATGTTTGATTTTTGATAGAATGATTTAAATTTATTTTAACTTGATATAATTTTACAAGGATATGCAATATATAAAATATTATTATACTGGTGAAACTTATAAAATTATAATATTTAATTTCAACGTAACTTAGGGAAACGATCAGAGCTTTGGTATTCTTTAATTTGAGGAATTGATTCAAAGTTTTTAATAAAGGGATCAAAGGTTGCAGCAAAAGGTTGATATTGTTCGGGGAATTTATTCTTGAGGATATACAAACCAGAGTAGGTGTAAATATCAGCGACAGATAGCTTATTGTCAAAGAAATAAACTTTGTTTCCTAAGTGCTTCTATAAAAGAGTGAGCTTAGGGATAATATTGGTCTTGAATTCATTTGTTTAAGCTTCTCCGCTCAACTTAATAGCTCCAAAGACTTTCATCATCACTTCATCAGCAACTAATCTAACATTTTCAATCTTGTATTTTTATTAGCCAGTTCCTTATAAATTGCATTAGTTGGAAACTTCAATAGCATATTAAGCAACATTGTGTGATTCTGTGATTTTTAAGTCACCTTTGATGATATAAGGAAGATTGGGGAATTGTAAACCAAGAGACATGGAATCTTTTTCAAACCATTCAGCAGGAGTTTTGTACTAATTTTCCTTGTAAGGGTACTTACCTATTTCTAATATGTATCTAATTGGTTGAGCTCTAACTGGTTGTGCCCAGTATCCCAAAATAAGTGTATCGTTGTTTGACATTTTTAAAGATCTTTTTTAATTGTTTGTTTATTGCTTGGATTAGATTTTTAGTTTTTTATTAATATTAATTTGTTTTTTAATATTATATTTAAATCTATGGCTCTCTTCTTTTAAATTAGATTCATAGTATGGATTTATCAGAATTATTTCTTTTTATCTATTTGATATAGAAAAATATCAAATTGTAAAGATAAAATAAGATATTTAAATACACCCTATTTTTTGTCAATAATATCCAAATAGTAGCATTTGAACAAAAATATTAGCATACATTTATTCAGAAACAATTAACTTAATTAATTTCAACAGTTATAAATAAGCTATTATAATTATTAATTCTAAAATTACACATAATTTTTATTTTTTATAATAGCTAATTTAATTTTAGTTCAGTTTTTCTATTATTTAAAAGTTATTCAACAGCACAGAAACAATTATCTTTATATTTCATATAAAATCCCTTAAAATAGTTATTCTACTATAATAAGGAAACAGAAATAAGAAAAAATTAAATTTTTTAGAGACATTGACAGAAAAATTGAATGACTCTCTTTTCTTCCATCAAACTTGTTACTCTTATCGAAGCGCATAAGAAAGACAATATAAGCTATTATATATAGAGAAATGTGGACTCTAGCTCACTTTAAAAATTTGAAAAAATTTAGATCTTCCACAGATTCCTAAAAAAAATATAATTAAGTCAAAAATCTGAAGATTGTAAAAGTAGACAAAAGCATGATTACTATTATATGTGATTTTTTTATTGTAAGATAATTTTATTATTTTTTGTAGATAGGATTATTACAATATTTTTTTGAAAAGTAAATATATTAAATTCTGAAAGTGGTGTTACTGTGTTTTTGATATAAATTTGTGTAATTAAAATCTTGTTTGATATAGAAGAAAATTATTTGTTTGTTACAAAATTATCACGCGGAAAATAGTAATTGATAAATAAATAAATTAATTAATTAGTACCTAGTTAACATTTATTATCCATTATTCGTTTTTCATGCATTCATATATTCATTCATTAAAATTGATTGAAATTGAAGTCATAGAAATCTGAAAAAGAAAAAAATCTGATTAATACTTCTATGTAGAGTTTGAATGTAGCGAATATATCATATAAATATCTAAAATAAATCATAAATATTATTGATAAAAAGTTAAATTATTTAATAAAATATAAAACAAAGACAATAAACTAATTGCAGATCTCTTTCGCAATTTGAATAGATAGAAATGGATAACAAAACTTGTGCTTAAAAATAAGTAACTTTAGGATATTGGAACATCCCCTTAAGAGCTTAGCCAATTAGATATCTTCTTGAATTAGGTCATTACCCTTATGTAGAAAAAAAGTATACTTAATAAGACGCTTCAGAATGGTTTGGAAAAGACAAACAAAAACTTGGCTTGGAATACCCCAACCTTCCTTATCTTATCTAAGGTGATTTTCATATAACTGAAGCTTCTAATATAGCTAATTATGTGATTGAAATTACTCATTAATAAAGACTTTTAGGATGTGGGGATAATAAATTTAGAGTTGGAAACATTAGATATGTCTGTGATGGATTGATTATCGATGTCTTCAAAACTTTAAAAATGACTCCTGAAGAAAAGCAAAAACTTTTAGAAAACAACATCCTTCCTGATCTCTACTCATTGAAGGAGGCTCTTGGTGAAAAAACCTATTTCTTTGGAAATATAACTATTGCTGATGTTTATGCCTACTGCGCTTTAGTCAACTTCAAATTATTCTTCCCAAATGAATATTAAAAATTTGCAAATTCTTCTTTTGATCGTATTATTCACAATTTCGAAGCCATTCCTGAAATTAAAGCTTACCAAAAATCAGATAGATTCCCTAAGTTTTAATTTTGAATAACTAAATTAGTATTGAATATATATTTTTATAGTAGTATAAAATACCATTAATAATTTCATTTCTAAAAATTCAATAAAATTATTCAACTCAAAATTTATATTAAATTTTCATTCAAAAATTATTATTTAACTTCAAATTAAAAACTTAATTTTAAAATATTCTAACAAATACCATCATTTTAAAAACGTCAAATCATTTTTCAAACAAGAAATCATGTAAAAATTAAAATAAAAATCCAAAGCAATTATAATAAAATAAAAATAAAACACTCTTTTTTAAAAAAAATAGACTAATTCTATTTTTAGAAATTTTATAAAAAAGTTATTATTGAAAATTAAATCTAAAATATTTTTATTTAATTTATGAAAAGATAATAAGGAGTATTTAATACATTTTTTATTAAGCACACAATAGATTTAATATTGTTGTTATTTTTGTACTATAAATTGAATAATGTAGAATTTTATATATTTAAATATTTATTAATGTATATATGTATGTGCGTTTGAAACTGCTTTTTTTGTTTTGATATTTATGTAAAAATAAATTCAGTGTATTTTTTAGAGTCTAAATCCTCTGTTTTTAATCTTAGCCTCTATTTTTATCAGCTTATTAATTTCTTATGAGAGAATTTCTTATATTTTAGGAATTTACTCAAACATCTATAAAAATAGATCAAAAGTTTCAGCAAAAGGGATATATTACTCGTAAAATTTGCTCTTTAACAATTTTATAGCAGAGTAAGTATAAATATCTGAAAAACTAAGCTTTACTGCAAACAAACAAGCCTTATTTTATAAGTATTTTTGTAAAAGTATCAATTTAGGTTTAATAGTTGTATCAAATTAGTTTATTTGATTTTCTCCATTTAGTTAAATTGCTTGAAACAAACTTATAAGAGTTTCATCACTTATAAGCATAATACTTTCTGGGATATTTTAGTTGCTTAAATTTTTTACATGATAATTTTTCTCCTACATATTTTTAGAGTTTTAGATCAATTGAAATTTGCCTTTTTTAGCTTATTTGTAACAGCTTTAGTTATTATAGAGTTTTTTATTATATTTATTATTATTTGATATTTTAATATCTATGAAAAAATATTTATTTATAAATAATAAATTAATATTGTTTGAATTACATAATTGATATAGAAAATTGCACATCATAAAAAAAGAAAGAAATATATTATTAATAAATATAAAAATTGGTTATTAAAATTAATCAGATATAGAATTTAACAGAATAATATCTTAAGAAGTAAATTAGTTAATCTTTCTTACATATAAAACTCACTAATTAAATGTAAGATCTAATTTTTTTAAGCATAAAGAGGCAAAATGTAATTCTACAAATATACTTCTGCTTTTTAACATTTTCCATAAATAGTCTTCTAAATTTTAGAAAAATCAATTTATTCATTTATTCTGGAATACTTAATTGATAAAATTTGCTAAAATAAACTAAGAGATTAAAGCTTGATTTAAAAAAAACTTTGATTTAAAAATTCTATCAATAAGTTTTGTACAAGATTAGTAGTAAAAAAAAAATCTCTTTAAATTTAAACAAATATTGTTTGAAATGAATAAATATTTTATAAAATAGTTTAAAAATAAATTTTGCTTTATTTTTAGTATAAAAATCAACAGATATACTTTACTTATATTTTAATAAAATCCTTATTAGATACAAAATTATTTTTTAATTATAAAAATAAATACTATTTGAAAAGATTTATATATTATTAATTTTTCATTAAATCAGCTAAACATTTTTGAAAAAACTTATTTTTATTTTTTTAAATAATCTTGCTATGACTTGATTAAAATGTTTCTGAGCTTTTGAAGTTCTTAAAGTTGATTTTCTTCAATTTTTTAGTTGCTGTTTATAAGATTATTTAAAATATCAATAGCCTTTTCGAAATCTGACTATTCTTGTAATGCTAAACATTTTCTATAAATGGCCTTAGGGTTATTAGGGTCTATTTCAAGAATTTTGTCACAAGTCAAAATTAATTTATCCCACTTTTTAATCTTCAGATAACATAAAGAAGTATTAAGTAAACTTGATATTTTATGCTTTTATTTTAAATTAAGAAGTTAATTTTAAAATTAATTTATTCATTTTAATTTTAATTTTACAGGATGAACTTTTTAGGCATCTTCACCTATAAATTTGCCTAGTTCGAAGAAAGCATTGATAGCTTCAAAAGTTTTACTGGCTTTTTTAAAATTTTACTCCTAATTAATAATAAAAATTCCATTTAAAAATAAAAAATATTAAACAATAAAATAATTTAATTATCTTTTAAAAAAATAATATTTATCAAAAAATTTTATTTACCTGAATAAATCTAAGTCCTACAATTTTTTTACGTTATGCTTGTTCAACTTTGTCGTCTATTGTCATTGTGAATGTGTTTTTGCCTTCAGTAAAATTATACAACTTGATGTGATATTTAACATAATCAGGAATAACTCCATTATACTTTTCTTTTATAATTTCAAAATCTTTTCCATATTAAATAAGAGTTTTGTCTCTGCATTCAAGGACTGAGTATTCTTATTTCTTCATTCTTCTTAGGGTATTTTTTAACAATTTTGACATTTTATACTCGTCGAGAAAGTATTTCCAGCAAGTAGGTTGTTGCTCTAAGAATTCAAAATCAAATACCTGCTTTTCTGTCAATATAGGGAAATCTCCATCTATCGACTGGTAAATAATTTCTCCATCGATTTCTATTTTTAATTCAAAATATATTTTAGCTATTTTTTCAGGCTTTGCAGTTGAATTTCCCTTAAGAATTTCTTTCTTGATAGCCATTTAATCTCCAAAAATATCATCAATTCTTGTTAATTGCTTCAAGTTGACTGTAAGAGAATATATTGTATTATCATCTTGCTAGTTTATTTTAAACCTTTCCTAATTACTTTCGCTTTCTTTTTTTAAAAATGCTTCTTGTTTAATTTAGGCTTCACTTATTTCCTTATCTTTCATAGATCTAATCACCCTCCATACAACTTCAGACATCCCTTTTTCTAAGAGACTTTCAACTCTGATAGGAGTGTCATCGCTCCTCTCATCCAAAACCTCTTCTCCTCTCTTCAAACAATAATTAACTTTTAAATTTATTTAAATTAAAAATAAGCAAAAACAATAAATATTTGAACTTTAATGCACTAAAAAATTAAGCATTAATAAAATCTTTATATATTCTACCTATAATTTCATCCTATTTTTCTGTTCTATGATTTCCTTCTCCCTTCTGGACTATTTTCTTGAGTATTGTCATATCTTAATTCAAATCAATAACAGTGGTCCAATCTTCTAAATAAAACATAAAATGCTTTTTATTATCTAATATCTTCATCTTGTTGTCATCATATTTTAAATATTCTAAAATAATAAAGCTAACTTCGCCTTTTTTCATGCTTTCAACAACTACTTCAAACCACTCTTCGAAATTGTTTATACCTAAAAAATAAATTTATAGAATTGATCCCTATTTCTACCTAAATGTGAAATTAATAAATACCTAAATTTGGAGTAATTTGATCTACTTCCTTTACATGATTGATATACTTTTCAAACATTTCTTTTTTTTATTCCTCAGTCTAATCACTTTAAGCATCAGGGTCTTAAACTTCTTCATATTGTAATTTTATTTAATCGTATTTAGCTGGCTTAGGAAGTCCTTTTCCAATCTAAAAACAATTTTTTTTAACATTAAAGCTTAAAAATTATTAATTTATATTCTACCTGCCATATTTCTTTATAAATTCTAAGTAATTCTGTTTTTTTTAACAATTTTCTCTCTCTAACTATATCTTTTGGTGGTTCATGATCTGAGTGGAAGTCATCTGGATTATCAGATTGTAAATCTGAATCATAAAAATCTAAATTCTTCATTTTGTTTTTCTAATTATTTTCTGAATTAAATTAAATATCTTATTTGTTTTTGGCTAACTTTTTATTAAAATTCTTAATTAATGTTTTGATTTTTTAAAATTTAAAAAAAGATTTTGACTGAATGATAAACAAATAAATAATTATTGATGGAATTCTTCCAAAATTCTAAATTTTTCCTATTTATTTTCATCAAAAGAAAACAATAATAAATAAAAGTTGATAATAATTTAAGATTTTACAAAAAAAAATTAAGAAAATTAAAATCTAAAAAAATAAAATATTGGTTTTAAAAGACTCAGCAAATTATACAAAAATAATGAGCATAAAAAAATTAATTTGATTCAATCAACAAATAAATGATTAATTAATAAATTAAAAATTTACTTTTATATGTAGTTAATAATCTATTTACAAATTTAAAAAAATAAAATGCCTACACATTACAAAAAAAATTTTCTCTTCATAATTTACTGAAAAATGAATGAAATTCAATTCTATATTTCCTTAATAATTGAGGAAATTATCCTATAGTCTACCTTTTCTAAATTTTAGCTATTAAGGCAAATTTAAATGAAATTTTTAGTGTATTTGCATTAAAGTTTTTCAGATGAGTAAATTTCCATCTGCTTCTGGAAATAGTTGTTAGTTTTTTCTATTTTACGAATTAAATGTTTTTAATATATAAATAAATTAAATTATTTACAATAAATATTCAATTTTTTATCAAAAGTTTTTGGAGAGCAACCTATTAGATTGATAGCAGCCAGCTGTTCTTTGCTTAAAAGTACCATAATAGCTTTTTTCAAAAAAATAATATCTTTATAAAATTCTAAAATATTTAAGCTTCTGCTAACTTGTTATTCAATTAATTTTTTAGTTTATTCATTAATATCATCAAATTTAGAATGAGCTTCCTTTTTCCAAAAGCTTTTGTTAAAATACATAAATATTCAGTTTAGTGAGTGGATTAATTAACATTTAAATGAATAATTAAATTAATAATTTATTTTCTTACCTTTTTTTGAATATTAATTTTTTTGTGTTTTAGATTACTTTCATGTCTGAGAAGGTTTTAATTTTTTAAATGTAATAATTTTAAACTTCTTCTTTAGTAGTCTAATTTATTATTTGGCTTTGGCTTTCGTTATTTTTTTATATTTAATTACTCACTTAATTAGTAAGATTAATTTTTTAATTGTTGCAGTTACTATATCTTCTTGTTTTAATAACCTAAATAGAATCACTGCTTTTCAGATTTTGATTTTAAAAAGGGATTTTTTAACTATTCATTTTTGGACTTCTACTTTGATTTTTTTATGAAAACGCAAAGGAATCTAATCTAAAAGAATTTTTTGATTACTAAGGACTTGATTCTATGTTTAGTATTGGTTTTGGAATTTTAACTTTTTCAACTTCTTTACTCTGGCTTTATAGTGTATCTTAAAATCCTTCCTAGCTTAATAAAATTCTACTTTATTGCATAAATTGATTTGAATCAAGGAAGGATAATTTTTTTGGTGATTGAGATCTGATTAATGCAAAATTTGTTAGAATTTTATCTTCGTTTTCTTCAGCTATTTCGTATTTACTAATCCGTTTTTTTAAGTAGGCCACTTTTTTTTAATCGAAAAGTTTATTTATCTACAATATTTATTCGTATGTATCTTTATATATTGTTTGCAAAAAGAGAAAGAAAAAATCTCTTTTAATAGCATTTTATGCTATTTTTCTTCCAAAAAAGCCTATAGTCATTAATAAAGCTAAAGTGCTGTTTACAAGTGCTAAGATTTCTGGAAAAGTTGGAAACTGTATTTCAATATATTAAATAACTTCATCTACTTAATACGATACTTAACTTAATGGTTTATTATCTAACTCGTATGATTAATTTTATTAGTTGAACTAAATAGGAAATGAATATTTTGATTCAACTTGAATTAAAAATCCTTTGTTAACAGTAGTAACTTATTTTTAAGCACTAATTGTTGTTAATAAGGTTTATTTTGGATTTAAGAAAATAAACTAATTTCTATAACTTACTTAATTTTACTAAGAGCTTATATTATATTAAGAAGCAAAAAGTTTAATTCGAAAGCCAGCTCTACTTCCACTAATCAATTAAGAAATGTCATTTTAATCAGCACAGTTATCTGGAATAGTTTTTTTTATTTAATCAGTTTAGTAGCAGTTATAAGTCCTTATAATAATTTAGGTGAAAATCCTTTATCTTGTATTTAAAACTATTGTTTTGTTTTTCATATTAGAAAAGTTTAAGCAATTATAACCCTCTAATTCTGGGATAGAACACTTAACTATTTCAAGTTATATTATTTCATTATCCAATCCATTTTAGTAGTTGAAAAGAGCATAATTCACAACATAAGTCTTATTTTACTAATTTTATATCAAATCTATAATCTTATTTGTATCATATTCGTATCTGAATGCAATTAAATCTTCACGCAAATCTATTTCTATGTTATCTTCGCTTATGAAACTTTGGGATCTGTATTTAGGGTTTATTTAGTTAGTTAAGTATTGTTTTGTAAGATATGCAAAGTAAGTTAGCGTAACTATGAAAATTGTTAATGTTAGCAGAGCTCCTATAATTGAACCTTTCTTTTCTTATCGCTTATTATCTAAATGAAAAAAAAATGGTTATGAAAATATATCAATTTTTGTAAAATTCATTGAAAGGATATTTTGTTTGCAGTTTTTACTTTTTGTTTATTTTTTTTAATTATTATTTGCTTTAAATATCAAAAAAAAAAAAAATCTTCTTTTATCATTAAAAGAAAGAAACAATTTAAAAAAAAAGTCAGCAAAGTTAATTTTTTTGATGAAATGAAGTTTATTAAAATTTCTATTTTATAAAATTAACCAATCATTTTTGTTTTGTTCTATTTTCAGTTTAGCAGAATTTACAACGGGGTTATTTTTTAAAAGGAAAGTATAAAAAAGACTTTTTTGTCAATGAAGAATTTATGAAAATCATAATAGTTATTTTTTAAAATTATTTATAACCAAATCAATTAAAATATTGACTCTTAATCATTTGATTTTTATTAAAATAGCTAAATTTGATTATTTTTAAATTAAAATTTTTGATTATATTTCTACAATATCAAGACATAAGCACAATATTTTTAACTAAATAATTTTTTTTTTTATAATTAAATCAAACTTTCATAAATTAGCTTGCATTCTTATTTTTAAAATATTTTTTTTTTATTTATTTTGTTACTGTTAATTGATATATTTATTAAAATAAATAAAAAATATAATTTGAAAAATGATTATCTTTAGATTTTTTTCTGAAAAAAATTCAAATAATTATATAAAATAATAAGTAATTTTTATTGAATTAGTGACTGACTATTCTTTTGGATAAAGATATTTTTTAGTTTTAGTTAGTAATTATAAAAAATAAAATATAAATTTTTAAATTAAAACTATTTTTAATTTTATATTAAATATAAAATATATCTAATAAAAGTGAAAAAGCAAAATAAAATAAAATAAAAAATAATTCTAAGTTATAAAAATAGTTAAAGGATAATATTATTTTTAACAAAAGAGAAAATTACTTAATTTATTAAATAATTTGATTAATTAAAACAATTAATTCAATAATCACAATAAATCTAAATTATTGTTATTATTATTATAATTATTTTCATTATTATTTTAGAAATTATTATTAAATTAGTTATTAATATTATTGTTAGAGTTATTTTAACTGCTATTAATGTTGTTATTGTTGTTGTTATTATTATAATTATTATTGCTACTGTTGAAGTTTGCCCCTGGCTAAGAATTAGTGCTGTCAAAATCAAGTAGATTATCGTCGAAAATCGAATCCAAATTTTATTTGTTACTGTTACTGTTATTAACGTTGTTATTATTTTATTGATATTACGTATTTTGCTGGTTTTAATTTGAATTAAAAGCATAAACGTTGTTGGCAGCCTGACTGGTTGTATCAGTAAAAAAATCTTGAATGTCATCATTTTCTTGCATCTTAGGCTAATATTAGGTTGCTTAAGTGCTTTATTGTGAAACTTAGTTATTAGTAGAATCAAAGTTATCAGCAAAGAAATCTATTACTTCGTTCATTCTATTTTATTGACTGGGAAATTAAAGAAGTTCGTCTTGTGTTTTAACAAGGACTTATAGCATTTTTCTGATAGTGCAATTTTTATTTGTATTTTCAACTCTAAAATTCAGACCTTTGATAAATTAAATTCCTGGCCCTAATGGGAGGAGATGAACTCCTAGTTCAAATTGATACTAATTTTCCTCAGAGAATGTGACTATCTTTATTTATTTTTTTTATTAATAAGATATATTTAAAATAAGTTAATATTTTTCATTTTAAAATTAATCTTACAGAATTATCTAAGCCTAAAACTTTGATCCCATCCATATCAAAGTTGTTTAAAAAGATTTTAGCTTTTCTTATTTATCTAGTGGGATTGCTAACAATAAGCCTGCATTTGGAAATTTTTTTGATTGAAAGTTCAGGTTTTTCAGCAAATTATAACTCGATATCGTATTTTTCCAAAGGAACTTCTTCAGATTTATTCATATAAGCACCACAAATACCCCATTCTAAAAATAAACTCCCAAGACTAATTGTTGCTTAATCTCTAAGAAATAGATTTTTGTATTCATCCATAGCATAAGGTTTTACATCCACCTTAAATATGATTTTTTCTTTTTCTTCTGGCTTCAAACAAACTAGTCCACTAGAATCTAGTGACTTAACATACAAAAATATTTAATTAATTTACCATTAATCAAAAGATTAATTAAAATTATTTTGTTTTAATAAAAATATTGTTTTATTATGTCTTCATATAACATCTGATAAATAATTATTACTATGAGCTATGATTCAAACAAGTCCTCTGGAATAAAGGAAACAGTTTTAAAGAGAAAATCAATTTAAGTTTTTGCCTAGAGAGAGTACTCCAAATAGTAAGTTGGATACTAAAAATAAACAAAGAAAAATAAATATTAATGAATAAAACCTTATTACATTAGAAATAAATTTTACTAAATCAGAAATAACGCTCTTTTCTATTAAAAAGGGTAGCTTTGGAGATATTCTATATTGTCTAGTTTTTTGATTCTCTGGAATTATTGGAGCGCTTGATGGATTATTTATAAATGGTTTTGCCTTATATTTAATAAAAAATGCAATATTGTATTATTTTTCCTGCTCTATTTTTAGACTGAAAGGAACATTAATATCATCTCCACCTTTAATGTCTTTAACTCTTGCTTCTGCAATTTTAGTTGGCTTTTTATCATCTTACTTTTGCACAATAATCTAAATTAATTAATTAAAACAATTCAAAATAAATCATAAATGAAATCCTTAATTTTCTAAAATTTACTTCGATATTAACATAATCAAGAACCTAATTATAACCTTGCTTGTATCTAATCTAAGCCATAGCTTTCAATTATTCACCAACGTAAACTGTCCTATTATTTAAACATTTTTAGAGTCATTTCTAATTGCTACTTTGAATCCTTTTAATAATTCACCCAAAGTCTTCTGTTGGTTGCAGTTTCTCTCCATCAACTATCACATAATCCATTCCCTGTTAAATACCCTATAGCGGATGTCTAGTGGTGCTCTAAGTTTTTATCTAATTTTTTGGAGGAACCAACCTAAAATTTCTAATTTCAAAAATATCCTGATCCATAATTAAAGTAAACAAACAAATAATAAACTCTTTCTAATATAATCTAAATTATCTTTTTTATTTATATATTTTAAATTGAGTATTTATTTATTTACTCACTTCTTCAATTATTTTCTTATGCAAAAAACAAATAGAAAAGAATATTATCAAAATCATTCAACCTCATAAGATTTTTTAAAATAAACATTTCTTTACATTCAATTTTTAATAGAAAACTACCTATTTTTTAACAAAAATGTTAAATATTAAAAAACAAATTATAAGATGTTGAATTATAAAAAGTTAAAATATCTAAAATTAAATTTATTTTATTATTAAATTTTAATAAATATTCTAAAAAATGATCTGTTAAAATAAAAACATAAATAAAAAATGTTGTGTAAATGTTAGTTTAAAAATTTGAATAATAATAATGAATACTAATTCATTAATATTTTAATCTTTAAATTTATTGTTTTAAAGCAAATCTAAACTTTTTAATAAAATTAACTAATTAGTAATAAGTGTTTTTCATTTTTAAAAATAAGTGGAAAAATAAAAACTATTAGTAATTTTAAAGGATTTTAATAAAACTAACATCTTGCATGCTTTAAAAACCCTCCAAGTTTTTATGAATAGCCAAAATATAAAGAGAAATTTTTTATTTTGAAAAAAAATTTAAGTTTTTGTAAAAATTTTCTCAATATTTCTTCAAATAATTTTTAAATTCAATTCTACAAATTATTTTGGAGAATTCTGTAGGTACAAGATTTTGTTGATAACATTAAATATGAAAAATGAGCTAAATTATTTTGTAATTTATTTTGATTTATTTTTTTAGAATTACATTGAAAAAGGTGATAAAATTGTTTCAACATTAATTATTTTGAAAAAATTTACATTTTTATGAATGATATTATTTGAATAAATAAATAATAATAACGCATTTACTTACAGAAAAGAATATAATAAGTTTCATAAATCAACCTATTATAAAATATAAACTTAATAGATTAATTATTTAATTTATTAATAGACTAACTAGCTATTAATTGAAAAAAATAAATTAATTTAATAATTATTTGATAAAGTTAAAATATTTAATTTTATTTGAGTTTATAAAAGTGAATAGTAAATAAATTAAAGTCACATATATTAAAAATAAAGTATATAGATTTTAAATAATTAATTGAAATATTTTTCAATTTAAAGTGTGCTTAAATTGAGATAGTTTTCTTAGTTTTAAAAACTTTTAAATGTCTGGAGACTCTACCTTATTAATTCTTTTTCATTTAATAGCGATTAATTTTTAAAGAACTTATTGTTAAATATTACTCATAAAAGAGAGCTAGATATTTGAGTTAGATGCAATGCTTTAGATTTATGTACAATTAGTAAATTCCTTGGTTTCCTATTTAATTATTCCTAAATGATAAAATCTTAAATAAATAACAACTAAGCATAAAATTATAAGCTTTACCATAGATCTAGAGAAAGACTTTTTAAATTCCTGCAATATTTTACACATTTTGCAAATTCTTCAATTCCTGCATCTTCAATATTATTTTCTCTTTTTTCATTTTTGAATGTAAAAATATTATCAAAATAAATAATATTTTAATTTAAATTACCCTAAATCTAAGCTGACTACTTCTAGCATGGAAGAATCTTTTATGCCATTAGATATTTCAGATAGTCCTTAAGAGCCAATAAAGTTTCTTCTAAAAAAATGAAAAAAGCAAATTAAACAAATAAATATTTTTGACACTTTACCCTATATTCAAATTAAAGTGTTTTAAACTCTTATTGGATTTCAATAGCTCTCCAATTTATTTTGTTCCTTTGTTGCCAACGTAATTATTCCTAAAGCAAAAACAAATGAACAAGATTATATATAATATTTTTGAAAAACCTAAAGGATAAAGCTAAATGCTGTAAGTTACTATTTTCTTTTAAATTCAGCAAAAATTTTTCAGCTCCCACAGGAGTGATTTGGTTCATCCTTTTTTAAAATAAAAAAATAGTTAATTTGTTATAAAAAATGCTTCATGTTGAGTACCTCAATCCAATATTGACGTGTGTCAAATTTTTTAAATACATTAAACCTGTAGATAGATCAGAAATTCCCTCATCACTTAATTAATTTTAACTATACATAATTATTATTGATTTCTGATATATATTATTTTTGAAATTGATCTAAAATCTTAAAATATAAATAAATAAATAATCAATATCTATCAATTATCATGCCTTAATTCTAATGAAAGTTTTTAAAGATTTAGCATTTTCGTGAAAGAATCGTTGATGCACTAAATTGTTTCCTAGTTAACTCCATTGCAGCTTTTTTTTTATCAATGCAAATTTAAATTAGCAAATTAAAAGCATAAACTTACCTTAAATCTAATCTTAGCTCTACCAATTTGATCATCCTATTCAAGTACATAAATATCTCTCCGATCTCTTTTAATCTAAGCTATTTATTTCTTTACAAGCAATAAATCAAAATGATTTTCTTTATTATTAAGTTTACTTCATATTTACATTAATCTCTTCAACATTTTTATTAATAACTATGAGTTCTTCAAAACTCTCTACTTTATTGTTGTTCATTTCCTTTGCTAATTATTAATATAAACGACAATTAAAACTAAATATGGAAAATAAATCTTAAAAATTTAGCATTATATATAAGTAGCCTGCAATAAATAGATGGTTACATATTGATAATTAGAAAAATAAATATTATTTAATTGCAAAAAGTAAAATACATATTAAAAATTAACCAATCAGCACTTTCTTTATTGCAATTTCTACTAATATTAAACGATTTCAAATGAATAAATGATTTAATCAATTAATACTTAACAGAAATATTATTAAATAAATATTAATTGATTATATTTTACCAAATATGACGATATTTAATATAAATTATATCCAATCTAATTCATTCTTAAATGAAACAAATCAAAATTTTAATACCTAAGAATTAAGCAGAAAGATCAAAAAATAAATAATTAAATATATTAATTATTCAATAACTTAGAAATAGAAGAACTATAAATTAATGAATCATGAGATAAATATTTATATCTATATGTATTTTTATTCATTTTGTAAACTTTTTTTTATTTATTTACTGTCTTCGTTCATTAGATATTAGTTTATTTGACATTTTTAACAAATTTAATTATAAATTTATAACTCTAATAACTTTTCAAAAAAAAAAAAAAAATCTCTAAGAAATTCTTTTTTTAAGCTTTTTGGTAATTTAACTTAAAAATTAAAATGATTTATTTTGATTTTTACACAAATTTATCAATATTTAGTTAAAAATAAGTATTAAAGAATTAAATAGATAAAGAGATAGATAGTTTATCTACAAATAAATAAATTACCAAGATTATTTAAGTTATTATTTTAGATTTTAAATTTTTTTCAATGATATTCCAAGTTTTTAACAATGCAAATTATATGAAAAGAGAAATATTTATTTAGTTGACTGAACTTCTTTGTTAATGAATTAATTTTTCTAAAGTTAGCTGCACTGAAAAAAAAAGCAAAATAAACATATCCTTTTTGGTTGAATAAAAAGTGCAATTGAAATTGAAAATTTAAAATTATCAAATAATTAAATATTAGATAAATTTTTTAAAAAGATAGATTAGTTGTTAGATAGAATAGTAAGTAGTAAAAAGTTAAATTAGATAGAAGCATTCATTCATTTATTGATTTAGATTATACACAATGAGTACTAGAAAAATATAGGTTGTTCTTCTATTGTGTTTGCTGTAACTAGTTAATATTAGAGCAGATACACTTAATTGTTTAACTTCTGCAGGACCAGTTGATTTTAATAGTCTTTGTAAGGATTACAATCTATGTAATACATGTAAGAATGGTCAAATAGTTTGTCAAAATTCAAAGCCTGCCCTCACATGCACTTCATGTAATCAGTTTTAATTCCTACTAAACGGAATTACATATTGCTCATCAACAGCAGGATGTGCTCAACTAGATAAAGCTATGGGATATTGCTAGAAATGTACCTACAACTACTATGCTAATTTTAAACAAAATAGCCCAACAGATCTAGAAATTTAATGTTCATAGTCTCCTATAAATTTGTTAACAGTTATGAGCAGTTTGAATTCTCTAACCGGATACTCACCAAACTTAGTTTTTCAAACAAAGTTAGAAATTATTTACAAATATGCAATTTTAGTTTTAGGCAACTCCTAGTTAGTAGAATAAGTGAGATCAATTTGGTTTTTCTCAAAAGACGTAGAGGAATGTGGTGGAGCTAATTCAAGCACCCAAATATATTAAAACTGCTAATGTACTAACAATTTATACGGATCTAGATGCCAACTTTAGCAGACAGCAGCTACTTAAGCAAATAACGAAATCCAAAAGAATATCATTCCTGCATTGAATGATCTATAAAGTGCTTTTTCTAAGCTACAAACAAATTAGCTCTAACTTCAATATGCATACTAAATCATTTTTATTTTAAGAGTTTTAGCAGAAGTAGCTGATGGATTTGATGTCACTACCTATCAAATGTTTTACACTCTTCAGAGCAGCTTTATCTCTGCCATTCTTGCCTAGAATACTGTTTATGGTTTAAGCTACTGGCTTGATCTTAATCCTTTAAGTAAAAAGAGATATTTATTTCCTTTCAAAATAATCAATCAATAATTTAACAAATATATTTTTGAAATTAAAGATTGAAATTTCAAATTTAACTAAAATTTCTCACTTACTAAAATTATTTTTATCATTAAATGATCCCAATCATTAGAATTAATATTTAAGGCAATTAATTATTTCCAGTATTTAACATAATTGATAAAAATTATCTTCAAAGGAATAATAAAAAAGCATGAAATAGATAAATCAAATATCAGCAAAATCTTTTAGATTAGAATATTTAGAAGAAAATAAGAAAAAAGCAATTAAATTAATATTTAACAAATAAATATGAATTTTATTCATTTAATAACAGAAATAAATTTTGTTTGATAAAAATATTGAAAATAATTTAAAAATGTTTAATTTTTTTAAATTAATAAATTAATAGCAAACTCAAAAGATCCTTCAATCACAAATTTCAGTGTTTTGTTTTCTTTTTACAGTACCTTTGCTGATAGACTTTCTCAGACAATTGATTAAACATTATTAAGTCAATTAAGTTCGACATCTTCAAATTTAGTTACACCTGATACTATAATTATGGATCAAATAAAAAATTACTATCAGTAGATTATATAAAATGGATTTGCTACTAACTAACTTGTTATACTAAAAGCTACAAAGTTAGAATTATATTTCCAACTCAATAATGTAAATTCTAATGCTTAGACATAATAAACTTACTCTAACCTTGATCAAGTGTCTGATTTTAGTTTCATGAGTTTAGAATCTTTAAGTTCAATAAAGTGTAATGCAAACGAGCAACTTTACCCCAGATTCTTTATTTCAAAAAAAGCATTCTCTCAAATAGTTTCATCTACTCAACCTTCTTAATCATAGACTTTTCAAACACTTTTCTTTATCAACCAATTTTCTTCTAATGTGTAATAAATTAATTAAATAGCTTAATTTATCGACCATATCAATTTTTTATTATGTGAACAAATTTATTAATAATTTTTATTTAAAGATATTAATACGAGGACTCAAGCGTTAACTCTCCAATAGTATAAGCCAGATTCCTTTATGGAGTTTCCTAAGCAAAGAAATTTGATGACTTTTAATTTGCACTTCAATAAGATTATGTTGCAGTTTTAATTCCAAAATTCAAAACACATCAATACCTGAGTGGAGCTACTAGCTCTGTAACTTGTATGGTATTAGATGAAAACTCTAACAAATGGACAAGCAGCACTGAATTAGGAGTTGATAATAGTTAAACTATAAATTGTGATACACATGTCATTTGCTATTATAATTTGCTTTAAAATTTTGGTAAAAACATTAAGCTTGGCTACAAGATCACAATCAGCACCAATGAACTGAATGATGGTAATTTTATTAAAAATGAATATTTCATTTTGTTTTAAAAATAAATTAAAAAAAATTTTAAAAAGTGTTGAACATAATTTTATTTCTTATTAACATTTTAAAGCTTTTTTTAATGACAAATAATATTAATTTTATTCAATTTTATAAAATTTATTGTAAAGAAATAAATATTAATGATTAATTTATTTTAAAATTTTAAATAAATATTAAGAATTCTTCGAAAGAGTTCATGGAGATTGGTGGAGGACTTCTGGCTTTATTATTACATTCATTTTATTAGGTTTATTGATACTATTTATGGTACTCTTTTTATTTGTGCCATCTTTGAATTCTTTAGAGGCTCCTAAGAGAAAAATTTAAATTTAAGAACAAGAATTACAAAACAAAAGATTAAATAAGTACAATGATAATAATAACAATAATAATCATCTATAAACCGAAGGTCTAGACACTGAATAAAGATTTTAGACTGAATAAAATGCAGGACGACAAGATATCTACGCAATTCAACAATAATAATATCAACAGGAAGATTAATATTCAAATGCAAATATCATAGAGACAACTGAAATGGATGCAAATATGACTTTCTCATTCTATAGCATAGTTCACACCTAAGAAAGAAAATATAAGATTTAAAAGATAACTATTTTAATTATGTCCTGGCACTTTATGGCTTGCTTCTTAGGAGTTATGTACAGAAAACTTTATTGGAGTGTAAATAAATATTAATTATTTTTTTTAAAACTAATAAAAATTATTTGTCAACTATAAATTAAATAGAACTCAAACATCGTAGTTGGTATTGTATACACTATTATAGCTAGTTGGTTTGCTGGTTATATTTGGGGTTTTATTGCAGTAAAGTTCAGAAGAACCGTTGAAGGATCTCCTAGGTATATATATATATAAATTATCCTTTAACTACAATATTTAATTAATAAAACAATTTCTTCTTTTTTTTTCTTGAAATAATTGATTCAATTCATAATTTTATTCTAAAATGTCATTTTATTTTAATAAATAAATAGTGTCAGCACCCTCTATTATATTATTTATATTTGCTTGTTTATCTTTTTGTTCTTTATTGAGCTTTAAGCAACTGAGTATTACTATGATTATCCTAATAGATAGAAATGGCATGGGGTAGGATTCCTATTGTGTGTTCTCTTTGACTATTTCTTGTTTGATATCATATTGCTTTTTATTTATCAATATCTCTCAACTCATTAACAAGCGTTTTTCCATAAATTAGGAAGCATTTTGAGACATAGAGGCTATTATTAACATTGATTTAAATTAAAATTTTATCAAGATTAATTTATTTTAACAAAATAAAGAATTAATTAATTAATTATTATAAATTTCAGTTTAAATTTACCTAAATTATATTTTAGATGAATAAGTAAATATTATAAAAATGTATATCTTGTTAATAAAAAATTATTTTATTGTTATTTTATTTTTAAATTAATGAAAATAAACTAACTAACTAACTTACTAAAAAACATACAATCATCATAAATTATATTTATTTTTTTTTATAAACTTACATTATAAATTATTAATATCAGAATTAGAATTATTGAATATTGAAATTGATAATTTTGTACTTGATGAAAATTAATATTGCATGTACTCATACTTAAATATTTGCATATTTATTTTAATATATGTTAATTTTATAAAATAGGTTGCTCACACTAAACCAATCAAACTTATTCGCTTATATTTTTAATAGAATTTAAATTATTATTTTGTATATCTAATTACATTTTATCGCAAAATAATATCAAAGTATATATATAAATTATATTGAATAATTAAATTAGTTCTAAATTTTATGATAAATTCTATCTAACTTAATAATATATTTTCCTATAATTTCCTTTTTGCATTATTTATAATATATTTTTTTCAATAATTATTTATTATATATATTTATTATCTTATATTTCGTTTTAGATATCAGTTAGTAGTATTTATTTATTTTATAATATTTATTAAATATTCACTGATCATATCATTATTTGCAATTAAGTAGAAAATAAACTAATGAGTAATAGAATTTAAAATGGATTATAAGAAAGAAAGATTTTTCAATCAAAAGAAGAGAATAAGTAATAAAATAATAGTGAACAAGAATATTTGAATAAAATATCCAGCCCTCAATATAGACATGTTATGAAATAAGTATAAGGCAAGAAGAAATATTATTATTCTTTGTAGCCTGGTAGTTCATTTATCAGCAAAATGCAAAAAGTTGGTGGGACTAGCAACAAGAATTAAGTAACAGTTACAATGAAAACAGGATCTACTTACACTGGTGAAGTAAACGAAAGAAATGAAAGACATGGATATGGTGTTTATTAAGGTAAGTATAATTTATAAAAATAAGAAGTTTAATATTAATTATTATTTATTGCAATAATTAGTAATTTATGGAGGATATTATGAAGGTATGTGGAAAAATGGCTTTAAAGAAGGCAAAGGGACTTTTTACTATAAAAAAGGTTTAATACATTACGAAGGAGATTGGTAATGTGGAGAACCTCATGGTAAATTCATAATTTAATCTAATAATTATTAAATAAATGTAAAAATAGGATAAGGTAGAGTTTTCAATTAATAAAATCAGCTTGTATATGAAGGAGCTTGGAAGAATGGAAAGTCAACAGAAAATATATATTGGTTAGATTATAAAAATAAATGAAAATAAATAAAATAATTTTTAAACTAATTAAGTTATAAATTAATTGTTCTATTTTATTTTATTTATCCAAACATATTCTAGTTAATATAAAGTGATTAAAAACTCTTAAAAATATCAGAATATAGTTTAAATCTTATTATTTTAAATAATATATAGAAGTATCTATTTTTCTTTTAATGGCTAATAAATTCACTAAAAAAGTAGATAAATATAAACAATTTTTAAATTATGTTTTCTTATAGTTATTACTTTTTCTATCATATTTATTTTAAGTTTAGAATTCAAAATACAGTTAATTTAAAATTGATTCAATAAAAATAAAAAAATCAAAAAATTATTTTTTTAAATAGAATATTTTTGTATAAATTAATTAATAAAAATAAGGAGGAGTGGGTCACAGCTGCTGGATGTGACTTATTTTGATTTTATCAGTTCCAAATAGGAGGATGAACATTTTTTTACCTATGAATAGATAGAATACGGTCTAATATATAACAAAGCTTAAAATTAAAATTATTTCAATCTACCCTCAACCTAATCTTTTCTCACTTTAAAAGCTCTTTTGAATAAATTTATCTTACTATTTATTAACATCATGAATGTGTTAATTTTTTAGATTTTTGGTTAAATATTTGACAAGGAGAAATTATTTTGATCTAAATTTTTAAATACTTTTCCTCTTTCTTACAAATTCCATCTATCTTTACTTAATTTTATTTTAAAAACTATTTTTATTCAAGAAAAACTTAAACTTATTAAAAAAATTTAGTAAATAATCAGATGCATTATTTCTTTATTAAGAAAATACATTTCTATTTAACATATGCAAATACATTTTTTATTTATCATAAACATTATTTTTCATAATAAACATGACCAGGACTTCCATGTGCAGTAGTTTTTTCAGTATAACCAGATTTACAAGTACAAATCAAAGAACTTGAGTTAAGCTCAGCATTTTAACCACACAAATAGATATCAACTTAAATATTCGAAATACCCAGCCTTGCAACAACACCCAAATTGTTTGAGCTAAAAGTTAAATCAAGATCTCCACTATGTGATAAAACTAAAGAAACTGATGTCTTTCCATCTACTTTAGTACTACCGGCTGCTCTTTGCATACATTAGTAATTATCATTTACAACTTTTGTTGAAAATGTATTTGTGTTTCCGTTTACATCAACTTAACCGTATTTAGTAACTCCTCCCCAAATTTTTTCAATATTGAGAAAAGCAACATCAAAAGTAATGTGAACATAATTGTGAGATTGAAGAGTGTAGTTTTGAATCAGAGAAGCGTTGTAAGCCATAGTTTCAAAGTATTAGCTGATAGCTGTACAGTTATAGGTATTAGAATCAGTATCTAATTAGGATTCGAGTTCATCTTAGGTAAGATAGAAGTAACTATGTTTACTAACATTAATATTATCAACAACAGTATAGCAATTGATAGAATTTAATGCTAATATTAGCAAAGTTAAAGCAATTAGTTTTTAGCACATTTTTGTTTTTTTAGTTTTTTTGTTTATTTATTTTTGTTTAAATTTTATAAAATTGAAAGATTTCATGTATTTAAATAAATTAATTAATAAGCTTGCGTTTGTAAAGAAAATTTAAATCACTTGAAATATAATTAGCGTTTGCGTTAGTAATTTAAAAATTTTTTGTATTAATAACTCAATGTAGATTTTTTTAAAAAGTTAATTATAAATTCTAAAAACTATAATTTATTTTTTACTTAATTATTAAAAATAATTTTTTTGAAATGATAAATATTCATTAAAAAATGAAACATTCTATTAAACTATTCAAAACTATAAATTTATTATGATACAAATAAATTTATTTTTAATCAGTCATTTAATTAAATTATTACAAAATGATTTTCAAAAATATATCAAAACAAAAAATGTTGATGCTTTGCTTAAAAATTGAGTATAATTTAGATTTTTATTTAAAATTCGAACTCTAACATAATTAGATCTTTATTAACTTGTTAACGCAAATTTATAAGCATGAATATAGAATTTATAAGCAAAAACGTAAAAATAGGATTGTTGTTACCAGTTAGCAATAATTATATAAGCCTGAATTTTTTAAATGAGGAAGAATATTTAACATTAATAACCAAAAGAGTTTTTTTTATTTTTTTCTCATTCGACTGCTAATATCAATATTAAATAAATGATAATGTCAGCTTAAGTAAAATTTTAATTTTCTTCAATTCTACATCATAAATTCAATTACTTTTTAATTATTATTTGTCATAAATAAAAAAAATCCTAAAAAAAATGATGTTTATTTGAAATTTTGATACTTTTAATTTTTAAGCTGTTTTATATCAATTTATCAAACTTTTATTAAATATTTAAGTTATTTAAAATATTTTTTTTATTCAATTTATTATGTTTTTAATATTTTATAAGTTATTTATTTGAATTTATTTTTAAAAAAGAAAATTTATTTTTTTATTAATTAAAAAGATTAATTAGTTTTTTCAATATAATTTTATTATTTTGAAACTAAATAAAAACACTTTGTTATCTTATTTAAAAGCTCTTATGTTTTAGCCTAAATTAAAAAAAACTTTTTTTCTTTCTTTACATCTTTATTTAATTTTATTTAAAAAAAACCATTTTTTATTTTCAAAAATAAATTAAATTTTTATAATAAATAAATTTAGTAAATCAAAGTTATAATTTCTTAGTAAAGAAAATACATTTCTATTTAATATATGCAATTACATTTATAAATTATCATTAACATGATTTTATATAATAAACATTTCCACGACCTCCTTCTGGAGTTGTTTTTTAAGTATAACCAGATTTGCAAGTACAAATCAAAGAAGTTGAGTTAAGCTCTGCATTTTAACCACATAAATAGGTATCAACTTAAATATTTGAAATACCCAGTCTTGCAACAGTACCCAAATTGTTTGAGCTAAAAGTTAAATCAAGATCTCCACTGTGTGATAAAACCAAAGAAACTGATGTCTTTCCATCTACTTTAGTACTACCAGCTGCTCTTTCCATGCATTAGTAATTACCATTTGTAACTTTTGTTGAAAATGTACTTGTGTTTCCGTTTACATCAACTTAACCATTTTTAACAACTCCTAACCAAATTTTTTCAATATTGATAAAAGCAACATCAAAAGTAATGTGAACATAATTGTGAGTTTGAAGAGTGTAGTTTTGAATCAGAGAAGCGTTGTAAGCCATAGTTTCAAAGTATTAGTTGATAGCTGTACAGTTATAGGTATTAGAATCAGTAGCTAATTAGGTATGGAGTTCATCTTAGGTAAGATAGGAGTAGCTATGTTTATTAATATTAATATGATCAACAACAGTATAGCAATTGATAGAATTGAATGCTAATATTAACAAAGTTAAAGCAATTAGTTTTTAGTTCATTTTTATTTTTTTTAATTTTTTAGTTGATTTATTTTTGTTTAAATTTTATAAAATTGAAAGATTTCTTGTATATATATATATAAATTAATTAATTAATAAACTAGCGTTAGTAAAAAAATCGAATAATACTGGAATTTTATAATTAGCGTTTGCGTTAGTAATTAAAAATTAATTTGTATCAATAATTCAATGTAGATTTTTTTAAAAAGTTAAGTTTAAATTCTAAAAACAATTGTTTGTTTTTTACTTAATTTTTAAGCTGTTTTGGATGAATTTATCAAACTTTTATTAAATATTTAAGTTAATTAAAGTATATTTTAATATATTATGTTTTATATATTTTAAAAGTTATTTATTTGAATTTATTTTTAATAAGAAAATTTATTTTTTTGTTAATTAAAAGATTCATTAGGTTTTTCAATATAATTATATTATTTATATTTAAACTAAATAAAAACTTTTTGTTATCATATTTAAAAGCTCTTTTGCTTTTGCTTAAATTTTTAAAAACTTTTCCTCTTTCTTAAACATTCCATCTTTATTTAATTTTATATAATAAATCATTTTTTTTCAAATATAACTAAAATTGTTAAAAATAAATAAATTAAGTAAATTATTAGATGCTTAATTTCTTAATAAAGAAAATACATTTCAATATAACATATACACTTACATTTATAAGTTATCATAAACATTATTTTTCATAATAAACATTTCCACGACTTCCATGTGGAGTTAATTTTATAGTATAACCAGATTTACATTTACAAATCAAAGAAATTGTGTTAAGCTCTGCATTTTGACCACATAAATAGGTATCAACTTAAATATTCGAAATACCCAGCCTTGCAACAGTACCCAAATTGCTTGAGCTAAAAGTTAAATTAAGATTTCCACTATGTGATAAAACCAAAGAAACTGATTTTTTTCCATCTACTTTAGTACTACCAGCTGCTCTTTCCATACATTAGTAATTATCGTTTACAACTTTTGTTGAAAATGTATTTATGTTTCCGTTTACATCAACTTAACCGTATTTAGTAACTCCTCCCAAAATTTATTCAATATTGAGAAAAACAACATCAAAAGTAATGTGAACATAATTGTGAGATTGAAGAGTGTAGTTTTGAATGAGAGAAGCGTTATAAGCCATAGTTTCAAAGTATTAGCTGATAGCTGGACAGTTATAGGTATTAGAATCAGTTTCTAATTAGGATTCAAGTTCATCTTATGTAAGATAGAAGTAGCTATGTTTACTAATATTAATATTATCAACTGTAGTAGCGCAATTGATAGAATTGAATGCTAATATTAGTAAAGTTAAAGCAATTAGTTTTTAGCTCATTTTTGTTTTTTTAGATTTTTTAGTTGATTTATTTTTGTTTAAATTTTATAAAATTGAAAGATTTCTTGTATATATATAAATTAATTAATTAATTAATAAACTTGCGTTAGTAAAAAATCGAATAATACTGGAATTTTATAATTAGCTTTTGCGTTAGTAATTAAAAATGTAATTGTATCAATAACTCAATGTAGATTTTTTTAAAAAGTTAACTTTTATTTTTAAAAAATGTTATTGATTTTTTTATTTTAAATATTTTATTTTGCTATTTAAAATTTTTTATTTATTAGGTAAAAAAAATTATTTTACATTAATTATTTATTACTTAAATTATTACAAAATTATTTTCATAAATATTTCAAAACAAAAAAATTTTGATAACGCTTTACTTTAAAATTGTGTATATTTTAGATTTTTATTTAAAATTCGAGCTCTAACATAATTAAATCTTTATTAACTTATTAACGCAAATTTCTAAATTTCTAAGCATGAATATAGAAACTTATCAACAAAAACGCAAAAATAAAATTATTGTTTCCAGTTAGTATTAATCAATAAACCTGAATTTTTAATTAGAAGAATATTTAACATTAATATCCAAAAGAGTTTTTATAAATATTTTGTCATAATAATATCAATGTAAATCAAATATTAGTTTAAATGTTGTTTTAATTTTAATATATTCAATTTTACCTCATTAATTCAAGGACTATTTTTTTTATTATTTTGCATAAATAGAAAAATCCTAAAAAAAACTAATAAAATAATAAAATTTTTATTCTCTAATGAAAAAGTTTGTATTCATTTATATAGTTTGCTAATAAATTAAAAAAATTTATTATTTATTTTGAACAAACAAACAATTAATCCACAATTTGTAATAATTTAAAATATAAATATTTATTTTCTTATTTAAAACCTATTAATATTCTTAATCTAAAAAAATTTAGTATCTTAACTATCATTCATTCAGTGATGAGAAGTATGTTTAAATTCTTAGTAGCTAAAGTTAATAAAAATTTAAGATACTTTATACATTTTTATTCATTGTGGAATATGGCTAATAAAAAAATACTTCATAGTTATAGTAAAATTTGAAAAAAATAAATATTTTAGCTGTAAAAAAATCTTAAGTGCTAAACATAATTTTCATCATTACTATTATTTGTCAATTTTTTCAAGTAAAAATTGTTTGAAATTCGTAAGTATGTTTAATAAGGAAATTTAAAATAATTATGTTTATAAAAACATAAATTTGCTAGAACTAATGGGTTCATTCTTCTTCTAATATGAAAAAACATGATTATAATTTGTACCATCATAATAACCACAAGTTCCTGGTAATTAACCATTTATAAATCCTAGTTTTTAGCATGGGTAAAGAGTAAGATGTAGAACATGTACTAAAAATGAAATGCGAGTATTTTTTTTTGATGCTTGTTTATACTAAATGTAAGAGTTATATTAATTATCATTTTGTTAAGAGCAAGTACCTTAAGCAAAAATACCACAATATTGTTTTTTAAATATATTTTAGCAATAAGTTTAGAAAATTATTTTTATTATAATTAAATATTTTATAATTTAATAATTTAAATCTTTAATTAAATTTTTTAGACGCAAAATTAAATAAAGTAAGTAGATATTAACAAATAATGATATAAAATATAATAAAAATAAAATAAATGTATAAATGAGAAATTTTTGATTAATTTTATGATTTAATAAGATAAATAATATTATAATATGAAATTATGAAGCATATTATAATCATAAAAAACAGAAATCATATAAACTAAAAATATAAATTCTATTTATCATATTTCATATACATTGTCTTATGTAATAGATAGGTCCTTGACTTTATTTTACAGTTAATGCTTCAGCAAAACCCTATGAGCATACACAGGTCAACGAAGTTAAATTAAGTTCTGCATTCTAACCACATTGAAAAGCATCAACTTAAATATTAGAAATACCTAATCTTGCAATACCACCTAAGTTAGTTGGATTAAATACCATACTAAGATCTCCGCTATGGGCTTAAACTACAGTAAAAGTTGTCTTTCCATCTACCTTAGAAGCCTAAGGATTGCAGAAATTAAAGTTAGCAAGAGCTTAAAATGTAGTTATGTTTCCGTTCACATTAATTTGAGCTTATTTAATAGCTCCTCCCATGACTCTTGCAACATTAGTAAATACAGCATCAAATTTTATGCTAATGTAATTATGTGATGAAAGAGTAGAGTTTAAAGACAAAGAAGCATTGTAAGCCATAGTTTCATAATATTGGTTAATAGTAGGACAGTATAAAGCATTAGAATCTGTAGAAATTTGAGCTGATAGCTAATCTTATGTAAGATAAAAATATCTATACTTATTGATGTTAATATTATCAATGATATTATAGCAATTGATAGAATTTAATGCTAATAAAAGCAAAGCGAAAGAAATTAATATTCTCATTTTTTACTTGTTTATTGAGTTGTTTTTAATTTTTTGTTTAATTTAATATTATAAAAATTAAACACCTTAAAATTTATAAAGAAATTGATTGTAGTAAAGTTTACAATATATCAATTAAGAAATAGATTGATTGATTCTATTTTTGATAGATAAATTTAATTTTTGTTTGCGTTAATAAAATTTGAGAGTAACTTTTTTAAATGATAAAGTAAGATTAGATCATAAATATTCTATTATTTTTATAGTACCTTATTATGTCAATAAAAATATCTTAAAAGTAACAATCTATTTAAAAATTTAAGTAAACTAAAAATTTTTATAAAAACTTATAAATCTAAATTTTTAATTTGCAGATATATCTAGCATTATAGGTATCATTTTTAAAGCAATAAATACAAAAAAGTAAAATAAAGTCAATAAAAAATACATCATTTTTTTTTGATTGTTTAAATTTATTTTTCTTTAAAAAAATCATTTTTGTTTGAAAAATAGTTTAAATTTTTTTTAAAAAAGCTTAGATAAACGCTATATTTAAGACTTTCTTTAAAATAAAATTGCGCTGAATTATGTTAAATTTGTAAAAGACTTACTTACAAATTAACTAAAATTTCTTACATTCTAATCAAAAATGTTTCCTTACAAAATAATTAAAAATTCTTACATATAAATCAATAACGCTTCTTAATTAAAAATCCTTACAATCTAATTAGAAATTCTTACAGCATAAAAAGTCACAACTGCAACAATATTTGTAAAGTTTCCTAAATCTAAAAAATTAGTTATATTTTCTTTCTAATTTAATCTACTAAAAATAATAGTAAATATTTTTTATAAATGAAATTATTTCTCTTTGCTAATTTTATTTGATTGTGATAAAAAGCATGAAATAAATAATATCCTATCTGAATGTAGTTCCTTAAAACATACGATGATATTAATTTACTGACAAATTTCCTAAATAAAAAAATATTTTAGCCTCATTTCTAATAAATTTTAAAGCTGAGATTTATAAGGTTTATAAAATATAATAAATTTGAATTTTTAGATTGATCGCTTATGTATAATTATCAATGACCTACTTTTCTGAGCAAATCTTAGATAGAATTTATAAGAAAAACAAGATACTTGAATGATTTATCAATCTATTAATTAAATTAAAGTAGATAAATTTTTTGAAAAAAATTAGAATTAGCATGATTAATTAATAATAATTCGTAACTGCTAAAGATTTTTTTATAGATAAATAAAAGTTGAATTAAATCTAAAAAAATAAATATATAATTAAATATCTAAAAAAAAATAATTTTTAATAGATATTTAAATAAATAGACACATTAATTAATCTTTTTATAATTTAATTATTTATCTGTTTAATCAAATTGAATCATTCTATCTTATGATAATTTTGATTTTAGATTATTTTTTCTAAATTAAATAAGTGTATTAAGATATATTTTGAAAATAAATAGTACACTGAAAAAGATATTACAATTACAAGAGAAATATTTTATATTATTTTAAATGAGAAAGAACAACAATTTCATTTTTTTTGAATTGTTTATATATCAAAAAATAATATAGAGATTATCTAATAATTTAATAAATCTCATAATAAAAGTATAAACATTTAGATTTTAATTAGTTTCTTTTATAGCCTAATTTGTTCTAATGCTAATCAAAAATATTTTAAATATTTATAAAATAATAGAAATAAAATGATTTTTCATAGAAATATCAGACCAGACTTTTATTCCAATAAAAATTATATATGGAAATAGTATAGTCAATTAATAATTTATATTAAATTGAAAAATAATTATGCTTTTATTTTCACTTTTTATTCTTGGATAATAAAAATATGGATAAAATTTAAAAAAATTACTTTTAAAATAGAACTATGTGATTTTAACCTAGAATTTAAGATTGAATTATGTCATATATCTGTATGCTTATTTAGACATAAATTATAATTAAAGATATACTATAATTAAATTCTAATTTAGTACCAAATTTTTGGTTAATTAAAAAAATATTTATTTGGTTTTGATTATTTAATATATTAAGTGTATAAGTTAATAATAATGGGTTGTAAACAATTTTGTTCAGTTTAGGATAATATTATTAGAGAAAAATAAGAGGAAGAGTTCATTAGACATTTTTTGATTGTAAATAAATATGAATATCAAAAATTAATCAAATATGAAGATTAATATTATACTGTAGTTGCATTTTCTCACTAATTGTAATGCCCAGTAGCAATTAAGTTAATAAAAATACTTAATATGGATAATAATTTCATTTTTTAAGAATTAAACTAACGAATAGAGGGTCTTTTAAAGCTTGATAATGAAATATTTATTTAACAAATTATTGAAAAGATTTAGGATGAATAAATTGGATTAATTACAGTTGTTACTGAACTCTACTCATGTAATAATAATCACATTTTAATATATACTTATGTTTATAATTACAATATTTTAGGCAATCTAGAAACGATTCTTAAAATAAATGCATTTAAATACGATTAAATCGTAGCACTAACCTACCAACTGCTGAATAATTTGTTAACAATATAGAATAATAATTTAACATATGTTCGCGGCATAAATCCTAATAATGTCTTTTATAGCAAATCTACAAACCAATTTTTAATAGGTAGGTATTTGATAGTAAATTTAGTTCTAATTTTATAAAAATATAGAAATAGTTGATTACACATATTTAAACATAATCAATAACCCAAATACATAGAATACTTTGGCAGTTGTAAAATAAATTATTTCAGTAATATTTAAAAATACATTTTTTTTAAATATAAAGTCTCTTTAAGATAATCCATGCTAATAGTCTATAAATGAAGGCAACAAATAAAATTCAAGTTTTATAGCTGTAAATTATATTAAATAAATCAAATTCGAACAAATATAGTTATTTAACTAAATTAGGAAAATTTGTTTTCCATAGGATTGATAATAATTTAAGCTTTGATAAAGAGAAAACTATCATCTAATGAGTCTATAAGATTAAAGGATTAAGGCTTGTTTTAAGTTATACCTTTTCTAGAATACTCATTCGATAGTGAATTTATCAATAATATACTCTGCATTATGTTAGAACAAAAATAAAACACAAGGATACAGCTATAAGCTTTACTTTAGAATTTATAAAAATTCAATATTAATGAAAATTGTCTAAGATCACTTAAACTGAAAAAAGAACTAAAAAAATTTCTGATATAAGGAGAAATTACAAATGATTTTATAGAAAGAACAGATTTCGATATACTAGAAATAGATTAATTGTAAATTAGTTTTAATATTTAGAAAAAAAATATTTTTAATTGTATTTTAGCTTATAAATAATATTATCACACTTGCTTCAATTTATTTACTATTTATTTGAAACAATTGTAATAATTATTATTTATAACTATTATAAATCCTTCTTTGAACATTTTAGTATTTATGAACTTATTTACATATAAATTTTTAAGTTACCATAAAATTTTCTTATCATCTACCTTATTTTTGGAAAATGAGTTAGTAATGATAAATGAAACATTTTTTAATTTATTTTTGAAAGTAGTTTTTTCAATCATATTTGAAGGAAATTTAAAAAAATCGTTTTATATTCAACAATCTTTTTCTTTTTTTGAAATCAAAAACTTATAAATCCAAATAAAATTAAAAGGAGGAAACATGAAATTAGTCAAAAGGAACTATCTTATCTATGCATTTAATTAGCCTCGTTCTCAAACATATCTATTTTAATAATTAACTTATTGTAAATTTTTTTTTTTTTACTTACAATTTTATCATACAATAAAAGTGAACAAAAAATAGGAGATTAAGGAACATAAGATTTAGGGAATGGATTAGCAAAATGCACTAACCTCAAAATTTTAACTCTATTATTATGGTATGCTTTAATATTTTTTGAGAATTTTATATTTTAAGAAAAATAAACAAACTTCTAATATTTATAAAATAGTAAGAAGGTTCATATAAATAGAATATTTATTTTATTTTTTATAATATGAATTAGATACTTGATATTCTTTATTTAATCTTTTGATTAACTTTTTAGCTATTTTTATAAAAAATTATTTTAAATTTTAATTAAAATTAAATTTAAAAGGGAGAATAATATTAGTGAGTAAGGAATATTGCATCTAAGCTCTGGAATATCTAAGTGTGCATATCTTTCTGATTTAACACTTTATTTAATGTAAATTTAGTTTATTTTTTAATACTTTTTCTAGAAAATTATTTTAAAAGTTATTATTTTTTTAATTTTAATTAATTTATTTTTGTAAGATTAATTTATTTAGTTTTTCTACTTCTTGTTTTTTTTCTAAAAATAAAATCTGATTTTTAGTTAATCTAAATTACACCAAAAGGATAAATAAATTTGGAGATAAAGGAGTATAATATCTAGGAAAAGAATTAACAAAATGTTAATATATCTAAAATATGACACTTCAGTTATAGTAATTAATTATAGTTTATAAGATATATTTTAGATTTTAAAATTAAAGCAGAAAATGAATTATTAGCAATTCATTTTATTTTAAAAAATATTCTTATTAAATATTTTTTTTACTCGTTTCTATCCCTTTTATAATAAAAATAATATAAATATATTTAATTAATGTAAAAGGGGAAATAAAATTACTAATCAAGGATTATTAAATTTAACTGTAGAATTAGGAAAATTCAGATATCTATAAGTTTTGAAACTTTGTTTTTAGTAAATTTCCTTTATGTTAAAAGCAATATTAAATTTTCTTTTTTTTAGTTTCAATTTATGCCTTTTCTTTTTAATAAATAATATTAAATTAAATTTTAAAATTATATTAAAGAGGAAATGATATAGATTAAATGGGCGTATTAAATCTATTGATTGAATTAAGATAGTGTATAAGGCTTTCAAATTTAATACTTAATTTATGGTAAAAAAATGATCTTTTTTGATAAAAGTTTTATTAAAAAATGAATTTAAATTATAAAATTTAATCAATTTTCTGCAAAAAGAATAAAATTCATAAATCTATTTTCTATTTTCAAAATAAAAATGTAGAGAATATTTTTTAATTCTTTTTATTTAATTTTTAAATTTCACCTCTTTTTTTCTTATAAATTCATCTTATTATTCAACAATAAAAAAATAGGAATATTCAAGTTAGCAACATTTAATGTTAAAATTTATATTCCAAGTTAGCAAATTTAAATAACCTTTCATCTTTAGAACTTGTCTTAAGGTATATATGTATGTACATTTAAATAATAAGCATATAGTTTTTAAAATATTCTTCTCAACATTAACTTATTTCATTTAATAATATATTCTTTAAATATAAATTACAGACCTATTTTGTTTGTTTTTTCTTTTTCATCAAATTATTTCCTCAATCACTCACTTAATTAATTAATTAATCAAATCAAATTAATTACCTTTATTCTTATTTTTGTTAAAAGGATATACAATGATGTAGCTTTAGATTTAGGTAGTGAATTAGTAAAATGCAAAAAACTATCAAGTTTAAAACTCGACATATTGTAAATTAAATTAATTTATTTAGTTATTTTTTAAATTTTAAAAACCAAATATAATAAATATTAAAACAACCTTAAACTTGTAATATTTTAAAAAATATATATTTTATATTTGCTACTTCTTCCTCTCATTTAATTAATTAAATCCTACTTCGTTAATATTTCAAAATATATTAAAAGTTTTAATGATTAAAGAATGAATGGAGTATTTGATTTGGTATCTGAATTAACAAAATGCTCAAATCTTTCAACTTTAACACTCAGTTTATAGTAAATTTAGTCTTTTTATTTATTTTTAAATATAAAATCTAAATATGATAATGCATAATAATATTTTGTGTTTCATTGATTGATTTTTAGATTAGCACTTTTATTTTTATATGATATTTTTAATTTTTTTTTTTTCCAAAAAAACTAACAAATAAATCTATATAAATCACGAAAAGGTCAAATTATTTAGCACATTAATTAAAACTGAGATTGAGAAATAATGTAATCAAAATGAAGAGATTGGTAGTCTTCAATATTGATTACTGATTATGAAGAATAATTATTTAAATTTTTTCTTTTATTTAGTAGTTTGTAGATTCTATATATAAAATAAAATTATTATTTAAAAGTATTTTTATGCTTTTTTGTTATTTTAATATGGAAAATGTATATAGATAGATAGATATTTTTGATTACACCATACCGATTTTAGTAAAAATTCTTTTGAAAAAAACCCATATATTTGGTCAAAATTTGAGTGAAATTGTGTGTTAAATGAGGATATATAGTATTAATTTATTAGTTAGCTAAAATTTGTAAAATATTTAAATATTTGGTAAAAAATTTAACTCAAACAGATGAATTTTTAATATAAATTACAAAAATATATTTACTTATTTGTATATTTTACTTATATTCAAGTTCATAAACATTATTTTTCATAATAAATATGTCCAGGATTTCCATGAGAAGTTAGTGTTTCTTTAAAACCTTATTTGCACACACAAGTTAAAGAACTCTAATCAAGTTCTGCATTATTGCCACATAAAATACCATCAACAACTATATTTGAAATACCTAGTCTTGCATTAGAACCTAAATTGTTTGTACTAAATGTCAAGTTGAGATTTCCACTGTGTGGCAAAATCATTGAAACATTTGTTTTTCCATCAACATAATACTTATTAGTCCTAGGCATGCATTTATAGTCATCGGTTTGAACATTTGTTGAAAATGTAGTTGTCTATCCGTTCACATCAACTTGACCATATTTAGTGATACCTCCCCAGATTTCTTTAATGTTTATAAATGCTACATCAAATGAGATATGGAGATAATTGTGAGATTAAAGAGTGATATTCTGAACTAATGAAGCATTATAGGCAAAAGTATCAAAGTATTAGTTGATTGCTGTGCAGTTGTAGATGTTAGAATCAGAAGCCATTTGACTTTTAAGATAAGGTTAGGAAAGATAGAGGTAGGAGTATTTGTTGACAGTAATCATATCTATCTCAGTATAGCAATTGATATAATTAAATGCTAATATAAACAAAACAAAAGTTATTAGTTTTGAGCTCATTTTAATATTTTATTTTAATGAAGTTGAATCTATTTATTTTTTTTGTTTATTTTTATATTATAAAATTAAAAGATCTAATGTACTTAAAGTTTTTAATTGTCTTTGATAGAATTTTTATGAATTCATGTCATTTAATTTATCTTGTCTGATGAAATATAATATGCGTTAGCGTTAATAAAGCGTACAAATAAATTATAAATCTTTACAATTAAATAAAATTTGTTCCTTACAAATTAATTAAAAATCCTTACAAATACATTCATAAACACTTATTAATTAAAAACCTTACATATTAATTAAAAATCCTTACAACATAAAAGAATTTTTCTACTCTAAAAGAAATTAAATTAATTAAAGTAAACTGTTTCAATAAAAGGAATTGATAAAATATAAATTTAAACATAGTTTCAAAAAACTTGTAAAAATAAAACTATTATAAATATGAAATGATAAAAGGCTACTAATTTTTTAGAAAAATATTTTGAAAAAAAATTTAAATTAATTTATGAATAAAATATTTTTTAAACTAAAAAATTAAAAATATTAAATTAATAACGAAATATTAAATTTAGTGAAAGATTTTTATTTTTTTTGTTGTAAGTGAAAGTCTTATTTCATCAATGAAAAATATTTTCTTAATTGGTGAAAAAAAATAAAATAAAACATATTAAATGAATAAAAAAAATGGCTCTTAAATTTAGGCTTTTAATTACTTCTAATTTAATTTGAAAAAATATAACTTAAAAGATATAACATTTATAAATTATGAGATCTATTAGTTATTAAATTAAAAAACATTTAAATTGTTATAATATATGAATAACATAAATTATATTTAAGCATGAACATAAAAAGTGAATATTAATTTGGCTAAAGCAATATAGATACTTTTAATTAGTTAATAAAATTGTAGTACTTTTATATCTAAAAACTAAATAACTATTTTATAACATTTTACTTGTTTTCAGATATTTTATAGAAGTAAAATATTTCATAAATTTACATAATATTTTAATGTATAGAATAGAATTTATGGCTTATCATTTTATAAATTAAATATACTATTAGAATATATTTATAATATAATTATTAATTACTCTTATAATTCAGAAATTTCATTTTAGATCATTTAATAAATTAATGTTTTGTATGAATATTTTATAAACAGCACATATAAAAACAATTAATTAATCACTTGCTTTAAGTTTTTGCATAAATATCAACTGAAAATGCGTATTTGCTTTTTTAATAATACATATTAATCTTTTGATTTTCAATATTATTATAATAAATAAAATTTTGTTTAAATCTTACAGATTAAACTGATTTTCTTAAGATCTTCCATAGATTTAAAATTCTATTCTTATCAATATAACCAATTTTTTTCAAAAATTGTTTTAGTTTAGGCTAATTTAAAAGTCTTTTTTCAATTATTTTACTTAAGTTTATTAGTTATTATTAAAGAACAATAGCAACTATATTTTTGATTAAAAGGCCTATTGATATAATATTAATAATAATAAGAAAAGAAAATGCAACACTTTAGCTTTCTTAATCTTAAACAATTTAGCTCTGAGACAAATAAGCACACAAGCCTATGCTTATAGAACATAAAATATAAATTAATTCTTCCATGTAATTTAAAGTTTGATTGCTGTTAGGTTAATCTAAAAAAGAATTAATATATTAAATTAGTAAAATAAATTATCTGCTTACATTATTTTATTGATAAAGAGTACACCAACAATATAAAACATAGTAAAGAAGCCTTTAAAGAATTTTAGTCATCAAAAAATATGTTATTTATGAATACAATTACTGATTTTAAAGAAATTTTTATCAATTCCCAAAAGTAAAACTGCTCTTTAAAATCAAAATAAAATATTCCAAAAAGTTTTAAATTATCCAGTTAGTTTAAACGATATTTTATTTATCTCAAATTATATAGCAAGTATAAAGGAATTAAAATGGTCCATATAAACAGCAATGGAAAGATGCAAGCAATTCTTTGTAATTGAAACTATTTATTACAAGAAACAGAAGAAAAGTTTTTTACAAAACTTTATCCATATTAATCTACACAAATACCCTATTATTTTTATTCAAAAATATTATTAAATTTTGTTCATTTATTAAAATACTTTATTTTATTTTGATGAGTTAATTTTAATGAATATATTTTATAGAAACTAAGGAAATAAAATTAAAAAAAAGAAATTATTTTACACTTCCTATTAATTGTTAGACAACAGACGGTTAATTGGCAATATAGATAAAGCTAATTCCTGAAAAAATATCAATAAGATTAATTTTTTATTTTCTAATAATCCTCTAAAGTAAGTAAAGAAATATGAAGAGAATTACATAAGTAAGTATTGTTATCTATCCTAATATTATTTTAATAAAAATAAAACTTAGACTTTAACTTTTGTAAAGCTCTATTAAAGAACAATCTATAGAAAGCAAGGCTTTTTTGTTTGGATCTGATAAAGAATTAAAAAATGATTAATAATTTTATAACTAAGATTTTATGATATCACTTACTATCATAAATACCTGTAAATATGATGTTATTAGCTTTATGTAAAAACTGGTCTAGTATATATTTCTAGTAGTATATATTTTCATTAAGTAAAGAATTTTTGCTTAAATATTTTAAGCTACTTAACCTAAGTAGCTATTAACCATATATAAAGTTAGAAAAGAATTTGCAAGAACAATCAAAACAAATAACCATGTTTGGCTAGCAGTTTAAGAGCAGCTTTAAATTAAATATAAATATCATTTTATGTTTAGTATAATAAGAATTTTACTTTATGCAGCCTAAGTTTCCATCTTAAACATATGATTCATTCCAATATTTACCATATATATCACAGTCGGTGCACAAAGGCCCAACTAATCCTTTTTTTAATTCAAAATAATCTTTTTAAATGTTCTGAATAAATTTTTTAATTTTTACCTTTTTTACAATATCGAATATCTGAATTTCTTATTATTTTACCTTTCTTTTCATAGATATCTATATCACCTATACAAGTATTTGATTAAGATTTACATTAATAAAAATCTGAAGAATTTAAGTTTAATCTCCAGTAACCCTCTCTAAGATAAACCATATATCCATCACATATTCCGTAATTAGGACATTTAATACATTTTTAGCCAGGTTAGGTATTGTAAAATGGGTTAGAGCATCTTTAACAAAAATCAAATTTTTATACCTTTAAATGCTAATATCCTAATTCGCATCCTTCAACAAATTATACTATTAAATAAAAACTGTTTTATTCTAAACTATATGAAGTTATTTCACCTGTTATTTAATCATAAATAGGGTTTTTAATTAAATCTGATGAAAAAGTCAGCTTCACAGTTAATCCAAAGACTCCATTCAAATTTAATTAACTTAGCTTAAAACTCCCACTTTTTTATATAATTTGCTAGCTACTTAGATAAGCATTAGAAGTATCATTCAATAAAATATTAAGAGTAATATTTTCTTGATTTTAAATATAAAATTCATTTTATTATGTCATAAACTAAATAGCAAGGTCATCCTTTTTTTAATAAAAATTATTAAATTTAAATTGTAATATTTAATTGATTAATTACACTGAATTTTCCACTTGAGTGTATGACCTTATTATCTTTTGGTTAAGTCCCATTTAAGATTGCAATCATATGATGAGGATATTAAAAAACATTAGAAGAAAATTGCTTAGCCACATTACTTTGAAATAAATTTTTAGTATAAAGATTTTATACTGCTTAGCCACTTTCAGAGAATATAGCACCACCAATCTAAGCTTAATTATAAAAAAATAAGCTATTTCTAATCTTTATTTTAGTTATTTATTCTACGCCTTTATAGTAAATAGCACCTCCATTACCTTAGCTAGCCTGATTGTAAATAAATGAGCAATTAAAAAATGAAACACTTGAGCTATCGATGTATACAGCACCAGAAGATTTTAAGGAAAAATTATTTTTAAACAAAACAAAAGATAAAAACAGAGGATATTATAAATCAGATATTTCTTACAAAAGTCTTGTATTCAAATTAGAAATAATATTTTTAATTTAACTAATAAATAATATTCCTTTATCTTGCACTTGATTTAATCCAAAATCACTATTTAGTACATTCAAGTAATAGCTGTTCAACTAAACTAAGCCTTTATTACAAGCCAAGCATATATTATTATTGAATTTAGATTCTTAAATCTAAGTGAAATTAGAGCTTATAACTATAAAGGTGTTAGCTATTTAGCTAAATATGCTATCAAATTAAGTATTAAAAATGTAAATTTACTACATATCCAATAATTAAATCAGAGAAACTAAATAATTAATGTTTTAATATAAATTATTCTAATCCTTAAAGTATTGAGTACTTTATACCTAAAATAGTGTTTTTAAACCGTAATTATTTTAGATAGCAGAATCATATTTCAGTTCTTCCATTATAAACTAGTTATTAAAAAGATTAATTTCAATAAATCCATTTAATAAAAGTTATTATATGTTAAATTAATCAGTTTCAAAGTAATTCTTCATATGTTTTTTTAAGATGTTTTGTGAAACATTTATGGGATTGAAGCTAAATTAAGAATCTGTCATTAAAAAAACATTTTTGTGTTTTAATTAGAAATCAAAATATATTAATGAACCTGCTTAACTAATATTGTCAATAAATTCACATTAAGCCAAGCTTATAAATTTCTTAAATTAAGAATTTTAAACAAATAAGACTCCACCTTCATTAAATGCTATGTTAGATATGAAACGAGTTGATACTATCTCTGTTTACAATCCGCAAAGTTAAGAATCAATAAAAATAGCTCCCCCTTAATTTTCTTTATTAAACTAATTAAAACTTAAATTGTTAACAAAAGAGCAATCTTAAATTTTTAAATAACCAATTATGTCAAAAATAAAATAAGTAGCTCCTCCTTTCAAGGCTCTACCTCCTTCAAAATGAGTATTTATTATATATGCTTTCTAAGTATAAGATTATATAAATCCTCCTAGAACTGTAGTATTTGAGAAATCTATATTTGAGTAGTCATTTTTAAAGAATGAGTTATTAACTGTGAATTATTTTGTATTTATGATCAAGCAATTACTTTTCTATACAGAAAAATTATTAATAAACTTTGAGTTAGTTAACTCTATATTTCCTAATAAAGCTTCAAAATAGGCACATGAAGATGTTTTAGTTGGAACTTCCTTTTAATTAAAAATTTCATATTTAAAAATAAATTTTTTATGATTAAAATTGATAGTTAATTATAATATTAAAATAAAAAGATAAAAAATAATTTTTTTAATTAAATGCTTATAAAAAATTACATTTGCTTTTACAGTTTGAATTAGTAACGAATTTTAGACTACTAAATTACTAATAGTAACTGTTTCTTGAATCTATGAATTTATATGGATTGGAGTGGTGCTAAATTATTATTGAGTGATATTTGTAGTACAATTTGTTATTTAAACATCTTTCATAATAAATATTTTATTGGTTAATTAAGATTTTATTTATTACTAAATTGTGATCTCAACTAACGATTTTTAATAAACTATATTTTAAATGACAATATTTTTAATAGCCATTTACTAAAATAATCCTATTATTTCTATAATAGAGTAATTATTGATATTATCTTTTGTTTAAATACCTTTTAAATTATTTAATTTGAAATAGTTTGCTTTTTAAACTTTTAAAAATTATATTTCACCATAATTCATTAAATTGATATCTTGAACTACTAAAATGTTAACGTTTGATAAACTAATAAATGAACTTAACTAAAGACCAAGAGAAGTATCAGTAATAATTTGATTATTATAAATATTAACTTCTTAAATAATAAATTACTTAATTAACTAATTTTTGTCATTTAAAAATATTTATTAGCTGCTAGTAATTATGTTCTAATAAAATTATATATCTGTGAGAAATAATGAATTAGAAAAATTTATTGGCTATCTGAGTGCACTTAAAAATATATATCCTTTAATTGTATTATAACAAATAATTATAGATCTAGCTTGAAGACTGTTAAATTCGAATAATGAAGGATTCTAACCTAAATTTTCTGATTTCATAAATAAAGTATTATTTGCAATTAAAATATCTGATAGTATAGTACTTGCAAATTGATTATTAGAAAACATTTTTGAATAATTTGTTATGAGGTTATTTATAATAGTTAAGTTACTAATACTAACCCAATAAATGTTTTATTAATTAAATATTAAATAGTTAAATAAGGTACTAGAATTATCCCATTAACAATATTAAATTTAGGTATTTTTAACTATTAATTATGTATTATTTTGATTGATCTAAATGAAACTTGAGGAATTAAATGTCACCTTTTGGTATAAAATATTATATTAGTTTTTTATTTCATTTTAATATAATCAGGGTAAAAAAAGGAAAATTCTGAATTGTTTTTATTAAAAAATTTTTGAAAAAATAAATAATTTAATAATTTTTGAAAAATTTTATTCTTTTTTAAATGATTTATGTTTTGATTAGAAAGAATAGGGTATTTCGACTTTTATATTTTCAAAAAGGAGATTGAGAAATTGTGTTAGTTAATTATACAGTCAATAAGATTAAAATATATTTACTTTAGAAATGTTGATAGAATCTAATGTTATTTAAAAGTCGGGACTTATATTGTCTTAAGAATAATAAAGCTAAATAACTGAAGAGTAATTATATTGCAAATTATCAAATGTTACTTTTTCTAAAATTAAATTATTTATCAAATTATTAATATTTATAGTAAGAACATTTGATGGGCCATTTAAAGATCTTTAGAATTTTAAGTTACTTAAATAAACCTATTTTAATTTTGTTGAATATATCTAAAACCCAATTTTAAATTAATCAAAGTAAGGAGAATAAGAGTCTACGTTTATATTAGAGACAGACACATTTGTAAAACCTTAAAATACTGAAGGATAAATTTAAAGGAATTAAAATTATTTGTTATTTACTTATTCGTAAGTAATATTTAAATGTAATACATCTAATGATTACATTTTTTACAATAAATTTGATTTTATTTACAAAGGCTTAAGGAGTTAGCATTAAGATTGATCTGAAGAAAATATTAGCTATAAGTCAAGTTGTTTTAAAGATATTTCATTTAAAGCAACTAAGGCTAAATTTGGGTTATTTTCTCCTAAAATTAAATTATCAAAATTAGCTACATCTGAAATCATATTGATATTAAAAGGATTATATCTAGTTCCATCGCCAATGTTGTTTGATATTTTTGCACAATTAATATACAATTTAGTGATTTTTTTGAAATAGCAAGATTGATCTCCTATCTTGCATAAAGTACATGAAAATCTTTTCTTATCAAATCTTATTTCATATCCTTGAAAATAACTCTAAAAGGCTTAGCTACCTACTTATAGTTCTTGAATTGTTTTGCAGGAAAAACATTTTGTTTAATAAATTGAATAATCATTTTTGAATAAATTGCCTGTTTAATCACAAGTTTCGCATCTATTTTAAAATTATTTTACTTAAAAATTAAATAATTAAATAATTTTACAAGAAAGGGCATGCCTAACAAGATTTTTAGTCTCCTGTAAAAGTACTTAATTTAATTTCCTAGCTAATAAAATTTTTTCCAAAAAAGAAGTTACCCATAAAGAGCTATATTGATTAAATGTATTATAACACAGCCGTTTAATTACAATCGATGCAAAAAAAATTATTTAGTTTAAAAATACAGTTGTTGCATAGCTAGCCACAAGGATATTAAATGCAAATTTTTTAAATTGGATCAAAATAATAGCCATCAAGGCATGCGCTACAAAATGTCTATACATTTAATAATTTTTTATAGTTTAATCTTGAGTCGATATCAAACGAAATATCTTCATACATAATATGGGCAGTTAGATTAAATTTTAGTTTTTAAGTGTCATATCCTATTTCATAACATCTTGAGCATCCTTACAAGCACTGTACACATCCAAGTAATGTTACCATATAATTATCTTAAGAACATTAAAGACAAGTAAAATACTATATTTATACTGAATTTTAATCTAAATAATATTAATAATAGCACTTATCACATCCACTTATCTATTTTAAAAATTATAATTAATAAAAAAATTTATAAAAATAAATTTATATTTAAATATTTATTTTAGCATTTTATTATATAATTTTATCTTTTTAGTTAACTTCAAAATTCTTTAATTTTAATTTGCGCATTTTATTTTTTTGTACAAAAAAAAAATCCGCAATTAGCAATCAAATAGATATTTATATTATATTTCTTTTATTTAATATATTAGTGTGTAAAATATATTTTTAAAAAAACTTATTAAAAATATTAAAATATTCAAAAAGCAATGGTTTAGCAATATATGTGTGAAAAAACTCGTACTCTTTGAACATTTTAGTCTTACGCAACTTCCTAGTTTAAGCCCCAGCGCATATTTTACAAATAATTACATAAATTTGTATTTACAAAAAATGGAATTATTTCCATTATTTTTAAAACTAATTTAAAAAGTTAAAATAAATATCGTTACTTATTAAATGCATTTGTAATTGACGTCACATTTTTTTTTAGTATAATCAAGTGCAAATTCCTTGCACAACTTGCAAGAAAATTTATCGTTTTAGAATTATAAGCAGTTGATATCCGTAACATCAAAATTTTACCTACAATAATTTTTATCAGATGATAAAATATATTGGTATGAGCAAGCAAGGCATATTATTGTTGAATCAGTAGTTGAACCGGTTTAACTGTAATATGATAAATCATATATTAAGTTAACTTAGCCTGTGGATTTATTCATAAGAGAATGGAGAGCACAAAATTATATTGCTACACCACAATCACTTCCTAAATTAATATTAAATAAATTAAAATTGAAATTAGCTAACAAATTATTTACCATTAGGTTGTTAAGTTTGTGAGCTTAGTTAACAGCTGTTGCATTACTTAAAAATTTTTAAATTTGTGTAGTCATTTTAGGTTAACTAAACATTATTGATTTCACCAATATTAAAGTAACTATTTTGATTAGCTATAAAAACATTTTAAAAAAATCAAAAAGATTACCAAGTAAATTACCATATGAACAAGAAGTGCAATTTTTTCCACAATTATCACATGTAGTCAAATTATAAGATACGATATAAGCAGATTTACAAGTCTAGCACATAGGTATTAAATGCATTGAGTTCAGACTCTATCTTTGCTCTTTATTTATTTCATAGTAATAAAATTTGACTCCTTAACTATTTAAAAAACCTAATTCACACTATAAGCATCCATTTTCACAAGCCTCGCATTAACCTTATTAATTTAAGTAATAACCTAGCTAGCATTTTAAACATACCTATTGCTATTAGCCATTTTGCATATAGAACTGACAAAATGTACATTTATCTAGTGTACCTAAATGAAGATTTTAAAATAAATTTAATTTTAAAAAAAGTAAATTGTATCAGAAAGTTACAGTATAAATTCTTCAAAATGAAAATTTTAAAAGAAGTTGTAGAACTTAAAATTTACCAAAAAATAGCTAAAAATATTACTATTAATTCTGGAATGCTGTGAACAGCACAAATATTTTAAGAATTCAAATTCCCCATATATAAACTGGAATAATTATTATTTTTAGTGGAAAAATTGCAATGGATTATAAAAATTTGATAGATTTTTAATTAGTTTTTTATTTTGGTTTTAATTAAAAAAAAATGCTATACTTTGAAAAATCAGAGTTTTTAATAATTATAATGAATAATAAATATGATTATTTAACCATTTTATTAAAAAGTTCAATTAAATAGATTTTGAAATTAAAATTTTACATAAATTTGAGCTAACTAATTAATATTTTGGATACTAAAAACTATTTTAAGAGCTGCTTAAATTGATTGTATAGCTCAAAGCAAATGGAGGTTTATTTTCTATCATAACTACATTTTTTTATTAATCTGTTGTAAACTTTAAGATAGTTAACTAGCAAACCTTGGAAGATATTTAGTAGTCACTCCTAAAATAAATTATTAAATAAAATAATTTCAAAAAATTTAAAATGAAAATTAATACCAAGCCCCAGTCTCAAGACTGCAATCAAGACATTTTTGGCTGATTTATGTAGTCCCTTAAGGTATTCTATAAGTTTCAGGATATTAATTTATAGTATTATAGAGATAATCACACTAAACACATTAAACACTTTAATCTTATTAGTTTTTATATAAAAAATATCCTTCTGCACACTAGGTACAATAATTCAGGTCTTTGCAGGTGTAACATCTTTTTATTAAATAAAAATTTAAAAATAAAATTTTATTCAGTATTCATTCATATATTTTACCCAAGAGGGCATTTAGTTATTTGCTATTAATTACAAATAAATCCCTAACACATGTCCTATTAAACATATATTATATTTAAAGAGAAAGTTGTTTCAATGCTTTATTTTTAGCTGTTATCTCTTTGCTACATGGTCAAACATAATTTATCACCAAGATTAATAAAATTGTTTGGACACCTTAAGCATTTAGAAGAAAGGTTCCCAAAACTTTGCAATATGCATAAATTTTATTCATCTGCACAATATAAATCAGTGTCATCTTTATAAACATTCATATCCACAAAAATGCATGGTTTATCAGGTCTTACTTATTTTATGCACTCATTTTGTTTAACGGGCATGTCTTTAAACTAAACACATTATCCAGTATTAGGATTCAAGCATGAATTTAAAGGACAAATTTTGCATTATCCAGATAATGGATCAGCACATCTACCTAATAAATAAGAACATTAATAAATTTGATTATAATTTTCAAAAATTATTTAAATACCTTAAGTATCTTAACAATTTGTTCCCATAGGCATACATGTTTTAAAGTTTACAGGTTTGAGGCAGTAGTAATAATTACACAAATCACAGTTATCTATTGATGAAGAGCATTAATTACTATTAATTGAGCATTTAGTATTAACGTTAGGATCCACATATTAACAAGTATCTCCTAATAAACATGACATACCTTAATAGCATTTAACCTTTTAAAAAGAGAGAAATAAAATTATTTATTTAATTATATTTACAAAGTAATAAAATTTAAGATGAGACCAAATTGAAATTTTTTATTTTAAAATTAGTGATGCTTAATTTAAGACAATATATTAATAATTTGATTACAGCAACAGGCTGATTAGCTCCCAAACATTCCATATTACTATTGTAACCTTATTATATTTATAAAATAGTATTAAAAAAAATAAAATTCCTATTTGTTAAGTTTTATTTAAAAATAAAAATTACCTAACGCATTTTTGGACTAATCATAATCAAGTAGTATACAAGAATATTGTTATGGTTTGACTTATTTAATGCAATATCTTTAAAATTAAAATAGTTTGTAAATTTAGAGAATGAGGAAAATTAAAAAATACCCATCTAAACATTATTTAATTTATTATGTAGCTACTTAGCCACTCAATAAGCAATTTGAAGAAAAATATTCTCTGCCAACATAAAAAGAATCTAGCTCAACACACTAATTCTGAATCAAACAATAATTTAATTTGCAGTAAGAAGCAAAGTAACTTTTGCTACCTATACAAATCTAGCTGTTTGCATCTCTTCCTACGTATGAGCTACTTTAATAGCTACTATCATTTAATGATACACATTGATCTCCCTAAAGACAGAGTTAAGGACCAGCACAACTTAATGAATTAGCTATATAATTTATATATTGTTATATTTCAATAATTTATTTTAAAAATAACCTTAATTAATAGATTGGCAATATCCATTAGAGTTTTTAGCAGCATAATTATATAGTATTGGACTCACATAATCATATGAAAACGGATAAAACAACTTGTAGCAAGCTTATTTACCACTAAGTTAAAAAATTTTTTTATTGATATCAAAATTAATCAATTAATTACTTTATAGGTAGTATACAATATTATAAGCTATAGCACAACATCACACCTTTAATTAAAAATTTTTTTAAAATCGCTTTGTTTTTAATTTCTTTTACTATCAACTTATTGGCTTTCAACTAAGCATCTCTCTGTAGTAGACTCTACACCTATAAAAGGACCTATTTGTGAAGTTGATGATTAAAAACTACCTCCATAAAGTATACAATAATCTGAGTTTTAAGTTTAAGAATATGAATATAAACAATATCCATCTGCGCACATCTCTATATTTTGTCCAATATAATCACTCTGTGATAAACAATTAGTAGTTTTTATTTCTCTTCCTACTCTATCTAATAAATCATTAGATAAATCAACGCAAGTAAGATTAATCTATTCGATACAAAACTTTATTTTCCTACATCTATTAAAAAAATTTAATATTATTACAATTAAATCTCAAACAATTTATTTTTCATTATATGAAATTTATAAATCTTAAATATTAGCATCCTTCAAATTTATAAAAAATAAAAATAATAAGAAATTTGAGTAAGTAAATAAATAAATACCTCACTGCTGTTTTTTCACCTCTTTTTAAACAAAATCCTTTATCATCGACACCAACATATACATTATCAAATGGGATGCAAGAAAAACCTGTTCCAACCTTGAGAAGGCAACTTTAATCTGAGCATAAAGTAATTTCTTTTTAATAAATATACATTTTGCTATCAAACCTTATATAAGTTAAAAATATAAATTACGATCATACACTTTATTTTATTAGACACAAAAACCATTCGGTAGAATTCCCTATAAAATTGAAAAAAAATAAATAATTTAACATTTCAGAAATAGAAAAATCTTACTAGGTTATAATAAGAAAAATCTACAATTTAAGTACAAATATTATGTACTGGATCAAAACAAATTGATTAAATTGTAAAAGGATTATCTTTATAACATTCTATAGACTAATAAGTATTTATTTATGCACATTAATAATCGACTAATTTGGCTGGTAAATTAATTGATAGTTGTGTACATGTATTATTAAAGCTACAAAACCTAGATGTTTTTATTTAAATAAATTAATTTAAATTTTTTTATATAATTTTACCCCTGTGCACAATATGATATACCATTAATAGTTGTTTAGTTCATTATTAAGCAATTATATTTTGTTTTTTCGATTCCAACATACTTTGTTGAATCTAATGCCAAATTCTTAATAGTGCTTGTACTATTTTCAACACAAAATGGAATTTTCACAGAGATGACTTGGTCTTTTTATAAATGATATCATTATTTGATTGTCCATGCAATTTATCAAATAATTAATTCGAATTTTTAACTTACAATCAATATACAAAATCCAATTAATTTAATAATAAATAGTAAACTGTAAGTTTACTGTTGTTTGTAAATTTTTCCTTTTTTCCTCAAATTAAATTAGCCTAAGGTTTTATAATCCAATCTAATTAATTGGTTGATTAATTCATTTGTATAAAAAAGGAATATGAAACAAATACTTATTAATTTCTGTAAACCCTATTTATTTCAAATTACCCAAAATATTTATATCTGCATGAAACAATTAATAAAAATGTTCCCGATTTTATTTTATCTTAAGAAAAGTAATACAATTTGAACAAAAACTGGAAAAATAAATATTTTATTTTTAAAAAAGATATAAAAATTAAAAATTATTTTCTTTTTAAATTTTGTTTAAGAGCTAATTAAATATAGTTTAACACATATATTACCTATATCTACTGTATCAACAGAGTATAAGCACTTGTACAGACTTTAATCTCTGTTTGTGTTATTTAGTAAACCTACATATGGACTCGAGGGATCTGTTTCTATCTGATAATTAACGCATTCATTCTAATTTTTGGATATGCAAATCTAATAAGATGTAGAATTCCAACACTATACATTGTCAGAAACTGTTACATTATTTTATACGCATTTGTAGTTATTTAAACTCCTTCCAACAGAATCATTTATATCATAATCTTTGCAATCAAGACTATCATTTATGCATTAATTATAGGATGGGTCTTTGCAATCAGTAGATCCAATAGGAGTACATTATTTATTTTAACATTTTGGTGATTGGCAATAAGCTTGAACTACAAAACTAAGTAACCAAATTAATATTTAATTCGATCTCATTTTCTTATTTGCCTTATTATTTTTAGAAAAATTGAAATAGTATTTTTGGTATTCTTTTGTTAATTAAATTTTTTTTCTACCTCCTTTTTAATAAGAATTTGTATTGCGAAATTCTTTTGTCATACTAATCAAAATGCTACACAGATATACTTTTTAATTAACAATAATAAATTTATTAAAAAAATGTAGATTTAACTTTCGCATAGATTATTAATGGGTATTTGAAAAAGGCTGTGTGTGCGAGATTAAACCTCAATTTTTTTTTAGTTTAAAATTCAATTAAGAATTTATAATATTTACAAAAATTTTAATTAAAAGAAGGCTCTAAAATTTGTTTAAAGCTTTGTAAATATTTTAAATAATTTTGGATTGTATTTTTTCTCAGAATTGATTACTTTTCTTTTTTAAAAATATTCATAGGTCTACATAAGTAGATATTATATTTTAAAAGCAGATATACGAGTAGTTTTTTAATTAGAGCTCAATTGATATAGCTAAGTTTTGAATTAATTATTGAAAAATGTTATTTTAATAAAACTATATTTAATTTTTAAAGAAAAAATTTATTCTAGTTTAATATTTTTAATTAATGTTTGAGTGAACATTTTAAAAAATCTTGATACTTTTTTTATTATGAAATTTATGCACATTTCATGAGTATGTAAATTAAGTAAATTTATAGCTGTTTGTGATATTTATTTTAGTATTTAACTTAAAATTAATTTTTGGTTATCATCATTGTTTTTAGTATTTTGATATCAGAATTTATCATTTAAAGTTGCTTTAGATTATAAATATAAATAAAATAGATATTTTTTAATCTTAACTTAAAAATATTTTTTGAGGGGGTGGAATCCAAAATCTTTATATAAAAAACCTGATTTATGGGATTTAATGACAAAAAACCATATTTAAAATTTATATTTTGGCAGTAACATATATATAAATCACAGTATCACTTATAAATTCTGATGCTTTAAAATGAAAAAATAAAATAAAATATATTTTAACTAAGTAAATTACTTGTTAACACATTAAATTTGCACAGATGTTCATTTTATTAATCAACTAATAAATAATAAATAGCTAAATTCTATGATACATTGTAAATTTTTTAAATTTTGGGTGTTAATAATCTAAGAAATAGGTATCTATGAAATAAATATTAATAAAGTTGATAATTTAATTATTTAATTATTTTTGGAGTTTTTTGTTTAATTATATCAAATAGATATTAAAAGTTGGTTCAACTAAAAGTATCTAGAGATTATCCTCTTGTTTCAAACGGTAACAAGAATGTTAATAAAGAAGCTAGTGCACAGCAAATACTGAATATGAAATATGGAAGAAATACTCCAATATCGCCAATATAATTACCGATCCATGGCATAATTATACTCCCAATTCTACTAAAAGAACCAGCCATTCCCATACCCTCAGCCCTAATTTTTGTAGGATAAATTTCACCTGTATATTCATAACTTAGAGTAAAAGCCAGATCAAGAGCAAGTTTTGAAAACGAAACCCAAAAAGTAAATGATCCCAATTCTAAGTATATTAAAAGACAGCCAATAAATCCTCCAGCAAAAGCAATTGCCCAAGAATTTTTTCTACCTAAGAAAGGCACATTAACTATAATAGCACACACAAAAATAGTAGGTAGTTCACCAAGAGAACTAAAGAAAATAGACAGCAAATCATCATCACCATTATCATCATTTTTGCTTTATTAAAAAAAAATATATTAAAAATAAACATTTAAGTCATTAAAAAATTATTTAAAAGGAAATACTTTAATTTAGTGAGTGTTATTGGTAGTATAAAAGTTATCCCAAAGAAGACAAAGCTAGAAACAAACCAGTTATACCAAATTATAGGAGTAACTTTTTTGAAAGATTTCTCAAAAAGTGATTTTATTGATCCTTTTTCAAATTGCTATGATTACTTTTTCATTTTATCTGCCCATAAAATTAGTTTTTATTTGTTAGAATGATCTATGGGTGATTAAGTTCTATTAATTTAGCATATTTATTCTATTAATTAGAAAGCTTATTCTTCTTTGTCATCAAAAAGACAAAATCTAGGACTCTCGTTTAAGAAAAAATATGAAAGAACCATAATTAAAAAGCTAGGAATTGTACTAAGAGCAAGTAACAATCTCCAATTACCCGTTTTTAAATTATCAAGAGTCAGAAAAGCTAATAAGCATACAAATAGCTCACCAAAAGTGTAAAATATTCCTACTAGTGCTAAAATGACACCTCTTTGTTTAACTGGAGTCGTTTCAGCCAAAACTGAAAATGAAATAGGCACTATAAAACCCACAAATCCGCCAAAAATGGTTCTAAATATTTAAAAATATAATTTTTGATATAAAATTAACATATAATCTATCATTCGTTTGCATAGATATTAATAATAAGTATTTTAACTTACCTTAAAATTGTGAATGAAATAAACTCAAATGCAAAGGCACTCAATATTGCACTCAAAAATAATCCTACAGAAGCATAAACCAGTGGTTTTTTTCTTCCATACTTATCAGAAATCTTACCTGAAGTAAATGATCCAATCATATAACCAGTAAATACTAAACTAACCATAATGCTATTTTGGTAAGTTTTTAAATCCCAGTGATCATTGATCATAGGCTGTAAAATAGATAATACTTAAGCTTCTGCCTTTTTGAATTAAATAAATCTGATAAATATAAAATATTTTCATGAATACTTTTAAATAAAATTATCTTTAAAATGAACAAACTTAATATATTCCTTAAAAGAAGTTGAAAAATGCTAGCTTATTAGGAGACTTAGTAATTGAAATTATGGAAACTAAAGATTAATGATAATAATCAAATAATTTACTGCGTCAGCTATTCCTACAAAACCCATCATAACAAATATAGCTATTTAATATCTACCGAATCCTATCTTTGAAAGAATATCATCAAATGTAACTTAATCATCATCATTTTTATTGGAATCTCTTTTTATTTTATCATCATCATAATCATTATTATATTTAACTTAACTTCCAGTTAATAAAATGTCAAATGAGGCTTTTTTAATTTTTTACTGTTCTTAGGCATTATTAGTTGTATCCGATTCTTGGTCTTCCTGCAGTAAAATATGCTGTTGCACATACTTTTCTCTATCTTAATTAATACTCATTTTATGAAAAAATATATGATATAAAATTAACTACTTTTGTTGTTTAAACAATTAATAATATGTAAAAACTTTTATACTGCTTTAACTTTTACCAAATATTAATTAATTGAAATCCTTTTCTGAACATTATCAAGAATGATGATTGATCAAGAATGTATAATCTATTAGGTATTTTGATTTGTTTACAATAAATTAATCTAAAATATTCTTTTTTCAAAAAAGTAAATAAGTAAATTCAGAATTAACTTTTTAAATACTAAAAAAAAATTAGGAGTAATCGAATAAATAGCATGAATATCTTTGTAAATTGAACTAATAAAAATTAATAAAATGTATATAAAAATAACATTTGTTAATTAAAAAATTAATAAATATCTTGTTATTGACAAAAAATAATTTAAACAATTTTAAGACATTTTTATAATTTTGAATGTTATTAAAATAACTAACTTATAATTCAAAACTAAATCTAATAAAAATTAAATGTAATTAAAATTCTTACATAAATAGAATATTTGATTTCATCTATTTGAAAATAAAGAACTTAGAATTGATATTATTTTTGATTTTATTTTATTTAATAAGATAAATAATTATACTTTTTGAATAAAAAAAGCATAAATTTATAATTAAATGTATATCTATTCCTTAACTGCCCTGCTATAATTTTTTTAAAAATTTGAATATATATTATTGAAAAATTTTAAATTTATTAAAATTTATTTTTTAAATAACAAAATATTTTAAATTACATGATAAATTTAAAATTGAATAAAATTATTTATTAAATAAAAAATAGAGAATAAATTTTATCTAATTGAAAATAAAATCAAAAATACATGTTTATTTATTTGAATAAAATATAAATGATATAATACATAAAATAATCATACAGCAACTGTTTTTGCTGTTTTTGCTGAGGAGAAATTTATATAATAATTTTTACTTTTTTGGTAATAAAAATTGATATTTTAACGTTCAATATTATTATGATAAATAGATGCTTGATAAAGATTAATTGACTAAATAGATTTTCTTAAAACTTTCCATAGATATAAAATCCTATTTCTATCGAAATACCCTAATCTTTTTAGATAGTATTTAAGTTTAGGTAAATTTTATATTTTTTTATCAATAAGCCTTCCTAAATTTATTATTTATTCTTTTAGAATTATTTAAATAATATTTTTTATTAAAATGCAAACAGAATAAACATTTATAATTATGAGAATATAAAAAGCTATGTTCGAGCTAGATTGTTATTAAACAGTTTAGCTTTCAGATAGATAAGCACATAAACCAATACTAATTGAGCATAAAATGTAAACTAGCTACTCCATGTAATTTAATATTTTATTGATGTTAGGTTTATCTATTAAAATAATAAATAAGCTTAATATTTAAAAATAAATTAAAGAATTACACTAATTTATTGATATTGAATAGACTAGTAGGATAGCACAAACTATTGAAGCCTTTAGGGGATTTTAATCATCTACAAAAGTGTTGTTAACTATAACAATAATTGACTTTAAAGATATTTTAATTAATTCCCAAAAATAATATTTCTCTTTAAAGTCAAAGTAAAAAACACCAAAAAGCTTCAAGTTAATGACCTTATTTAAGTGGTACTTTATTTTTCGTAAGCAATATAATAAAAATAAAGGAATAAACACAGTCCATAAAATTAAAATAGGGAAAAGGATTTTATTTCTCTATTCGTAAAATTTCTCATCACAACTGATAGAAGTGAAGGTCCTTACAAAAACAATTCCTTATTTTCCAACACAACTTGCCTATTTTTATTTTAAATATGTTAGAAATTTCAAAAAAAAAAAAAATATAGAAATTACACTTCCAATAACTTGTTAAACAACAGAAGGTTAATTTGCAATATAAATGAAATTAATTCCAGAAAAAATATCTATCAAATAAATTTTTTATTTTGTTAATAGTCTCTAAATAAAATAAAATAAAATGAAAATGATGATGTAAGCAATAATAGTTAATTAGGATAATAGCACTTTAACGAAGATGTAATCTAGCTCCTAGCTTTTGTAAAAATCAATTAACGAGCAATCCAAAGAAAAAAGAGCTTTTTTATTAGGATCGGATAGAGGGCTTATAAAAACTTAATATTTTTATAGCTGTGCTTTTATGATATCACTGACTATCATAAATATCTGCAAATAAGATGTAATAAGCTTAATATAAAAGCTTGTTTACTGTGTATTTCTAGGTATATACACTTTCATGAGATAAAGAACTTTTATAGATACATTTGAAGCTATCTAACTTAAATAGCTATTTACCATATACAAAGTTAAAATCGAATAAGCAAGGACTATTAGAATATATACCCATATTGTACTTTATGTTTAAGAGCAGCTTTTAAATTTATTTTTAATTTTAGTTAAAATTTTATTTGAATTATTAATAAATTTATTTACTCAATACAACCTAAATTACCATCTTGAACAAAAGAGCTATTCCAAAATTTTCCATACAAATCACAATCTGAGCATATATATCCAGTAAATCCTAATTATTTTTTAAAAAAATTATATAACAAAGCTTGTATTTTTTTCTTAAAGCAATTTCTACCTTTTTTACAATATCTTATTTATTAATTTCTTATTTATTTGGTTTTTTTTTAATAAATATCAATATCCCCTTAACAAGTTTGTGCTGTGGGGTTGCATTCATAAACCTAGGAAGAGTTTAAACTTTATCTCCAGTATCCTTCTCTTAGATACATCATAGATCCATCACAAATTCCATAATTTGGGCATTTAATACATTTTTAGCCTGGATAAGTGTTATAAAAGGGATCACTGCATCTTTAACAAGAATCAAATCTTTATATTTTTACATGTTAATATCCTAATTCGCAGCCTTCAACAAATTTAACGATTAAATCAAAGCTATTAAATTCAGAACTGTAAGAAGTTATTTCGCCTGTAAATGTATCATATAATGGGTATTTTATTAAACTCGACGAAAAAGTAAGCTTCACTGTTATTCCAAATACACCATATAAAATCACATTATTTAATTTAAAGTTTCCGCTTTATTAAATTATTTGGGATTAGTTTAGATAAGCTCTTTTAGTGTCGTTCATCACAATATTAAGAGTGATATTTTATTGAAATTCCATAAAAAATTCATTTTCTTGAGTCATTAATTATATGCTAAGTTCATTCTATTTTAAAAAAAATATTTCAAAATACAAATATAAATTTAATTTTTTTTACATTTATTTTTCCACTAGAATGTATTATTGTTTTATTCATTAATGTTGTTCCATTTAAAATTGCTATCATGTGATGAGGGTATTAAAAGGTATTGGAGGAAAATCGTTTAGCTATATTACTAATAAATGTATTTTAAGATTATATATTTTAAATAGCTTGTCCATTTTCTGAGTAAATTGCTCCTCCAATCTAAGCTAAATTATTATAAAATAAGCTATTTTTAATCTTTATATTTGTTTTTTATTCTACACCTTTGTAATATATAGCTCCACCATTACCTTCACTAGCTATATTTTATACAAAACTACAATTTAAAAAATATGTGCTTGAACTTTCTATGTAAACAGCACCTGCAGATTTCTATGACTAATTACTCTTAAATGTGAGATATGAAAGTTCAAATAGATAATTTAAATCTGATATGAATGACAAGATTCTTGAGCCATAATTCTAAATTGGAATTATATTTTAATGAATGAATAATACTCCTTTATCTTTTACCTAATTCTACTCAAAATTACTTTTCATAATACTTAGATAATAACTACTGATTTAAAGCAAACCGTTATTGCATGATTGACAATGATTTTTATAAAACTAAGTATCAAAAATATGTATATAATTTGATTCTATTTATATGAAGTTACCAGCTGTTTAGCTGGCAATTTTGTAAAATTAACTGCTGATAATTTCAGTGTAAACTATTTAAAGAAGTTTTATTAAAGATGTTTGATAGGCTATGTTTTGATATGAGTTATTTTAATCTATAAATCTTTCAATCTCTTATGCTTAAATAAATGCTTGAATATCATAATTTGTTCTTAACATGAAGCTATATGGTTACTCATCCATGATAAATTTATTATTAAAAAGGTTTACTTGTACAAATCCGTTAATAAAAAATTATTAAAAGTTGAAACTTTATTCTTAGAAGTATTTTAAAATATTTCTTTATAAAAGGTTTTATTAAAAATTTTTTGGATTATAGCTAATTGAAGAATCAATCAGTTAGAGTACATTTGCATGCTTTTTTTAAAACTCAAAGTAAAAAACTGAGCCAAGCTTGCTATAATTATTTATAAACTCTGATTACGATATTTTGATAACTTTTTTAGATTAAGAATTTTGTATAAATATAGCTCCTCCTTGATAATAGGCAATGTTTTAAATAAAACTGGATGACTATATTTCTCCTTAAAATCCACAAAGTTAAGAATCAATATAAATAGCACCACCTTTATTCTCATTATCAAACTAATTAAAACTTAAATTGTTGAGAAAGGAAGAACCCTAAACATTTAGGAATCCTTAAACCTAAAAAACTAAATATAATGCACCACCCTATGATGCTATACCGCCTTCGAAATGAGAATTCATAATATCAACTCTTTCAGTTAATGAATATATAAATCCTCCCTTTACAGTTGTATTTGAAGAATCCAGTTTGAAATCATCATTTTTAAAGATTGAGTTACTAATTTTTAATTATTTGGTAAAAAGCATCAAGCAATTACTTTTCTTAATAGAAAAGTTGTTTAAAAACTTTGAATCTAATACTTCTATATTTCCTATCTACGCTTCTATATAGGCACATGTCGATATTTTAGTTGGAGTTTCCTATTTATAGAAATTAATTAATATCATAATCGAAAAAGCAAAATTTATCTTGAAAAAAAGATAAAATTTATGAGAATTTTGTTTATTTTTAATTCATAAAATATGTTATTTATTTATATTTAATAAATTACATTCGCTTTTATGGCATAAAGCAATTTTGATCCTTAAACAATAAAATTATTAATAGATAGAGTTTCTTTAATCTAAGATCCAATAAAAATAGGAGCTATGTTAAATTATTATTGTGTTATATAAGCAGTACAATTTATTATTTAAATATCTTGCATAACTAATACCTTTTCAGAAATTGTATCGTGTTGTTTTTATTTAATATAGATCTCTATAATGGCTTTTTAGTAAACGATATTTTACAAACTAATTTTTTTTAAAATCATTTATTAAAGCAAATTATTAATTTCAATAATTGAGTAGTTATTCATGTTGTCTTCACTTTAAACACCTTTCAATGATTTTAATTTAAGATAATTAGCAGAAATAACTTTTAAAAGCTGTACTTCACCATAATTAGCTAAATATGCATCTTGTAAGATTAATTTGTTGATATTTGATAAAGTTATAAATTAACATATTTTAAAGCTTTAAGAATCTACTGCGATTATTTAATTTTTATTTATTGTAATAGATTAAATAATAAATTAATCAATGAACTGATTACTATCAATTAAAAAAATATACTGACTACTTGTTATTGTATTATCATTAAATATTGTATTAGTAATATGAAATTAGTTTGAAGCATTTTTATTTTTTCTTAGTGCTTTAAAGATGACATACTGAGTAAATTTATTGTTTTAAACAAATAAAGATTTGGCTTGAAGGCAGTTCAGCTCAAATAACGAAATAACTTAATTTTAATCCTAAAACATCATAGTGTTGTTTGTAATTAAAATGTTTGAAAATATAGAACCTATGAATTGATTGCATGATAATACTTTTGATTATTTTTAAAATAAATTATTGTTAAGTATAAAATTATTAATTGTAACCATTTAAATAAACTAATAATTATTTGTTAGGTATTCAAATAAGTTGCTTGAGTGATCAAATTCACAAAACTAAACTTAACTATTTATAATACTTAACTATGTGTTGTTTTGGTTTACCTAGATAAAACTTGAAGAATTAAATGTAACCTTTTATAATTTAAAAAATTATTTTGTTGTATTTATAATAATTTATTAAAAATTAAAAAAAGATGATTTTTTAAAAAATTTGAACAAAGGTTTAAGTATTAAGATAAAGTTAAGGTATGAATAATAATAATAATTTTACGTTAGAAATGTTGACATTATCTAATATTATTGAAATATCAGGGTTAGAAAAACCTTAAGGATAATCAATTTTTATAGCTTGATAATTATTATAAAATATATTACTGAATGTTGTATTTCTTATGATTAATGTATTTAACAGATTGCTTAATTAAATTAAAAGAACATTTTATGGCGCTTTATATCCTCTTTAGAATTTTATATTATTAAAATAAACTTATTTTAATTTGGGTGATGTTATCTGAAATCCTATCTTAAACTAATCAAAATCAGGTGAATATGAATCAATAGTTAAATTAGAAATAGAGACATTTGTAAATCCTTAAATTTTAGTAGGTAATATTTGATGGAATGGAAGGCTTTCTGACTCATAAGTTATATTTAGATGAAACACTTCCAAAGATTTTATTTTTTGCATCAAATTAGATTTAATTTCTAATGGTTTTAAAAGAATGCAATTTTAAATTCCTGAAGGAAATACTAAATCAACATCAAGCTATTTTAATGATATTTCATTTAAAGCAACAAATGCTAAATTAGAATTCATTTCATCTAAAATTAAATTGTCAAAATTATTTATTTCTGAAATCATATTCAAATTAAAAGGACTCTATTTGGTTCCTTCGCCAACAAACAAAGAGATTTTTTCGCATTTTATATAAAATTTAGTATATTTTTTAAAGTAGCAAGATTAATCTTCTATTTTACACAAAGTACACTAAGATCTTTGCTTATCAAACCTTACTTCATAACCTTAAAAATAACTTTAAAAAGCTAAACCACCTAACTACAATTATTGCATTGTTTTACAGGAAAAGCATTTTGTTTAGTATATTGAATAGTCATTTTAAAATAAATTATTTGTTTGATCACATGTTTCGCATCTATTTTTATATCCAAATAAATAAAAAATTGAATATATCGATAAATTTTAAATAAAAGCAATTTTGATAATTTCAAGAACTTTACAAGAATGGGCAGGACTAGCACGATTTTTAGTCTGATGTAAAAGTACTGATTTATAATTATGAGCTAAAGTAATTTTATCCAAAAAAGAAGTTTCCCATAAAAAGCTAAATTGAGGAAATCTATTATATGACAGCTGTTTAATTACAATCTAAGCAATAAAATCTATTAATTTAAAATATACAGGTATTGCAAAGTTAACCACATGGAAATGCTATACATATTTTTTAAATAGGATCAAAATAATAACCATCAAGGCATGCACTACAAAAAGTCTTTGCATTTAATATCCTTTTATAGTTTAATCTTGTATCAATATCGTATTAAAATTTTTCATACATAATATGAGCAGTTATATTAAACTTTTGTTTCTAAGAATCATATCCCATTTCATAGCATCTTGAGCACCCTTCAAAACATTAAACACATCCAAGTAGAGTAATCATGTAATTCTCTTTAGAACATTCAAGACATGTAAAATACATCAATTAACCTAACTATTAATCTTAGTAATATTCATATACACATTTATCACACCCAGCAACCTAATTTATATTAATGAATAATTTTTTAATGAAGATTATTCTTAAAATATGTTTTTTTCAAAAATATTAAATAAATTTGTTCTATTTTTATGGTTCTTGAAATATTTTAATACTCAAAATGAATTATATTAGCAAAAATTTTTAATATTTAATTTTGCAAAATTAATGATTTATTTATGAAGATTATTAATGAATATTTCAATATGAAAATTTCAAAATATTAATTTTCATTTTTATTTTTATATTTTTCAGTTAAAATTAAATGATTTTTATTTGTTTAAAATTCAGATGAATGTATAATTGTATTACTGCTTAACTACATTAATAATTTGTGTCACAAACTTTATTTTTTTTATCAAGAGCAAATTATTTGCATAACTTACAAGAAACATTGTCAGTTTCAAACTACAAGCAATTAACATCTATGATGTTATAATTTGTTTGGCAAACTTTTTTGTTACTTGATAAAATGTATTAGAATTAGCAAGCTAAGCATATAAGAGAAGAATCAGTTGAAGAACCACCTTTGAAGTAAGATAAATCATAAATTTAATTGATTTAATTAGTTTTTGAATTAATTAGGGAATGAACAGCACAATTTTATATCTACTCTCCACAATCACTTCCTAAATTAAGAAAAGAGTTTATTAAAATTGATCAAATTTAATTGATTTGATATTTAAATTACCATTTACTTATTGAGTTTCTGTATTTAGTATGCAAGAAGAGCATTATTTAAAAATACCAAAGCTTTTATACTAATCATCTGTTAACTGGACATTATTTGATTCACCAATATTAAAATAACCATTTTCATTTGCTTTAAATTATATTGAAAAACAGTTTAGTTAATTAATTTTATAATTAAAACTACCATATTAGCAAGAAGCACAACCCTTCCCACAAGGATCGCATTTAGTTAAATCATATGAAAATATGTATGCAGAATTACAAATTTAACATATTGGTGTCAAACTAACTGAGCCTAAATACTATCTTTGTTGTTAACTAATCTAATAATAATATTATTTAACTCCGTTGCTATTTAAAAAACCTAATTCACACTGTGTGCATCCTTAAATACAAGCTTAACATTAACCTGATTAATCTAAGTAATATCCCTGTAAGCATTTTGTGCAAACTGAAGTCTATTAATTGTCTTTCCATTATAATTAGCAAAATGTACAGTTATCTTATACACCTAAAATTAAACAATAAATTTAAAATTAATTGTCACAAAAAAATAATTGAATTTTGTAATATAAATATCAATGGAATATTTTTTTTAATAAATTTATCATTAATTTATAAATCCCGCTTTAAAAAATTTTTAATTGCAAATAGGGATTATAAATTCACGAAAAATAAAAATTTTTTAAAGCATTTTCTTTTAATGAGAGTAGACAATTATATAAAAATAAGAAAAAACTAAAACCTCAACCCTCTCTCAATATATTATTCTTAAGTAATTTTTATACAAAAATAAACAAAATTTATTTATAATTAAAAGATTTAATTAATAAAAAAATAATTAACTATTACATAATTTTAAAAAAGTTAGGTAGTATTTCGGATATTAATATTTATCAAGATTGCTGTTATAATTAACTGTATAGCTCATAGCGAATGGAGGTTAGTTTTCTATTAAAATTAAACTTTATTAAGACTAGACTGTAAATTTCACAATTGTTTGCTAACAAAGTTTAGTAGACATTTATGCATTATTCCTATAGAAATTAATAAAGTTAATAATTGTTTTAATGAGTTATTAAACAAACTAAAAATTTAATAAAATTACCAAGATCCTGTTTCAAGACTACAATCAAGACATTTTTAAGTGATTTAATTTGTACCAAATGGAAGTCTATAAGTGTCAGGATATTAATTAATAGGAATATAGTTATAATCACATTAGATACATTACACACTTTATTCAGATTTTTTAAATAGAAAATATCCTTCTATGCATTAAGTGCAATAGTTCAAATCTTTGCAGGAGTAACAACTATTTTTTAAAAAATAGATGATATTTTTTTTTACTAAAAGCTTATTTATTTTTACCCTGGAGGACATTTTTTTATTAACTATTCACTACAAATTACTCCTTTGCAAGTATCCTCGTTGACATAAATTAAATTTAATTGAAAGATTGTATTCATATTTTATTTTTAGCTATCATCTCTTTGCTAAAAACTCAAGCATCTGTTGTCTCCTAAATTTAATAAGTTTTTAGGGCATCTCAGGCATTAAAATTAAGGATTAGCTTAACTTTATAAAACACAAACATTTTCGAAGTTAGCACATTATTGTTCATTGTCATCACCAAACACATTCATATCAATAAAAACACATGGTCTATCTGGTCTAATTTGTTTTAAACATTCGTTTTCTTTCATTTTCATATCTTTAAAAGCTATGCATTTTCCATTGACGAGACAGGTCTTTTAAGGGCACACACTGCACTATCCAGAATTTGTATCAGCGCATCTCCCTTATTAAACGATAAATTATTTTTGACATGGGCTATTATAATATTTATTAAAATACCTTATGTGTCTTAGCAATTAGTATCTAAAAAAACACAGGTTTTATAATCATTAGGTTTAAGACATTATTAATAATTGCAAAGACTGCAGTTATTTATAGAGGAAAGGCAAGTTCCATCACTTGCTGAACATTTGTAATTAGATAAAGGATCTACTATTTAACAAGCATTTGCATATAAGCAGGTTTGTCCTTTAAAACAACTTACCTATTATATTAAAATATAATTAAAATTAAAAATGTTTCAAAGAAAAGTAAATTTCCCATTAAATATTTTTAATATTGCTTAAAGAAATTAAATTTTATGTCACAAAATCAGCTAAATAAAAAATTTAAAAAAAATTATTTACGGCTACAGTCTATCCCACATCTAAACACTGACTTAGACTATTTTAACCTAGATTAAGTAAAAAATATTATTTATTTTAATTAAATTTGATTTTAAAATATCTTTTTATTTATTTGCATATTTTTAGTTTTAAAAAGTTTTTGGAAAATTTTTTTGTTTTACCTACGGATTTTTTTGCAGGATCATAATCAAGTTATACACAAGAATATTATTAAGGCGTAGGTTGTTATATACAGTACCTTTTTATGAAGATTTAATTTATTTTGAATAAAGCTTTAAATTAGAAAATACCCATGAATGCATTAAATAATTTGTTTGTTGGTTTTTTGACTATCGAATAAGCATTTTGAAGATTCATACTCTCTTCCTACGTAGCGAGAATCTAGCTCAAAACATTTGTTATTAATTAAGCAATAATTTAGTTTACAATACATTGCAAAATATGCTTTGCTTCCAATACAAGTTTAGCTGCTCGCTTCTCTACCTACATACTTACTGTTTTAGTTAGCATTATCGTTTAAAGAAATACATTTATCTCCTTAAAGACAAAGCTAAGGGCCTGCACAACTTACAGAATTAGCTATTTTATTTATAAATTAAAATTAAAAGTGATGATTTAATTTAATTAATTTAACCTTAATTAATATATTAGCAATAGCCTGTGGAGTTTTTAGCTGCATAATTATACTTGGTTTCATCAATTTTATCATATGAGAAAGGATAAAATAATTTTTGGCAAATCTATTTACCACTAAATATTTTTGAAAAAGCTTTTAATAAATAAAACTATAGAAATAAATGTAATTACTTATTATTATTCAGAATACAATAATTTAGACTGAAGCAAAGTAAAATACCTAAATTAAAAATAAATAAATAAATTTTAAGAAAAAACATTTTAAAATATTGAATAGAATATTACTATCGACTTCATCTTTTTCAAGTAGACACCTTTCTGTTACTGATTCTACTCCTATAAAAGGGCCAAAAGTCTTAAAAGACCCTCCATAAGGAATACAAAAATCTGATTTAAGCTGTTTGGTTTCTGAATATAAGCAATATCCATTAGCACACATTTCGATATTTTATCCATTAATATTATCTAATTTTAGGCAGTTAGTAGTATTTGTTTCCCTTGCAATCCTATCAAAAGGATAGTCAGTTGATAGGTCCACACATGTAAAATTCTTTTATTCTATGCAGAATTTGTATTTTTTACACCTATTTTTTAATTAAAAATTAATTGATAAACTTATATCTATTTATTTACTTTTTTAAATAATAAAATACAGTTAAAAAATAACTAACAAAATGATACCTAACTGCAGTACTATTTCCCCTCTACAAACATAGCTGCTATTTATCAATTCCAATATAAGTATCATTAAAAGGAATGCAAGAGAGTTGTGTCCCATTTTTATATATACAGCTTTAATCTGAGCAAAAAGAAATTTCTTTTTTTAAAATATTTATTATTAGTTATTGAAACTTACAACACCAAAAAATAATGTTCATTTACCCGAGTAAGTTACATTAGACTAGACACACGTACCATTAGGTTAAATACCCTAAATTATTAAAATTAATATAAATATCTATTTATTAACAAATCTTTACCACTGCATATCTTGATAAATCTACTATGTTAGTACACACATTACTTACTAAGTCTAAGCAGAGATATTTTTTTTGAAGCGTTAAATCTGAAAAGCACTCTATAGAAGGGGCTGTTTCTATTTGGGCACAAGCAAAATTTATTAATTTAGCTGGTAAATATTATGACAGTGGAGTGCATGTATTGTTAAAAATACAATAGCTAATTAATTATGGAGTCGAGTAAAAAAGTATTTAATTATTGATAAAGTTATAAAAAATATAAATAGAATTTTACCCTTTTGAACAGAAAGATATTGTATTATTAGATGTTTAATTCTTTTATAAGCAATTAAATGTTTTAGAGTCAATTCCAACAAACCCACCTTAGTCTAAACTTACTATTTTCTTTGATGAAAGATCTAAACAGTATGGAGGTTTTAGTTTAATCAATTCACCTTCTATACAAAACAAAATTTGAATCAATTTACTTACATATTATACAATTTAAGGCTAAAAGAACTAATAATAACATAATTTATTTTATAAGTTTTAATAGTCTACAAAATCAAGTTAATTAAATAGTAGAAAGTGACTTATTTATTTTTTATTTTCTTCAAGTATTTTATGTTTATTTTAGTAATATAAAAAATTATTTATTTAAATGAGGGATCAAGTGTAGAAAATATTTCATTTTATTAATTATTTTTTTTAAGTTTTTTTCACTCTTAAGTTTTTGGCTCGATAAAGTTTAAAAAATACACCACTCTTTTGGAAATAAAAATAAACCTTATTTTTACTTGCCTGTAAGATATGAATTAATAATTTTAGTTAAGTAAATAAACATGATTTTTATGCTTTAAAATGTTGAACGAAACGTTTTAAATTTTGTATAAAAAGTAATTTACCTTATTATACTTCAGTATTAGGTTATGCACATTTATATAAACTTTAAGCTCTCTAAGTATTATTTAAAAGTCCAACATAATTACTTTTAGGATCCATCTCATATTAGAAATCGATGCACTGATTTTATGTATTTGTTATACAAATCTGCTGGGAAGTAGAATTCCAACATTAAACTTAAGTATCTGATTAAGTTGAATTAACTTCAAGACATTAATAATTATCTGTTCTTCTCCCATTATATGTTTTTGTACTATAATTTTAACAATCACTCTTTGTATCAATGCATTAATAATATTTTGGATCTTTGCATGTTTTTTAGCCAGGATCTGTGCATTGTTTATCTGGGCAAGACTAACTTTACACCTAAATTATAAACGCTAGTGCATAAGATAGTATTTAGATTATTTTCATAATTGTATTGCTTTAAAAATCAGTTTTAACTGCAAATATACCAATTTATTTTTTTACTTTATAAAGAATTTGACTATTTGCTTGTATTAAACTTAATTATCGAATTTCTTTAATAATCTGAACAAATACACTAATTAAACCATAAATAATATCTATTACGATCTTCCTATTCGAATACCAAATCCCTTTTCTATAGTATTTTGATATTACAAAATATTTATTTACAATCAAATTCTTTTAGAAATGAATATTTGGTGATTTTTAGATTTATTACAAATAACATAAACAATTAGATACTACTACTTTGTTTTTATTTTTTAATTTTTCTTTTAATTTTTTGTGGATTTCAAAATTCGATTTACTAGGGTCTGTACTCAATACAACTTCTTAATTCATATATCATAAATGTTAAAAATAATTTTTATTTATTCTTTTTTTAACATTTCTATGAACTTTTTATTTTTCCTTCAAAAAAATAAAATGGATTATTTAGGTCTATATTGCGTTTATTATTTATTTATTTATTTATTATTATAATTTAAAACCAAAAAAACAGAAGAAATTAAATAAACATCTTATAATATTTATATTAAACTTTTGAGCTTCGTGGTGTAAAAAATTTATCTGCTATTTTGTTTTTAAATGATAAAATATTAATCACACATATAATTCTATTGAGCTTAAAACACAAAGAAATAAGTAAATTTAACTTACTAAAATGAAAAATAACTAAAGAAAAAAGACTTTAATTTTTTAAAGAAAAATATTTCTCTCAGTCAATTAATATTTAATATTTTTAAAGAATTCTAATTAAAATTTTGAAATTAGACTTGTCTTTAATAAACATTTAAGAGATAATGTTTAAATAATATTGATAAAATAAATAAATAATTTGATTTTACATATCTAATTTCACTATCTCAAATTAAAATTATGAAATTAGACTTCTTATTAGAAAAAAAGTTTTAATTTTTAAATATTTTTGATAAAATAAATTTTTAAAGTAATTTATTTGTAATTTAAAATTGTTTAATATTTTAATTCTTTTAAAAAATTTATTTTTAATATTGAATATCTAAATTCACTCTCTCCTCCTCCCTCATTTTTTGTTTCTGATTTATTTATTTTTGTTGGATTGGAAAAAGAGGGTTATAATAATAAAAATTATCAAAAATAAATAAAAATTTTTATAATTGAAATAAAACCGGTTTAAATCTAATTAAAAATCGGAAATCTATTAAAATAATAATTTTGAAGATTAAAAATTTAATCGATTTTGAAAATATTAGAAATAATCGAATTTAAATCGATTAACAAACAATTTCATTCCAATTGCCAACACTACTTCAAACAATGCAAACATAATTAGAAAAATTTAAATAAAGGTTAATTTAACTGAGTTGATAATTAATTATAAATTCAAAATCATATCAATTAAATAGATTGTAATTTTATCATTGAAAATGAGACCATATATATGACTTTTTTTTATATTTCTAAACTTAAATTACTCTTAAAAATAAATAATACCCTTTTTAGGTTTTATAAAGATAACATCACAATAATTAAATTTTTAGATAATAATTCATTGAATAAACAGTATTTAGCAGTAAATAAATAAAACTTCTTTGGATTTATGATCTAATTATTTACTATTTGCAGAATATTGTTAAGTTATTTAGTATGGTATATCAATTTGACATCTTAATGAACTAGTATAAATATTAATTTAATGATATTTTTGTTAAATAATTCAGAGATTAAAAAACCATTAGAATGATTTATTTGATTTTTTATTTAAATTATTACTTTTAAAATGTCTAATGTTTGATTAATTTGTTTATAATTATTTTATTAGTATGACTCATAAAATCAAATAAATTAATTAAGCAGATAATATAATTAGGCTGAAAGATAATAATTGATTAAAAGATTATTATTATTTAGGTTTTTAGTCTTATGGTTAATTAGGATCTGTTTATTCTGGATCAGGTATATCGCAATTTCTCTAGTCTTTACTAGCAACAGTCCTTTTTTTAGTCTCAAAATCTTGAGGACAAGAACCGCAAAATAAGTCAGTTAAACCTTATGAGGGAAAATTATTAGCAAAACACGAACTAATTTAGCAGTGAGTTTAACTATTTTTTGTTAATTACCAGCTGAATCCAGTGTAAGCTGGGCAATTATCACAGTTACCATTTTTTTAGCAAGGTACAGGATTTCCTACTATAGCAGGAGTATTCACACAAATAGATTAATCCATACTAGCAAAAAGATTTGTGTTAGCTAAATCTGGGTTTGAAGAACACATTAAATCTGTTAGATATTATTTTGGAAAAATTGCTGCTAAATAAGAATAAAGTTAACAGTTCTTTTGACTTCCGTTTGTTAATACCCAATTAAAAGAAGTATATTAAGGACATTCATCACAAGAGTTATTACTCTAGCAAGGAACGGCTTTTCCAGCTATAGATACAGAGCTTGTGCATCCAGTTTTATCAGCTTTTGCAAACTTTCCATCTGGATGTCCACATGCATCGCAATCAAAATCAGTCCAATCAAAACCTTTCCTGTTAGTACAGCTATTCTAAGCACCTACACAAAAAGATCTATCATAGTTTGCATAAATTTATTAAGCATGAGTGCCACGACTATCTAAATCAGTGGGACAAGAGCTACAAAATTCATCACTCACTGATCTTTATGCAAAAAGCTTTCTACTTGTATCACATTAATTTATTGCACATTTTTTATTTAATTTTCCATTTATCCAAGTACCATAAGGAGGAGTTTAGCACATAGAACAATCTCCATTTCCTTAAACACAAGTTGCATCTAAGCCTGGTATTTTATCAGATAGTGCTAAGCCTACAAATAACAAGAATGAAATTGTGATTTTTAACATCATTTTTTTAATTATTTTTGATTTTTTTATTTAATTTAATTTATAACAAACTTTGATTGTTTTTTGTCTGTCTTTAATGATTATTAATTAATACAAAAACTCGATCTATTTTTTATAATTGGTCAATATTAATTATGCTGTTTTGAAATTAATCTATATATTCAAACATGTATTTTTTTGATAAAATATGTATAATTCTTATATATGATAGATTTCTTTCTTTACTACTTAATTAAGCGCTATGCAATTAATTAAGTTAAAAGGCATACAGCTTTCAATTTCAATTTGTAATAGAAGAAAAAAAGTTCTTGAACATTTTTAAATTCATCTTCTTTTACCCTAAAAATGAAATAGAATATTGATGCTGAAATTATTAATTTAAATGCTTAAAATAAATAAAAGGAAATTCTTTTACTTCTTAAGTCTTCAATTAAAATAAAAACATACTTTAGAAAATAATATAAAATGTTAGTTAGTTTATATAGATGAAGATTATAGAGAGCAATCGATGTAAAATAAACTTATCTTTTAATATTAACAAAAAAAAATTACTTACTTGGATTTGTAAAGTTAGAAAATTTAACTAGTACTATTAACAATTTAATTCAATAAGCCGCATGAACTTTATCAAAGTTTTGATTACAATTATTTATACTGCTAAATATTCATCTATGAATCAGTAAATTTCTCAATTTTAATTTACTATATCAAATTTATTTATTATATTTACTGCATTCATATTTTTGAAAAAATTTATAAAATTAATATTATCACTTCATGGCTTTGAATTTCAAACCTATATTTTTACTTATAATTAATTAGATTAAATAAATAATAACTCATTTTAGATACTTTAACTTTTCATAAATGTATAATTAAATTAATGTTTTCAAAGCAAGTTTCCAAAAATAGTAATTATATTTTTTGATATGATTTAAACCTTAATTAAAAATATTAAAAATAAGAAATTATAATAAATAAAACTATTATAAAAATAAATTAATAATTAGATTGAAATTATAAATTTAATTTTAAAAATAAATAAATGAACAAATCTTTAAAACCATAATTAAAAAGATTATAATTTATTTTATTTTTATGATTTATACATACATGAATTATATTTTTGTTTGTGATGACTTATCATCTTCAAGGTTTTAATTCATGAAAGTCTACATAAATTTTATTATAATTAATTAACACATTAAAAAAATTGTATCACATTTTTTTTTAAATTTAAAATACAATTATGCAATTCAATAAATATTTATCATAAGAAATAATAAATTTTTTGAGCAATTTGCTTATAGTTATAAAATTAAATTGTTTCCACTTAATTTAAAATAAGTTGAATTATAAAAGATAATTAATAAAGTAAGAATATCTAATATTTTAGAATAATTGGATAGGTATAAAAAATAATTTATTTATACTTAATTAAAAATTTACCTGCCTAATCTCTTTTAATAGTAATAAATTTCAAATGGCTTTGAAGGTAATATCTTAGAGAAAATAATTTTTATTTATCAAATCTTAATTAATAGTCCTTATTAATTAAAATTGACTTTATTTCCTATTCTTCTAAATTCAATTAAGAGCTTATGTATTTTTAGCTCTTATTATATTTTTCTAGAGTTAAATTTAGTGTTTATATTTGTTATCTATTTTATTTCTTGAATGAAATAATAAAAACAAAATCTAAATATTCTTATATTGATTAACTTCATGATTAATTAAATATCTAATTAATTATATTTAAATTAAAAAAATAGCATATTTTATTGTCAATCATATCTATAATCCAAAATGAAAAAAAAAACATTTGAATTAGAAATACATTTTATTAATATCATTCCATAAATTAATAGTAAATTTTCAAATTCTACTATTAAAAATACTAAATTTGATTATCACTCTCTTATTATTTAATTTTATAATCAATGAATGACTTAATTAATACTTTAATAATATATTAACATTTTTAATAAAAGCTAATTTATTCTAGTGATTTATTTTCAAATTCATTGCTGAAATTTTATGAATATAATTCCATAATAATAATAAAAATTAATTGTAAATTTTCCAATTCAACTTAATTCTAATATAAAAAATACTAAATTTGATTAATCGCTCTGTTATTATTTAATTTTATAATCAATCAATCACTTAATTATTACTTTAATAGAATATTAACATTTTTAATAAAAGTTAATTTATTCTAGTGATTTATTTTGAATTCATTGCTGCTAATGTTTCAATAAAATAGAAAAATAATATATGTTCAATACAAAAAAAAAATAAAATGAGAAAATTTGATTTGGTGATAAAAATATCTTTGTAAATAAATATATTTATGAATTTAAAATACTTTTATTTATATCTTCTTTTATTTAGATCTTTAAAATACTTTTTTTTATTTGTATTTATTTTTAATAAATACTTTAATTTTACTTAAAGATGAGTTCTTTTCTTAGTATTAATAAAATTGTATATTAAAAACCTAGAATTTTTTGGAAAATGTGTAAATGAAATTTTTTACCTTCTAAATTTCACAAAAGACAATAAATAAATAAATTAATATATATTTTTAAAAATTACTTGAAATCTAAAAATTAATTGTAAATTCATATGATTAGCTAAATGCTATTTTAAATTAAATAAATTTGAGAGGGAAATAATGGTTAGATATGCAATTAGAATATAATGAGTTAAAAATATTCTAATTAGTTGATGATGATATTAGAATATTAAAATTAATTTTTGGGCGGAAACAAATTATAAAGAAGGAAATCAAAAAAGTAAATATATTGTTCATAAACTTAATAATGAAAAAAAATAAAGATGCATAGCATGGTTCAATCTTACCATTTTTTGCTTGTCTTTGCAAAAAAAAAGAATATAAAACTCTTTCATCACTCTCTAACCACATTAAAAATGAACATGAAGATATGCAGACTGAATTTAGAGAGTCAAGGGGAGTTCCATTAGGTAGAGTTAAAAAGATAAATAAATACTAAAAGATTTTACTTTAAAAATTGTTCGAAGAATAATATAATGACAATCTAAAATATTCTAATTAAGAGATCAGAGATATTTTTAAGGAAAATGTAGGCTTAGTTTCTGAAATAGTTCAAAAACACTAAGCATAACAGTTTGAAGATTAGCTTTTAAGAGAGAATATAAAATTGCAGCCATTCTGGATAAAGATAAAGAGAAACAAGGTAAATATGGTTATGAAAAAATATTATTTGGCTTTTTTAATTTCGACTTGCAATAAGAACATAGTCCTTCAATAAGAATATAAAAAAGATGAAGTATTTCAAAATTTAGTTAATTCATTTTAAGATGATAATATAGGCAAAAATAATTATCATCAATCATTATTAAGTGGCGTAAAGTTGGAACAGATAAAGGAAGAGAACTAATGAAATAAATATATTTATCTTTTAAGAGATCAAATATGTTGTTAAATAATAAAAAATTCAATCTGAATATTAAAATTTTTTATTTATGTATGAAAGAATTAAACAAAGAAAAGTTTATTTATTTTTTTAATGTTCTTTATTTCAATATTATAAATTTTTAATTTATTATTTTGATTTTTAACTAAATACAATATAAGTATTTTTGATAAATAGCTTATTAATTAAATGACATTTTATTTTTCTTAAATAAGAAGTTAGTTTTATATTAAACTAAATCAATTTTTCATATTTAATGCAAAGCAATTATTTGTCAAGTATACTAATTTAATCAATAAATTAAAAATTTTATTTTCGCTCATAAAATATTACCATAATTTAGTTTGAATACCACCTCTGATTTTCTTAAAAAATGTATTTTTTAAATTAGAAAATAAATAAAAAAAGCGTCTATCTGTCTATTCGTCTATTTATTTGGCATTTATGAAATCACAATAGATCTAACAAATTCTTATTTATAGAAACAAAAAGCAAAATTAAAATTTACCATTTTGAAATTCCACTGACATCATATAAAACTTCTGCAAAATTTAAAAATCTTCATTGACAAAAAAAGCAATAAAGAAACAAGCAGCATATTTTGCCAAATTAAATTGAATAATTAAAATATCTGATGAGATGTTTTAGAAATTTTATAATTTTGACAAATAAAGTGATTTTAACATCAAAAGTAATAATTATCCTATTTAGTTAGGTATGTATTTATTTTGAATGTTGCATAGAACCAATATAAAGCTTTTTTTATCAACTTTAAAAAAACTAAAACATCGGAAAAAAAGTGTATTTTAAATTTCGTCTAGTGATTATAAATTTATTAAATTTAATTCTCTTCTTTATCTAATGGTGAATGTTTTATTTATGTGGTTTCATTAATATAATACTTAATTAGATTAGATTTTTGATTGTTAAAATAATTGTATGCTTAATATCCATATATATTAGATAGAATTTACTAAGCATGTACTTACTATTTGTTAGTATATGAATATATATGTTCTATTTTTTACTGATAAATTATATTGATTTATATTAAAGATATTCCATTTAATTAATTCATTCGTTTTTTACTGATATGAATTTGTTTGTAAAATTGATATTTCTCTTTTTTAAATTTTAAAATCTTTTGAATTTAAATTGGTATGGAAATCATCAGAAAGAACCATTTAATTACTTATATATGTATGGTAAATCTAGAAATATATAAAGAAAATTATTAATTCGATTGATATAATCGATATTTATTTATTTATTTATTTATTTTAAGACACCAACAGACTTCACTATATGCAGTCACAATATTTTATAAAGTAATCTAATTAAAAAAAAATTATCAATCATCTAAAACAATTTAAGTAAATAAAAATCAAAAGAAAATAACTGGTTATTGATTGTATTTTTAAATTTAAAGAAATGAATTTTGATTTTATAAGCTAACTAAAAATGAATGTAGATAGTTTAAATTAATTTAAAAATGCATTAAAAAAAAATGATATTTGTTTGTTTGTTTGTTTTTTAAGATTTATACAACAATATTTTAAAAGGAAAATATAATAAAATTCTTAAAATATTTAATATTGTTTATTTCTTACTCTCTTTTATGTGAAATGATAAGAATAATAAATTAATAAATATAATTGCTAGATTATATTTTTATAATTTAACAAATATATTTTTTATTAAAGAATTTATTATATTTTTGGAACTGATAGAAACTTTAATTAATATTGAAAGAATTTTAATTAAACCTTTACTTACTCTGAAGATAATTAATTCTAAATAAAAAATGATATAATAGAAAATATAGTTCAAAGATTTATAAGAAGTAGATTATTATTTTGCTAAGATTATAATAAAAATATTTTTTAAATTATAAAAAAAGCTTTTGGAATCTTCTCTTTTATTCCACACAGATCTATATGTTAACTTAATGTACAAATAACAAAATAATATGAATGAAAATATAATATTAAATATTTAAATATTTCCTTTTCATTCACTTTTCATTTACCACATTAACAATTAAAATTTTCATTTTTCAGTGGCCATTAAATAGGTGTCGAAGGTGTTTCAATTTTAGGCTCTGCTCTAACAAATTGCATAAATCTTTCAAATTTAGAACTTGGCCTCTAGTAAAACTCATAACTTATTTCTTTATTTAGTCATAATTTCATACATTTTTTTCTATTTATTATTTTGCAATAATATAAAATAATTTAAATAAATGTTTTAAAAATATTTTTAGAATTCCAAAATTAACTTTGTCTGCTTGTTGATAAATTAAATAAATTTTTTTGTATAAATAAAAGTCAAAATAAAATAACTTTAGAGGGTATTTCTATTTTAGGTTCTTCATTGATGAAATGTACAAATCTAAAAAGTTTGACACTTAATCTTATGTAAAATAATTATGAATTAATCAAAACCAACATTTGCTCTTTAAATAATAAATTAAACAAGATAGTTAGAAAGATAGTAACAATTTTTTAATTTAAATTATTTTTAAACTCAATAATTTATATGCAACTAACTATTTATTATTTTTTTGATCTAAAAATTAATTTTTCTTTTAATAAATGCATTAAAAGTACTAAAATTATTTTCAATAAGAATAAAAACAAGATCGTAAAAATAAAAATAAATAATAAACAATTATCTAATTAATCAATTAATTAATTTTTTTTTAATTTTATGAAATTTTTGATTCTAAAATTTTATTTTTAAAAAGTAAGTATAAGATTTTATTGCATATTCTATGATAAATTAAAATATATTTGGCCCTAAAAATCTCATTTTTTATTTACAAAAAAGAGTTTAAAGCAGCAATTACATTTATTTATTTATTTTAATTACTTTCTTTCATTTTAAGTGTTATTTTTAAATTTTACTGAATGAAAGTACAAATTACTTAATGAAGGAGCTTAAATTTTATCTTCTTATTTATTTAGCAGATATGAAGAATCTTTTCAATTTAAATTTATTAATTAATTTAGATTATTTTTAAAATAAGTTTCTTTAAAAAAGCTATTAAACTTATTTATCAAGAAAGAAGTCTTTAAAATTTTTTAAAATAAACAAATAAGAAGCAAAATTATTTATTTTTAAACTTAAAAAACGCCATACCTTTAATTTAAAACTATTTATAATGAATGTTTAGTAGGAATTAAATTGATGATTATGGCATTTCAGAGATAGCTTCTTCTCTAGATAAATGTTTTGATCTCTAAACTATTTCGCTAAGTCTTTTGTAAAATAAATTATTTTAATTTTAGTTTTTTTGTATGAATTTATTTATTTATTTCATTTAGTTTAAAATTATTAAAAATATTTTGAGATATCATTAGTCATCTTTGTTTGTTTGTTTTTAACCAGAAACAATTTTTTTGGCTTAAAATGAATTAAAAAATTATTTTTTTATTTAAAGTGACAATTTAATAAGTGATGAGGGAGTTTCATCCTTAGGGTATTCTTTATAAAAATGTAATAATCTTGCAACCTTATCACTAGAATTAAGGTATGTATACATTTACCTTTTTTCATTTTATATACTGCTGAAGAAAATAAAATTTTTTATTTATTTATTTTTTGATGAATAAATTTACTTTCAATTTGTTTAATTTTGAATAAATAATTTTTTTGTTATTTCTATAAAAAAAAATGAATTTTAATTTTATCTAATAAAAAAAGCAAAAATTAAATAAGTGATGTTGGTGTTTCAAGTTTAGCTTATTCTCTATCAAATTCTACTAAAATTTCTGCTTTAATACTTTTGCTTGCGTGAAATTTATTTTTTAAATATATTTAAAACAAATTTTTTTTGTTGAAATACACAAAATCTAACTTATCATTTATGACATAAAAGAACTTTATTTTAAACTCATTCTTTTTCCTAAAACAAAAATGATTTTTGAAAATTTTATTAGTTTTTTATTATGATTTAAATTAATATTAATAAATAAATAAACATCAGTTATTTTATTTTCAATAAATATTTTATGAATAATTAAATAATTATTTCTGTTTTTTGATTCTGAACAAGTTTATTTTTTAAGATAACTAAAATTATTTTAAATTAAATATATAAAGTGAAAACTAAATTGGTAATAAAGGCATATCAGATATAGGTTCTGCTTTATCAAAATGCTAAAATCTCAAAAATTTAACTATTTTTTTAGGGTAAATAAATAAATACATTCCAATTTATCAATTTACTTTAAATTTTATAGATACTTACTTACTTATTTAGTTTTAAAAATAAATTTATCCATAAGTTGCAATTATTTTACTATGATTGAACCATTTATTAACTATCTATCTTTAACTTAATATTTTTTGATATTTATCCCTACATTAATGCTTTTTCTAACTAAATTAAAAGTGGTAATTAATTTGGCATAGATGGTGTCTCTGATTTTAGTTCTACTTTAGAAAATTTCTCAAATCTTTTATATCTGATGCTGTTTTTAGAGTAAAGATATTTTTATTATCTAAATTTTTAAAGATACTGATTTGATGATGATTAATAATAATTTATATAAAACTACTTTAAGATCAAATTAAATTAGTGATAAAGGAGTCGCTAATTTAGGTGTTGGTCTATCTAAGTGCCCAAATCTCGTATCGTTGACTCTAAATATCTCGTAATAATAAATTATTTATTGATTTCTTTATATTATTTTTCATGGCTTACTCTTTTAGCTTAATTAGATACTTGAAAGTATTTCTTCTCCTTATTTATAAATAAATAAATATATTTTTAAATTAAAAGATCTAATGACATTTTTAATAAAGGAACTTCTGATTTAAATTTAGCTTTATCAAAAACCACAAATCTACTTTATTTGAAACTCTACCTTAGGTAAATAAATTTTTTTTTTTGATTGTTTATATTTTATTTATTTAACGAAAACAAAAGAAAATATTTTTAATACTTAATGCTAATAATAAATTTGATAAAATTATTTATTTATTTATCTTACTTTTAGATTAAATTTTTCTCTTATTTTGAAAAAAATAATAACTGTAAGTGACAATCAAATAAGTGAAGCTTCACAAGAAAATTTCAAAATAAATATCCTTAAGAATAATAGATTAGTACATATCGATTTATGTTTTTGAAATAATTTATTTGCTTATAATTTTAAGACATTTAATTAAAATCGTATGTATGTTGTTTTTAAAATGTTTGTTTGCTATTAATGATTTACAGATCTTTTTAATTTGATTAATATTTAAATTACTTAAATGATTAATTACTTTGTATCGCTATATTTTTAAACCCTTATTATAAATAATTATTTTATATAATTTATTCTCAATGGTAGTCAATTTTATTGATGAGCTGATGATTTCATTTTTTTTATTCATTAATTTATTTTAATTAATATATAAATTTAAGTGATACTTGTCATAAACATTCGAGGAATTACACTATTTCTACTTTTTATAAATTAATGACTATTAACTCATTAGAATCATAATATCTAATCTGTTCTAACTAAATTTTATTTTAATTATTAATAAATAAATTAATTAATTAATTATTGAGCAATACCTGCAAAATAGCCATTTAGAGGACAGGTCTTTTTTTCTAAGAACTCTCTTGAGATGTGGCCATATAAACTCAATAACCTATATTTTTATGTATTTATGTATAAATAAGTTTATCTTTATAAAATTTTTATATGTGCTGGCTGTCATGAGTGAATTATCCTGTTTTATTAAATGGAATTAGAAAGCCCTTTCTTTTAGTTTAATATGCCTTCCTCTCTTTAAAATTTCTTTTCTGATTAACTGTTTGATGAAGGTAGTTTTCCTTTGATAATTAAGATTAAGTAGAAATATAATTAACCAGTGCAAATGTATTTATTATCATTTATATGAAAAAAATTTTAAATTATGAGAATTTAATATCACTTTTTTTATTCAGTATACAAAAAGAGCAACTCTTTTCAAGTAGCTTCCCCATTGAAAATTCCAAAAATTGATTGTTTATAGATAGGAAATATGGCTGAGCTGTGTTATATTTGCTATATATCAACAATCTTCAATTTCAACAAAAGTGATATTTAACCAAATTAACCAATACTCTAAAGACTAACTTTATAAGCATATCTGAAAGCTTAATGGCTCAGGCTTCATGCTTTTGTTATTAGATTTTTATTGAGTTAGTTATTTATATATGGCTGAATTTTAGAAGTTATTTAGAAGGTAATATAAAAATAATTATAAAAGTTTATACTCGTTTCTTAAACCTACACAACAAAGTATTTTTCACATATAACATTGACCTCAAACACGTTTGTTTAATTAATCAAACTTGGAGCATTTAAAAGTTAAATTATGATTTTATTTTTTGTCTAAAATTATTTTTGTTCATTTTATACACACTCACTCATTAAGACAGAATGGTAACAATAGAATGCTATTACTTTCTAGAAACTAAGCTGCAGCTAGCTATCTATATAGATCACTTTTGAGGTAGTATAATTTTTACACAATTTATGATATTTTAATGTCATCGGAATGAAGACTATCAATTGATCTAAGTAAAGGATCTGTTTCTTTCACTTTTTCTTTCTTTCTTTCTATTTATTCTTCATCTTATGGTTCTTCCAAGATTTCATAAAAATATCATATTGAATTTAAGCATTTATATAGAATTAAAAGCAAGTCAAAAAAGAAAGTTTGATTTTGTCAAATTAAATCATGAGTTTCTTTCTTTTCAAGAGTATTTTTCTCAGTAGCAACCAAAATCTTTACCTATTTACTACTCTTTCCTTTAAGTAAAACAAAGGTCTTCCACAATTAGCATCCTCTCTGATACATCTTCTATGCTTTTTTCAGACTTGGTACTCCCTTAATTAAAGCTATCATCTCAAAAATCAGTCAGACATAGGATAGATATTGTTTATTCTTATTTTTGAGTTTCTATAAATTGCAAATTTTCAATTAAATAAGAATTTAAGTCTACAAAAATTTCTGCTAAATATAGCCAGCCCTGAAATAAAGTCTACAAAAATTTATGCTAAATATAGCTAGCCATTTGCAATATTAAAAAACAATCATCACTATTTATTTATCAGCAGCGAGGACTTCAATAATATTTAGAGCTCATTATAAAAGATTAAATATAAAACAAAATTTTATTTTCTGATATATTTTGATATATTAAATGAAGAGTGAAAGTGTGCAATCAAAATATCTAAAAATTTTGTGCAAAATTAATTTATTATCAAAGTTTCTAATTTTTAAAGATATAATAAATCTATGCATGGTTAATATCGCTATTTATCATTAAATAAACTTAAAAATTTTAATGAATATAACTTTTTATAGAATAGATTCATTACTACCTTTATACCCTTAGTTAAATATTAAAAATTGAAAACAGTCAATTAATTAATAATAATTATTAGATTTCTTATTAATTTATGATTGATTGATTTATTCTTATTTTCTCGTATTTCATAACTTATCTAGTTTTAATTTTGTTTTAATAATCTCCACAAACATAAATTTTAAGAAAAGCAAAAAATTAATTAAGTTAGAAAAAATAGATTAATTAGAATAAGTAAAATGGCATAAAAAAATAGTAAAAGTTTTACTGATGATATATAAATTTAAAATTCTTTAATGAGATTCAGAAAGGATGATTAAACTTAAGAAACTTTTAATGAAAATGTTAATTATGATAATTAGCAATTTATATAATAATAGATTAGTCCTTTTTTCAATGAAAAAGAAGATTTATAAAAAAAATGGATTTATATTGGCAATAAGCTTAATCACAATAATTATAATGAAGATAATAGCTTTTAAAAAACCAATAGCAATCCTTTTAATGCTTAAATTGATAACTATAAAAAGAAACATACTAGTGACTCATTTAAAACTGAAGGCAAAAATGACCCTTAAATCAGCTATGATCAATACAGTAACCAGATTATGAAACCAAGATCTTTTAGTATTGATAAACAAAGAGACTCTTAATATATTTAGAATGAAGATAGTAATCAATGTTTCCATGAAGCTAAATACAAACAATTTGATTTAAATCAGAACCTTTTTGATTTTTAAAATGAAAATATCAGTTAAGATAGAAATTTAAATGATTAAATTAGCAACCAGTAAGCTTATTAAAACCAAAAATGCTCATTGACAGAAGGTATTTTTACACATCAAAATACTTATGATGAAATTAATAACCATCCAATTGAATAATTTCAATAGATTAACTCAAATATTAATAAATTATATTTTTAATAAGATTGTAATTCTAGTAATAAATATGATCAAATAAATATCCAGTCTTTGGAGAACTAAAATAATTGCTAAGAGTAAGAAAGAAATCCTATCATTATTGATGATTATTTATATGATTCTTAATAATTTGGTAGGTATGATGATTTTGTAAATACCTATAGAGACTAAAGTGAAAAAAAATCATTTCTCATGGAATAAAATTATTGTGAGAAATCAGACTTTTAAAATTGTTATTCAATTGAACCTTAAGTGAACACTGACTAAAAAGATTCCTAAAAATTTACATAATTTTGGAGTGATTAATTTGATGATAATTTAGGTGTTTTAAAAGATTAAAGTGAAAAAAATTCTTCAGATTTAGTAGAATAGAGTGGGTAATTAAAATAAAAAAAGGCAACAATTATATAATAAAATCAATAAATAGTATAAAAAAATCTAACTTGCTAAACTCTAGTAGAAGAATCTTTAACTTTGAGTAAGCAATAGTAAAAGTAATAAAAATAATGTGAAGAAGATGAAAAAAAGAGCAAGGTATTTTTAGGTAAAACATTTAAGAGTAATAAAGATAAGCAAAAATAATAACGTAAATCAAAGCACTTCTAAATAATTACAGAGATAAAGTAGTAAAACTTTTTAGAAATAGATTTCAAGCTATTAGAAGATTTTAAGAATGACATTAAAAAAAATTTAATACGCGATATGTTAAATAGATGCAATAAGAATGTTAATCAAGAATTGCTCAGGTAGTATTTATAAAGAAGTAAAATGGATAATTAGATTTTTAAAATTTATTAAAGGATAGATAATATTTACTAATCATTATTTATTAATCATTAAAATTTTAACAACTAATTATTGAAGAAGAACATTTTAATTGCTTATGTTTAGCTATATAATGAGAATAGAAACAATTTTAACGATAAAAACATTAAATATTTGTTTTAAAGCACAAACGAGAATCTGGAAGAATAGAAAAAAGAAATCGACTTAGTAGCTAAATAACTTAAAAATAAGAGCAAAGATTACATTGTTTTATTAATAGAATGCTCTAAACTAATTTTTAAAGAATATTTTGATTATTTTACTGAGAATGAATTAATACTGTATCTTTTTAATGAATATAAATAGAACAAGTTTCCTTTAAAAAAATACAAACATCTTCAATTTAAATAATTAAGCATCCAATTCACTCTCCAGTTTTATGAATTGTTATTTATCAAAAACATGCAAAAAAATTGAAATAAATATTTAAACATATTTATATAAAAAATAATTCTAATTAATTTATTTGTATTCAAAAAACTTAAAAATATTTCATTCAAAAAGTATAATTTTAACTTCTATTGTTAAATTTAACTGATTTCCAAATTTATTAAGTTTATTTTTAACATAATTAAATATTATCATTTTTTAATAATATTAAGTCTTATCAATGTCTCTCTGGCTGGTTTGCAGACATGGCATGATATGATATGACATGACATGACAAGGTGAATTACAAACAAATTTTAGCATAATCTTAATATAAAAAATTTACAAAAGAAAACAAACAATTAATATATTAGATAGAAGTTATTTATTTCAGATAAATAATATTTTTATCATTTTTATATTAAAAATAATGCTAATTAATTTATTTGTATTTCAAAAAACTTTATAATATTTCATTTAAAAAGTACACTTTTAACTTCTATTCTTAAATTTAATTGATTTTCACATTTATTAAAGTACAAATTTAACATGATAAAAAATTATCATTCTTTTATAATATTAAAGTCTTATCAATCAATCAGTCTCTGGCTTGCCGGCAGACATGAAATGACATGATATGGTGATATTCAAACAATTTTTAACATAATCTCGATTTTAAAAATTTACAAAAGAAAACAAACAATATATTAGATAGAAGTTATTTTCAGATCAATAATATGTTTTCATTTTTATATAAAAAATAATGCTAATTTATTTATTTATATTCAAAAAACTTGTTAATATTTTCATTTAAAAAGTACAATTTTAACTTCTATTCTTAAATTTAATTGATTTTCACATTTATTAAAGTACCAGTTTGACATAATAAAATATTATCATTTTTTTTTATAAAATTAAAGTCTTATCAATCTGTCTCTGGCTTGCTGGCAGACATGGCATGGCATGATATGATATGATATGACATGATATGACATGATAACATACAAACAAATTTTTACATAATCTTGACATAAAAAATCTACAAAAGAAAACATACAATATATTAGATTGAAGCTATTTATTTCAGATCAATAATATTCTTTGTTTTTTATATAAAAAATAATGATAATTTATTTATTTATATTCAAAAAACTTGATAATATTTTCATTTAAAAAGTGCAATTTTAACTATCTCTACCATCTTACATTTAAGAAGGGTAAGATTGACTGATGATTGCAAGGGAAAATGTTTAAACTAATTTTAAAATAAAAGTTTCTTACTTGATCTCATATTTTTTTTAAATTACACAAAGACAAACAAAGTCTATTAAAACTCTTTCTATCTATTCAACTTTTTTAAGGTAATGAAAGTGTAATTTTAATTTAAGTAGAGCTAAATTTGAATCTTATTAAAACAATAAATTAATAATAAATAAAATTTATAAATTCTATTTTATAAAAATTACCCTCAACATATAATTAATTAGAATGTTTTGAGCTATAAAAGATAAAAATAATAAAGTTATAGAGGTATAAAATTAATATGTATGTATTGTGAAAACAGTTAATATTTATTTAAAATGTAAAAATATTTTGATATTCACTATCAAATATAATTTTAAGTAAGCTCTAATTGTTTACATTTTATAGAAAATTAATAACATTAAATTTTTTCTTCCTTAATCAAAAAGTCTTTGATTATTTCTGCTTACTTACTTAATTTTAATTTCTGAATAATCATTAAATTTTGTAAGAGCTAAAAAAGAAAAAGATCAAATCAAATCTAATTGCAAATTTATATTTTTATACTTTATCTTTGTTGAAGAGAATAAATAGATACAAAATTATTTAAATTATTGATTAATTTATACTTAATATGAAATTGATATTGATAGTTTGTTTATCTCATTTTTGAAAAATGTATATATTAATAGAATAAGTGTAAATTATAATTTCAAGCTGATAGTATGCATTTCTATTACCAAAGCTTCATTCTATATAAAAAATAGAAATTTTACTAAATTGAGATTTGAGACTAGATATGTATGGCAGAAATAAAAATAAAAAATATATGAATTTTTTTTTACAACTTTTTCGTATTCCCATGCTTGAATATTTGGAAACAAAATAGGAATTCTTAATTCATTTTTTGCTAATTATTGAGGAAAATGCATTAGGATTAGTTTATGGCTTTTTCTAAATTTTTAAGCATAGCATTTTATATATTATGAAAAATAAATTAAAATAGTAAGTCATCATTATTTACAAATATTTATATGATAAAATAGTTTTGTAGAAAATAGTATTGATAAATTAATTTATTTTTTGAATTTTTTCATGTTTTGTGTTTGTTTTATTTACTGCACAAGTTATCAAGAATAATAACAAAAATAGCAGAAGTAAGAAAAAACTAAAAATGAATAAATTAAAATCTTAAAATGCAGACATTAATGTTTTATTTTTTAACTAATTTTTAAGCTTTATATTAACTAACTTAAAGATTTATCTTAGATATATTCTACTATGTCAAAAAAAAATACTTAAGAAAACATAATAATTTTAATTAATAATCAAAAATAGATAGATTTTATATTACTAAAATTATAATTAAATTAAATAACAATCTAAATTTTATCAACCAACTTTAGTAAATAAATATCAAAAATTACTTTCCATTTTTATACGAGTAAGAATAAGATATAAATCATTTTATTTTTTGAGTTAAGAAATTGATGAAAGGAAACAAGCTTTTGAATTGTGATTGTAAGAAGCTGATTGTTTATAATGATCAAAGTAATTGATCATTAGATTTGCATTTAATTAATAGGGAATCACTGATTTGATTGTAAGGCTATTGATCAATTCTATCATTTTGAATTATAAATTTTAAATTATTACAACTTATTTCAAAATCAAATTCATTTGATCTCTAATTATTATCTACATAAGGTTTTGATAAGGAACATGCCTGGTGTATCAAAATGTTAATTTTTCTCGTATTATTCATTTTATAAGTAGAATATGTAAAACATATCATCGGGTGCTCTGACAATCATTAAATAAATTTAGCTTTTACTCAGAAAATACAATTGCTTTGCAAAATTATTTTATTTGACATGAGGAAAAATCATTAAAAAGTGCTTCTTAACTATTTTTAGTAGACAAAAATATCATTTTTGTAAAGATTTGAGATCATTTGTATGCTTTGATAAAAGCTCAGAGTGAGCTTTTGGTTGCTGATCTGATGATCTAGATAGAGAAGACTTGTAAATAGGGAGAGTAAATTCATCAAAGTGAAAAATGTGCCAATCAAACAAAAAGAAATTTACTTATATAAATTGAAAATTTAAAGCATGTAAAAGATTTTTGTAATGAAATGCTTAAAATTCTACTTCGAAATCTCCGAAGAACAATTATGAATTTCAAAACAACAAAAAATTAAAATAGCCAAAAAATACAATAGCCCTTGAAAAAAAAGAAAGAATGAACTCCAAGACTATCTTCGCCTTATTCTGCCTCTTCGCAGTTTCTCTTGCTCTTGCAGGAAACACTAATATTAACTGCTAACAAGGTGGTGCATGTAATGATGCAGGTTGTGGTAAATCTGGTGCCGCCACTGATAACTGGTTACAAGTTGGTAATTTGTGTGTTATTAAAGATTGTTCTTCATTGACTGCTACTGGTGCTACTGTTTCTGACAATGCTTGTGCCTCTTGCAACACCGGCTTAAACCCCGCTAACGTTATTGCTAATGCTAATAAAACTGCCTGCTAAGCTAAGAGCAGTGCTAAGCTTCTTATCGCTTCTGCTGCAGTGATTGTTGCTTTATTATTCTGATTTTGAAAATAAATATTAAACAAAATTAATAAAATGTATTAGTCTAAAAGTTATGAAAATGTAAATTATATAATAGATTTTGTTTGTTGCATTTCTTTTAATGTTTATTGATTTTTGCAATTCATTCTCTATGCCTCAAAAAATACTATTGATTCATTCGTTTCATTATTATAATAATCAAATTAATTTGATTCCTTCTAGAAAAAAGGAATTCTTCCTTTCTATTTTTGTAACCACTTAATAACTAACTAAATAAATAATCATAATAATAACTTTTCTTAAAAGGGAAATAAATAGGTTAATGATTTTTGAATAGAAAGAATTCAGCTTAAGTAAAAGAAACTCAGAAAAGATTTTGATTGAAAAATAAGAAAAATTTTCAAATTTTTTAAAAGGAAATATTATTAAAACAAAATCTGTAATCCACATTCAAATGATAATTAATTTTTGCTGTCTAGAACTTTTCAATCAAAGTGGTATTAGCATTTGTAAATTAAAAATTAAATTTTTTTCTGTTTGATTGATTGATTGAAAGTAGTGGGTAGGCACTTATTCTCAAAATTTAAATAAAATATCATATTTTCTTATTATTATTGTTTGTTTCTTCGTCTTTTTTCATATAGGTAGGTCCCATATAAATTTTTGAGCCCTATACTCGATCAAAATTTGTAAAAAAATTTTATTACTTATCACATAAGCGAGTTGTATTTTCAAATTTTATAATGAGGTGATAGCCAATGAGGATTTGTAGTACGTAAAACAAGTAATTAATAAATATTTATTTGTTTGTTTGGTTAATGAACTCATTTATTTCATGCTAAATATAATAATAAAATCTAATTTTAGTAACGGCTTATTATTTATTACTTGTCTAAATTATTTCGCACTAATAAAAAAAGAGAGAGAAAAAAGTGAAATTAATCTCAACATAGATTATATTTAATTTAGATTTGACCAAACCCTACTTATCTATTTTATATTTATTAAATTTTCATTCGATGTAGAGTAATTTATTTGTTTGTTTGTCTTTTTTATTTTCGTATTTATTATTTTTATTTACTTATCTAAGCATCTACCTATCTTCTAAATCAATTAATTAATTGATCAATCAATCAATCAATCATAAAAAGTTTACCACACTATTTTTCTATCTGTTTGAAAGTAAAATCTTTTTCGTAATTTTTTTACTTAATATCTGATGATTTCATTTGTTTGCATATTACCTCACTATTTTGTTTTTGAGTGCATTAGGTGTAAAAAATTGATAGAATGATGAATTTTTCAAAGGAAATTAAAAAATGCAAATTGAAATTAACAAATAGGATACTTGAGATGAAGGTATTTGTGAACAAAAGTATTTTGATAAATGGTTTAGTCAATAAATTTTTAGTTTTTGTTTACAAAAAATAAATGGGGGTGTTTGGGTGGGTTTTTTATTATTGCCTGGTTGAATGAAAATTTTAAATTCGTTTGAATTTTAATAATGTGCGTTTCAATAAGAAATAGATTGGGTAAATGTTGGTTCTATTTCTGAAAGCAGGGCGTGAATTTGGCTATGAAATATTAAAAATGGAATCGGGAATTAACAAATAGGACACCTGAAATGAGCTTTTTGGTGAATAAAAGTATTAAAATAAGTGGGATAGCTTATTAAAGCTTATCTTATATGCATTACAAATACGGCTTATTGCCTTAACTGAATGAAAAACTTATTTACTTTCTTTTGAGTTTTTTAAAAAAAAAACCATGAAATTGTATTAAAAATAGATTGGGAAACTGTTTGTTGGTTTTATTTCTCAGATAGGGCATAAAAAGCTTATTTAGTTTGTTATTTTTTTTAAATGATAAAAATAAATAGATGGGTTAACTGCTTGGTCTATTTATTTAAGAAGAGAGCTTAAAAATGTATGTATCTATCTAATTATCTGTTAATCTATTTTTCAATCATAAAAATGAAATTAAATAGCCACATTTTTCTGTTTGTTTGAAAGTACATTTTATTTTACTCAAAATTTACTCATTAGAGATTTGGTTGATTTTAAATTAATTATTACTTCCTATGAGCTTTTTTATATATACAACTGACTAAATGAGGAGTTTTAGAAAGAAATGTAAAAGATACAAACTAAAATTAGCTAGTACGACACTAAATGTGAAGATATTAGCCAACAGACGTGTTGACGTATATGAATTCGTTGAAGAAAATTTCATTTATGTTTACTAAAAGCGTACTTTTGTATTTTTATACCTTCAAAACTGAATGAAAAATAAAATTTATTGTGAATTTTAAAAATTTTGCATTTCAATCAAACATAGATTGGTTAAAAGTATTGGTTGGTACTATTTGTAATCACAAAATATAATTATAAAGGTATGAATGGAGTGATCCGCTATTTGCAACATCTTGAATGAATATTCATTCTCAACAAAATGTCAAATTATAAAATCAGCTTATATTTACAAAGCTCCATGACATTATTTCTCTGGCTTTTACCTAAGTAAAAGTACCTTGCTGCTTTGCTATTTCAACTAAAATTGATTTTTGATCCTCCAATTATAGTTTCAAAACTTAATTTATTTCGAAAATTAACTACCTATAAACTTTGAGAGGAAAAAGTTGAAATTCTTTTTATTTTTATTTTTTTTCTTATGCAGCAGCTCTTTATTTTGAGTGAATAAAATTTGAATATATTTTGACTTGGGTAATTAAGAAAAGGCTGCTTGAAGTAAATTATTTATATTTTTGAGAATGAGCGAGTGAGGTAATTAGCAGACTGTAAGTAGATTTAATTGATTGTTTGTTTTCAAAAGATACGTTTGAAAATTTAATTACTTTGTAAAATTAATTAATTCAGTTTACAGTTTAAGGTTGCGCACCAGAGGCTAGCAACAAAGAAATAAAAATCACTTAAACTCAGATGCTCCTATTTCTATTGCGTCATCGGCTAAACTTTTTTTATTTTTGATCTGCAACAATATTTGTTGAATGAATATTCTTTTATTTTACTAAGTAGCAAAGATTATTATTTTTTGAATTAGATGAGTGGTTATGTCTCCTTTAGATTGAATGCGCTTAATAAATATTTGACTGCTGATAGGAAATTTGCTTCACCGAATTTTGGAGACATTTTAGAAAAATTTATATTTTTGTAACATTAATTAATTTAGCCCACAAATGGAGTTGCAGCAAGCGAAATTTAGGATGGGTATCTTTAAATATACATTTTGAAACTCAAGCATACTGCGTATACTGCGTGGATAAAGGGAGCTAAATTTATTTTGAGTTGCAATTAAATATTGTTGAGTAAATATAGTTCAATATTCTTTTATTTTGCTAATTATCAAAGATTTTCGAAATGAATGGTATCTTTTTAGGTTAATCTACATGATGATGGTGAGCAATAGACTGTAAACAAAATTAGCTTCATCGCTTCTGTAGATAGTTGGGATAAAGCAATGCCTTTGTAAAGTTAATTAATTTCGTTTACAAATCAAGACGACTTCAGAGTGAATGAATGATAGGTTCGTTATCAATCAAAAAGTTAATACCACTAAAATTAACTACTCTAATCTATTGAAATACTCTCAAACCTACTCATCCACTGATTTCAAATTTATAATTTTTTCCCCATGCTTGATATTAGCGACAGCTTATCACATATATAATTCTTAATTTAATTTTCCGAAGCAACGAATGGGCATTAACGATTAATTATTTTTCCTTCTAAAAATTTAAAGTCTACATTTCGGAGAAATAAATAAATAGAAAAAGAAAGAAAGAAATATAGAGGGAGAATACCCTTAATTTATTACGCATTTTAAAAATAAAGATATACTTTTATAATAGCTCATATACTTGTTCATATTTCATTTAAATACAAAATATAATTAGCTTAATGTTAGTTTTATAAATATATTTCAAGTTTGTAGTTTTTTTACCACTTAATTGTTCTTCGTTCCTCACAAAAAAGTATGAGTAATTAATTGATTAAATTTCAATTAGATCATGAGTTTGTTAGTTTGTTTGCTAAGAGATAGATTACATATTTTTAAAAAAGCAGAGCAAGATCTTAATAATTTGTAAGAATTTATGCAACTATGCATTTACAATTAATTAAGAGAGAAAATCAAATAAAATTGATTAATTCTGTCATTTTAAATTACAAAATTTGAAAAATTTTATCTTGCAAATTCTAAAAATAATTAATTTTCTTATCAACGCTACATAAGGTTGCTATAAGGAAAAAGCCTGATGTTACATAAGGTATCTTAATCTTAAAAGAAATCTTTCTTTCTTTCCTCGTTCATTTTTATGTAACATCAAAGAGCTTAACAACAAATAAAAAAAGTTGGTTTTTAGTATGATATTGTATTTTCAATACTTTTTTCTTTTGTCCATTTTAATATACAAGGTGTTCCATTGCTTGCTTTATTACTCTTGTTGAAAATATTAAAACTTATCAGGAGATTTAAACAAACAACAAATTAGTACGAACTATTAATTTAGAAGTTATTAGTGATTCCTGTTATCATTTGTTTTAAATCCTGGGACTAAACTTTATTTGATAATTAATTTCAAATCAACAAAAACTAAAATACACAAAAAAAAAATATAAAAAATCTTTAAAAAAATGAACTCCAAGGTCATCATCGCTTTATTCTGCCTCGTCGCTGTTACCCTCGCTGCTTCTGCTACTCCTGGTGCCAACGCAATTACCTGTACTGCTTGCACTGATGCTGTTTGCGGTAAATCTGGTACCACCCAAGATAACTGGTAAGCTGGTACTGCTACTGGTACATGCGTTGTTAAGGATTGTAATTTATTGACTGGTAACGGTGCTGTTGTTTCTAACAATGCTTGCGCTTCCTGTTCCACTACTACCCCTGTTGCTAACTCTGGTGCCACCGCTTGTGTTGCTAAGAGCAGTGCTAAGCTCCTCATTGCCTCCGCTGCAGTCATCGTTGCTTTATTATTCTGATTTAAAAAAATAAATATAAAAAGAAATTGGCTGAATATATTAATATAATTTTATTAAAATGTAAATTATGTAATAGGTTTGCTGGTATTTCTTTTTAAAATTTGTAATTTTCCCAATCCAAATTTATTTTTATATAAAAAATCAAATATAAAAAGATTGATTATTAACAATTAATTATGTAATATTCAGTGATTTTTACTAGAAAGCATTTATAATTTTTAGCTTCCATTTTATTATGCAAGTAATAAATAATAATTATCAAAAAAATGTTTATATTCAGTACCTTAATCTATAAAAGATCATCTCTCAATGAATTACTTATTTTTTCTTCCTTAAAATTTATATTAGTAATAACTAATCTTTAAAAAAAGCTCAAATAAAAAATTATAATAATATAGGTTTCTTTCATTTATTTTTTTCTTAATATCTAAAGTACTTATGCAATTTCCTAAATAAAAACAATTATTTTCTAAATCTTATTTAATGAATGTAAATGCTTTTTCATGCATTCTTTTCATTAAATTTATGTTTAATTATATTTACAAAATTTATTTATTTTTATTAAACTTAATTTAATTCTTTAAAATTGGCATAGTAGAATTGAGGATTTACATTAAATATTTTTTTTATTATATTTTTAATATTTTATTTATAAAAATATGATAAATTATTATAGAAAGGCCTTTCATAATAATCTATCATTCATTAACGCCATTAACAATTAAATTAATGCGACAATAAAAATAAAAGAAAAAACAAATTATTTTATTTTTGATAGCGATTGGTTGATTGAATAGGTAAATATTAAAGTTAATTATTTAGCTTGAAATTTGATACTTTTTAAAATATTTTATGGCAAATTTTTAAATTATTTTTTTTTATTTTTCAAAGAAGAAATTTATAAAGTCTGAATACATTATTCCTAAGACAGATATTAAATTAGCTATATAAGACAAAATAAAAAATACTTTAGAATGAAGTATCTTATGAACACTTTCTTAAAATTTCTTAAGTCTTTAAATATTTTTTTCTACTCATTAAAGATTAAGGACTCATTCAAACTGAGCTTAGTCATTATCAAATTTCATTTATCAATTTTATGAAAATCTACAGTAATAAAATTTATCTTCCATATTTTATGTATGTGAAGCGATCTATTTACATTAAATATTTCTATCTATTTTAAGAATAAAAATGCTTGGTAGAAATGGTTAACAAGCAAAAAATGTAAATTAGATTAAGAGATTTTCTAAAAATGATCTGAATAAATAATCCTTTATTAAATTAAATATAATTAAATTAAATTTTATGTATATGCTCAGTTCTTTTTTAGCGAAAGAGTGAGGGAGGGGCGAGATATAGGGGTTTAAGTGATTAGCTTAAAAGGAAAATATATAATTAATTTTAAATGTAAATAAACATATGTTTGTAAGCTTAGTGAAAAACTATTTACTATTCACTATATTATATTGTAGACTGAATTTATATATGTTCAAAACAACAAACTAGATTTATGACAAAGTCTGAATACTTTTTTTTAATAAAAATAAATAATAAAGAAAACTGAATAATTATAATTTTCTCATTTAGTATTTTAATTTGTTTTATATTTTAAGTTTGTTTTATGAAAAATAAATTTAATTTGAGTAAAATCTATTTATTATTCTTCTAATTTTTTGATATAAATTGCAAAATATACAGAAAGAAGTAGTAAATAGAAGAAAAAAAATTTTTATTTTATAATTTGATATTATTTAGAACAAGAGAGTTTGCTTAATGATGGAGACATATCCGTAAAATTAAAAGATAAATAAATAAATATGTTTCTAAATAGATAGAATTTATAAGTTTTTAATTACTTAATCAAAGTAAGAATTTGTTAAGATACAAAATAAATTAATATTTTCTTTCAATTAATTGATCTTATTTGAGTAATATATAAAGCAGAGTAATTAATTTGCTGATTTAATAAATTGAATAAAGATATAATAGAAGGCGCTTATTTTCGATTTAAGAAGCTTATTGAATAAATAAATATTTATAGTAATTCTTTATATGATCAATAATTAACTATCCATTCAATTATTTAGAAACCTTTATTTTTAGAGAGAGTTGGCATTTTAAAATCTTAAAATAAATATAAAATTTACTAATAATAATAAAAAAATTAAAACATTTAAGACTAGTTCTAACTAAATAAGTAATAAGAAAATGAGCATATTTTAAACAAAATTAATGTTTATAATTTAAATTCATCGCTCACTTCCTTCTTATTTGTATTGTTTCTAGAATTTTTTAATTTGAAAATAAACTATATGATAATGTTATTTAGTTATTTTTTTATTTATTTTTACCAAGAATAACTTACAATTAGATTTTTTGTTTGATAATTAATATTAATAGTAACATATTTATTTATATATATTACTTTAGTTTGAGATCTGATACTTTTAAACATATTTTATGGCAAGTTGATTAACTTCTTTTTTATTCGCATAGATTTTAGTTAGTTAGTTAGTTAGTTAATAATTGCGGTTTGAATTAATTTTTCGATAACACAAAATCAATTACTACCCAATTTAATCAAAGTTAAGGTTAAAAAAGGATCTTACTTAATTAATGTAGAAAAGAATTTATTAATTTTTTTATTTTCTATTCCTATTTGTATTTTTAAATTACTTATATATTTTTCGATACTCGCTTTATTTTATTTATATAATACTTCATTTAAATATTTATATTGAAGAATAATATTTTTAAATATTTTATAAGAATTTATATTTTGATTTAATTTTAAAGACTTCAAAAAAATAATTTTTTTTTAAATAAAGGATTTATGTTAAATAAAATATTTAGATTTTTTAATAAAATAAATTAAACATATTTCTTAGTAATTTTTTAATTTTGTTTTCCAAAAAAATATTTATTTTAGCGAAGAATTTATATCTTGAAAATAGATTCATCTTTTATAACAAAATTTATTGTATATATAGTACAGGATATATGATAATACAGGAATTATTAGGGCTATGGCAGATTATATCGTGTTTATTTTTCCCTATTAGTTTATAGGCACAGCTTCTTATACACCTGTTATATTAACCAAATTAAATCCTACGTCTACCATACAAATAAGCTAAGATATAAGCTAGTTTTCGCTAGCTTAATCAAAGTATTTTAATCCTTATTACTACATTTAATATTGGTTTTGTGTGGATTCAAAAGGTAATGTTTGTGTGGATAAATCAAATTAAACTTTGAAATTAACTCAAAATGGAAGCAATATTGTTGAAATTAGCCAGTACTCTTTACTTTTGAATACACAATACACAATTTATTATTAGCTAATGAGTTAAAACTTTCCTTTTAGTAAGCAATATGCCGCTTATTAAATTGATACTGGACAGTCATATCCGTTTGCATTGGTATAAGGAATAATACCATCTGCAACTAAAACTGTTCAGGTTAATTTACAAGATGTCGTATATATTAGCATACAGCTTCATACAGATTTTCCTTACAGGATAATATTTGCATAATTCTAAATTACATTAAGCTATAATAATGTTTAGCACAGTATAGCATAAGTTTCAAATTAGTTTTCTATTATCTTAGAAGACTATTTTCCTTCACCAGATTTTACATAGACAGTATCCGTCAGTTTAAAATATTAGATTTATGATTAAATCTTACAATAAAGCATTCCTACGCCAAGCGGAAATCAGCCATAAGTTATATATGTCAGAGCACCTCATTCCCCAGTCTAATTACAAATAAGTAATTATAATTTTTTATTTTTTTCTACTTTAATCCAAGATATTAATTACACAAACCCAAAGATATTATTCAATTTTTAAAGAATATATAATGTAAGTTTTGCTAAATAAACTTTTATAAAAATTTAAAAAATGAATTTAATTAATTAGATAAATAATATTTATTAAAAGTTTGTAAGTAAATTTTTAAGATACTTATTGAAAATAATGTAATATATAAAATAAATAAATAGATCAATAGCCATATGTATCGTTTTAAGATAAAGTGAATGTTATATTTAATCCTACGGACAACAAACAATTATACTAATTTTTCTACTACAACAATCAAACAGAATATTAATCAGAAATTTAATTTCCTCTTCAACCTAAAAAGAAAATGCTTTCAACTTTATCTGCTATCTAGTCTATGAGCTGCCTTTTACCAGCGGGAAATATTATTGTTATTGGAGTTTTATTTGATCCTAGCACTTACTAGTATACGAATGTAACATAAACTGTTATAATAAGTAACAACAATTTCAATGAATAAACTTTTGTAGATTTTGTTCAAGCATAAATGGCTGCCGCTTCAGTTTATTAATCTTAAAATCTATTTATAAGTGAAATTTTTATATACTAGACTATAATTGGAGCAATTGAGTAATATGAGGCTACTAATATTTCCCCTCAGCTAATTAATTAAATAAAAACATAGATGCTAAATAGACTGATGTAAAGTTAGTGGAATTAGTAATTCGATGATAGTTACATTCTTTCAAATCAAATTATCTTTAGAATAATATCCTCCTAGATCTAAATAGATAGAAAATCTTAATTATTTTTACAACTTATCTAATACTCGAAAACTAGAATTGAATAATTACATAATAAAGTTCAACAAACTTTTTTTTCTTTAACTATATACCAAATTAACTACTTTAGACAAAGCTTTTTAGATGTAGCAAACACTTATATGTTGCTAGTTAAATTAAATGAGAATTTACAAATTATCAGCGACTCCGAAATTGTTTAATACACAAACTTAATAATGAATGGATTTTTATACTTGATTTAAACAAACCAATCTCCTATTGATTTTCCTACTCCTTAGGCTAGTCTCCTTATAGAAAATAATGATTTGCTAATGTTTTATAATAATTACTACACTTAAATTGCTCAAACTTTAGACCCATTTTCTTCTTCAAATTATAATATGTATGTAACTATTTCGACATGGTAGAACACCACTTATTTATATAGAAATGAACTCTCCCAATTAAATACGCAATACTTATCAAAAGTCAATTCAACTGTTTAAGAATTATTAAAAAGAACTTATCCAATTAAAATACCTAGAGTTTACACTAATGATAAGCCCAATGCTACATCTAATAGTCTAAGATTACTGCAATCTCAGAGCGTAAATGTCACCAGTAATTTTACTTTAGACTTTGGAACAATTTCACCAGAAGAAAAACTTTAATGCATTTAGCGCTCGTCATCAGGACATTGGGTGCACAGTAGCTGCTAAACTCATATTGAAGTAATAAATAACAAAAAAAACATAAAGTGTGTTTGTCAAACTCCTGATGTAACTTCAGTAATAGCTGATATTACTCAATTAATCGACAATCAAAACGTTTAATTGATTTTTAGTGATAATGGCAAAGATAGAATTTCTAAGTTGAACAATTGGTATGAGTACATATCTATATGGACCATGATAGGCTTAAACGTAGCTTATTTATTACTACTATGTATCTCGTACAAGCTTGATAAATTAGATAAATCGAAGATCAACTAAATTTTAAATATCATAAACTCAGTTGCAACAACTGATGAAGAATAAGCGATAAGTCAAAAATTAAGTATCAAAAAAAAAGTATCTCTATTTTTATAGATAAAAATGAAAAAAGCAAGTGAATACATCAATCGTAATGAAGAGCAGAGTGAAAAAATAAATTCAGAAACTAAATAATAGTAATAAGAAACACAGTAAATTTTAACAGATAGGAATGTTTTTGATAAAATGTACTCACAAGAAAACGAAGATTCTAATTCTCATCAAAATACATAAAGAGATTAAAATGATTATTAAGGAAGCCAAATTAAACTTAATACAAAGAGAAGCAGCATATTCAATAAAAAAAAGAGTGTATTTTCAAACATTTTACTGAATACTAAAAATACACCTGATTTGTAGGAGTTTTAGTAAGAAAATACTGAAGAATAAGAACTAAAAAGTCAACGAAAGAATAAAAAAGAAACAAATTAAAATCTTATTGAAAATTAAGAAAAATAAAGTTAGGCGATATCGGATAACAAAATAGTAGCATTTTAAGACTTGTTTAATGAAAAAAAAGTAACTAAAAATAAAGAAGAAGAAATAGGATCAAATTAGGAATTTGATAAAATCTAAAAAATAATAAATAATGAAATAGCACATAGAAAGGGTACATATCAAACAGATTAACTTAATGAGTTTTCTAACAACTAAAATAACTAAATAAATACAGGATTCATGATTGATGAAATACCATTCGAATTTCCTTAATCTCCATTAAACAAAGAAAGACATTTATTTGATATTGAAGTAAATTCTAACTCTTAAAATAAATCAATAAAAATTGAAGACGCTTTGGATAAAATCGATGAAAAGAATAATTAGAATTAAAATTAACAAGCAAATTAAAAGCAGAAATAAAATGATTTAAAAAAACAATAAAAAGAAGCTAAAAGATAGTAAAAAGAATAAGAAAAGATGAGAAAAAAGTAAGAAATCAAAGAAAATAAAGAAAAAATGTAAATGAAAAAATAGATGGAAGAGGAGAAAAAGCAAAACCTGAAAAAAGAACAAAAACAAAAAGAACTAGAGAAAGAGAATTTATCTAGGCTAAAACTAATCGAATATTTATATAATGAAAAACATTTTATATGCATTTTAGCTTTCCATCACCTATTTCAAATATTTATAATTTACAGTGAAAAACAATCCAGATTCCTGAGATTTCTAATTTACTATAATAAAGTTGTTTGGATTTTAACTTTGAATGCATTATTTGGTAAGAATCTAAGCGTTGTCCAGATATTATTTTTAAGTTTAATAACAACAATAATTCTTTAAATTTTAAGCGCACTTATTTCAATGCTACTAAAATATTAAAAAATGATGAAATTTGGATTATTTATCTCATTCTTATTCTGTTCATTTTGTTATTACAGTATTCTCGTTGTAATATCTGGTGAAGATCCTGAAGACTCTAACAAATGGATTATTTCTTACTTTATTACTTTTGCGCTTATTGAGTTATTTTTTGGAATTGGATTATCTACTTTAATGTACTTTGCTTGTAAAAAAGCAATACTTAAATTATAAACTAATACATTTTTAAAATTGATGGGAGCAAAACCATTATTATTAGCACTAAGTAGTTGATTTACCATTAGCAAATTTTAATTAAATAAAGTAATTAATTAAAATTGTATTTATTATTTCTGTTTAAGCTAATATATTATAAACTATTTTGTTTGTGTTAGAAATTTAACAAAAAGAATTAATGTGCTTATATTTAACATATTCTAAAATTTTTCTGTAATAAAATAACTTTTGTATGCAGATTTTGAAATATTTAAAAATGCTGTATAATTTCATTAATACATTTACTCCCCTTAATCCAAAACTCCAAAATTTAAAATGACGTAAAAAGACAATTTTTTTAAAAAAACTATTTTTTTGAAAGTGGCCATAATTAATGTGAAAATACAGTATTTGTTTATTATTTAATTAAATCCAAATTAAGTTAAAGCTAATCCAAAATAATGATAATACATTTTTATTATTAAATTTTAATATAAAGTAATGATAAAAGATAATTGAATTTTATTTTGTATAACAAAATTGATTATTAATTAAAATTTTTATTTTGAAATTTCTTATTAATTTTATTATTTCTAACTTAAGTCGAAAATAAAATAAAAAATTATATCAAAAGAGTGTTTGTTTCTGTGTTGATACATTTATTTAAACTTATAATTAAATATTATTTAATTTTTTTCCATCAAACCATAAATCATTTTAAGATTATTTTTTCTTTTTATTAATTTAATCAAAAAGATCTATTTTATTTTTATAAATGAGTGAAAAAGTAGTCTTCGTGATCCTCTGAATTAGCTCCTTCACTATTACTTTTGGTATCATCTAGGTAGTCTTCCTTTATACTTATATCTACAAGTCTTTTAAGTTTGTAAAAGGGAGCAAGTTCAGGCTTTAAGCTATCATTATAGTCATAATCATAAGATGTAGTACAATATATTTTAATTTTGTTAATTTTAGTTTAATCTATTTATTTTATAATTCTATCTAAGTTATAATAATCCTCTCCATTATAAGAATAAAGTTCTAAATTTAGCTGGATAATCTATTTGCATCCTAACAAATTGAAATAGGCACTTTCACCTTTTTTATAGTACAAAGTTAATTTTTGCAAGTGTTCAAGCTTTTATAAGAAACTAGTTTATAAATCATAAAGCTTATTATCTTGAAATATGTAAGCACAATCTTGTCTAAATAAATCAGAATACATTTAGTAATTAAACTCAAGTTTCATAACTTCTTGAAATGACTTATTTTCTGGTTATTTAGCCAATAAATATGGATTATTTTTGCTCAAATAAAATAGCTCTTCTTCTATTATTAAAATCTAAATGAAATAAATTGACCTTACTTCACTTTCAAATTTAATTACTAAAGTTTAATATGAATTTTCAGATATTAATTGACATTAATCCTAAGTTAATATTTCTGGATTTTAAATTTTACTTAGATTAACCAAGCCCTTTTTAATTGTATAAAGTTCCAATGCTTTTAAGTTAGTCACTTCTTCAAATAGGAATGATAATAATTATTACTAGAAATTAAGAAAATATTAACTATCATAAGAAGAAAAAAATAACTTTAATAATTATAATTCTTTTTCAAATTTTTAATAAGAGTTTTTATTTTGAGAGGGATTTATTTTAGTGTGTTGAGCTTTGTTAAATAAATCTACAGGAATTCTTAGTGAATTAATTTAAATATCTTCGTGAATTCTATGTATTTTTGCAATAAGATCTAATTTCCATGAGTAATTTATTTGAACTTTTACTTTTCTAAAATCAATATTTGAAATGAAAACACATTCTTTATCAATAAATCTATCAATTTTTAAAGAATTAAAAATATCAAATCCAAGAATTAACCAATTATATATTTTGGCAACTTCTTCTTTAGAATTCTCAGAAATCTTTTGAAAAAACAAATTAACTAATTTATAATAAGCACCTTTTTCATACTACTTTAAAAAATTTTCATCCATATAATTTCTGAGAATACTATTATTTCTTATACTTTAATTAACAATGTTAGCATAGTAAGATTGATTATCATTCAAGCTAACTGAATCGATGACGAAATTAATAACATCTTTTTCTTTTAAATATTTTTTTAATATGAACTCAGCTTCTTTTTGAGATTTTATTTAGGATGACAAATTATTTCTGTTACTTTTGTCAAATTTAGCATGCATTTTTTCCTAAGTTTTATTAAATTCTTATATTTAAGACATATCCAACTTTTTAAGATTTTATTCAACATAATATTAATTGCTATATAAATCTTTTTGAAATATAGTATTTATTGTTTTTTGTTAGTATTATTACTAAAGATAGTAGTTATGTCCACTACTAATTAAATTAGAATCTTTAAATAGTAAATGCTATGGATTTACTTTGGTAATTTAGTAATTATACTCAATTAGAAGTTTGCTACTAAAATAAAGAAAGCTGCATGCATTGATAATTTAATATTCACTTGACAATTATAAATCATTCAAATTGGCAAAACTATAAGAAGCCTTATATTAATAATCAAAAAATTATTTTTCTACTAAAACATAATAGTGATTTTCAGTCATGAGTAAATCTACATTAATAATTGTTGAGTAACACTATAGTTTTTCATTTAAAATTATGAATTCTTATTTTAGCTTTTCTGCTTTACTTAAAGAACTAAGCTAATGTCCTTTTAATATGATTATTTAGCCTCTTTTTTTAGCTATTAATTCAAATTCTAACTCATCTAAGTAATTTACTTGAAATTCTCCATAAAGTGGATGACTTTAAATCATCTCAAAAATTTATTTTGGATGGAATTTCAAAATATTTGCATAATTATTTTAAATTCTCAACAACAAATCTTTTTTTTCTATTTAAGTATTAAAAGAATTACAAAATTCATTGATTAAATGTGGAATATCACTCATTTTGTAATTTTTTTCTTCAGGTAATTTTTATTCATGCTCCATTTCACTTAACTTTCTATGAAATATATTTTATTTTTTAATTTTACCTTGTATTTAATCTAATGGCTTATTCTTTTGAATGTCAGATTGAATTTTCCAATGAGGATCAATCAGATTTAATTTGACTTTTAGTTAATTATCTTGAGATATGCAAATGTAAAAGTCTTACTAATATTACTCATATTTTTTAGTTTGATAAAAAATATGGAGACTGTTATTGAAATATTCAGTAATTTATTTCTTAACATTAACAATAAATCCTATGTTGTTTTCATATTATTATTCAATCTCATTTAAAGTAGAATTAAATTATTCCATTTCAAAAACATAAAAAATTTAATCTTAATCTAAATGATAACTATCTAGCATACTCAAAATAAGATCACTTCTAAAGGATCTTTGAGTTATCTCTTGATAAAATGTTTTATATTTCTAATAATCCTATGAAGGACAAATAATTAGCATTTTATTTATTTTTTGAGCCTAATCATAAACTCTAACATATGCAAATTAATCTTGTGTAATATATTAATAATTATTATGATCCTTAGGTGTGTTTAAAAACTCTTTAAGCAAAAAGGAGGGTTTTGCAACCTTCAAGCATATTTTTATATAACTTTATGTCAATTGTTTGTAAGACATTTATTTAAGTTATTGTTTTTTACAAGAAGAAGCCAATCTTTTGTTTATTATATTTTCTTTCTTTATTAACTTAGTAATGAAACATATCTTAAATTTCAGAAATGATTGATCACTGAATATACTTCAAATTTAAGAATTTTGGAGGTAAAAGTAAATTAATTTATTAACTTAATGCTTATTTTATTTTTAAAAATTTTTAACACTTAGATTTTCTTCTTTCATTTACCTCTATATTTTTTAATTGGTATCTTAATTCAATTAAATAAAAAGAAGTTTTTAATATATGATATAATTTTTGATGGTTATTTATTTCAGATTCTTATATTAGAATTAAAATAAAATAAAAATAGCTATAAAAATTACTAAAATCAATTTACAAAAAAATAAGATAATTTTAATAAAAAAAATATTTTTCAAAATTAATTATATTTTTTAATTGTTAAATTAGTTATTAATTTTCTTTTCTACAATTTATCTTTTTAATCAAATATTTTTATAAATATATATTGTGTAAAAATATTTTAGATTTTCATTTCTCTTAAAATATATAGAATGGGGTAGTCAAACAATAATCTTTTAAAAAAAATTTTTTTCTTGAAAGTGGCCATAATTAATTAATGAGAAAATACAGTGTTTATTTATTGATTATTTAAGTAAGTGAATCCAAAATAAGTTAAATAAATAAATTAGATAATTTATAAAGCGAATTCAAAGTAATGAAATAAATAAAAATTATTGAATTTTAATATAAAATGATGATAAAAGATAATTTAAATTATGTATTAAAAATTGATTATTAATTAAAATTTTTATTTTATAATTTCATATTAATTTTCAAATTTCTAACTTAAGTCCAAAATTAAAAAAAACAAAATTCTATCAAAAGAGTGTTTGTTTCTATTTTGATACATTTATTTAAATTTATACATAAATATTATTTAATTTTTTTCCAACAAACCATAAATCATTTTAAGATTATTTTTTCTTTTTATTAATTTAATCAAAAAGGTATATTTTATCATAAATTTTAGTAGAAGTAGTCATTATTAGAGTCATCATTAAAGTCATCATTAGAGTCATCATTAAAGTCATCATTAGAGTCATCATTAGAGTCATCAATAAAGTCAGAATAACGTAAACTACATTTATCTCTTCGTATCCAGTCAATTTTTATACTTGTATCTACTAGTCTTTTAAGTTTGTAAAGGGGTGGCTTTAAGTAATTATAAAATTTAAAATATTCATTCTCATAAGATAAAATATGATATATTATAATTTAGTTAATTTTAGTTTAGTCTATTTATTTTATAATATTATCTAAATTATAATATTTATCTGCCTTATAATTTAAGAGCTCTAAATTTAGCTGGATAATCTATTTGCATCCTAACAAATTGAAATAGGCACTTTCACCTTTTTTATTTTAGAACAAAGTTAATTTTTGCAAGTGTTAAAGCTTTTATAAAAAACAAGTTTATAAATCATAAAGCTTATTATCTTGAAATATGTAAGCATAATCCTGTCCAAATAAATTAGAATACGTTGAGCGTGAAAACTCAAGTTTCATAACTTCTTGAAATGACCTATTTTCTGGTTATTTAGCCAAATAATATGGATTATTTTTGCTCAAATAAAATAGCTCTTCTTCTATTATTAAAATCTAAATGAAATAAATTGACCATACTTCACTTTCAAATTTTATTACTAAAGTTTAAAATGAATTTTCAGATATTAATTGACATTAATCCTAAGTTAATATTTCTGGATTTTATATTTTACTTAGATTAACCAAGCCCTTTTTAATTGTATAAAGTTCCAATTCTTCAAAGTTAGCTACTTCTTCAAATAGGAATGATAATAATTATTACTAGAAATTAAGCAAATATTAACTATCATAAGAAGAAAAAAATAACTTTAACAATTAAAATTCTTTTTCAAATATTTAATAAGAAATTTTATTTTGAGAGGGATTTATTTTAGCGTGTTGAGCTTTGTTAAATAAATCTACAGGAATTCTTAGTGAAGTAATTTAAATATCTTCATGAATTCTATGTATTTTTGCAATAACATCTAATTTACTTGAATGCATTATAAGAACTTTTACTTTTCTAAAATCAATATTTGAAATGAAAACACGTTTAAATATACCAATTTTTAAAGAATTAAAAATATGAAATCCAAGAATTAACTAACTATATATTTTTGCAACTTCTTCTTTTGAATTCTCAGAAATCTTTTGAAAAAACAAATTAACTAATTTATAATAAGCACATTTTTCATACTACTTTAAAAATTTTTCATCCATGTAATTTTAGAGAATACTATTATTTCTTATACTTTAATTAACAATGTTAGCATAGTAAGATTGATTATCATTCAAGCTAACTGAATCGATGACGAAATTAATAACATCTTTTTCTTTTAAATATTTTTTTAATATGAATTCAGCTTCTTTTTGAGATTTTATTTAGGATAATGAATTGTTTCTGTTACTTTTGTCAAATTTAGTATGTATTTTTTCCTAAGTTTTATTAAATTCTTATATTTAAGATATATCCAACTTTTTAAGATTTTATTCAACATAATATTCATTGCTATATAAATCTTTTTGTAATATAGTATTTATTGTTTTTTGTTCGTATTATGTCTCAAGATTATTTTATTGTGCTCTAATACTAATTAAATTAGAATCTTTAAATAGTATATGCTATGGATTTACTTTGGTTATTTAGTAATTATACTCAGTTAGGAGTTTGCAACTTAAATAAAGAAAGCTGCATACGTTGATAATTTAATATTCACTTGACAATTATAAATCATTCAAATTATAAGTAGCCTTATATTATAAATCAAAAAATTACTTTTCTACTAAAACATAATAATGATTTTCAGTATTTAGTTAGTCTACATTAATAATTGTTGAGTAACACTTTAGTTTTTCATTTAAAATTATGAATTCTTATTTTAGCTTTTCTGCTTTATTTAAAGAACTAAGCTAATGTCCTTTTAGTATGATTATTTAGCCTCTTTTTTAGCTATTAATTCAAATTCTAACTCATCTAAGTAATTTATTTGGAATTCTTCATAAAGTGGATGACTTTAAATCATCTCAAAAATTTCTTTTGGATGGAATTTCAAAATATTTGCATAATTATTTTAAATCCTTAACAACAAATCTTTTTTTTCTATATAAGTATTAAAAGAATTACAAAATTCATTGATTAAATGTGGAATATCACTCATTTTGTAATATTTTTCTTCAGGTAATTTTTCTTCATACTCCATTTCACTTAACTATCTATGAGATATATTTTCTTTTTCAATTTTACCTTGTATTTAATCTGATGGATTATTCTTTTGAATGTCAGATTGAATTATCCAATGAGGATCAATAAGATTAAATTTGACTTTTAGTTAATTATCATGAGCTACACAAATGTAAAAGTCTTACTCATATTTTTCAGTTTGATAAAAAATATGGAGATTGTTTTTGAAATATTCAGTAATTTATTTCTTAACATTAACAATAAATCCTATGTTGTTTTCATATTATTATTCAATCTCATTTAAAGTAGAATTAAATTACTCCATTTCAAAAACATAAAAAAATTGATCTTAATCTAAATGATAACTATCTAGCATACTCAAAATAAGATCACTTCTAAAGGATCTTTGATTTATCTCTTGATAGAATGATTTATACTTCTAATAATTCTATGAAGGACAAATAATAAGCATTTTATTTATTTTTTGAGCCTAATCATAAACTCTAACATATGCAAATTTATTTTGTGTAATATATTGATAATTATAATCATCCTTAGGTGAGTTTAAAAACTCTTTAAGCAAAAAAGTGGGTTTTGCTACCTTCAAACATATTTTTATATAACTTTATGTCAATTATTTGTAAGACATTTATTTAATTTTTTGTTTTTTACAAGAAGAAGCCAATCTTTTGTTTATTATATTTTCTTTCTTTGTTAATTTGATGATGAAAAATATCTTAACTTTCAGAAATTATTGATTACTGAATTTACTTCAAATTTTTTAATTTTGAAGGTAAAAGTAAATTAATTTATTAAGTTAGTGCTTATTTTATTAAATAAAATTTTAATACTTTGGTTTTCTTCTTTCATTTACCTCAATATATTTCTATTCGTGTCCTTAAATATATGAAAAGAAGTTTTTAATATATGATACAATTTTTGATGTTTAATTACTTCAGATTCTTATATTAGAATTAAAATAAAATAATAATAATAATAATAGCAATAAAAAGTACTAAACTTAATTAATCAATTATAAAAAAGATAAATCTAATAAAAAAATATTTTTCAAAATTAATTATATTTTTTAATTTTTAAATTAGTTAGTAACTTTCTTTTCTACAATTTATCTTTTTAATCAAATATTTTTTTCAATATATTGTAGAAAAATATTTAGATTTTCATTTCTCTTAAAATATATTGAAGGGGGGCAGTCAAGTCAAACAATAAAATTTAAGACTTACTAAAGATCTTATTTGTTAAAAGGTTTTAAAGGTCAAAATTGGCAAGTAGAACTTTGATTCCCCCCTTCCAAACCAACTCCCTTTGAAGTATAAATGCTGCTATTTTAAATTCTTTTAGATTTATTTTTAGCTTAATAATCAAAAGTTTAGTTTATTTTTATATTTGAAATCAAAAATTTTGTTACTGCCTATTAATTTTTGAATAGACTCACAAGCTAAATATTTTTCGATAACATCAAAATTGAATTTTGCGTGTTTAAATATCAATTATTAAGGGAACTAAAACTAAAATTATCAATTTATATTTATAATTTTCTAGTAATTCTAGTGCGAAAGAGTTACTCAAAATTTATAACATATTAGTTTGATATTCATTTTTTAAAGCGTAAAAATAAACATTTATTTGAGCTCATTTTTATTTTTAGATGCATTTAGATATAAAAATTTAATTTATAATAACAAAAATATTATTAAATCAACAATTGATAAAATTGATGCATCGTTTTAATTACTAATTGATGAAAAATGGTATCTGGTTAACAATTACTACCATTAATGCAATTATTATCATACAATTTGAAATTTATCTCTAGGATGTGATTTTTAGATCTTATGAATCAGTACGAGTAAGATTAATTTCTTAACTTAATAATCAAAGTTTTAGTTTATCTTTATAGTTGTAATCAAACACTTTGTTTCTGCCTTTAATTCTTTGAAAAGAGTAATCAAGCTAAATATTTTTCGATAACATTAAAATTGAATTTTTGAATATTAATTATGGGAACTAAAAATAAATATATAACTTTTAATATTTTCTAATGATTTTTGTGTGAAGATTTGAAATTTATAATATATTAGGTTGACATGCGCTTTTTAAAGTGTAAAAATAGACATTTTTCATCTCATTTTTATTTTTAGATGCATTTTTAAAATCCATATATTTTATTACAATCACAAATTACTATTAAGCCAACAATTGATAATATTCATGGGCTTTTTTAATTTCTAATTGATGCAAAAGTACGTCAGTTTATCAACTATTACAATTCATGCTATTATTATCGAATTATTAAAAATATTATCTCTAAGATGTGATTTTTAGGTTTTATTAATAATTGAGTATGAAATGCGTTTCCTTGATTTTATTATCTTACACGAGTTAAAAAGAAATTGAAATAAGTAAAATTGTTTGTATAAATTGTTCTTTTTTTGTCTTAATTCAGTATAAAAACAAATTATATTGAAAAATAATCAAACAAAAAAGTGAGTAAACAAAATAGGTATATGAGAATTATTTAATATTTAGTAATTTTTATAGCATTCAATTGCTTAGTATTAGCTTCTAATGAGGAGAGCTAGAATCTACCATCTCATTTGAGAAAACAGACTAGACAGCTTTAAAGTTGTCCATCCAATTGCGATCTTTGTGACTTAGATGGATTTTGCTTGTAGTGTAGTAACTTAAGAGTATTTCCTAACTGCAGCTGTTAGTTAGGATATTATGAATCCTAAGGAACATGCAAATAATGCAAACCAGGCTGTATGAGTTGTACGTCTGATAATGATTGTTAAGCGTGTTTTTCTATTTACGTTTACAACGCAGCTACAACAAATTGTGATTGCAATATTCCACATGTGGGAGGTAGAATTAGAGTTTTCAAAAGAAATAATCATTATTTAATGCATTATTTTATAAAATAGGATGTGAAGACTAATAAACTGGAATTTTAATATACATTACAAGATTGAATACTGATTTAAGATCTTTTGTGGTTACGTTCAATTAGATGATTACCATGGTGGGAGTGCCTTTAGATTAATAATTTTCGGGTTCATTTCAAAACTGTTAATAAATTCTTGATCCAAGTACCGTATAGGTCTACAATAATAATTCTCCAACTGAATAGATACCAAATTGTCTAATTGATCCCTTAAATAGAAACCAGTTCATTATTTTTTTTAGTAAAATCAAAGAATTAATTCATAATTTTAATAAGTTCTTAAAATTATTCTATTTAAAAATAGCTACAGCTCCTAGCTCAAGCATTTACTCATCAAATTAGCCGAAATTTATATTGGCTAATTTGAATGTAAATATCAATTAGAAAGCTATTCCTGCTACTCAAATCTATTAAAAAGAGCCTAATGTTAGTGTTTAGCATAATAAAAGAACTAAAATTTGTGCTTTTAGTCTAACTAACTATGTATACCAGTATTCTAGTACTTAAGATGTTGCGTTCGTCAGCCTTACTGATATTGGAATTTATAGTGTAGTTAATATTGATAAAATTTAGATAGCAAGCCCTTCTTAGTACTCTAATATTTAGTTCACTTTTTCATTAAATATTAATAAATAAGGTTATGAAATTAAATTTAATTCTAATCCATTAATTGATGATACAATTTAACTGTTTGTTTAATGTTCTATACCTTTTGGAATTACTTAAACTGATACAGCCACAGTTAAAATTTCTTCAACTTAACCATCTTCTCCTTACAGTATATTTATTCCTTATGTAGGAAATTCCTTTTCCACCTATATCGATGCAGGTTTTATTATAAATGTTTTGAATTTTCCATCTATATAAGATTATCAAATATAAATAAGCTTTATACCTTAGTTTTAAACCACTCAAACTATCTAATGTAATAGTTTTACTACATTATATAACGTAATTATCCCTGCTTATACGATTAAATATACAACCAGCGTCTATTTGCTAGTAAATTATTAAATTCATTTATTTATCTTTTAATTAATATTAAAGAAGTTATTCCAAAACCTTCTTAATTACATCATAATACCATCAAATTTTTTTATAATTAACTATTTTTTATTTTAAAAATTTTATTTTTATATTTAAGATAAGGGTCTTTGATATAAATGGTATTCTTAGAGGAAAAGGTTATATATAATATATTAATTTAGCATACTAGTTCTTAGGTTAAAACTCTCTGACTCCAATTAGTTAAAGTAAATTAAATCCTACAGCTAATATTTAAATAGCTTAAGATACTTCGCAATTCATTTTGTCATAAGCAAAATATTTTAATCCATAATTTTACATTTAGACTTGGTTTTGCCTAGACAGTAATGGTAATCCTTGTCTAGATCCATAATAGAAACCTCTGAAATTAATTTAGAATGGGAGTAATATAGTGAAAATCAGTGCAAACTCTCTGCCCTTAAATACTTAATACACTATTTACTATTAGCTGATGAATCAAGGCTTCCCTTTTAGTAAATAGTATGCATCATACTAAATCGACTCCGGTAACTCCTATCCATACGCAATTATTTAAGGAATTATACCTTAAGGACTTTAATTTGTAAGAGTTAATTTATAGGATGTTGTCTACGTTAGTATATAACTACATACAGACTTTGCTTATAAAATAAGCTATGCGCAATATACTCTAACACTTAGCTATAATAATGTTTAACATACAATCTAGTAGGTATCTAACTAGTTCTCATTTATACTGTAAGATTATTTTCCTAATCCAGATTTTTCCTAACTTGTTGGTGTACATTTAACTTATTCAATATATGACTTCTACTTCCAATAGAACATACCTTAGTTAAATTCAAATCCACCCTCTACCATTTATGTAATTCCACCTCCTTCTCCTATATCATTGACAATCCGTAAATTTTAATTTATTTTTCTTCTCTTATTTAAATTATTTAAATAATATTTTGTTGATTAATTATAAATTTATTTATTTTATAAATAAATATTTTCAAATATTATTAATTATAATCAATATACTTATTTCATTCATTTTTAAAAGTTCTTACAAAATATTTAAACTAGAAATTTTTTATTTTTTAATTGCTTTTTAAAATTACATTTTTTTTCTGCTTTTTCAAATTTTTAATTCTTGAAATATAAGGTATATATACATCTATTTCCCATTATTTAGTAGAAAAAATTTTATAAAGCAGAATCATTTAAAATTAATAAATATTTTATTTGATTTATTTTATTTAAAATAATAATTAGCGAACTAAGCATACACAGCTTTTTAAGATTAAGTTTCAATAACTTTTAATCCCACAGATAAAACAAAATTTTACTAATTTTTCTACTATGAGAGCCAAGCAGATCTACTCTTTGAAATTTAAAATCCCTTATAACCAAAAAGAAAGATGCTTTCAACTTAGTCTGCTGTATAATAAATAAATTGCTTATTACCTGCTGGAAATATTGTAGTTATGGGAGTTTATTTTGATCCACAATACTATACTTATGCAAACACTACATAAACTGTACAAATTAATAATAACAACTTTAATTAGCAAACCATATAAACCTTTGTTAACAACCAAATGACATAAGCTCAAAGCTACTAAAATTAAAATCTTTACTAGAATGAGATATTTGCATACTAAAACATATTGGGTTCTATTGAGTAGTTTGAAGCAGCTAACACTTCTCCTTCCTAAGTTAATCAAGTAAAAATATAAATTTTAAATAGACTCATGTAAAGCGTTTGGACTTAGTAGTTTGATGATAGCTACACTCTTTCTGGTTAAATCATTTAAAAATTAATAGTTTCATAATTTTAGTTGGATCCATAATCATAATTGTTTTAACAGCTCTAATAATCTACTGTAAGCAGAATTAACTAAATGCATAATGCAGTTCAATAGAAATCAGTTGCTTTATCAATAGCATAAATTAACTTCTTTAGAGAGAACTTTCAAGTTGTATCTAACACTTACATGGAGTTAATTAAAGCAAATTCTAACTAAGGATTTATTAGCAACTCTGATATCGAAAATTATACTAATTAAATAATGAATGGATTTACTTATTTGCTTCAAACTAACCAGTCTCCTATTGACTTCCCCACATCTCAAGCTAGTTTTCATATTGAAAATAATGACAATCTAGTCTTTTTTAATAATTACTATAGCTAAGTTGTATAAAATTTAGATCCCTATGCTTCCACTAATTTTAATTATTATGTTACTGTTTCTAGTTGGTCTAATAGCACCTATTTATATCGTGATGAGCTCATTTAATATAATTAACAATATTTATCTCAAGCTAACCAAACAGTTTAAACTCTATTAAATAGAACTTACGGAATGAAGATACCAAATGTTTATACTAATAATTAACCCACTCCTTCAAACTCTAGAATGAGATTTTTATAATCTTAGAGCACTAGTGTTCCTAGTGGATTTACTTTGAACTTTGGTCCTGTTTCATAAGAAGAAAAGCTTAAGTGCATTTAGCGTCAGCCTACAGGAAACTGGGTTCACAACAGCTGTCAAACCTCAATTGAGATGAAAAATAATTAGAGGATTATTAAATGTGTTTGCTAAACACCTCAAGTCACATCTGTTATCTCTGATATAACTTAGTTATTAGATAATAAAAATCTTTAAAAGATCTTCAGTGAAGATGGTATTGCTGGTTTAGCTTAACTTACTAATTGGTATGAGTATGCTCCAATATGGACTATGATAGCTCTGAATATTGGCTTTGCTTTTATGCTTTTTGCTGCTTACGGTTTTGATAAAGTTGATAAATTAGCAATAAGTTAAACTACTTCTTTAGTTTATCCTATGGACCATTAACACTCAAATAAAAATAGTCAAAAGAAACCTAAAACACTATTTTTAAAAGTAAAGATAAAAAAAGCAAGTGAGTATAATTTGCAAAATGAGATGTAATTAGAGACACTATAAAAATAAGAAAGCGGACAAGAAAAACTGGAAGTTTAACAACTTTTAGATGAAAAAGCGGCTTCTAACAATACAGATAGCAAAGAATAAAATAATTAAGGTTAAAATAAATTAAAAGTAAAAGAGGAGTATTCATCTTAAAATTTTTAAACATAATTATTAATTAACGACAAAAGAAATTCATCAAATTAAATAGAATAAAATGAACTATAAAAATTAACATAGCATTAGTTTAAGCAAGGAAATAAACAGGATTAGCAATCATAAAATAATTAAGTCAAAAAAGTTCAAAATGATGTTTTATTAACTAATATCGAAGTTACAGATACCAATAACTTGTTCGATAAAGAACCTTCATTAAAGGAATAAGCTAATTAAGACAAATTTTATCAAAATAAATCTCCATAAAACAAGGATAGACATAGCTTAAAATAATAGGTTTCTATTTATTCCTAAGATGGTCTTAGCAAAGAATAAAATCAATAAAAAAATGAAAACTTAAATGAATAAAAATTATAGAAAAAAAAGAGCTTAGCTGATGAAGATAGTCTCGAAAAATAAATTAGAAAAGAAGATAAAGAAATTGATAAAATAAAGTAAGAAGAAGAGAAAAAATTCAAAGATAATTTATCTAGGCAGAAATTGATTGAATATTTAAATACAGAGAAGCCTATTTATGCTATAATGACATATCATACTCTATTTTAAACATTTATCATATACTAAGAAGACTAGTCTAGGCTATTGAGATTTATTATCTATTACAATAAAGTAATATGGCTATTAACTCTTAATTCTATATTTGGAAAAAATATAAGCGTTGTCTAGGTCATTGTTTTAAGTATTGTTACAACTATAGTACTTTAAGTTGTTACAACAATTATTCAAATACTTTTAAAATATAAGAAACTTAGAATAATAGGCTTGTTTATTACTTTCTTGTTTTGCTTATTTTGCTATTATAGTATTCTTGTAGTAATTGCTGGGCAATCTGCTGAAGATGCTAATATCTGGATTATCTCATATTTTGCAGTCTTTATCCTTAATGAATTTGTCATAGGATTTGGTATATGCGCTGCTATGTATTATGCTTGCAAAAAAATTATTCTTAAAGCTCAAACCAATACATTTTTAGAATTTCTAGGAGCAAGTCCACTTCTCCAAGCTTTTAGCAGCTGAGTTATTATTATAAATAATCAATTAAACACATATTAAAAAATTATTTGAAAATTGTATTTTTTTATAAGTAGTCTTTATTCAGACAAAGTTTATTATTTATTCCTAAAGTTAAAATGATTATTTTAAATACTTATTGAAGTTTTTCCTAATATTATTATAGTTCATCGTATTAATTTAGTTTAATTTAAGAACAATCATTTTCTTATTAAATAAAAATTTGCAAATAAAAACCTTTTCTAATCTTTCTAAAAAAAATTATCAAAAATTTAAATCCATGAATGAATATTAAAGCCAAAATCAAAAAATAGATTTAAGATATTTTTTTATTATTCACTTTAAAATTTTATTATATTCCATAAATTAATTAAAAAATTTTGCAAAATTAACTTGAAGTTTTTTCTTTGATTATAAAGATTTGTATGAATTAAATTTTAATTGAAAAATTTTTGGTGTTCGGTCTTAAATTCGACACCCTTTATTACATATTTTTTGTAAATTATATTTAATATCAATATTTAACTATTATGCTAACCCCAAAATAAGTAATTCGTCAATCTATTTATTAAGTAAGTAAGTAAATAAGTAAGTAATTAAGTAAATAAGTAAGTAAGTAAGAATAATGATTTTATAATTTAATTCAATTTCAAAATCTGGTTTAGATAAATGAAATGGAAATGTAAAAAATATGAGTGAATACTCACTCTACCTATCTACTTGGTGAAAAAATATCACTTTCAAATTTTATTCTTATAAAATGGCTTATAATATGTATGATATTGGATTATCCTAAAAATTAAAAATTAAGATATTCATCAAGCAAATATAATGATTTGTTTGATTGTATAATTAACTAAATAAAAATAATCATGGAAAATAAATAGAACAAATAACAAATCTTCAAATAAAATTTAGTTGAGCTAATTAAGAATTGATGCAAAACAAAATATAAGTAAGTTAGGCAATATTAAGTAAATAAAATTTATATTTTTTATAAAAGTGCTAATTTCTAATTTTAAGGTAAGATTAACTCTAGTTCAGTAATTAAATCAAGAAATATTTGATCAAATAAATCTGATTATTAATTACTTGAAACTAAAAAGCTTGAATCTTATATACTTTAAAGCAATAAGAGGATAGAAAATAAAAATTAGGGGTTATAGTCAAAACAAAAAAGGCAAACTTAAATAAAACATTGAAAAAAAGCTTATAAAAATAAATAGAACCATATCATACATACATACAGCATCAATGAAGGATTATTTAAATTTTATTTGTAAACTATTAATACGAATATTGATTTTAAGTGAGACGGTCAGACATCTTTTGTTACAAGCTCTTTTAAATCTAAATTTCATTATTATAAAAAATCTGATCATTACTAAGATTGATTATTGATAGTTATTAAAGTAAAGTTTCATCTATATTAATTATGTTTGGGTAGTTACTCCTAGTATCTAAATATATTAAAGGATAAAAACATAATTTATATCTTATGGGAAAATGTGTTTTGTCTATTTGCTACTGAGCTTATTGATTTTAAGATAAGAAATTAATATATAAAATCTACTGATCATCATTATATTTTCAAAAAAGTAACATCAAAATAAAATGCGTTATATACCAAATTTAATAATTAAATTTTATAATATTTAAATAACTAAGCAAACAATCATTTTAAATTGAGTAACTTAATCAATTTAAAACTCTAATTAATTATTATTTGAAATTTAGAAGAAATTTTACCATTATTTTGTTTATAGTGCGTTAAAAACTTTGGATTAATCATAATAGTATCAATTTGTTTTTAATTTAAAAAAAAGTAAGTCAATTAATGTATCTAGTAATTTTACTCAGAAAAATCTATTTTTAAACAATCAATTGTGTAAAGACAAATAAATATATCTTTTGATTTAAAAATTATTTATTAATTAATATCATATTAAATACTAATTTTATATTAGATTTAGTTAATTAATTTATTTTTTCCTTCTTGAAATTTCTTAAATTATTAACAGGGATTTAAATTAAATTATGTTTATATAAAATCTTCAAGATCTTAAAATAATAAAAATAAATTTTTTGATCTTCAAAATTAATTTAAATGTTGTTCCTCCTTAATTAATTTTAAGTAACTTTTATCTGATAAAGTCTAAATTTTCATAAAAGATAATAAAAGGAATTGTTCATCAATTTATTAATTAATGTTTATCTGCAATTTTGTTTGCAAAAAGCTTAAATAAATAGTTTTTTTCATATTATCCTAAGACTATAAATTTATCAGAGGTAAAAATATCTGTTGTTATTGCCTGAATTTTTGTTACTGAGCTTGTAATTAAATTTATATTTTTAAAAATATCTTTGTAAAATCAATTTTGATAAATGGTTTGGCTTATTTAGATTACTAGTAATTAATTTATTAAATTCAAGTAGTTATTTATTTAAAAATAGCTAGTTTACGTTATCAATTTTGTTTTAGTAAACTTTTTATCAAAAATGTTAACCAAAGTTAATCAATTTGTAAAAATAGATTAATTTAATTGTTTATTTATTTAATTATGTTTTACTTGAATACCAGTCACTATACTCTATAAGTATTACAAGCAAATCAAAAAAAAATAGTTAGTATTACCAAAATCTTAAATTCATCAAATCAAGTAAACAATATTAAATTAAAAAGAAATCTCATAAAATATGTTTATACTTCCTTTCCTACTTTTTGCAACCTTTCATTTATCTCTCCAAAATAGCTTTAAAGAACATGCTCAGGGAGACATTTAGTTACCTATATAAAAACGACAACTTTAAAGCTGCCCTTAATTTTGTGATGTTTGTGATGATTCTGGCTACTGCTTACAATGCTGCAATTGCGATTTAAGGGTATTACCTACTTGCGATTGCTAAATGGGTTATTATGATTTCGAAGGCTCTTGCCTACCTTGTAAAGAAGGCTGTATGAGTTGTACTTCAGCAGATAGTTGCTTAGAATGTTAATCTACCTATATTAAAGATCCATCTACTAATAATTGCATCTGTGATATTTCTAATGAAGCAGGTATTTTTTTGTTTTTTGCCTACAAAAATGTTTATCAAAAGCATTATTTTTTCCATAAAAGGTGACTGTAAAAACCCAGATGAAGGATTTCTGATATATTACTCAAGGTTTATGAATGATTTTAAGTCTATAGAGGTTATATTTAACCAAATGATTAATATTATTGGTGTAGATTTAATTGAGCAATTCTAAGCATAAAGTTCTACTAATTGCTAAATACTAGATTCCTAAACAATATCAATTTATTAGGGCTCTGCCTATACATGCTTTATTGATTCTTTGCGAAGAAATAGATTTATTATTTCATTTTGTAAATAATCATTTTATTTTAAATATTTTTTTATTTAATGTTTTTATTATAAATTTATAAGCATCTTTGAGTTAGAGTTTAGATTAAAATAAATTCTTCAGTAATCCAATAATAGATTAAACCAAGATAAACATTTAAAATAAATAAAATGAAATAGAAGTTAAAAAAATCTATAATCTAGAAAAAAAGGTTGGAGATCAACATCACTCTAGGCAAAAAATTTGCTATTTTAATTATAAAAACCTAATGTCTAACCCTAAATAAGATTAAATAATAACATCCTTTAGTTATTTTGATAATAATTTTGAAAATATGATAAATTATCTATAAGCAACTATTACAAGCCCATAATAATATACAGGAATTTAATTAGATATAATGGGATAAACAATTCAGTTGAGTAATTATCTACAAATTATATAAGAAGGACCGATTACTATAAGCCTATAGTGCTAATTATTTGATATAATAACAATTGATACAGCTACTGTACAGATAACATTTTAATAGTCACCTAATAAAAATATATTTATTTCATCTTTGATATACTATCAAAATATTATCTAAGGTAGATATGACCAGAAAATTTAGCAAAGTTTAAATTTTAATGTTCTTTAAGACTATTAATTGAAAATTTAAACTCTCCCTCAAATCATAGACACACAAATAATTCAATTAACTGAAGCGAGCAATCTATTTACAATTAATTTACCTGCTTACTCAGCCAAATATACCGAAACGATCTACATTATGGTAAAAGAAGATTCATTTAATTTTGAAAAAACAATTTTAATATAAAAATTAGAAATTTCTAATTTAAATAAATATTATTAAAAACCAAATAATTACTAAAGTAAAAAAATAAATAAAATTTTTAAAATATCTTTTCTTAAAATCTTTAATTCAAAGCCGCTAAGGTCAAATTCTAAAATAAATTATTTTATTAAAATAAGTAACAAGTAATTGATAAAACTGGAACTGTTGTTGCTCAATAGAATATTGCCTATCTTAATCATAATATCTAGTATATCCCCAATCTAACTTAAACCTTAACCAACATAAACCCTCAAAACGATCTTTGGATAGACGTAGATATAACATAATTTTAACTTGCTGAGTCTAATAAAATTGATCCTAAGTATGTTTCCCAATCATGGTTTTGTGTTGATGCAAATAATAACCCATGCTTAAATGCAAGCTAATAACCTTTATAGATAATTCAATTAAGTAACAAAATGAAAGTCAAAAAGAATTAATTGTCGTTTAACACAATCTATTTCTTTTTCTACTAACTCTAAAGTAATAACTTTTAATATAGCTCATAATATTAGAAATTTTCTGTAGACACAGGCTTGACTTATGCATATGCAACTATTTAAGGTTAATAAAGTTCGGGTCATATTAACCTGCAAGATATTCTTAGTATTATCATATACATTCACACAGACTTCCCTTACCAAATAGAAAAAGCTCTTTACACTATAAATCTTGTTTAAAACGGATAAAAAAAAATACTAACTTCCACCTCTAATTAGTTTTCGGTTTAGATTTAAGATTACTTTCCTAATCCTGATTTTTCTTAAAAACCTACAGAATTAATTATTAGTTATTCAATATACGATTACTATTTTAAATAAAATATTCTCATGTAAGACCCCTCTAATCCTGTGATTTTAGAGATTTCATCTCCAGATTAGCTACAGATAGAAATAAGTAAATTATTAAATCTTACTATTTTTAAATATTTAATGCAATATTCTATCTTTTAGATATATTTTATTAAAAAATTATTCAACAAATATTATTAATAGTTCAACTTTTTTTATTCACAAAAAATTTTATTAATAATTTAAACTAAAAAGGAATTACAGTACTTTTTAGGTTAATTCTTAGAAATTTTAATTTCATTAAAATAAATTGTTTTTTTAATAATTTATTTTTACTTTCAAACAATTTATGAATATTTTTTTTATTATAGATCCATTAAATTATATTGCATTTACAGAATTGATAACTATTTAATCAACTTCCAGTACTTCTAAGATATTCTAATTTTTCTACTATAACAATGCTCAGGACAGGGAATTTGAGCTATAAAACCCATATTAAACAACAAGAAAACTACTGAGCTTAGACTAACCTGACTAACATATTACTTCATATCTACCTTTTGGTGATGTAGTTATAATGCTGTTAGGATTTAATCCTGATATATATTAATACACAAATGTTACATATGTATTACCAGTAAAAGATAACAATTTCAACCCACAATCATATATAAATTACATTCAAGAAAAATATAAAAAAGCATAATCTTATTAGTAATAATCTTAGCTCACAAAAGAAATTTTTGTCTATCAAACTATGATTGAAGCTATTGAATAATATGAGAAAAAAGATAATATTGTGGATCAAGTAGTTTCTTAGATTAAGCAAAATATTCTACTTAGACTACAGAATAACATATGGCAAAACTAAATTGATTAAATTTTTAATCTCTCAGGTGAAATAACCCTAAGAATGATAAGAACTAAAATTTAATTAGACTCTTTACTTTTTAATAAAATTGTCGATCAAACAGTAAACAGAATAAAAAAGCTTAACCAATCAATTTAACAAATTTAATCATACTTAAATTAAAAATTAAAATTCTAATATTAAGAAAGCTTTAGAATTACTATTTAGACATACATGGAATTAGTTAAAATTAGTGGAAACTCAGGTCAGATTAGTGAATAAAGCATGATTTAAAATACTGTTAACGCTATGGGTGGCTTATCTATACTTTTGCATACTAATCAGTCACCGATTAAACTTTTTACATCAGCTGCATTAATATAAGTTGAAAAATATGATGATATTTTATTTATGAGTAACTATTTTCAGTAGCTAACTACCGTTGATAAAAACTCATTTTTGAATTAAAATTAATTCTATATACTAACTCAAAGTTGGCCTAATAATACTTTTTTGTTTAGAGATGAACTTGAGGTTTACAATGAAAAGTATATGATGCTTGCTAATAAAACAACTTTAAACTTGCTTTAGACAACCTATTCTATTAAAATACCTACAGTAATACCAATTTTATTTTCAAAAAATGAAGATTCAAGAAGAAGGTTTTTGCAGTAGGAGCAAGACTCAAATATTCCTAGCGATTTTGTAATAACATTCTCAAATATAACAGAATAAGAATAACTTAAGTGCATCTAGCGTAGTAATTCTGGGTAATGGGTAAGTAAAAGTTGCAAAACAAATTTAGTAATAAATGGTCATTAAAGATAAATAGAGTGTATATGTAAAACTCCTGATGTTACTTCTATTATAGCAGATGCTGAAGCTTTATTAAATAATGAAAATTTATCAAATATATTTAGCGAGAGTGGAATAGAAGGTCTGCTTAATTTAAAAAATTGGTATGAATATGTAGCGATATGGACCATTTTCGGTTTAAATATATTTTATGTATGCCTAGCTTGCATAGCAAGAAAATTTGATAAGAGAGATAATCTTAAAATATCTGATTTACAACAACATGAAACTTAGAAGGAATAAGAAGTATTAAATAAGGAAACTAAATAAAACGAGAAAGTTTTTATTTTAATCAAAGCAAGGAAAAGCACTTTCTTAAGGCTTTCTAATACCCTAGAAAATGGAAAAAAAATACTATAAAAATAGTAATTAGAATAAGAAAAAGTAAATAACGTATGTGATAATGCTATACTCTAAAGTCAAATTAAAGAATAAGAGTTAACTGAGGTTCAAAGTTGCTAAATTTAAGATAAAAGTAAGTTCTCAATTTAATCACTAAGATAAATAGAAAACCATCATGAAACGACTATTAACAAGAATTTAAGCTAAAAGCCAACTTGTGATTAATTATGTGGAGAAAAATAGACTAATATATCAATTAATATTTAGAATAACTCATATTTGAAGCCTATTTAATGTATATTTGCAGCTAAAGAAGATGAATTTATTAGTAAAAATATCAAAATCCATTAATAAGGTGAGGATAAAGATAGTCACTCCAAGATTTTATGCTCAAAGCTACAAATAGATAAGAGTCATGAATTGAGTGAAGAAGGAAAAAAGGAAAACATTATAGAAAGTTAGCACAGTATTTAGCTAAAGTATCATCTTAACGATGGTAAAATATCACCTAAAAATAAGAACTAACATCACATGACTGATGACAGTTTTATTTAATCAAAGATAAAAGATGATCAAATTTAATAAAGAAATTCTAATGAAAATGTGGAATAAGACTACAATTAAACTAAAGGTAGTGATTAAGATAAGCAAACTTAGAAGGAGGAAAAGAAAAAATTAAAAAAAGCTAAAAAAGAACTTGCAAAATAAAAGCTGATAGAATATCTAAATTAAGAAAAAGTAACTTTTGGAATTTTATCATTCCATTAGTTTTTTTCAATTTTCTTTATTTACTATGAAAGCTAATCAAGAGTTCTTAGGTCATCAATATTTTATAATAAAATGGTTTGGCTGTTGGCTTTAAATTCAATTTTTGGTAAAAATTTAAGTATTGTTCAAATATTAATTTTAAGCATTGTCTCATCCATCGTCCTATGGGTAGTTACTCTTATCATTTCCATCTTTCTAGACAAAAAAAAATTTTAAAAACTTGGAATCTTTATTGTGTTTTCTTTCTGCATCTTTTGCTATTACAGTATATTGGTTGTGATTTCAAGAAGCTCTGCATATGAATCAAACATATGGGTTATCACTTATTTTTCAACACTCATTCTTAATGAATTTCTATTTGGTATGATCAAAAGTACAGCTTAGTATTTCATTTGCAAAAAAGTATTGTAAAAAATTTAAAACAAACATATTTTGAGCATGCTTGGTGCTGGCCTTTTATTAAAAACTTTGAGTGTTTGATTTAAATCAATATTTATATTTTGTATTCAATTATATACTTTATGCATTTCTTCTTACATTACTTACCATTTTTGAGCTAGTAAAAAACAAACATTTTAAAAAATGGCCCTCAAAAAATATTAAATGAAATGAGGAACCTAAATTATGAGTATATAATATATTTAAATATATAATTGTATTATTTTACTCTCCTAATAAACAATAATTAAGTTTTTAAACAATTAATTAAATTTAGTTTTAAAAGTAATTTTTTAATTAATTTATACTAAGCTACTACTCAACATTAGGTGGTTTCTATGAAATTTGTTTTTAATTGATACTTTTGCTACAAGTTTAAAATAGAAAAAAAATAATAAAATTATTTTTAAGAAAGGAGAAAAAATGAAGTATTTTTATAATAAACTATATATCTTTAGAAAAAAATATTATATAAAAATATTTATTTAAAGTTAAAATTTTTTAATTTATAGCCACTAATTGAAGATCAACATTCAGTTCAAGCATTTTTGCTTAATTTTAATTTGTTTTGTTTCAATTTTTTTAAGTAACTTATTTCTGATGTATTCTAAATATTTACTAAATTAATAAAAAGAATGTGTATTCAGTATAACATACTTTTTATTAGATCTCTTAAATAAGTTTACAATCAATTGATTAACTAAAAGAAAATCAGGTGCATTTTTGTATTTATTTTTCATATTTAAGATTAATTAATACCACTATTTTACTGATTGTATTAAATAAAATTATTATTTTGCGCTAAGATAACTTTTTGTTCAAAATTTTGATTTGAGCTTTTGTGTGGATGATTTAAAATTATATTTTAATACCTTGGCAAAAATCAATTTTGATTAAAATTAATGAAAAATTGATATTTAACTTCAAATAGGTAGGTATTTATTGATTAACATATTAATATACTGTTTGTCATCATCAATTTTAAGGTAAGTAATCTTAAATTCAATCAAGATATAAAATAATCATTTAATAAAAATAGACAAACTTTTTACTTGTAAAAATGTGCTACTTACTGATTGATTAAAGCTTTGGTTCCTAATCTAATAAAAAGCGATTTGCTATTTGCAAACTTTGATATTTAAGAGTTTAAGTAAATAATATAAATTTCAACAAAATGAGGAAATAATAAATGCACTTACTTTTTTTTGTATTATTTACAATAATTCATTAATCTCTATAAGATAGTTCTATTGAGAAAGATCAAAGGAACTTTTAGTCGATAGGATAGCAACGAATTTTATAAAGCTGTTCTTAATTTTGTGAGGTATGTGATGACACAGGTTTTTGCTTAAAATGCTTTGATCAGAGAGTTTTGCCTTCTTGCGATTGCCAAATAGGCTATTTCAATTTCTAAAATACCTGTTAGCCTTGTAAAAAAGGTTGCATGAGTTGTACTTCTGCATATGATTGTTAAGAATGCTACTCAATCTATGAATTGGACAAATCTAGCCAAATTTGTGCTTGCAAAGTTTCTAACATTATAGGTAAATCAAATTGATGTATTATATAATTATAAAAATAAATAAATAATTTTCTTAGATGACTGCGAAAAACCTAAATAAGGTTATCTGTTATAGTATTCAAGGTATATGAGTGATTACAGGTCAATAGAGGTAGTATTTAATCAAATGATCAACATAATTGGTGAAAAATTAATAGACTAATTTGATGCTTAAAGTTCTACTAATTGTAAAATCTTAGATGCGAAAACAATATCAATTTATTAGGACTCAGTCTATACGTGTTTTATTGATTCTTTATAAAGAAATAGATTTATCATATCGTTTTGTAAATACTTTTTAAAATTCAATTATATTTATTTTTTTTTCTCTTTTAATTTTAATAAGCTAAATTGAGTGTGAAGTTAGATTAAAAATAATTCTTTAGTAACCCAATAATAGATTTAAATAAGATATCTATTTAAATAAAGTAAAATTAAATAGTTGACAAATAAATCTTTAATTTAGAAGAATAAGTAAGATATTAACATAATTAGAGTCTAAAAATTTGCTATTTGAGGGATAATAACTTTTATTTTAATTCACAGTAATAAAATTATCTCACCGAATTAGAATATTTTGATTTGAACTATGAAAAAATGATATCAAACATAAAATTGAGTATCACAAGTCCCTAGTAATAGACAGGAAAATTGGATATTTAAGGCTAAGATATTTATTACACAGACATATCAACCTAGGATTACGAAGGACCAATTACTATTAGGTTAGAGTGCTCCTTATTTAATATTAAAACTGTTGATACAATTACAGTGTATATTTCATTTCTGTAGAATTTTTCATAGTACGTTTACTCTTCTACACTGGATAAGTAATAAAACTCATTGATAGGAAGTTTAGACAATAAAATTTAATAAAAAACATCTTTCTTTTAGAATACACACTATTGGATAAGAATATAAACTATTCCTCAAATTATGGAAACCTAAATGATTCCAATAAGCGATAAGGACAGATTACAGATTACTACAATACCAGCTTATTCTGCTAAATATACACAAGTCATTTTTGTAATCGTAATAAAGAAAATATTTTTAATTATTCAATTACTTAAGGAAATATTATACATAAAAATTATTCTTCTTTCAAATTCTCAAGCTAGTTAGTCTCTCTTTTTTCTTCAAAAATAAATTGATTGAGATTTTTTAACTAAAATTTTGATTCTAAAAACAAATCAAACATAATATTTTATCTTTTATAAAATAAACATTTTTTAAATATTATTTAAGTAAGAGGTAATAAATTCATAAGGATTTGCTATTTCTAGGTCGAATCTTGTGTATCTCAACTATAATATTTAGTACATTCCGAATATTGAGAAACAAATGAATAATGTAAACCCATAAAATGAATTTTGGATAGAAGTGGACATAACTTAGTTTTAAATTGCTGAATCTAAAAGTATTGATCCCTAATATACTTCTCAGTCTTGGATTTGTAGTGATGAAAATAATCAGCCATGCATAAATATACACTAATAACCTCTATATATAGATCAATAAGGGAACAAAATGAAACTAAACAAAAATCAATTGCTGTTAAACACTGATTATTTCTTTTTTTACTAGTTTGAAAGTAAAAAATACTAATTTAGCTATCAATTTTAGAAGTTTTCAGTAAACACGGGTTAAACTTATGCCTATGCAACTATTTAAGGTTAATAGGGAGATATTATTAACATTCAAGATTTTATCAACATAATTATTTACATTCACACAGATTTTCCTTATCAAATAGAATAAGCTCTTTACAAACTAACACTAATTTAGAATGGCTTAGAAAAAACTCTAACTTCAGTTACCAATTAATTCTCGTTTTAAATTTAAGACTATTTTCCTAATCCAGATTTCTCTTAAAATCCAACGACATTAAGCATAAGCTACTCAGTTTATGATTATCTCTTCTAATAAACCATATTCATTTAAGATCTATCTAAATAATTCATTCTAAAGATTTCCCCACCTGATTTGATCAACATAAAGATACGTATACATTTTTTCTTTAAATTAAAGCATATTTCTTTTCATTCACTAGTTAAAATATTCACTGCAATTTATTTTAAAATAAATCAATATAATTTTAATTTACCTTCATAAATTCTTAAATTATGAAATATTTTAATTTAAAATTTTAAAAATAAATATTAAAATTGTTACAAATTTCATTTAAAAGCTAAAAATTTTGATGTCATTAGTGTATTAAATAATAATTAAACTGTTAAAAATAATTAGAAATAAATAGAGATTTCTTTTTTTATAAAAGGCATAAATAAATATTTAAAATTAACATGAAAATCTTAAAAGATTTTTATATTTTACTGATTTGGTTTATTTTTTTATTTGAAAAATTCTAATTACAAATTAAAATTTAATTAATATTTTATACAAAAAAAAATACTAACAACTTTTATTTATTAATTAACAGAAAATTAAATGTACGTTGCATTTAAAGATATGGTTTAAATTGAGTGCCTAGCTATTAATTCTAAGATAATCTAATTTTTCTACTACAATAGTGCTGAGGATAGAGAATTTGAATTGTAAAACCCTTATCAGACAACTAGAAAGCTACTTAGTTTGGACTAAATCGACTATCATGTTAAAACATATCTTCCAAGCGGAGATATAGTAATTATGGCTTTAGGATTTGATGAACAAAAAAACCAATACACAAATGTTACATATGCGTTAAATGTTAATGATAATCACTTCAGCTAATAATAATATGTTTAGTTCATTGAAGAATAATATAATTTAGCTCTATCATATCAATAATTAGCTCAATTCAAGGAAGAAATTTTACTTTATTAAAATATAATTGAAACTATTGAATAATTTGAGAAAAGAGATCAAATTTTAAATTAGGTACTTGCTTAAATTAAATAAAATATTCTAGAAAGGCTTTCGAAAAGTGTTTGGTAATATAAAATAGATTAAATCTTTAATCTTTCTGGTGAAATCACTTTAAGAATAATTAGAACTTAAATTTAATTAGACTCTAACCTATTTAATCTGATTTTGAGTTAAACAGAAAATAGAATATAGTAGCTTTACTCTTCAGTTTAGAATTTACAATCTTAGATAAATACAAAAATAAGATTTTAATATTAAGAAAGTTTTAGAATTACTATTTAGACTTACATGGAATTAGTCAAAATTAGTGGAAACTCATACTTAATTAATGAAGAAAGAATTACCTAAAATACCTTCAGTGCCATTTATGGTATGTCTTTGCTATTGCATACTAATTAGTCTCCAGTGAATCTTTTAACGTCAACCGCTTTAATATAAGCTGAAAAATTTGACGATGTATTATTCATGAGTAATTATTAATGGCAATCAACTATTAATTAAGATTCATTCTTAAATTTAAACTAGTTTTATGTCTTAACTTAATGTTGGCCTAATAATACATTTTTGTATAGAGATGAGTTAAAATAATTTAACAAAAAGTATTTAGCCTATGCAGATGAATCAACTTTGCCTTTGCTTTTAATCACTTATACTGTTAAAATTCCAAAAGTGATAAAATCTAAACGTCCAATCAATTAAGATAAAAAAGGAAGGTTTTTGGAGGAAACTAATTCTTTTGACCAACCTAATAATTTTATCATTAGCTTCACAAATGTAACTTAAAATTAATAACTTCAATGCATATAGCGTAATAGTCAAGGAAAATGGGTGAACAGTAGTTGTAAAACAAGTGTTGTTATGAAAAACAATCAGTGGCAAATATAATGCATATGTTAAACTCCTGATGTTACCTCAATAATAGCCGATGCTGAAGCCTTGCTATAAAATGATAATTTGTCTGAAATATTTAGCTAAAGTGGGTTAAGTGGCCTTTCTAAATTAAAAAATTGGTATAAGTATGTTGTAATATGGACAATAATTCTCTTAAATATTTTTTATATATGTCTTGCTTGTATAGCTAAAAAATTTGATAAAAGAGACCGTGTCAAATTATCTAATCTTCAATAATAAACAGAAGATCAATAAAAATTATTTTATCAGGATGCCAAAAAAAAATAAAAAATTTTCATTTTTATTAAAGCAAGGAAAAGTACTTTGTTACAACTGTAAAATTGCTAGGAAAAAGAGAATAATTTAAAAGAAAAGTAACTCTTATAATAACCAAATATAAACAGTGATTTTAAACAATAAGAAATAGATGAAGCTAAAAGCTTTTAAATCTAAGATAAAAGGATCATATCTATTTAATCATTAAGGTATATTGAAAATAACCAAATGATATCAAATAATAATATAGGCTCAAAACGATATAATGATTAATTGTGCACCGAAAAATAGACTCTTGCATCACTAAATAATTAGAATGATTCATATTTTAAATAAAATTAAAACCATTTCGCAATCAAAGAAGAAGAATAAATTAAAAATAAAATCGAAATCCACCAACCAGGAGAAGAAAAATAAAGCTTATAAGAATCATTAAAATTAAAAGTTCTAAATGAGCTTAATGATTAGTAAATTGAGTAAAAAAATAAAGAAAATACAGAAATTAACTAAAATTTTTAATTATAATATCATTTAAAAGATGTTTAATAATCACCTAAGAATAAGACATAGCATTACTTGGATAATGTAAGCTTTAACTCATCTAAAAAAAAGGAAGATTAGTAATAATAAAATAGATTAAATTAAAAATCATAATAAAGTAAAAAGGAAATTAAAATTAATCATAAAAAAATTAGAGAATAAGAAAAAAAAGAACTCAAAAAAATTAAATACGAAATGGCAAAGTAAAAGCTTGTTGAATACCTAGATTAAGAGAAAACAATTTTTGGAATTCTTTCATTCCATTAATTTTTTTCAATTTTCTTTATTTACTAATAAAATCAATCAAGAGTTCTAAGGTCCTCAATATTTTATAACAAAATGGTTTGGCTTTTGACCCTTAATTCTATTTTTGGAAGAGACCTAAGTTTTGCTTAAATATTTATTTTAAGCATCATTTCTTCAATAGTTCTCTGGATAGTTACTAACATCATCTCAATATTTTTAAAGTTTAAAAAGCTTTTTAAAATTGGAATCTTTTTTGTATTTGTTTTCTGTCTCTTTTGCTATTACTGCATACTAGTTGCAATTTCAAGAAGTACTATTTATTAATCAAATATATGGGTTATCAGCTATTTTGCTATGCTGGTTCTGAATGAATTTGTATTTGGAATACTCAAATGTACTGCTTAGTATTTTTCTTGCAAAAGAATATTATTAAAAACCTAAAGTAGACTCATATTAAGGATAATAGGAGCTAAAATGTTATTAAGTAGCTTTAAAGATTGAATAATACAAAATGCAAAAATATTTATGAAAGATGCTCTATAAAATTTATTTTTATATTTTTTAAACGAGTATTTATTCATATTATATGATTTTTTATTTAATTTTTTACCAAATCAAATGTTTAAATTTAAATTAAAATATATTTTATCTAATCTCTTTATTATTTCTGTCTAAATAATTTAATATTTAATCTAAATTAATTAAATAAATAAATATGCATTTTTTGACTCAAATAATATTATCTTAAATTAAAATATCTATCTTGCCTGTCTAAATTATTTTCAAATTATAAATTAACAATCAGAAAAAAATTAGTATGCTAATCTTATAAATGGCTATATGCTTGCATAGAAACAATATAATATTAAATAAACTATTTTCTAAATTTAATTGAAGTTGATATAATTTTTATAAAGCTATATGTTTGCTATGTTTGTATAGAAACAATATAATATTAAATAAGCTATTTTGTATATTAAATTGAAATTGATAAAATTTAATAGATTAAAAATTTACATTTATAAGCATACCTATGAATTTAAATCTCCATAACCTAATTTTGATTTAGTTTTAGATAAATTTTTTGTTAAGCAAAGAGATATAAAAGAAATTAATTTTAGCATTTGAAATTAACTTATCAAAATAATGTAAAAGTGAAAATTAAAGATTTTCATCTCTTGCTAGGTTGAAATAAATTTTTGATTAATGAGGTGAGTCAGTCCTAAATTCAAGATACTATTTGATATAAAATTGTTAAATACATTTTTTCAAAACAAAAAAAGTATGAATAACTTTTCGAGTAAAAGAAAAATCTAAAAATATTGATTGAAGCTATTGGAAATGCTAAATCATCATGTTGTTTATGAATAAATTTTGCATTGTAGTAATTGATTAAATAGCAAACAAAATCAATCGAAAACATAATTCTATAGCTATTAAAAAACCCACATAATTAAAAAATTAAGGTAAAAAATAATCTTTAAAATTTTGATTATAATAAATGCTTAAAAAAATTTTTATTTATTTATTTATTAAGAAGGAGATATTAGATATTAGTAAGTAAATTAAAACTAATAAAATTACTAAAAAGCACAAAAATATTGTATGAAAGTAAGTAGTTATATACTTTTATTTCTTTGCATTTCTTCATTTTATTTCAAAGAGATCAAAGCAGAACATATAGATTAATATGTCTCTTAGAATTTATACAATAGAAATTTATAAAGCTGTTAGAAAAACTGCGCTGTTTGCAATTTCGATGGATTTTGTTTGAAATGTAATGATCTTAGAGTATTTCCTAATTGCGACTGCTAAATTGGATACTATGAAAATTCAGGAACGTGCTTACCATGCAAAAGTGGTTGTATGAGTTGTACATCAGCTAGTACATGCTCTTAATGCTATTCAATTTATACAATTGACTCTTCCACTTAAAATTGTAATTGTAACATGCCAAGCATTGGAGGTAGAATTAAATTTAATGGTAGTCATTATATTAATCTGTTTTCAATAAATTAGGAACATGTGAACTACCGAACCAAGGAACTTTGCTTTATCAGGCAAGGTTACTAGATGATTTAAGTTCAATTTAAGTTATTTTTAACTAAATGATTTAAATACTGGGACTCGCATCTTAAAGTAGCTAATTTACTCCATCACCAAATAATTGCATAATCTTTGATACCACAACTTTATCAAACTATGGTTGTAACAATATAAATAATTGTTAATGTTTTGTAGATTCTCTAAATCGAAATAAGGTGGTCATCAACTTTAGTAAAAATTATAAATATATAACACCAAAAAATAAATTAATTTTATTTAATTAAAATTAGTCCTTCTTCAATCTCCTTCATTTACAAATCCCTCTTTGTTTTTTATAAATCCTGTCATTGATATTACAAAGATCTAAATTCTAATAAATTAAAATGCTGTCTCAGTGCAAAACATCTACAACTTAGAAAGTTAAATTGGAGTACAAATAAACTAAAGAATAAAGCTTGGCTATTTTGCCTAAACAAACTACATCTATCAATATTCCGCAGATCCTAATAACCCTTTAGCATATGTTCTATTTTCCGACTAAAGATTTGCAATATTTTCTGTTTTGACTTGCACAGTTAAAATAAATAGTCCTCCTTAATACACAAGTATTTCACTCTAAATTGATACTTCATAATAAAACTATTATAGAATTTTGTTTAGCTCTGATCCTCAAATAAATGATACAATTATTGTAGCTTTAACTTGCCAATATTTAAATATTCAAAATACTGACATTGCAACAATTTAAATTTCTACTACTAAATAAAGTACAGTGAATTACATATAGCCTTAGTTATAAGCAAATGGTAATCAAATGCAAAGTGCCTTAGATTCTATAATAGGAATAATTTTTAATAACTTTTAGTAAAGTAGCTTTTAATTAATTTCTACATTCTACCCTCCAATTATACCTCAACAAGTAGTTTGGTTGGATCCATCAATCAATTATAGCAACAATTAAAATGCATACTCAGTAAATATACCCGCTTTTTCTGCCAAAATAGTAGAGACCATCTTTTGCATAGTATTGATTTTATTTTCAGAGATTTATTTGCTATAATTTTGAGCTGATCAATAAATAAAAGTATTTTTAAAATATTATGGGGGATGGATGAGTAATGTCCGATAATATGTATAACATTTTAATAAATTAAATATAATCTAATCACTTTTATTGTTTTGAAATTTTACCAGACACCCCTCCTCTTCCATAATTCTTTCATAAATTAATTTTGCCAGATTTTTAGTTTTTTAAAACAAATTAAAAATTTTTCTTTCACTTATTTTTTGATTTTAGATAAATTTAATTTAATTTAAAAATGAATTTATTTACTAAAAAAATTTGTTTGATAAAGCTTGCTAAATAATAACTAAAAATTAGAATAATAATTACTTTTCTAATTGTTAATTTTAAATTTAATTTACGATAAATGATTTTCTTAATCTATTAAATGATATTTTTATTTAAGTTTATGAAAATATTTTTAATTTAATAGCAAAAATTAAATGTTTCTTTTTTTATAATTAAAATAATAAAGTTTAAGGTTTTAGATAACTAAAACAATCTGTTAGCTGTAGCTTATATACAATATCAAAACATGGCTTATTAAACAATATAAGACCCAAAGTTAGTTTTGGATAAATAAACACCATTGACAGATTTTTGGATAACAGTAGATACATCCTAATTTAGTCTTTCATAATCTAAAACTATTGACCCAAATTATCAGCAATAATCTTGGTTTTGTGTGGATTAAGACAATAAACCTTGTTAGGATATTTATGGAAATAAACTAAAAATAATTGATTATGGTAATTAAATGAAAGTTCCTAAAAATTCTATATAAATTAATAAGAAATATATATTTTACTACTTATTATAAAGCATCTAATACCCATAGTATAGTAAGTAATATCAAACATTCACTGTAGGAACTGGAGTAGCATATTCTATGATGGCTTAAACTGTTTTTAAAGTGAATATTTATGACGTTATTTACAATAAAATTCTTGTTCACACTGATTTTTCCTATCAAATCGGAAAAGCACAATATTCTATTTAAATATCAAATAGCTAGAATTAAAAAGTTAATGTAGTTTCTATTTCTAATCAAATATGCTTTGTTACAGAAGACTATTTTCCTCTTTTAGATTTTACTAACTCTCCAACACTTATTTTTCTTACTTTTTCTGTATTTGATTACTATTTTAACACACTTATTCCTATGCAAGACCCTACTTAGCCTATTTAGATTGAAATTTAACCACCTGCTCCATTAAATATCTAAATATGTAATTTAATAATTTTATAATTTCTATAAATAATTTATAAAATAATGTATGTTGGGTGCCTAAAAAATATTTTTAGATTTTTATTTAAAGAAAAAACAATAAAATTTTAAATTAAATTAATTTTTAAAAATAAAAATTTAATGATACCCTTTTCAATAAAACTTAATTAAAATACTAAATTAATACCTTAATAAATTAGAGCAGTAAGCCTATAACGCTTTTACAGATTTAATAACTATTACATGTAATCCAGCAGACAATACTTAATATTATCAGTTCTTTTACTATAACAGCTAAAATGAGAGAGATTTAGAGATTAAATTTCCTTATTAACCAAGAAGGAAAATGATTTCTATTATGCAATTAAGTCAATAAGTTCAAACGCTTCTACCTCCAGGTAACATAGTAATCATGGCGATGGCATTTAATCCTTCTAATTATTTATATACAAATGTTACTTAAAATGTATTTGTTAGTAACGTCGATTTCAATTAAGGAGCATACGTTAACTTTATCTAAACATAATACTCAAAAGCTTAATAATTCTAGGGTAACAATTAAAATGTGAATGAGCTGTAAGTTTATTCAATAATAATTGAAGCAATTGAAAGGTACGAGCAAAATAATATTTCTCCTCTGTCTGTTGAACAAATAAAGTCTAATATTTTAATAAGATTAACTAATGCGATTTGGTATTAACAGCTTGATGATGTTTTCAATTTATCTGGATAAATAACTTACAGGATGATTTCTACTTAGTGGTAATATTCAGCTCAGTCATTCAAACAAATTTAAATAGCTACAGAAACAAGAATATAAACTCTCTACAATTGGATTCAGCAACAATACTCTTCTCTTTCATATTCTTAGTAATTAGCTTATAAATTATGCTTTATATCCAGTATGCAGACATATATGTAGCTAATTAACCTTAATGCTTATTCAGATGTGATATTAGACACTAATATTGTTTAATACACAATTGAGATAATGAGTGGATTATCTTATTTATTAAAAGTAAATTAGTCTCCTATTAATTTATAATCAGACTAAGCTAGTCTTTTAATAGAAAGATATGATATCATTCTGTTTATGGATAAGTACTACTAGCAATTTATTTCTGATCCAACTCCTATTTAGGTTGCTTAGAGTTTCTATGTTTTAACGCAGACTTGGGGCAATAACACATTTTTATACAGACAAGAAATTAATTAGCTAAATTAACAATATTAAAGTAAGGCTAATTCTACAACTTAGGCTTTACTTAATATAACATATCCAATAAAAATACCAACTGTTTTTACAGATTAGGCACAAACAAATTTTTAGTCTAGAAGAGATAGAGTACTATAAACAAATGCTGCATCTCTACCAAATAATTTTATACTAGATTTTGGAACAGTAAATGAGCAATAAGTTAAATGTATTTAGCGTTCATAATCAGGTTAATGGGTAAGTAATAGTTGTTAAGTTTAATTCAATGTGGTTAATAATAAGAGAAATGTAAAGTGTGTTTGTTCTACTCCTACAGCAACATCGATTTTAGCTGATGCTGAAGCTCTTTTAAACAACTAAAATCTTTAAAATATATTCAGTGAAGGTGGTATTTAAAACATTTCAAAATTAAATGATTGGTATGATTATGTAGCAATTTGGACAATGCTAGGTTTGAACATAATCTTAATTTTTATGCTCCATTTTGTGAATACTATAGATAAAAAAGATTTTCAAACAATTTAACAATTTTAGGTAGTCAATACTGAGACATACATAGACACAGAAAAGTAAAATTAAAATAGAGATTAAAGGAGAGGAGTTTTCATTATGATTAAAGCCAAAAATATATCAGAATACAGCAACCTATTTGAAGATATTACAAGCTTACAAAAGTTAGAAAATAAACTAGAAACCTAATAGCTATTAAAAGAAAAGTCTGAATCGCAGCTTATTCTTTAGAACTAGTAAACAAATCTTAAAATAGAGCTTATTTAAAAATAGACAAGCTTAGAGCAAGATAAGTAAAATAATGATTTATTTTAGAAGAAATAAGCAGACTCAAAAGAAGGATTAAATGAAACATAAAAAGACAAGGAATAAAAGTTAAATGGAGAGCATGAAATTTAAACAGATAGAGAAATAAACTTGTAAAACTAAAAAAATAACAATAAACAGCAAAGTTATAGTTAAGAATAAAACTAACCAAATAGCTTTAAGGTCTTATCAACTGTTGCTATTTTACCCAAAGAAAATTAAAATACAACATAAAAAATATAACCTGATGAGGAAAATATGAAAAACTTAACTGATCAATAAAATGAAGAAGAGAGATTTAGTGTAAATAATGATGAATAGACAGAAAAGAGTAAAATAAACAAGAAACCTTCTAAGAAAAATTCTAGTAAAGTATTCCCAGTAACCTCAAAGAATGAAGTTTAAGAGAAATAGCAAGAAGGTGATATTGAAGATAAAAAAGAAGATTTGAAAGCTTTAAAAGAGTAAGAATAAAAGAAAAAAGAAATAGTAGCAAAAGAAAAATTTAAAGAATATTTATAGCTAGAGAAATTTAAGTTTGGTGTATTTGCTTTCCATTAGCTATTTTCTATTTTTACAGTTTACAATGAAGACCAATCTAGAATATTTAGGTTCGTGATTTTCTACAATAAACTAGTTTGGCTATTAACTCTAAATTCGATATTTGGCAAGAATTTAAGTGTAGTTCAAGTTATTATCTTAAGTATTGTTACAACTATTGTCCTGCAAATAGTAACCAATATTGTTGAAATACTTCTGAGATATAAAAAACTTAGAAAACTTGGATTATTAGTAGTGTCTTTATTCTGTCTTTTCTGCTATTATAGTATTCTTGTAGTTATTGCAGGAGAATCTGCATACGAATCTAATCTCTGGATTATCTCATACTTTGCCACTTTAATTGTTAATGAATTAATATTGGGAATCCTCATTAGCGCTGTAATGTTTTACTTGTGTAGAAGATTTATAAAATAAATCAAAAATAACATGATTTTAGAACTTCTTGGAGCAGGAGTATTATTATAAGCTTTTAGCAAAAATTGAATTAAGAAAAAAGAATAAAAAAAAGGCAAAGATTTTTTATATACTGTAATAATTTTATTTACATAATTTAACAATTTGATTAAAATTAATTATTTATTTATTCAATAAAAAATAATAAAAACGAAAAATTAAATGTAAAATTTTTGATTTTGAGTATCTGCATTCATAAATTTATTCATCAAAAAAGGTGAATGAATATATTATTTTAAATTAATATTCACTATTTGTTTGCTTAACAAAAATATTAATTCATAATGATTAGAAGTAAACATAAAAATAAAATAATAATAATAAAAAAAGATATTTTTATCAATTTAAATAATCAATCAAATAAATTTTAAAATAATTTCAAGTAAATATGGATGATAATTATTTAATTATTGAGATTGAAAACTGTTTTATATGTTAAAATTAAAACAAATAGAATATAAAGATATCATATTGTTATTAGTAAATATAAGCTGGTTAATTAATTAATTAATAGAGAACTTTTGCTTATTGCAGAGTTTGTTTGGAAAATGGTTTGTATATACTTAAGAAATTTAATCATTAAAGAACAAATAAATAAAATTATCAAAAATGAATCGCTCATTCATTTTTTTTAAAAACAGAATATGTTTTATCCTCTTCTTATAAGTTGTTATTATTTTTGTTGAAATTATAATTCTGCTGTTGGATTGTTTACTAATTATCATCATCATCTTTATTGTTATTTTCTTTTTACTCCTCTTCTTCTTACTCTTCATCGCTATCTTGCTTACCTAAAAATGGGCGATTTAGCTAATATTCTATAGTTTCTTCGTTACCATTAGCAATTGTTTGCAATTTATTTTTTTATTTTGCAGGTAATCTGCTAGGTAAAGCAGTTTATTCATCATTTATTATTTTATTTTGAGATTATGCTTAATTAGTCTCTGGGGGAATATTTTATGAAAAATCATCTTCTTCACTTTAATAATCTTAATGAGGGAGAAGAATTTGAGCATCTGGCTCGCTTAATTCTTGCAATTATTTTCTATATTATTTTTCCTTTTTATCCATTTTCCAGTTCACAAATATTGCAACAAAGAATAAAATAAATGATAGAGGGCCGAATATGACCAAAAGATAACTAATGCAAGAATCGTTTGAACAGAATTCAGTTGAAGAGCAACACTAGCTTAAACCACAGCATGAGTAGTCGGAGGGACAATATTATTCAATTGCATTTTTATCAACCCCACAACTTTAATCAGCCTTAATGCAAGCTATTTAAAATATTGTAATTACTAATAAGATGGATATTATTTTCATGAACTCTTTGCGTACTTAACAACTAATAATAAATGATCCTTATCACAATCTCAAATTTTTTATAGTTATTTCTTTATTGATTATCAGGACTAATTATTTAATTAATTAAATGATAAAACTTTGCTTAATTAGTTTTGTCATTCATTAATAGTCTTTAGATTGCTTTTCTAATTAATTAATTTATTAATTATAAGCATTTATCAATCAAAAATAATCAATTTCAATTACTAATTTCTATTTAAAGTTTCTTACTTTTGTCTTATTAATAGATTCTGATTAGATGAACAGAAAAAATATTAGGTTTGAGTAGATATATGTTAAATATTTTAATTTGTATTTTTCTTTGATTTTCCCAATAAGAATGAAATATTGATTTATTGATTGATTGATTTGTTAATTTGGGAAGAATTTGAAATCAATTTCAATAGAAAATAAAATACAAAAGAAAACAATTAATTTCAAAAGGAAATAAATAAATTACAAAAGCAATTAATTGTGTGTGGGAATTATAAAATAATTGATAGAAGAAAAAAGACAAAAGGAAAAAATATTCATAATTAATTAATTAAGAAAAAAACTCTAAAAGAGGAAAAAAAATAATTAAAAAAAATAAAGAAGTAAATGATTATCATCATCAATCAACCTAACAACTATCTCAGAATTTGGAATGAGCAATGGGCAATAAGTTTTTAAACTCAAAACCGTTCGGTTCAAAGTCAAAATCAGCACCGAGATCGACTAAGTTTTTTAGAACCCATCGAATTGCCCTTCTTTTTCCAGGTTCAGAGATAATGCGGGGACCTTTAATGAAAAATGATGATTAATGCAAAAAGTAAAATTGATGCATTTCTTTGATTTTATTAAAGGAACAACGCGAGGCTTTTCAAAATGTCTATATCCGAAAAGTCTATCTAAGTAGATAGACCCAGTAAGGATCTCTTCCACCTTTTGTATTACCCTGATTTTTTAATGTATAGTTTTATGTATTTTTAATTAAATCGTTATAAAAAGAAAAAAGAATGAAAGATATTTTGATCGGATAATTTGCTGCTCTTGCTAATGTTGCTGCTGCTATTAATAAAATTAAAAGATAAAAGATAAAATTAAGAAAAATTAATTAAGAAAAAAAGAAAGAATAAATTAAAAAGAATAAATTCAAAATTCAGAGAATCGAGAGAAAAAAATCAGAGAATCGAGAGATAAAAAATAATTAAAAAATAAATAAGAAATAAAAGCAATAAAACAAACAAACAAACAAACAAAGAAATTAAAGCAAAATTTGAAAGAAAATAAACTGCAAAATAATAATTAAAAAGAAAAGAAATCAAATAATAAATAACATCAAAAGAATATTTTAAAATAAGCCAAGCATGCCAAATTTTTTTTGTTTTTTAATAAATTAATTAAAAAAACAATTTAATTTTAATTATCAGGATAATTATTCTGTTTTTACAAATAATTCAAATCTTTAATTACTTTTTTATATAAAAGCAATGAATGCAATCATTTATGAAAAGAAATCAAATAATATCTAAAAACCTTAAAAATCAAATTAAATTCATATTTCTTCATTTTAATATAAAAATTTATTCATTTAAATACGAATTAATATAACTTTGAGCTCACTAAAATTCGTAGATATTTAAAAAATAATTTTCTTTTCTTTTATATTTTATGAAAAATAATATTAATATGTTTTTGTTGATAAATTTAAATTTATTGAATTTGGGTTAATAAATTTTATTTTATTTGTTTTATTAAATGCAAAAAGTCTAATTAGTTTTATATGTTTAAAAGAGATTATTTCTTTAACTTAATTTTATAACAAAATTAATAATCTCTTTTAAAATTAACATTTTATCAAATGCAAAATCAAAAAAACAGATGTAGCGCTTTAAATTTTATTTTTTTATAATATTTTATTAACCTAGTTTAGCTTGATGAAAAATATAACGGGGATGAGTAAAAATTTAAAAATAAGTTGATTTATGTTTACTCTTAGATTCGAAAATAACACTTTACTTTGATTTAAAAAAGTGTCGACCTAAGTTATTATTCCGTCTATAAAAAATCTTTTATAAAAAAAGATACTTAATATTTTTAATATCAACCAGCTCAAAAGGAAACAATTTTCAAAAATAAAATTTGAAAATAAATTACTTCTTTGAAGCTATATTTTTATTTTTTATTTTATGGGACATTAATTTCTTAGAGTCTTAGTCAATATTTTAGGATTCACAGTGTTACTAATTTGTAAATCTTCTTAAAATGTATTAATTTATTATAAAAAATTTTATTGAAAATAAGCTTATAAATTACATTTTCTCGAAAATAATTAATTAAAGCATAATTAATGTAAATATTGTTTATTTTTAAAAACAAATTTTTTATTATTACTTCAATATAAAGTTAAGTGATTTTCTCGAAAATAATTTGAACATAATTAATGTAAACTATTATCTTTAGAAACAAAATAACCACTCTTTTATTATCTCTATAAATCAAATTAGTTAATTCAACTCACATCTTAAAGTCTTTTGAAAATAGATATGTAATCTGCTTTTTTTCAATAAATATCGCATTCATTTTTCATTAAATGATTCGATAAATAAAATAGTAAGCTTGATGATGGACTTTATTAATTAATGAAATATATATTTAATAATCTTTCAGATTTAATCTAATGGGCTTTTTATGCTCTCTAAAGTTTGTTATATTGATTTTTTTATCTTTTCATTTGAAGAATTTTTTCCAATTATAATTAAAACATGATTTAGTTTATTCTTTTAGAAATTTGGATTTTTCTTAAATTGATTGCCTATGTTACTTACACCCTTTTTTAATTAAAAAAATTAATTTTCTCAATTTTATTTTGATAATTTTATATTCAAAATAAATAGTAAGATATTCATTCATCTTCCCTTTTCTCAAAAAATTGAATTGGTTTGAAGAAAAATTTGATGATATAAATATCTTATTTACTTACAATTTCACCTAACATTCATTATCAATCATAACAACCTTTACTGTATAAATTTTTTTTACTTAAAAAAAATATAAAACAGAAATGATTGTAAATACATTAAGTATAAATTAATATTAAACCAAATTTTTTTATCATTCATTTTATTTTAAAGTATGCATTTTTGTTTCTAATTTGCAATAAAAACCTATGATATTATATATTTCATATATCAAGCTAAAAATGAGTGGAAAATTTTTTAAGTACTGGCAATAAAAATAAATTAATTTAATTAGATTTCTCGAAAAAAAATAATTAACTTAATTAACTTATACTGGCCTGAATTTATTAGATTAAATTTATCTTATTTTTAAGTATTCAAATTAATTATTTTGTTTACATTTTTCTCGAAAATTTTTTTTTATCTTCAAGAAATGAGCCAAAGATAGAACGCATAAATAAACAGCTAAACAAATAATTAATTTAAAATAAATACTATTAAATTCAAAATACTAAGTGAAGAAATGAATAAATAAAATACTATTATTATAGTCTTACTTATTTCGACTGCTTTTGTTAGAGCTGGTATACCAGTTACTTGTGGTAATGGACACAATTGTGATTCATGTGGAGATACTGCTGACATTAGAGCAAATTTCATTCCTATTACTTGGACATAATGCATGTATACTTAGTGTAATACAGCTCCGAGTTCAATAAGTAGCTTCGTTTGCTAATCTTGTTTTGGATAACCAAATTCAATTACAGCTTTAAACAAAGGCAATTATTATGATCCAAGTACAACCTCTTGTGTTAATTCCTGTCCTTTAGGTACTTAAGCTGATAGTTCTAATACTTGCAAGCCGAATCCTAAACCTGGTAATAATATTTCATGTGGTTCTAGTGGTAGCTGCTCTGGATGTGGTGCCACTACACAAATAGCAAATTTATTCACACCAGTTCCTGGTCCAATTTGCCAAGTTACAGATTGTAGCTAAATTCCTAGTTCATATAATAGCTATGTTTGCTAATCTTGCTATCAAGCTGCAGGCGCTATAGCTGCTTTAAATATTGGTAATTATTACGACTTAGGTACAAGTGCTTGTGTTGCTTCCTGCCCTATAGGTACTAAAGCTGATAATACTAATACTTGCTAGATTGTTAAACCTGGTAATAATGTTTCATGTGGCTCAAGTGGCAGCTGCTCTGGGTGTGGTGCCACTCCTTAAATAGCAAATTTATTCACACCCGTTACTGGCTTAATCTGCAAAATGAATGATTGTAGCTAAAAACCTTCTTCATATAATAGCTATGTTTGTTAATCTTGCTATCAAGCAGCAGGCGCTATAGCTGCTTTAAATATTGGTAATTATTACGACCTAGGTACAAGTGCTTGTGTTGCTTCCTGCCCTATAGGTACTAAAGCTGATAATACTAATACTTGCTAGATTGTTAAACCTGGTAATAATGTTTCATGTGGCTCAAGTGGCAGCTGCTCTGGGTGTGGTGCCACTCCTTAAATAGCAAATTTATTCACACCCGTTACTGGCTTAATCTGCAAAATGAATGATTGTAGCTAAACTCCTTCTTCATATAATAGCTATGTTTGTTAATCTTGCTATCAAGCACCAGGTGCTATAGCTGCTTTAAATATTGGTAATTATTACAACCCAGGTACACATGCTTGTGTTACTTCCTGTCCTTAAGGTACTTAAGCTGATAATACTAATACTTGCTAGCCAATTCCTACTAAACCTGGTAATAACATTTCATGTGGCTCAAGTGGTAGCTGTTCTGGGTGTGGTACCACTCCAGAAATAGTTAATTTATTCACACCTGTTTCTGGCTCAAGTTGCAAAGTGACAGATTGTAGCTAAACTCCTACTTCATACAATAGTTATGTATGTTAATCTTGTTATCAATTGACTGGTGCAATTGCTGCTTTAAATATAGGTAATTATTACGACCCAGGAACAAATGCTTGTGTTGCTGAATGCCCTAAAGGTAAAGTTGCAGATATTAATAAAACTTGTTAAACTCCAAAAACTATCATCGGTAAAGATGTCGGCTGTGGCACGGCTGCTTCGAATGGAAATGCTGCTAACTGCAATCTTTGTGGAGATAATTCCACAATGCAAAACCTTTTTTCTTACGATACAACAACAGCAGGTTAAAATTGTTAATTTAAAGATTGTAGCACTATCCCAAGTACTCTAAATGGTTGGATATGCAACTCTTGTAATGGTGTAGAAGGATCTAAAATTCCAGTTGGCTTATATTTTAATGGTAGTACTTGTGTTTCCACATGTTCCACTGGAGTTGCTACATCTTAAACTAATTGGACTTGCAAAATTTTTAATACTTATAACTTTGGAAGCTTTTTAAGCTTGGTGATATATTTTTTGTTATTAAATATATTATTTTGATTTGTAATGAATGTATCTATCAATTAAAATTAATGTATTTTATTTTAATAATAGCTTTTTTAATAAATTAAATTTACAAAAAAAGAAATTTTTTATTGTAAATAACCTTTATTTTTATTGGATTTAGTTATTTAAATGTATAATTTGCTAAAATAGTTCAATATATTTGAACATTTTAGAACCAATATCAAAAAAGTTTGTATGAGAAAATTTACTAAATTTTAAATACATATAAATGCTTCAATAAATTACTTTTAAACTGATAATAAAAATAAATTTTTTCCTAAGATATTAATTTATAAATAAAAAACAAATAAATAATTGATATTTCAAATTTAATAATTATTAAATTAAATTATTATTATAATAAAATTGTTTTGATTTATAAATCAGTGAATTTTTACAGTTTTCTGATACTTCGAAAGTATAAAAATCATTGCAAAAAGAAAAAGATAGTAAAGAGTAAATAAAATAGACATTATAGAGAATTTTAGAGAAATGACAAGAACTAAGGTAGCTATATACATTAAATAGTCAATTACTTCAAATTCATACAAAACTGATTTATAAGTGCTAAATGATGATTTTAATACTTTGCTTATAACAATGAATATCTCAGCAATTTTAACTATAGAGCGCATCAGTAAAAAATTTGAAGCTGTATATATAAAAGAGCTGCAAGTGTACATACATAACAGAGAGGAACATTTTAAAAATAGAATTACTAAATAAATCCATCTTAGCAATCTTTTTATCTACAAGAATTAGCATTAACAATAAAAAAGTTAAAGATTTTAATGACTATACATTAAAATCTCAGTATTTAGTCAAGTTGGTATTAGATTCGTGTTTGAATTTATAAGCAAAATAAATAGTGAAGATTATAGAAAATATTGGAAGGGTATTATTGATTAGTAAAACATTATTAATATTCAATTCATTTGCATAATCTAAAAAAAAGAGTTTTAATAATACTAAAAAAGAAAGTTTAGTAGAAGATGATAAAAATTATCACCTAGAAAATAATGTATGTTTTTTGTTGATTAAATATGAAAAGTTGTCAAAAACTTATTATTTATTAACTCTTAATATATTTTTTTTAAGTATTTTTTCATATTAATCTAAAAATCGAGTATTTTTCTTCTAAGATTTTATAAAATAAATATTTAAAAGAATAAAATAAATATTTAAATCTACTCAACTATGTTTGATTTTTTTTAATTCAAAAAAAAATTTTCAATTAAACTAACCTTTATATTATTATAATCTACTATTTAATTAATTTCACTTTCCTCAAAAATTTAATATCTTCTTTAGTTGCGATACTATTTCTTGCAAGATAATAGATATTGTGTTTAAATTTTATTTTTAAATAATATTTTATTAAAATTAGTTAAACTTGATGAGAAGTATATCTGGAATGAGCAAAATAGTCAAATATAATTTTATTTGTGTTTTATCTTTGAGTCAAAAATACTGCTTTAACTTTATTTAGAAAGTGTCAACTCAAATCAACTCAACTTAAGTTTTATTCAGTCATAAAAATCTTTTATAAAGATACATAATATCTGTAAAAACTAACTAATTCTAAATCAAACAATTCCCTAAAATAATATTTGAAAATAAATTACTTCTAAGAAGCAATATTTTAATTTTTTATAATATGGGCATTAATTTCTTTGAGTCTTAATCAATATTTTAGGATTTAAAGTATTGCTTTTTTGTAAATGTTCTTAAAACTGATTAACTTATTTTAAATTATTTTATTTAATAAAAACATATGATATAATTATAACTTCTCGAAAATAATTAGAACATAATTTATGTAAGTAAATATTTTTAGAAGTAAATTAACCACTTTTTGATGATCTCTATAAATCAAATTAGATTATTCATTTCCATATCTTAAATTCTTTTGAATATAGATATAAAATCTGCTCGTTTTCAATAAATTACACATTCATTTTTTATTAACGGGTTTAACAAACTAAATAGTAAGCTTGATAATAATTTTATTCAATAATAAACAATATACTTATTACTATTGCACATTTTATCTAATCAATGAATTTTATGCCATTTACATTTATTTACTTATACTAATTTTGTTAACCATTTCATTTAATGAGTTTTTGTTACTTTTTCTTGATGAATTTTGTATTTTTAAAAAATCTAATTACCCAATTAATTTAATTACTCCCTTTTTTTATCAAGTAAATTTCATAACTGTAAGATATTTGTTTTTCCTCCCTTTACTCAAAAAATTGAATTGATTACACTAAAAATTGGATGATTTAAAAATAAAATTTACTCATAAATTAATATATAACAATTTTTTTACAGTGTCGTCAAGTTTTTTACTCAAAAAAAAAAATATATTATAATTATTTGAAATATATTTATGTAAAATTATATTATTGCTTATATTCGATAAATTGCTCATTCATCTTTAATTAACAAACGAAATAGTAAGTTTGATGATTATTTTATTGAATAGTATTTATTACTCTTGCACATTTAATCTTATTAATGAATTTTATGCCCTTTATATTTATTTACTTATACTAATTTTGTTTACCTTTTCATTTTATGAGTTTCTATTGATTAATTAAAACATCATTTAATTTTTGTTTATGAATTTTGTATTTTTAAAAAATCAAATTGACTAATTAATTTAATTACTCCCTTTTTTTTATTTAGTAAATTTATTAAATTTACATTTATAACTGTAAGATATTTATTTGTTTTTCCTCCCTTTAATTAAAAAACTGAATTGATTTCACAAAAATTGGATGATTCAAAAATAAAATTTACTCATAAATTCATAATATTAATACATAACAATTTTTTTACTGCCTCTAGTTTTTTACTCAAAAAAAGAATAGTTTATAATTACTTGAAATCTATTTATCGATAATTAAATGATTATTTTTTTCAATTTTAGTAAAAACACACCTCATTTGTTTCTAATTAACTGTAAAGACTATTATATTTTTTATTTCTTAGAGCAAGCTAATAACGAGTTGAAAAGTTTTTAATCTCTGATAATAAAAGAAAATTAATCTAACCAGGTTTTTTTAAAAACAAAAGATATTCGGTTAATTTAATTAAAATCTTAAAATTTTCCTAACTAATAGATTCACATATTACTGATGTATAACAATCTTTGCTGATTTAAGTTTTTTGTTCAAAAATAAATAAATAAAATTATATTATAATTTATGTTAAACTCAATTTTTGTTGTTTTCAATTTTATTATAAAGCATTCCTTATTTCTTTTTAATTAACTGTAAAGCTTATTATATTTTTAAAAAACTAAATACCAATCAAAAAGTTTTTAATCACTGATAGTAAAAACCAATCAAAAAGTTTTTAATCACTGATAGTAAAAGTAAATTAATCTAACAGGATCTCTATAATTCAAATGATATATTCTAAATTAAAATCTGCATATTTGCCTGACTAATGATGTCACATATTATTGACTCATAGCAATAATAAAAAAATATATTTTAAAGATTATTATTATTAGCTAAAATATATTTATGTTAAACAAAATTATTTTTTTTAATTATATTCTAAAATATTCCTCTAATTAACAGTAAAAACCTATAATTTTTTTATTGTAAGAGCAAGCTAAAAAAGAAGTTGAAATTTTTAAATCCTTAATAATAAAAGTTAATTAATCTCTATAAAACAAATGATATATCCTTTATTAAAATCTTCATATTTGCCTGACTAATTATTCACATATAATTGAGGAATAGCAATCTTTACTGTTAAATTTTATAATAATAAAAAAATATATTATGAAGAATATTATTATTATCTGATATATATTTATGTTAAACTAAATAATTATTATTTTCAATTTTATTATATAACATACCTTATTTGCTTTTTAATTAACTGTAATCTCTATTTTGTTTTTTATCTGTAAGAGCAAGCTAAAAAAAACGAATCAAAGAATTTTTAATTACTTGACATAAAACAAATTAATCTAACCAGATTTTTTTAAAAACAAATGATTAATAGTTAAATTAATTAAAATTTTTATATTTGTCATAATTTATTTGATTAAATTTATCTTGTTTTAAGTTGTAAAATTAATTATTTTGTCGACAAATAAGCCAACAAAAAGAGCACTTAAATAAGAAGCTAAACAAATAATTAATTAAAAATAAATACTTTTAAATTCAAAATAATTCTTCAAAAATGAATAAATTAAATACTATAATAATAGCCTTACTTATTTGCTAGATTGTTAAATCTGGTAAAATCGTTACATGCAGTTCTGGTGCTAACTGCTCTGGGTGTGGTGCCACTCCATAAATACAAAATTTATTCTCATCAATTTCTAGCCCACTTTGCTACGTTACAGATTGTAGCTAAACTCCTCCATCATATAATGGCTTTGTTTGTAGTTCTTGTTATCAATCTTAAGGCACTTCAGCCTTCAGCTGCTTTAAATATAGGTCAATATTATGACCCAGGTACAAGTGCTTGTGTTGCTTCCTGCCCTTAAGACACTTAAGCTGATGATACTTATACTTGCAAGCCGATACCTAAACCTGGTAATATAGTTGCATGCGGTTCTAGTGGTAGCTGCTCTGGGTGTGGTACCACTCCTTAAATAGCAAATTTATTCACACCAGTTACTGGCTTAATCTGTAAAATGATAGATTGTAGCTAAGCTCCTCCATCATATAATGGCTATGTTTGTTAATCTTGCTATCAAGCAACAGGCGCTATAGCTGCTTTAAATATTGGTAATTATTACGACCCAGGTACAAGTGCTTGTGTTGCTTCCTGCCCTTAAGGTACTAAAGCTGATAATACTAATACTTGCTAGATTATTAAACCTGGTAATAATGTTTAATGTGGCTCAGGTGGTAGCTGCTCTGGGTGTGGTGCCACTTCATAAATAGTAAATTTATTCACAACAGTTTCTTAGTCAAGTTGCAAAATGATAGACTGTAGTTAAACTCCTCCATCATATAATGCCTATGTTTGTTAATCTTGCTATCAAGTAACAGGCGCTATAGCTGCTTTAAATATTGGTAATTATTACAACCCAGGTACACATGCTTGTGTTACTTCCTGTCCTTAAGGTACTTAAGCTGATAATACTAATACTTGCTAGCCAATTCCTACTAAACCTGGTAATAACATTTCATGTGGCTCAAGTGGTAGCTGTTCTGGGTGTGGTACAACTTCAGAAATAGTTAATTTATTCACACCTGTTTCTGGTTCAAGCTGCAAAGTCACAGATTGTAGCTAAACTCCTACTTCATACAATAGTTATGTATGTTAATCTTGTTATTAAGTGACTGGTGCAATTCCTGCTTTAAATATAGGTAATTATTACGACCCAGGAACAAATACTTGTGTTGCTGAATGCCCTCAAGGTAAAGTTGCAGACATCAATAACACTTGTTAAACTCCAAAAACTATCATCGGTAAAGATGTCGGCTGTGGTACTGCTGCTTCGAATGGAAATGCTGCTAACTGCAATCTTTGTGGGGAGAATTCCTCAATACAAAATCTTTTTTCTTACGATTCAAAAACAGCAGGTTAAAATTGTTAATTTAAAGATTGTAGCACTATCCCAAGTACTCTAAATGGTTGGATATGCAACTCCTGTAATGATGTAGAAGGATCTAAAATTCCAGTTGGCTTATATTTTAATGGAAGTACTTGCGTTTCCACGTGTTCCAGTGGAGTTGCTACATCTTAAAGTAATTGGACTTGCAAAATTTTTAATACTTATAATTATGGAAGCATTTTAAACTTGGTGATATATTTTTTGTTATTAAATATATTATTTTGATATGCAGCATTTCTATCTATTATAATTAATGTATTTTATTTTAATAATAGCATATTTAATAAATTAAATTTACAAAAAATGAAAAATTTTTGTTGTAAATTATCTTTATTATATATATATAGCCGTTCCTGGTTTTAAAATTCCACTGATTGGATATATGTAATCAGCGAAGTTTGTAAAAATAAAATTAAAGTTTTTTTTATAAACTTTATTTTGACTTCAATGAACAATTGTCTAAAATAGTTTAATATTTAAATATTTTAGAACCAATCAAAAAGACAATTTACTAAATTTTAAATACATATTAATACTTAAATAAATTACTTTCAAATTAATGAATAAAAATATATTTTTTGTCTGAGCTTTTAATTCATTAAAATAAAAACAAACAAATAATTGATATTTCAAATTTAATAATTATTAATTAAATTATTATTATCAAACAAAAATAGCATATTATAATAATAAAATGCATCAAATGTTTTTATTTTTTAATAAGTTAACTATTACTCTTTTTTTGATACTTAGAAAGTATTATAATCATGGTAAAAAGAGAAAGAGAGTTAAGAGTAAAATAAAGACAATAGAGAATTTGAAAGAAAGGACTAGAACTAGATTAGCTATACATTAAATTGTCAATTTCTTCAAATCCATACAAAATTGAAATATAAATGCTAAATGCTGATTCTAATACTTTGCTTCTAACAATAAATATCTTAGCAATTTTAACAATAGAGTTCATCAATAAAAATTTTCAGTTAGGCAATCTATGTTTTTTGTTGATTAAGTACGAAAAGTTTTCAAAAACATATAATTTATTAGCTCCTAATATTTTGTAATTAAGTAGGTCATAGTCTTAATCTTTTATCGAGTGATTTTCTTCTTTGATTTTAAGAATTCTTTTAAATGTTATTTTTAGAAATATGTAAATATATTTAATTATGTTTGATTTTTTAAATGCAATAGAAATTTCAAAAAAATGTTTTTAATTAAGTAAAATAACCTATAAATTGTTATAATCAACGTATTTAATTAATTTCATTATCCTCAAAAAATATAAAATCACCTTTAGTTGTGGAATTATTTATTGCTAGGTAATAGATATAGCGTTTCAATTTTATTTTTATTAACTATTTAAAATTGGTGAGAAGTATAATTGGAATGAGCAAAACAGTAAAATATAATTTGATTTGTATTTGATCTTTTATTTTACTTTGATTTAACGAGTTTCAAGTTAATTTTTATTCAGTCATAATAATTTTTATAAAGATAGATAATAAATATCTGTTAACACCACCCAACACTATATGAAACAATAATATTTGAAAATAAATTACTTCTTAGAAACAATATTTTTATTTTTTATAATATAGGCATTAATTTCTTAGTGTCTTAATCAATATTTGAGGATTTAAAATGTTGCTTTTTTCTAAATATTCTTAAAATTTATTAACTTATTTTAAATTATTTTATTAAAGATAAACTTATGAGATAATTATAATTTGTTGAAAATAATTAGAAAATAATTTATGTAAGTAATTATCTTTAGAACTAAATTAACCACTTTTTGATGGTCTCTTTAAATTAAATTAGATTATTCATTTCCATATCTTAAATTCTTTTGAATTTAGATATAAAATCTGCTCGCATTCAATAAAATACACATTCATTTTTTATTAAGGGATTTAACAAATGAAATAGTAAGCTTGATGATTATTTTATTGAATAGTGAAAAAGATATTTATTGCTCTTGCACATTTAATCTAATTAATTAATTTTATGCCCTTTATATTTATTTACTTATATTAATTTTGTTTACTTTTTCATTTTATGAGTTATTATTGATTAATTAAAACACGATATAATTTTTCTTTATGAATTTTGTATTTTTTAAAAATCAAATTTTCTAATTAATTTATTTTCTCCTATTATTTTGATTAAGCAATTTTAATTTATAAATTTACATTCATAACAATAAGATATTTGTTTTTCCTCCCTTTAATCGAAAAATTGAATTTATTACACAAAAAATTGGATGTTTTAAAAATCAAATTTACTCATAAATTCATAATATTGATACATAACAATTTTTTTTACTGCGTCTAGTTTTTTACTCAAAAAAAGAATATATTATAATTACTTGAAATCTATTTATTTAAAATTTAATTATTATTTTTTTCAATTTTAGTAAAAACACACCTCATTTGTTTCTAATTAACTGTAAAGCCTATTATATTTTTTATTTCTTAGAGCAAGCTAAAAACTAGATTTTTTAAAAAACTAATGATATTGAGTTAATTTAATTAAAATCTTTATATTTTCCTAACTAATAGATTCATACCTTATTGATTTATAACAATATCTACTGATTTAAGTTTTTTACTAAAAAAAATAAATTATAAAAAATTATTATTATTATTTGAAAGATATTGATGTTAAACAACTAAATATTATTTTTTTCAATTTTTAACTTACTTTATTAGTTTAGTTAACTGTAAAAACCTATTATTTTTTTTATTTGTAAGCGAAAGCTAAAAAAAGAGATGGAAAATTTATAATCACTGATAATAAAAGTAAATTAATCTAACTAGATCTCTCTTAAAGCAAATGATATATAATTAATTCACTTAATTATAATCTTTATATTTACCTAAATAATGATTTCACATATTATATGTTTCACAATCTTTAATGTATTAAGCTTTTTCCTCAAAAACAAAATTATATTATTATTTATATTCAACTCAATTTTTTTTGTTTTAAAATTTATTATTAAGCATACACCTTTTCCTTTTAATTAACTGTAAAGCTAATTATTTTTTTTATAAGCTAAATGCCAATTGTAAAGTTTTTAACCATTGATAGTAAAAGTAAATTAATCTAACCAGATCTCTCAAACAATAAAGTATGTAATTAAATTAATAAAAAACTAATAATTTCGCATATTATTGATTCATAACAATCTTTACTGTATTAAGATTTTTACTCAAAAAAAAAATTATAAAAATTTTTATTATTATCTAAAATATATTAAGGTTAAATTAAATTATTTTTTTTTATTTTATTATAAAACATATCTCACTTGCTTCTAATTAATAGTAAAAACCTATTATTTTTTTTATTGTAAGAGCGAGCTAAAAAAAGAATCAAAATTTTTAAATTATTAATAATAAAAGTTATTTAATGTAACCTAATCTCTTTAAAACAAATGATATATAGTTAATTAAAATCTTTATTTTTGCATGAATAATGATCTCACATATTATTGACGCACAACAATAATAAAAAAAATATATTTTTAAAATATAATAATACAAATGATATATTCTTAATTAAAATCTTCATATTTACCTGAATAATGATTTCAAATATTATTTACTCATAACAATAATAAAAAAATATATTTTAAAAATTATTATTATCAGCTGAAATATATTTATGTGATACTAAATTATTTTTTTAATTTTATTATAAAGAATTCCTCTAATTAACAGTAAAAACCTATTATTATTTTATTGGAAGAGCAAGCTAAAAAAAGAGTTGAAATTTTTATTTCATTAATAATAAAAGTTAATTAATCTAACCTAATCTCTATAAAACAAATGATATATATTTAATTAAAATCTTCATATTTGCCTAACTAATTATTTCACATATTATTGAGGTATAGCAATCTTTACTGTGTTAAATTTTATAATAATAAAAAAATATATTATGAAGAATATTTTTATGTTAAACTAAATAATTATTGGTTTGAATTTTATTTTATAGCATATCTTATTTGATTTTTAATTAACTGAAAAATCTATTTTGTTTTTTATCTGTAAGCTAAAAAAAACGAATAAAAGAATTTTTAATTATTTAACTTAAATTAAATTAATCTAACTAGATCTCTCTAAATACAAGATATTTAGCTAAATTAATTAAAATTTTATATTTTTCATAATTTATTTGATTAAATTAATCTCGTATTAAGTTGTTAAATTAATCTCGTATTAAGTTGTTAAATTAATTATTTTATCAACGAATAAGCCATCAAAAAGATCACTTAAATAAGAATCTAAACAAATAATTAATTAAAAATAAATACTTTTAAATTCAAAATAATTCTTCAAAAATGAATAAATTAAATACTATAATAATAGCTTTACTTATTTCAACTGCTTTTGTTAGAGCTGGTTCACCAGTTTCTTGTGGTAGTGGAATAAACTGTAATTTATGTGGAGATACTGATGAAATTAGAAGAAATTTTGCTGCTGTTAGTCAGACAGAGTGCAGTTATTCAAAGTGTAATTAAGCTACACCAATAAATGGTTTTATTTGTTAATCTTGCTATGGTTAGTCAGATGCTGTTTAGGCTTTAAATTAAGGTGGTTTTTATAACCCAACTACAAACTCTTGTGTTATTTCCTGCCCTTACGGTACTCAACCTGATTATACTACTTCCACTTGTCATAGTGTTAAACCTGGTAATAACGTTGCATGCAGTACTGCTGTTGACTGCTCTAAGTGTGGCGCCACTCAATAAATACAAAATTTATTCACACCAGTTTCTGAAACAGATTGCTAAATGATTGACTGTAGTTAAACTCCTCCATCATATAATGGCTATGTTTGTAAATCTTGCTATCAAGTATCAGGTGCTGCAGCTGCTTTAAATATTGGTAATTTTTACGACCCAGGTACAAGTGCTTGTGTTGCTTCCTGCCCTTAAGGTACTCAGGCTGATAATACTAATACTTGCTAAATTGTTAAACCTGGCAAAAGTGTTATATGCGGTTATAGTGGTAGCTGCTCTAGGTGTGGTGACACTCCATAAATAGCAAATCTATTCAAACCAGTTAATAACTCAAAGTGTAAAATGATAGATTGTAGCTAAACTCCTCCATCATATAATGGCTATGTTTGTAAATCTTGCTTTCAAGCAACAGGAGCTACAGATGCTTTAAATATCGGTTATTTTTATGACCCAGGTACAAGTGCTTGTGTTGCTTCCTGCCCTTAAGGTAATTAAATTGATTTTAATAATAAATGCAAGCCAATTCCTACTAAACCTGGTAATAATATTTCATGTGGCTCAGGTGGTAGCTGCTCTGGGTGTGGTGCCACTTCATAAATAGTAAATTTATTCACAACAGTTTCTTAGTCAAGTTGCAAAATGATAGACTGTAGTTAAACTCCTCCATCATATAATGCCTATGTTTGTTAATCTTGCTATCAAGCAGCAGGTGCTATAGCTGCTTTAAATATTGGTAATTATTACAACCCAGGTACACATGCTTGTGTTACTTCCTGTCCTTAAGGTACTTAAGCTGATAATACTAATACTTGCTAGCCAATTCCTACTAAACCTGGTAATAATATTTCATGTGGCTTAAATGGTAGCTGTTCTGGGTGTGGTACCACTCCATAAATAGTAAATTTATTCACACCTATTTCTGGCTCAAATTGCAAAGTCACAGATTGTAGCTAAACTCCTACTTCATACAGTAGTTATGTATGTTAATCTTGTTATTAAGTGACTGGTGCAATTGCTGCTTTAAATATAGGTAATTATTACGACCCAGGAACAAATGCTTGTGTTGCTGAATGCCCTCAAGGTAAAGTTGCAGACATTAAAAAAAATTGTTAAATTCCATAAACTATCATTGGTAAAGATGTCAGCTGTGGCACTGTTGCTTCGAATGGAAATGCTGCTAACTGCAATCTTTGTGGAGATAATTCCATAGTGTAAAACCTATTCTCTTACGATACAACAACAGCAGGTTAAAATTGTTAATTTAAAGATTGTAGCACTATCCCAAGTACTCTAAATGGTTGGATATGCAACTCTTGTAATGGTGTAGAAGGATCTAAAATTCCAGTTGGTTTATACTTTGATGGTAGTACTTGTGTTTCCACATGTTCCACTGGAGTTGCTACATCTTAGAGTAATTGGACTTGTAAAATTTTTAATACTTTTAACTATGGAAACTTTTTAAGCTTGGTGATATATTTTTTGTTATTAAATATATTATTCTGATACTTAAAGTATCTATCAATAATAAATAATGTATTTTATTTTGATAATAGTATGTTTGACAAATTAAATTTTAAAAAAAGAAAATATTTTTTGTAAAAAAAACCTTTATTTTTACTTAATGAACAATTGTCTAAAATAGTTTAATATTTGAAAATTTTAGAACTAATATCAAAAAAATTTGTATGAGACAATTTACTAAATTTTAAATAAATATAAATGCTTAAATAAATTACTTTCAAGTTGATAAATAAAAATATATTTTTTGTCTAAAACTTTAATTCTTGAAAACAAAAAACAAATAAATAATTGTTGATATTTCGAATTTAATAATTATTAATCAAATTATTTTAATCAAACAAAAATATCATATTATAATAATAAAATGCATCAAATGTTTTTATTTATTAATCAGTTAACTTTTACAGTTTTGGAATACTTAGAAAGTATTATAATCATGGCAAAAAGAGAAAGAGAGTTAAGAGTAAAATATACACTATAGACAATTTTAGAGAAAGGACTGGAACTAGAATAGCTATACATTTAATAGACAATTACTTCAAATCCAAACATAGTTGAAAATAAATGCTAAATGCTGATTCTAATGTTTTACTTCTAAAAATAAATATCTCAGCAATTTTAACTATAGAGCTCATCAATAAAAATTATCACTAAGACAATTTATTTTTTTAGTTTTTAAAAACAAATTATTTATTAGCTCCTAATATATTGTAATTAAGTAGATCTTAGTCTTAATATTTTATCGAGGGCTTTTCTTCTAAGATTTTAAGAATTATTTTAAATTTTATTATAGAAATATGCAATATTCTGAACTATGTTCGATCTTTTTAAATGAAATAGAAATTTCAAAAAAACTTTTTTAAGTAAAATAACCTTTAAATTATTATAATCAAGTATTCAATTAATTTAATTATCATCAAAAAATATAATATCACCTTTATTTGTGGAATTATTTATTGCAAGGCAATAGATATAGTGTTTAAATTTTATTTTTTAATAATATTTTATTAACTATTTAAAATTTATGAGAAGTATAATTGGAATGAGCAAAACAGTAAAATATAATTTTATTTGTATTTGATCTTTGAGTCAAAATAGTAATTTACTTTGATTTAACAAGTTTCAAGTTAATTTTTATTCAGTCATAATAATTTGTATAAAGATAGATAATATCTGTTAACACCACCCAAACCTAAATAAAACAATAATATTTGAAAATAAATTACTTCTTAGAAACAATATTTTTATTTTTTATAATATAGGCATTAATTTCTTAGTGTCTTAATCAATATTTGAGGATTTAAAATGTTGCTTTTTTCTAAATATTCTTAAAATTTATTAACTTATTTTAAATTATTTTATTAAAGATAAACTTATGAGATAATTAAAATTTGTTGAAAATAATTAGAACATAATTTATGTAAGTAATTATCTTTAGAACTAAATTAACCACTTTTTGATGGTCTCTTTAAATTAAATTAGATTATTCATTTCCATATCTTAAATTCTTTTGAATTTAGATATAAAATCTGCTCGCATTCAATAAAATACACATTCATTTTTTATTAAGGGATTTAACAAATGAAATAGTAAGCTTGATGATTATTTTATTGAATAGTGAAAAAGATATTTATTGCTCTTGCACATTTAATCTAATTAATTAATTTTATGCCCTTTATATTTATTTACTTATATTAATTTTGTTTACTTTTTCATTTTATGAATTATTATTGATTAATTAAAACACGATATAATTTTTCTTTATGAATTTTGTATTTTTTAAAAATCAAATTTTCTAATTAATTTATTTACTCCTATTATTTTGATTAAGCAATTTTAATTTATAAATTTACATTCATAACAATAAGATATTTGTTTTTCCTCCCTTTAATCGAAAAATTGAATTTATTACACAAAAAATTGGATGTTTTAAAAATCAAATTTACTCATAAATTCATAATATTGATACATAACAATTTTTTTTACTGCGTCTAGTTTTTTACTCAAAAAAGAATATATTATAATTACTTGAAATCTATTTATCTAATATTTAATTATTTTTTTTTTCAATTTTAGTAAAAACACACCTCATTTGTTTCTAATTAACTGTAAAGCCTATTATATTTTTTATTTCTTAGAGCAAGCTAAAAACTAGTTGAAAATTTTTTTAATCGCTGATAATAAAAGAAAATTAATCTAACCAGGTTTTTCTAAAAACAAAGAAAATTAATCTAACCAGATTTTTTAAAAAACTAATGATATTGAGTTAATTTAATTAAAATCTTTATATTTTCCTAACTAATAGATTCATACCTTATTGATTTATAACAATATCTACTGATTTAAGTTTTTTACTAAAAAAAATAAATTATAAAAAATTATTATTATTATTTGAAAGATATTGATGTTAAACAACTAAATATTATTTTTTTCAATTTTATTTTTAACTTACTTTATTAGTTTAGTTAACTGTAAAAACCTATTATTTTTTATTTGTAAGCGAAAGCTAAAAAAAGAGATGGAAAATTTATAATCACTGATAATAAAAGTAAATTAATCTAACTAGATCTCTCTTAAAGCAAATGATATATAATTAATTCACTTAATTATAATCTTTATATTTACCTAAATAATGATTTCACATATTATTGATGTTTCACAATCTTTAATGTTTAAGCTTTTTCCTCAAAAACAAAATTATATTATTATTTATATTCAACTCAATTTTTTTTGTTTTAAAATTTATTAAAAAGCATACACCATTTCCTTTTAATTAACTGTAAAGCTAATTATTTTTTTTATAAGCTAAATGCCAATTGTAAAGTTTTTAACCATTGATAGTAAAAGTAAATTAATCTAACCAGATCTCTCTAACAATAAAGTATGTAATTAAATTAATAAAAAACTAATAATTTCGCATATTATTGATTCATAACAATCTTTACTGTATTAAGATTTTTACTCAAAAAAAAAATTATAAAACTTTTTATTATTATCTAAAATATATTAAGGTTAAATTAGATTATTTTTTTTTATTTTATTATAAAACATATCTCACTTGCTTCTAATTAATAGTAAAAACCTATTATTTTTTTTATTGTAAGAGCGACTAAAAAAAGAATCAAAATTTTTTAATTATTAATAATAAAAGTTATTTAATGTAACCTAATCTCTTTAAAACAAATGATATATAGTTAATTAAAATCTTTATTTTTGCATGAATAATGATTTCACATATTATTGACGCACAACAATAATAAAAAAAATATATTTTTAAAATATTATTATTAGAAATATATTTATGTTAAAATAAATTATTTTTTTAATTTTATTTTAAAACATATTCTCACTTGCCTCAAATTAACTTTAAAAACCTATTATTTTTTTTATTGTAAGAACAAGCCAAAAAAAAAGAATCTAAAATTTTAAAATCTAAATTAATCTAACCAGATATCAATAATACAAATGATATATTCTTAATTAAAATCTTCATATTTACCTGAATAACGATTTCAAATATTATTGACTCATAACAATAATAAAAAAATGTATTTTAAAAATTATTATTATCAGCTGAAATATATTTATGTGATACTAAATTATTTTTTTAAATTTTATTATAAAGTATTCCTCTAATTAATAGTAAAAACCTTTTTATTTTTTTATTGGAAGAGCAAGCTAAAAAAAGAGTTGAAATTTTTATATCATTAATAATAAAAGTTAATTAATCTAACCTAATCTCTATAAAACAAATGATATAAATTTAATTAAAATCTTCATATTTGCCTGACTAATTATTTCACATATTATTGAGGTATAGCAATCTTTACTGTGTTAAATTTTATAATAATAAAAAAATATATTATGAAGAATATTTTATGATATGATATATTTTTATGTTAAACTAAATTATTATTGGTTTGAATTTTATTTTATAGCATACCTTATTTGATTTTTAATCAACTGTAAAATCTATTTTGTTTTTTATCTGTAAGCTAAAAAAACGAATAAAAGAATTTTTAATTATTTATCATAAAGTAAATTAATCTAACCAGATCTCTCTAAATACAAGATATTTAGCTAAATTAATTAAAATTTTATATTTTTCAGAATTTATTTGATTAAATTTATCTCGTTTTAAGTTGTTAAATTAATTATTTTATCAACGAATAAGCCATCAAAAAGATCACTTAAATAAGAAGCTAAACAAATAATTAATTAAAAATAAATACTTTTAAATTCAAAATAATTCTTCAAAAAATGAATAAATTAAATACTATAATAATAACCTTACTTATTTCAACTGCTTTTGTTAGAGCTGATTCAATTGGTTCACCAGTTCCTTGTGGTGTTATAACAAGCTGTGATAATTGTGGAGATACTGATGAAATTAGAAGTAATTTTTCTCCTGCTAGTCTGACAATGTGCATTTATACAAAGTGTAATTAAGCTACACCAATAAATGGTTTTATTTGTTCATCTTGCTATGGTTAGCCAGGTGCTGTTTAGGCTTTAAATTAAGGTGGTTTTTATAACCCAACTACAAACTCTTGTGTTATTTCCTGCCCTTAGGGTACTCAACCTGATTATACTACTTCCACTTGTCATAGTGTTAAACCTGGTAATAACGTTGCATGCAGTACTGCTGTTGACTGCTCTAAGTGTGGCGCCACTCAATAAATACAAAATTTATTCACACCAGTTTCTGAAACAGATTGCTAAATGATTGACTGTAGTTAAACTCCTCCATCATATAATGGCTATGTTTGTAAATCTTGCTATCAAGTATCAGGTGCTGCAGCTGCTTTAAATATTGGTAATTTTTACGACCCAGGTACAAGTGCTTGTGTTGCTTCCTGCCCTTAAGGTACTCAGGCTGATAATACTAATACTTGCTAAATTGTTAAACCTGGCAATATTGTTGCATGCGGTTCTAGTGGTAGCTGCTCTGGGTGTGGCGCCACTCCATAAATAGCAAATTTATTCACACCAGTTAATAGCTTAATCTGTAAAATGAAAGATTGTAGCTAAACTCCTCCATCATATAATGCCTATGTTTGCTAATCTTGCTATCACGCAGCAGGAGCTACAGCTGCTTTAAATATCGGTAATTTTTATGACCCAGGTACAAGTGCTTGTGTTGCTTCCTGCCCTTAAGGTACTTAAACTGATTAAAATTATAATTGCAAGCCGATACCTAAACCTGGTAATAGCGTTTTATGCGGTTCTGATGGTAGCTGCTCTGGATGTGGTTCCACTTCATAAATAACAAATTTATTCACGCCAGTTGATAATTAAATCTGCAAAATGAAAGATTGTAGCTAAACTCCTCCATCATATAATGGCTATGTTTGCTAATCTTGCTATCACGCAACAGGAGCTACAGCTGCTTTAAATATAGGTCTTTATTACGACCCTGGTACAAGTGCTTGTGTTGCTTCCTGCCCTTAAGGTACTCAGGCTGATAATACTAATACTTGCTAGCCAATTCCTACTAAACCTGGTAATAATGTTTCATGTGGCTCAGGTGGTAGCTGCTCTGGGTGTGGTGCCACTTCATAAATAGTAAATTTATTCACTACAGTTTCTTAGTCAAGTTGCAAAATGATAGACTGTAGTTAAACTCCTCCATCATATAATGCCTATGTTTGTTAATCTTGCTATCAAGTACCAGGTGCTATAGCTGCTTTAAATATTGGTAATTATTACAACCCAGGTACACATGCTTGTGTTACTTCCTGTCCTTAAGGTACTTAAGCTGATAATACTAATACTTGCTAGCCAATTCCTACTAAACCTGGTAATAATATTTCATGTGGCTCAAGTGGTAGCTGCTCTGGGTGTGGTACCACTCCATAAATAGTAAATTTATTCACACCTGTTTCTGGCTCAAATTGCAAAGTCACAGATTGTAGCTAAACTCCTACTTCATACAATAGTTATGTATGTTAATCTTGTTATTAAGTGACTGGTGCAATTGCTGCTTTAAATATAGGTAATTATTACGACCCAGGAACAAATGCTTGTGTTGCTGAATGCCCTTAAGGTAAAGTAGCAGACATTAATAAAACTTGTTAAATTCCAAAAACTATCATCGGTAAAGATGTCAGCTGTGGCACTGCTGCTTCGAATGGAAATGCTGCTAACTGCAATCTTTGTGGAGATAATTCCGCAGTGTAAAACCTATTTTCTTACGATACAATAACAGCAGGTTAAAATTGTTAATTTAAAGATTGTAGCACTATCCCAAGTACTCTAAATGGTTGGATATGCAACTCTTGTAATGGTGTAGAAGGATCTAAAATTCCAGTTGGTTTATACTTTAATGGTAGTACTTGTGTTTCCACATGTTCCACAGGAGTTGCTACATCTAAAAATAATTGGACTTGTAAAATTTTTAATACTTATAACTATGGAAACTTTTTAAGCTTGGTGATAAATTTTTTGTTATTAAATATATTATTCTGATACTTAATGTATCTATTAATAATAAATAATGTATTTTATTTTGATAATAGTATGTTTAACAAATTAAATTTTAAAAAAAGAAAATTTTTGTTGTAAAAAAACCTTTATTTTTACTTAAATGAACAATTGTCTCAAATAGTTTAATATTTGAAAATTTTAGAACCAATATCAAAAAAATTTGTATGAGACAATTTACTAAATTTAAAATACATATAAATGCTTAAATAAATTACTTTCAAGTTGATAAATAAAAATATATTTTTGGTCTAAAACTTTAATTCTTGAAAACAAAAAACAAATAAATAATTGTTGATATTTCGATAGCTATACATTTAATAGACAATTACTTCAAATCCAAACATAGTTGAAAATAAATGCTAAATGCTGATTCTAATGCTTTACTTCTAAAAATAAATATCTCAGCAATTTTAACTATAGAGCTCATCAATAAAAATTATCACTAAGACAATTTATTTTTTTAGTTTTTAAAAACAAATTATTTATTAGCTCCTAATATATTGTAATTAAGTAGGTCTTAGTCTTAATATTTTATCGAGGGCTTTTCTTCTAAGATTTTAAGAATTATTTAAAATTTTATTATAGAAATATGAAATATTCTGAACTATGTTCGATCTTTTTAAATGAAATAGAAATTTCAAAAAAACTTTTTTAAGTAAAATAACCTTTAAATTATTATAATCAAGTATTCAATTAATTTCATTATCATCAAAAAATATAATATCACCTTTATTTGTGGAATTATTTATTGCAAGGCAATAGATATAGTGTTTAAATTTTATTTTTTAATAATATTTTATTAACTATTTAAAATTTATGAGAAGTATAATTGGAATGAGCAAAACAGTTAAATATAATTTGATTTGTATTTGATCTTTGAGTCAAAAATAGTATTTTACTTTGATTTAACAAGTTTCAAGTTAAGTTTTATTCAATCATGATAATCTTTTTTAAAGATAAAAAATATCTGTTAATACCAACCAACACTTAATGAAACAATTCAGGCATTAATTTTTTTGAGTTTTGATCAATATTTGAGGATTTAAATGGTTGCTTTTTTTAAATTTTCTTAAAATTGATTAACTTATTTTAAATTATATTATTAAAGTTAAACTTATGAAACAATTATAATTTCTTGAAAATAATTAGAACATAATTTATGTAAGTTATTAAGTTATTATCTTTAGAACTAAATTAACCACTTTGTCAATCTCTTTAAATAAAATTAGATTATTCATTTCTATATCTTAAATTCTTTTGAATATAGATATAAAATCTGCTTGCATTCAATAAATTACACATTCATTTTTTATTTGCTAAATCTTAAAGTAATTGGACTCGTAAAATTTTTAATATTTTTAACCATGCTTTTTAAGATTAGTGATATATTTTTTGTTATTAAACTTATTTTTCTGAAATGAATTTATTTATCAATAAATACTAGTGATCGATCTTCTTTTATTTTAATAAATGCATGTTTAAGAAATTAAATTTACAAATAAATAAACAATTTTTATTGAGATTAATCTTTAATTAATTTAGTTATTTTAATTCTAATATTAAAAAATTGGTCATAATTTATTTGAGACAATTTACTAAATTTTAAATACCTATAAAAACTTAAATTAATTACTTCCAAATTGATAAATAATAATAATTTTTTTGTCTAAGACATTTATTCACAAAAATAAAAAATTAATAATAATAAATAAATAATATTTCAAATTTAACAACATATTAAAAAAATAAAATGCATTAAAGGGTATTATTTAGAAATCAGTGAACTTTTACAGTTTTGTGGTACTTAGAATGTATTATAATCATAGCAAAAAGAGAAAGAGAGTTAAGAGCAAAATAGACACTATAGAGAATTGTAGAGAAAGAACTTGAACTAGGGTAGTTATACATTAAATAGTCAATTACTTCAAATCCATACAAAGCTGAAATATAAATGCTAAATGCTGATCCTAATACTTTGCTTCTAACATTAAATATTTCAGCAATTTTAAGTATTGAGCACATTAGTAAAAAATTTGAAGCTGTACCTATAAAGGAGCTGCAAATGTACATCACAGAGAGGAAAATTTCTAAAATTGAGTTACCAATTAATCCATCTTAGCAATCTTTTGATCTACAAGAATTAGCAATAAGCATAAAAAAATTAAAGATTTAAATAGCTGTGCATGATAATCTCAGTTTTTAGTCAAGTTATAATCCGAAGGGATTAGTCTCGTCTTTAAATTTATAAGCAAAATAAATAGTGAAGATTATAGAAAATATTGGATTTAGGATATTATTGATTGGTATTAGAACATTATTAATATTCAACTTATTTGCATAATCTAAAAAAAACGAGTTTTAATAAGTGGCAATCCACTAAAAAAGGGATGTTTAGTAGAAGATGATAAAAATAATCACATAGACAATATATGTTTTTTTGTTGATTAGGTATGAAAAGTTGTCAAATACATTTTATTTATTAGCTCCTAATATGTTGTAATTAAGTAGCTCTTCGTCTTATTCTTCTATCGAGTGCTTTTCTTCTAAAATTTTAAGAATTCTTTTAAAAGGTATTATAGAGCACAGAGATATTGTTAAGTAAAATACTAATAAAACAATTCGTGATGTGCTGCTAAGAGTTGGTGCATTTTAGATATTAGCATTATCTGGTTCATAGTATTCGCTATAAAAATTATTGTGCTAGAAATAAACAACAAAGGAGTAGACACCTATTTATAATGTATAGCTAAAGTCTTATTAAGCAACAATAATCAATGCAAAATAGAAGTAATATTTTTCGTTAAGAAAATAATCAAGAATAATCAGATAAGTAACAACTTTGTAGCCATCTTGAATCATATGCCAGAAGAATTCAATAATTAATACTATTTATTTCATATTAAGTTTGTCGTTATTATTAATAACATAATAGCTTTAATCATAGTAAATATATTGTATCATTAAGAACACCTGCATTATTATTATAGTGTAATAAGGTACCAAGTAGATCATAAAAGAATATTTCCTCTTCACAAAATCATTTACATATCCTTAAATATTATTAAATAAATTACAATTATTATTTTTATAAATCTTCTCTTATTCTAAAATAAATAAATAAATGTCAATTAAGCTTTTTATTTGTCTGTCTTTTTTTACTGTTTAGCAAATTTAATTTTTATCAATAAATAAAAAGCTATATCAATATGTGAGAGAGCAATTTATATGTAAAATTAAAAGAATTTCAATGTTAAATTAATATTTAATTCTATCAAATATAAAACTAAATAAATTATTGATATAGCTTCAACAGATAAAGCAAAGGAAACTGCTCTTATTTTAAAATTAGTTCTAATTTTGTTTTTTTTTATTGATTTTCTGAATACAAAAGAGTTTATTAATTATTTTATATCTTTCAATAAGCATTTTTTATGTGTGATTTTTTGTTTGAAAGCGCAATTTCTTGCTTGAAAAATGTGATGATAATATTGAAGTTATTCATTAAATGTGAGAAGATAATATGGAACAAAAAAATAAATTTATTTTGAAAAATAGCAAACCTGAAAAGATTCCGAATATGAAGCCACTAGAAGAAAGAATTATATGTATTAGAGTATATTAAGTACTGCTTATACTTTTATTACCAAAACTTGGCTGCTAAAATGGTTAACTTTAAGGATAAAGATAAACCAAATGCAAACCTTCTGAACTAAACTCTATCAATAAAATAAATAAAAATAAATTATAGAAAATCGATGATCGATTGTCTTAAATATGTTTGTCGAATTTTTCTTAAATATCAGAATTTTTTATTTGTGGTATTTGATAATTCTGTTCATATTCCCTAACTAATCTAACCATATCCCTTTTGCTATTTATTATATTAAGTAAGCTGTTTGCTAAAATTAGAGTTTATATTGATAATTAACAAATTTCAAATTAATTAATTAATTGATTTACTTATCAACTTCAGTGCTTTATTCTAATTTAAAGCTCTCTCCTTCAAAGAAAAAATATTTTCTACAAAAATTTTATTTCTAAAAAATATTTTATATGTTTTTCTTCATTAATTAGCATTTAATAGCAAATAATAATAATAATTATGAAAATAATACATATAATAAATTCATTTCTTCTTTTACAAACATCTTGAGTTTGAGTAATTGAATCCTTCACAAAATCTAATTTTTTATTGTTATTAATCTATAAATAAAAAAAATTATAAAATGAAAGAATTATTTATCTATTAAAATACATGAAAAAAAGTAATTAAATTTTTATGAGTGATGTTATTTAGAGAGCTGTGATATTCTAAAAAACAATATAAAAAATAATAGGAATAACATACATATTTAATGAGTTATCATGAAACTCTATCATGGAAAAAGATATATTGAGAAGATATATGAAAATTTATCAACTAAATAATTAATTAAGAAAGAAAGAAGTTGAAAAAATTAATTAAAAATAGAGTGGGAAAAAATAGATAATTCAGATAATTAGATACATTAAAAAATCAATAAAAAATAAGAGGAAAAAGGTAAAAATTTTGAAATTTTAATTAATTTGAAGAGGAAAAAACAAAAATATTTATAATTAATTAGTTTTAAAAAGAAATCAATAAGAAAGAAAAGTTTGAATCTTGAGAAGCAAATAACTCACTCACTAATATGAAGAGAAGAAAGAATCTAAAGTTTTTTAAAATAAGTTTTTAAAACCACCTATGATTAGACGGTTAACGAAGCCCGCGATAAAATAAGATTCTTTCGTCTTTTTAGTTCATATTAATTAGCTCTCAATTCAGCTTTTCTTCCTTGTTAATGATCAAATAAGTTCTCAATGAGAAGTTGATTCTTTGTTGTCTAATAGGACCAAAGATTTGGTAGAATTCCCAAAAGATATACAGATTTTATGCGATTCATTTAAGCCTGCATCCTCCTAAGGATTGGAAAAACTCGTTAAATCCAAGAAAGTTTTTAAAAATGAAAATTTTTATATCAAAATTCCATTAAATCTTAGTCTTCTTACATGACGGAGATCTTCTTCTAATTCTCTCTTAGTTTATAAAAAATATATAATTAGTATTTTTAAAAAGCAAGCTAGAACAACTTTAATAAAAGAAATTATTTTTAATTATCTCGGCAATAATTTACTCAAGGCAATCTCATTAATAGCTCTTATGAATTTTTTAAAAAAAATATCAATTTTAAAGGCAATAATAAAAAAGAAATTAAATAAAAAGCAATAAAAATTACAAATAAAAATTAATATTTAAAGAGCAAAATAAGAAAAATAAAGCAAAGAAAATAAAGAAAAAAGAAATTAAAAGAATCAAGCAAACAAACAAGAAAGCAATAAAATTAACAAAAAGATAGAAAAAAATAAAAAAGTAAAACAAATAAATACAAATACAAATACAAAATAACAATATAAAAGAAAAGAATAAATTAAATATTTATAATAAATAATACTCACTTATTTTGCTTCTATATATTTCCATTATGATAAATCCAAAATTAAATTTTTTTTTAGAAATTTGATATAAAAGAAACAATTAAAAAGCTAATTTTCAGATAGATAAGCAACAATTCATTTTTGTTAAGTACTTAACAATCAATATTTTTTTTATTATAAAATATTTTTAAAAAAACAAATTATTATTTTAGATTTGAAAATAAAATCTGAAATGATATTTATTTAATATTTGTTATTTAAGTTTCTTTTTTAAATTCATTATCAGCTACTGAATAAAAAAGATGCCTGTAATATTTATTTGCTATTGGAAATATTTAATTCTTATCCTAATCAATTTATTTTTTTTTTTTAACTTCTTTTTATTGGTATTTTATAAAAACACATATTTAAAATTTGCGTATTAGATGTTTCTTTAAGGCTTTATAAGGCATTTCTTTAATTATTATTAAAAAGATGTTTTTCTTCAATTTTTTAATTTTTGTTAAGAAATTTTAATCAATTAACTTATACTGTAAAAAGAAGAAGCTTATGTTTTTCAGCTTTTTTTTGTTTGTGAAAATGATATATATTAAATAATTATTAAATTTTGTTTTTTTTATTAAATATCTTTAATGTTTGTGATTTTCATAGATTTATTCTAATAAAAGAAATATTTCAAGGTTTATTTGCTTATTTTATATTAAAACATTTAGATAAGAAATTTTATTTAGAATAAAATTAGAATAAAAAAAATGATGGAATAAAATATTATCTTAAATAGTTTGAAAAATGTATTCTTTCCTTTAGTAAAATTTATATCAAATATTTACTTATTCTTGATGAAATAGCTAGACAATTCTAAAGCAAGCAGTTTAACACATCTAAATCTAAAATTTAGGTATATAAAAATGATAATTTTCTTTTCTTTTTCAACATATATTTTGTTATTAATTTTATTTTGAGTTTAAATTTTTAAAAATAGTAATTAAATAATAAATGATCAAAATTTATAAAAGATTCATACCTTTTTAAGACTTTGTAAAGAAATTAGAACTTTGATTCTGGATTTTGAGTAAAATTGTATTAAACACACCCATACAAATTGCTGAGTTAAATATTCATTAACAATTAGAGATTGTTCTCTTTAGGAAAAAGATTCAAAGTTATTATTAAATGATTTACCTGAATTTAAGAATTTAGAAACTCTATAAATAAACTTTAAGTAAAAATATTAACCTTTTTTAATTTTTTGTTTAAAAAAGCATATTATATACTTAGTTGAGAACCTCAAATATTTAAAAAAAAGTTTAAAAAAGTTTTATAAATCCTCTATGATTAAAAATTATGAGATATGGAATAAGAAGAAATTTAATATTTATTTATTTATTGAAAATTTGCAATAGATAATTAATTATGAAAAATATTATATAATGAAGATACAAATATATAAAAATTAAAAATCTAAAATTTTAATTTTTATTTACTAACTATTTATTTATTGAATTGATAAAAATAATTTTATTATCATTTAAAATTAGTTTTAACAAGATAAAGAATGGAGCAAAGGAAATAGCTTAGTTTCTATTAAAATGTTAAAAGCTAAATACACTTTAAATTTACCTAACGTATATAATATTTAATAAGCAAAAATAATAATAATAATTACTTTTAACATAAATAAATACTTAAAGTAAAAATTAAATCAAAAATTCTGAAGCATCTGATATAATTAAAAGTATAGAGACAATGAACAGCCTTTAACATTTGGAAATTGAATTTGAGTATTAAATTTCATATTTAAATAAACTATATTATTAAAATAATTTTATTCTTGTTTATTAAATATTTACATAAAATAAATAAGAGGAAACAATATTGAAGTTGATTCATTAACGAGCTTAAAAAATACTTTAAATTGCTTATAGAATAAGTTATTTACTTTTAAAATCGGATTAGGGTAAATTAATTTCACATAAAACTAAAAAACTTTTTTTTCAATAATAATTTTGACTAATTAAAATATTTTTAAACTTACTTTTTAAAACCTTATTTCTAAAAATCTTTTAACATTTAATGATAGTTATTTAAATAGATTTGAAAGAGCTGATTAATTTCAGATTAATGATGAATTGCTATAAAGTGTAATGTAATGCTTGAATGCCTGCTCTTTAGTTACAGATTTTCATTTTGATTTATCGTAAATAAAAATAATATTATAAATAGTTTTCTATATTTAATTTAAAAAAAATATTTTTATAATGCAATTTTATTAAAAAGATAAAATAAAATTGAAAACAAGTAAGTCTAATATATTAGTTAGTCCTTAAGCTAATTTAAAAATCTTAAAAATTTGCTATTATGTTTTAAGTAAATTTTATTTATTTTTAATTCTTTTTTATAATTAACAAAATTAAATTTGGCACCTTAATACTTTGTCTGATATTTTTTCTTGATAAAAAAGTATCAATATATTTTTTAGTTTTATTTATTATATTAAAAAAAGAGCTAATTTCAATTAAAATTTTATTTTTTAATAATAATTATTATCTAATATTTAAAAGAATAAATCGTATTTCTGATTTAGGTGCTTTGAGTCTTGGAAATGCTTTGAGCAATTTTACTCAAATGTAGTCTTTAAAAATCTATCTTTAGTAAATTTATTATTTTATAATGTTGAAAGTATATAGTAAAAAAATATATTTTTAAATTTAATAATTGAAAATAAAAAATAAAATTATTTTCTATTTAAATTTTCAAAGTCTCAAATATTAGAAATAATTTATTCCCAATTATATTAATAAGGGATAATTTAATTACAGATTAAGGAG